TTTGGTCCTGTACTCCTGGATTTGATTTTGGAATATTCTTCTTCCATGCAAGCAGCCATCATAACAAGAATCTTCTAACGACACTGTCCACCAACGTCAATGGCAGCGGGTGGCCACCGCCGCCCTTGCATGATATATGATCGGCACTATAGCCGTCGACACAGAGATGTACAAGTTAACCACACGTAGAGATAATAAGACATTTACTACCCCTTGGTATGGAATCAACACAAGAAATATAAGAAAAATGTCATACTGAATACAAAGGTCGAGAGATGGACAGCCCTATGCCTTGATTCCAATCAAAACAATTCGGGAAGGGATGCATTCTTGGAGGATCAGGGAGCCATTCCTATAGGCTCTAGATCTTATCCCTCCCCGAGCGCTGAAGTAGATTTGTTTATTTTACTTTGTTTTGGTTTACTTTGTTTTGGTTTACTTTGTTTTGGTTTACTTTGTTTTGGTTTAATTTGTTTTGGTTTACTTTGGTTTGGTTTATTTTGGTTTGGTTTATTTTGGTTTGTTTATTTAGTTTTGGTTTATTTAGTTTTGGTTTATTGCTTTACAGAGAGTCGCATAATTCATTGCTGGATGGATACGAGCTGAGCTGCGGCTACACAACCTTCTTCACTCAACCAGAAGGAGAAAAACAACAACATCGAAGGGCTAACCGAAGAAGAAAATCTGTGGGGAATTCCTACTGCTTACTAGGAAAGGAATTCCCCAAACAATCCAAGGTGGTGCATGCTTCAGCGAGTAGTACCCGGCCGATGCTTCGACCAACTGCTCGGAATGCGACATTCTCCCAACTCTCGAATACCGACACCCAAATTTGAAGGTCAATTTGCGGGGCTGGAAGAGATCAGAGCGAGCAGACGCCGTGAAATAAAGATCGCGTTGCGCCACCGATATCCTGGCTTTCTCGCCTCTATTCGACTTACGCCGCCATTTCCGACTCTTTACACGCCAACTAATACGACACTTTCATTAACATCCCCCCAACTACATTCGCTCTTTTTGTCAAGATGCATTTCTCTCGTGTCCTCGCCGTGTCGGCTTCTTTCATTGCCCTGGGTCTCGCCGCCGACCCTCTTGCTTTCACTAGCTGGCCCCAGGATGTCGCTGCTGGCAAGCCCGTCACCCTTACCTGGGCTGGTGCCGTCCCCGGACAGGTAGGATGGATCTTCGAGGAGTATAATTTGGCTGTGCTGACTGGAGGCCATAGCCCGTGACTCTGACCCTGCGCAAGGGAACCTCCACCCACCTCAAGGATGTCGAGACCATCACTAGCGAGGCCAAGGATGGCACTTTCACCTGGACTCCCGGTGACAACGTCAAGGAGGGCGAGACCTACGCTTTCCAGGTCTCCCAAGGTGGACAGGTCAACTACTCCGCTCTGCTGAAGGCCGGCGCTGGAGCCCCCAAGGCCGAGACCACTGGAGCAACCCACACCAACGCTGCCACCACCGAGGCCACTGCTGCCACTGCTGCCACTGGCACCACCACTGGCACCAACATCCAGACCACGATGGGCACCGAGACACAGACAACCAGCAAGCCTCTAATCAGCTCCTCAGCATCCGGCTCCCCCTCCGGCAGCCCTTCATCCGCGACTGTTAGCAGCACTATGACAAATGGTCCCATGATGACCGAAACCGGCGTGATGAATGGCAAGGAGGCATCTGAGACCGGAACCACGCAGAGTGGCATGGCTTCCGTACCCTCATTGTCCCGCGAGATTGTCCTGGGAGCTCTTGGTCTGTTTGTCTACCTTGTTCAGTAGATATGAGAACCCCAGACGCTGAGCGTTTTTGTCTTCTTTCAAGTTCCTTTTTGATCAGTGGCCAGTCATCCTCAAGATGTTGCAAAATCAGCCAATTCAAGCCCGGGCTTCCTTCATGTATATACATCCAATACCCGATACTATGGAGGGCAATTGGTCAGGCGTTGTGGAGGTAATCGATTCATTCAAAGTTTATTCAAAAGTGCAAGAGTAACTTGAAAGTGGAAATATTCATTGGAGTAACTAAAAGTCCAAGCGCAAACCGCCTAGCGCCCGCTTAGTGGCCCGCTTAGCTGCCGCGTTCCTGACGGAAGTCAATAGTCGGCGGATCCGGTGGAACACCTCAGCTCTCTTCTCTCTTCTCACTTCACTCTTCACTTTGCTCCATTTCTCTTTTGCTACTCCGCTTTGATCTTTTTGGCTCTTCAGCTTTGGTTCTTCTAATTCTGGCCTGCACGCGTTCTTTGGTCTTTGACGGGTGTCCCTTACTGCATCAACCCGCCCACTTTGCTGTCCGCCCATAGATGTCGCGTTAAGCACGGCCTCCTATGATGCTCGGCGATGCTCAGACGCCGCAATAAGTTAACAACCACTCATTTGGCACAACTGAGATTCAATACTGGTACGCCGAGCTCTCTGTTCGTTCCCCTTCAAATTTATTCCCACACTTGGAGTGTTATGCCTGCGTCGCAGCCTGCCAGTGCCCCCTCTATGTCCACCGCCATTCTTCCCCAGATATTGAGCTCCAGCTGCCAGTGCCAGCTGAGTAATGGGATGGCGTCGCTAAAGCGAGCCATGAAGCGGCTGGGATCAATGGCGAACCTCAATTCGATCGATACTGACGTGCAACCTCTCCTCTCACCAGCTTCCACTCAACCACCCCAAGTGAACCTCCCACATGTGGACACCCAATTGAACATGCACCAAGTCAACGGTTTATTCGAAGACGGTTCTCCGGCCGCCGACGGCCTCAGAGGTCGGTCCACCATGTCCATGGCGTCAGCTACATCCCACCGCGCATTACTTACCCGACCCGGGTTCATCCCATCTACAGATTCCCACGGCTCCCCCACACAACCCCAACCACAATCGCAATCACAACCACAATTACAACCACAATCTCAACCCCCCAATCCCTCCTCCGGCAGTCCGACCTCCCCCGCCGATGAAACACCCACAGAATGGTCCGCCGTCGGCCACGCCGCAACAGGCAAATCAGGCCGTGTAATCCACAACCTCCAAGAAGAGATCGCACGACTCCGCCGTGAATGCAGCGTCTACCGATCCCGCGCCGAAGAAACCCAACGCTCAAACGAGACCCTAAAAACCCAAGCGCAGAACATGTCCGAGCGCCTCCGAAACCTAGAGCAAGTCAACGAGACAAACCTAAACTCAATTGCGCGCAAAGATCGCAAAATCGAAGACCTCCGCCTGGAAATCCAAAACGAGCGCAATAAGCGGAAAGACGCCGAATCCGCCGCGAGCAAAACAAACGACATGATGCGCGATGAGCGGGAAAATCATAACCGCGAACAAGCCGAGGCGCAGGAATTGACGAAATATCACCAGACGCAGTACGAGGTTCTGGCTAGCGCGACGAAGCGCGAGAAGACGGATCTCGGGAGGAGGGTTAAGGTTTTGTTTGATGAGTTGAAGAGTCTTAAGGGGGCGCATGAGAAACACGTTGTTTCTTCGGATCATTTGGAGGTCATTGCGGAACAGAAGAATCGGGAAATTGAGGGGTTGAAGGAATTACATGAGAAGTTACTGGATACTCATGTGCAGTACAAGAAGCTCAAGGATGATGAGCTTCGAGATACGCTTGAGCAGGGTCGGGCGTATAATGCGCAACTTGAAACGATGGTTGTCTCGATGAAGGAGACGGAGGGGAAGATGAATTGGGTTATGCGGCTGCAAGAGATGCGAGATCAGGAGGGAGAGAGGAGGAGAGGGAACGAGGAGGCATAATTCGGTGCAGGTATTGATTGGCATGGTCAATGCAAGGATTGGCTGGTTGACCGAGTATACTGGCCCTCTCTCCTCCCCATTTCCCATTTCCCCTTCCACAATCGCATCACATACTATCACATTGATTTCTTTTGTACAGAGTCATCCCCCTGGCGTTTCGGAGGCACGGATACCCTTAGCCATGGAGGCGAAGTTCGGTGTTGTATCATTCTTTTAGTTCTAGATTTTGTTCTGTTAGATCTGATGTATGATGACTGCATTGCATACTGTCTACTACTTTTCTGGTCTTCCACTCATCCACTTCTCATCCACTACCTACCGACCACATCACATCACATCACATCACATCCACTCTGCTACTGCTACTGCTACTACTACTGCAAATGCCTTGTATACTCCCTTGTATACTGCCTATACACACACTGCCTATCTAGGCCATCCCCCCCTACACCTTTGCACCTTCCACTTCTTCCACTTCTTCCACACCTTCCTCTGCACCTTCCTCAACATCCACGATGATCCGCCATCTCCCAGCTTCTTGCTGGGTTTCCTTCATTCCCTCCCTTTCTCTTCTCTTCAGACATTCAAAATTCACTCACTCTGTCCCCCTGCCAAAGATCACCTCGAGCATGACCGTCACAGCTGACAAAAGCCTGGATTTGACTATTAGGGATGCTTCTCCGAGACGTGACGGACGTGGTGGACATGGTGGACATGGCGATGCTGCCGTGGGATCAATCTACGTCATTGAGGCTCTTGGGGTGAACAATCCATCTCTCTCTTTGTTTTCTCTACAATTGCAATCGTGGATACCGCTAACACTGCCATTGTGAAGGTTGACGAATTGACCGATCGAATTGAGTATCGCGTGTGCCCTGCCGATTTGCTAGCCGAGGTTCCATTGACAAGAGACAGAGGAAACACATCCCAAACGGGTGATGCGCAGGTTGGCTACGATGATGGGTCTCATGTTCGTATTGTTTGCCTTTCCTTGTTCTCACTTCGCTTAGTCGTCATGAAGCTAATACCCTCAATTCATTCACAGCTTCTTCTTCTTCGAACGCCCGATCGAAAGGTTCACACATCTTGTGCGGCGACGCTGAATGAGTACTTCAACCAGCACAAAGACGATCATCTACTGGATGTATGTGCCTTCACTTTTCACACTGGCATACCTTTGGGACTCCGCGCTGATGAGAGATTCTAGCTTCCTCGCATGCACTCGCTCATCCCGAATGACCTTCAAGCCATGCCTCCGCCTCCCAAGTCATCCTCCTCCGAGCCCGCGGATCTTCTTGATTTTGGCACAATGGACGTTAAATTCTACAGCCGGTCTATGAACAGGACCTGGAGTCCGGGTGAGCTTGGTCATTACTTCATGACAGATCGATTCAATGTTATGTTCCGCATCGCGGAAGATACTCACACGGATATCTCTATCGTGGCGAACTCCGATCCCCTTCAAATTCGTTTGGCTGGCCTAACTCCTGAAGACGTTGATGAAGCATTGGAGAAGCTACAAGGATCGCTCGGATTCATTGTAAGATTAAATTCACTTTTCCTTTTTGACTGGCACATTGCTCACACTCTCTAGGCTTTGCTCCTGGAACCGCCAAACGATATTGTTGTCCTCGGGTCGAACGACGAAGTACCCCGATACCTGATGAAGAAGTTGATGGACACTGACCGAGCCACCGGACAGCGTCTTGTCGAAGACCTCAGCTTGAGGTACAACTTGAAAAATGTGATGATACCATACTCTCAGGCCCCCGCCGTTGTCACCATATCTCCAACGCCACGAGTTCCCCTGGGGCCTCGCCATCCAATTCCTACTCCTGCAGGGGCCAAAGGTCCGACAAAATGGGACTCGGATTTCCCAAAGCTGGGCACACCTGCCCAAAAGACTTCTTCGCAGAGTTCTTCTGCATGGTCTGCTTTAGCGCCACCAAATCCCGCTTCACGTTATCCAGTCAGGTCACCCCCTCCAGTCAGGTTACCCCCTCCGGCCAGAGCGACACAACCTATGCAACCTAGCATCGTACCGCAGGTTAAAATCCCCATCGCTCAACAGTCTGAACTTGGAAAACTTGCTACACCGAGATATCCGAATGTTAGAAAGACTCGGAAGCCTGCAAGTGTGACGGATGAGAACATAGCACCCAGAGGATTGCCTCCCTCAGCGCCTCCGGCTCCCGCTGCCATTATCAAGCCCCGACAGGAGCGTAGCCCGACACCTGGAACGACTGTGTCGTCGGCGCCTAGTCGTGAATCTGGATTCCGTTCTCCATTGTCTACTTCACCGCCGCCTCAGACCACCCCTGGCAGTTCCTCTCCTCCTACCTCGCCGCCTACGCGTTACATTTCTCGACCCGGTAGCCCGGTGTCGCTTTCAATTGTCAAGAGGCCGGAATTCAACCCTGGGACTCGTGATCGACCTGCAGGCATCCGGTTTCCGGGGGGCTTACCTAGCGATGCTACCCGCCCGGTTGCTGCCTCTGCCAACCATGCTGCACTTGAAGATAGCCTCGAGATGCCTGGAAATATCCCTCACCCGTCCATTCCGATAGCTACTCCATTGGTTAGGCGACCTACTGAGCCTGCTGCATTCACTCGGCAGAAACTACTCACCGGTTTGCCAATTTCGAGTATCCCGGAGCGCTCAAGCTCAAAGCGTCCCCGGTTCCTCCAAAGCCTCCAAAGCTTCGCATGATACCTAGCAAGCTATCGACTGTTGTCGAGGCTGTTCCTGAGTCCCCGACTCTTGTCGATTTCAAGCCGATGAAGGATGAGACGAAGCCAGCCAAATTCACTTTGGGCAGTGGAGAAATGACAGGTAACAAATGTACAACAGAAATTGTGAACAGTAACGACCTCTCATCATTTGAAATGCTATCCGACGTGGGTGAGATATCGCTTTACATTGTTGATGACCAGCCAATTATCCCATGTATTGAGCTTCCGATGTTCGGACTCCAGGGAACTTTGCCTACAGAACCAGTGAATACAACCACCCAAGAGCAGGCTCCAGACAGGGAACAGGAATCCAATGTGCAGGCTCCAGAGAGGGAACAGGAAACAAATGTTCAGGCAGCCATGCATTTCTTGTGTCGCGAGATTCAGAATAACGGGTCAACGAGTCTATCTGAAATTGCTGAAGCACCCCAACCCCGAGATCCAACTGATGACTCAATTCATGAGGCCCAGGTTGCGGTGTCTGAATCAGAAATACGGGAGCTCCACAATATCATGAATCAAAAGTCCGCTCGGCCTGCTGATATCGATAAAGAGAACAAAATCCAAGCAAGGGCAGAGTCTAAGGCTCGGCATACGGCCAGAAAGAACGACATGTGGGGGGTTGACTACTTTCCAACGTGCTCGGGGTCACAGTAATGTTGCTAAGGCCATCCTAGAACCAACATTGGAGCCAGGTGTTGGGGCAAAGGAAAGATCGTCTTCGAGGCATGATACGATTAAGCGGTCCAAGTCGGAAGGTCGCGCGAAAACCGTTTTTCATATGCTCGAGCCAGTGCTTGGTGCCGCGAAAGCGTTCCCTGGTCGAATGACTTTGGAGGTCCAGATAGGCCTGATCCTGATCCCTCCCACGCAACCATCTGGTCTGATGGACCTGGCCGAACTTCGCAAATACTTCAATCCCAACACTGGTCTTCCGCCTCCCAAACCATTTTTGTACAACCGGCTGGCCATCAGCAAAGATGATATTGAGAACCTGATTGGTCTTCGAGTTGCCGGCCGCCGTATTTTTGACGGTGAACCCTACGAGGAAAGTATTGACTGTGAATTTCATTGTGTCTTGCCAAAGGGCAATACCGTGGAATCATTCCTCGTCACCATATTCGATGATGAGCCTGCAAGAACCACCGGACCCAATTTTCCGCTCGGAAACATTCATTTGAATTTCCCGGATAACAACTGGGATGCCGCGATTGTTCTTACCGGCCAATCACCGTATGTCAAGCTAGATGCACAAGTCAAACATGACATCCTGGAAATGACCAAAAACTTTCGCAAGATCTTCTCCAGGTCCGACATCCAGATCGAGACAACTGTGCCCTCGCCGCCGTTTGAGATTAAGAAAATTCTGATGAAGGGAGTCTCAAAGTACCGCTATCTCCGGGACGGTGAAAGGGACAGGACGGAAGATCTCTACATGCGAATCACGGAGGTTCAAGACCTGGTGATCTCTTACTCGGGCTTAAAGAAAACAGATATCAAAGCCTACTGCCCCGACGAATCTGACCAAGTCGATCGACCGCACCGTTGGTCCGAAGTCTCACTCATCAGCTCGGGAACAGAAGATGCCTTGGAATCAAACTGGAAACTGGAAGTTGGTTCGCAGACCTCTAAATGGAACACGGCTACACTGTTTGGACAAGGCATGGCGCCGGCGTCTTCTTCAGCCGCGAGCTCCCCGGATACCCTTATTGATGCCCCAGGCCTGTGGTCTCTCTTCGGTCTGACCGAGACGGTTGTCAAGAATATCGATGAGATTGGATCCCGAAGTAAGGAGATACCTGCTGCGTCGACGAAGGAAAAAATATCGAACTCGTTGGTTTTGTCCGGAACCTCTTATTCCAAAGATCGAGTTGCCCCCTCTGGCCAAGTTAGCCAAGTTAGCCAAGATCGAAACAAAAGCCTTGCGAGCGTGGCTGGCGGTTCTCGATTGAGGGAGCATGAAGAGAACCCTCGAGAATCCCGGTACTGGTGAAGATGTGGCAGCGATGATGATTCTCAAGATTGTGTTCAATTGCTAGGTCTGTGTTTTGTGTTCTTGTTACTGTGAGCTGTTTTGAGATCCAAAGAGAAGAAAACTACATGTTCGAATTTTGAGAAAGTGGAGTGTGTTGACTGGCTGCCTTCTGTTCTGTTCTGTTCTTCTATTCTTCTATTTTCCCAAGAGACCCCGTGCACTTGATATTGTTTTGATGTTACTTACCTTCATTGTACTTTGTCGCATATTTTGTCTGCTGAATCATTGTTTTCCTGTTTTATCTTTCTGGGCGGCATTCATACTTGAGCAATTACACGTGAGGGGGGGCGCAGGGCCTAGAAGTTTCACTCTTAACTAGCATAGCATATCCATTCATGCGGGTTTAGATCAATTTGACTGTGCTTAATCTTGATTTAATGCCATTGTACCAAGCTACCAATAACTGGAGGAAATAGAGATAAAACTTGGAATAAACTGCACCTTTAAAACAAAATCCAATATCTCCCTTCAAGCCCTCCCTGGAGGTTCTACTAACTAAACAAGATCCCTCAATTCAAAAGTCGCCGCATTCCTCAAAGGCCGTTCCCTCCTCTGCCTCGGCGAAATCTTATGCCAAAACTGCCAGATAAGCGTACTAACAATTGTAGTAGGTAGGGCAAAAGCCCAATAAATCCAAATCTCCCCACTCATCGTAAACCCATCATCAAATTTAAAAAAGCTCATGCTAAATATCGACGAGATGAATGTTGGCGGTAGAAAGACGAATGTGACGAATGCAAGCGTTTTCAGTGCGGTGCTGTCGGACATCATTGCGTGGCTTATTTTTACGGATAGATTTGCGTCGTGTTGGGATACTGTGTTGAAGGCTAGTTGGATCTCGTGGGCGAGACGCTTTTCGTTGGCTGTGCTTCGGTGGCGGAGGCTTGTTAGGCAGCTTTGGTTGAATTCGAGGCGGGATTGGATTTGTTGGAATGTTGATTGGGGAAGGGGGGCTGTAATAGTACTGCCGGTAGCAGGAGGGGCAGTAGTATCATCGTCATTCAAGCTTTCTGTAGAAATGAGAGCTGGTGTTGGAGGTTTATGCGCGTAGCGCTGGTGGTGTCGGAGAAGTTGCTCAATAGTCTGTACAGCGACGTCAAGAGATTCCGTAACGTGAACTGCGTGTCGACCTATATCGTGGAGACGGCGATAATTGGGTTGGGGTCTGCCGGGGGGGTTTCTTGCTTTCTGCTTTCTCGAGAGCGCGGACGTGGTCCCTGATTGACCAGACGGCGGAATCTTGTAGTTTGACGATTTCTTCTAGGATGTGGGTGTAGATCCAGAAGGGGTCTTTTAGGATGTCGGGTGATGCTTCTTCTAGGTCGGGGGTTTGGGCTATTCGGTGAGTTGGGTCGAAGTAGATTAAGGCTGTTTGGTTGGTGTGCGTTGTCCAGCGCGTGAAGGTGCTTGCTTTGGACCAGTCGTATTCCATGTCTGGCTCTAGGTGTTTCATTTCGAAGTAGGCCCATGTATCTGAGTTTTGTTAGTTTCGTGTTGATTGAGGAGATCTGATTGATTTGAAGGTCTCCTTGAGATGATAGAATAGATAAACTCACTAAATCCCGCCACGGAGTTGGTGTCGTAGGTTGCTTCGCATCCGAAGTAGCCGTTTGAGTTGCGGATTGCCGGGGACCAGAGAGTCTTCGGTATGCAGAATGTGTTCATGAAAGTTTTGCGGCATTGTTCGCATTCTATAAGTGCTTTTGCATTTGCGATTCTTCATAATGTCAGTGGCAATCCGAGTCCCTGATATCCAACTGCCCAACCCTTTATTTTACCCAACTTACATGATGTATACTTCAGTATCTTCAGAGACGATCGAGGGAACCTGTCCACGGCTTTGGACACGCAGTTCCGACGTATAAATCTCCTTCTTCGTCCAATGATCGCCATTGCCTGCCATAGTGTAAGCAAGGAGTATGCCGACAAATTCGGGAATGGGTGCAATTTACCATGTTTCCATTGCAGGATCGGAATCTTCGGACATAATGCTTTGCATTGAAGATCGAACATATCCAAATAAACACTTTAAACAATTGATGAGCCAAGGTTCAGTCCCACACTCGTCCAATGAGCTGTCAGATCTATAGTAAATGATGACGATCCGTGAATAAATGTACCACTTCAGGCCTAGGGGATTCCGGGGCAAGATATAAAGAGTTAAATATGGCTTGGCTGACAGCAAGGATAGAACTGACTGCGTGAAATAAAAGCCCAGTCGAGTCCATCGCACAGGAAAGCGGCTGAGTAGGCTGATTCGGTGCGGGGCACAGCCTTGCCAGCGCATCACCAAGTCTTGGCAGAGTGACTTAGATTGACGAATGAACTAAAGAACTCTAGCGCCCTCTCACCGTCACCCGGGCGCGTATGCAGACTGCCTAGGCAGCTCAAGTATGCACCCGGGCAAAATATCCCTGTCATGCGGATATGACCCGACCAGCAGGCTGAGGAGTTGAAACAGTGGTCTCGTTCTTGTCGATCTTATGTGCCGCATGCTACGGCGCATGCATGTACGGAGTATATGGGAAGCAAATATGATTGAGCGTAAACAATTCGCTCTTCGGAGGCGGAGCTCTTCAAGCATGGCCCAACTCTAGGCTCCGTATATACGAGGAGACACAGCCGGGGTGAGGAGGTCGCCCTGTGCTTCGCCTCATTTCGACTTGACCAGCAACGACTCTTTACGGTAAAAGATCATGAATTATGTTCGTTTTACTCGAGAAAGTAGGCGAAGCAAGTCATTTATCCTGCTTCAAGTGAAAATTTGACATCACGAAGCAGTTTATTTTACAATTAAACCGATTCATTCCCCTCGTTCCTCTGCGCCAACTATCCACAGCTACCAGCACCGTCCATTAAGTAACATTCGTTTGATCTTCTCGGGGCTAATGCGGTTCAAATACGTCAATCCCAAAGACCGCTGCCTGGTACCTGCGTATCCGAACAGCTTCCCAACTAGTAAGCTACCTAGAAAGCAGAGCTTCAACCTATCACTAACCAGATACTATAGAGATCAGTTGTGGTTCAATGTCGTCAGTGGTCACGGTATATGAGGAAGAAGCTAAGTGGCAGTGATTATAAAGCGCACTTGCCTGTTCTCTGTTTGACCGTGCCTACCTAAGGTTGTCTATCTGATGTCTGATCGTACTTGCCTATTTAGTTGGTAAACACGTAAACATCCCATGTCAACAGTCAACAATCAACAATCAACACCCGTCGAATTCCAGTTTCCTTTGTTAACTCCCCTCCCTAGCAATGATCGACCCAGTGGTTTTACCCGTACAATGATTACTATTCCCTACACAAGTTTGGGCACAGAATATGGTATGGTATGAATATCTTTGGAATACATATAGCCAGAGCCAGGAACTACTCAGTTGACGCGAGTGATTAATGCCAGGGCGTAGTAGATAGCAAGTATCAGAGACGTAAACATTATACTACTTGGCATCCTGAGTACAGTTATTGGTAGCTTCTGTGGTTCATAACGCCAAGCTTGCTGTACAGTATTACTGCCTTGGGAGAACAAGTTTCGCTAATCTGTATACGCTTTGAAGTAAAGTAAAATTGCTCTTTGAACCAATATAACATGACATGCAAACCCCCGCTGAGGCATCAAATATGCATCTTTTCTTTTTCTTTTGTTTTGCCAAAAGGAGATCAAGAACTATCAAAGATCCCCGTTGCATTGAGACCTTATCTTCTCTAGTACTACCGACTAAGAATCCTTGGCAGCCTTCTTCTCGTTCTCCTTCGCCGCCAATCTCAAGATATCAATTTCGCTCGACAACCAGCGACGGAATGGCTCGGCGTGAAAGACACCTTCTCCGGAAAACCAAGTGGTGAAAGGAGCCTCGCACCGCTTATCCTGTAGTACCTTTCCATTGGGAGATTTGTACTGCACACGCAGCTTGTATTCTTTGGAGAACTTCTTCGAGGATGAAGAAACGGTGATCTATTCGGGTAGATTTCGTCAGTAAATAGAGTCCAAAATGGATTTTCGTATGTGAAAGCCAACAGGAGCAATTGGAACAATGGACAACGAACCGTCTCTCCTGTCTTGCGCTTGCCGGCGAAGACCTCGCCGGCCTCGACGGCCCAAAGCCAGAAAGTCAGGATACTGTTAAGGGTGAAGTATGCGACGACGGCGGCGATGATCCAGGGGGAGCTTGTCGCTTCCCAGCCTAGTGTTCGGTCTGCGTAGAAAGTGAAGCCTGCGATTGCGATGGCGCTGTAGCCCAGAGCGAAGCGGACGTTGCTCTTGGAGTGGTCGACCTTGAAGGCATATGGGGCTGGAAGAGTGCACAAGTATGGGAGGAGGGCATCATCGGTTGTTGACTTGAGGTCTTTATAAAGCGATTTGGTTAGCTAGGGAATTCGCTATGTAGTAGGTAGAGAGAGGTATTGTATGAAGGAGTAGATTGGGGAGCTGACAGACCATTTGTCGAGTAAACAGGCACCTTGGACGCCATGGTGGAGATATTAAAATGGCCGCGAAGTAAGATTTGTGATTTGTGAGTCCAACTTTGACGATTTTAGCGAGTAACTCTGGAGTATGTGAGCCTAGGGTTGGAGAGTGTTTATCGCGAGGACACCGTTGCGGGTTGAAGATGGGAACGTTAAGGAAGGGAAAGCTGGAGCTCGCGACGGACCAATCGGCGGGAAGACCTCCACCTTTCCACTTCCACTTCTTCCCTCCCGCAACTGCAACTCCTCCTCTTCCCATCACCCCCCCTCTACCTCTACCTCTCCCCTCTATCTCCATTGATCTATTCCAGTTCAATAACAGACATCTGTCTCTCCGATCATGGCAGTTCAAGGGGTGGAGCAGACCATCCTTAGGGATCCGGCCCTTTTGTGAGAAACCACGTTCCAATGAATACCGAATCCCCTCCCAACCGAACTAACCATGACAATCTAGCTACTGGATTCTCTTCCCAATCTCGGTGGTTATGGTATGATTGAAACCTTCTTCTCCTACTGTGCATACAAGCCAAGAACCACCGAAGCGCTAACTCATCCGTCCGAATAGATCCTCACCGGAATCCTGCGCCACTATGCCACCGTCCTCATGAACACCCCCCCAAAGTCCCCCTCGACTCTCGCCGAATCACGCGAGCGCCACGCCCTTCTTCGCGGTGTTAACTTGCGTAACCACGCCGCCGCCGTCCTGGACCAAGAGTCCTTCGAGGCCCGTCGGAACTACATGGTCGCTGGTTTCCGCAGCGGCGCGTTCTTGAAGGACCCCAACAACCGTGGTCAACCGCCTGCCAACCCAATGACCGATCCCCAGGGCATGGAGGCTATGATGGGCATGTTAAAGGGAAATATGATGATGATGATTCCCCAAACTTTGATCATGAGCTGGATCAATGCCTTCTTCTCGGGTTTCGTTATCCGTAAGATTTCCCTCTATCTCTATTCTCTGCGGATGCTTTGTCCTTGTTGTTATGGTCTGCTAACGAGCGTTGCTAGTCAAACTGCCTTTCCCTTTGACTATTCGCTTCAAGTCGATGCTCCAGTCTGGTGTTATGACCCGTGACCTGGATGTGAAGTGGGTGTCCAGTCTGTCGTGGTATTTCCTGAACTTGATGGGTCTGCAGTCGGTTTTCGGCTTTATCTTGGGTAGTGACAATGGTGAGTTATTCCGAGGTCGCCCGGAGCGCTTTTCGAAATTCTTGTATGAGAGCTGGAAACTGATTCCTTTGCAGCTGCCAGCCAAATGGCCCAGCAAATGGGTATGGCCAACCCTGCGGCTATGATGAACCCTATGCAGCCCGGCCAAGACCCCGACAAGTTGTTCACCAGTGAGGCTGAGAACCTTGAGGTTATGGAGCACTTCTGCATCCTTGATGGAGTGGAGGAACGAGTCCTGCGCAACTTTGCGCAGATCAACTAATTTAAAGTTACATAGAATGGGATAATTTGGTATTGGTTTAGGAGTCTGCGTGTGTGTATATACTTTACGGAGAGAAACCACTGGGCCTAGGCAGAAAATATTCGAGAACTTGAAGCTTTCTACTTGACGATACTAGTAGTAGCATCATGGAGAGCCAAATTCCAATTCCAAATGTCATTAAATATCGTATATCATGAGTAAATCAGTCCTCAGCGACTGTAATTGATCACCTTATTAAGAACCCAAACCTCACCGTTGGCAACCTTCTCCGCAACCTTATCTACTTCAATATCACCCGGTTGAATCTGATTCATGTTGGTGGTTAGCAATATCCAAATACATCCCAAGGCTTCCAGAAGGGCAAGACAAATACACACCTTAATCTTATCACCCTCCTTAACCCACTTCAACTTAACCCCACCAAGCGTCTCAACCTCCTCCCCCTCAACCCAAGGACTAACAGGAATAAGATGCGCCTCTACAAAACGGCGCAAATTATCCCTCGCCCGATCCTTCCCATCCTGCCCCTCATATGCATTCACCTCGCCAAATTTCGCATAGTCCTCCGGATCCTCCCACGGCTTGCGGGGCAGGTCCTGGACTGCGCTGTTGCGAGGGGCCAGGACGGTCAGGTTCTTGGATGCGTCGTTTAGACGCTGCGATATCGAGTCGAAGTCTCGGGTCAGTTGGGCGAATATGTTGATTCCTTTTGTTTTGGGGAGGACGTCGGAGATTATGGGCTCGTCAGCTTCGCCGCCGATATTGGGCTGGGGCCCTGGCTGGGGTTTTAGAATTCCGGGGATGAGTCTGTCCATGATCGGTTTGGACCCGTGCGGGTGCTGGTGGTTGTCTTGGTCTTGGTTTTGGAGGACTAGGGGTCGTTGACGGAGGCTGTTCGGAAGGGCAAAAGTCCAGAGTGCTGTGCTGGAACTGATGAATGTAAATAGTATGACTAGAGACGAGATGAGATCGGTGGCCCGCATCTTGGTTGTTTCTTGCTTTGCTTGAGTTGGCGATGGTTAGAGGCCCGCCATGACGCAAGGGGTGCACGTGATGTGTAGTCAGCCACTTCGAACTGTGGCTGGTGGTGGACTAATTTGGTATAGTCGAGTATAAGCCACAATATAGTTCTATTCCACACAATTCGAAATTCGGTCCTCAAGTATACTGGTAATGTCTGAAGCGGATGAAAGTACATTCAAATTCAAGTTCATTTCGTCATGATATTTATCTACATAATATAAGAGCGACTTATACGATCATGAACTCCTCAAAGCCAGGGTCAACACCTGGGCAGCAACACCATCGGCCAGGTACTCAAAAGCCTGCCCAGGTAGGTACCAGCTCGGTATTAGCAGTGGGTGGTAGATTAGGTACGATGAAGATGTCTTCCAGCCTCACAACTTAATCCAGCGACCCATCCATGTTTCCACAACAGACTTCGCCTCATCAACCAGTCCGAGATCGAGCAGCAATTGCGTCGTACCACGGACAGCAGAGTCCAAAGCCGAAAATATCCAAGCATGGGTATAGCTAGTATGCTCACCAATAAAAATGGTCTTCATCTCAGTCTGGTAATAAGCAGGCAAATAAAGCTCTTGCTGTCCAACAAGTGGATCAGCCCAAGCCCCAGCTTGATGGTGATCGAACTCCCAGCACTGTCGATCATAAACTCCGGTGAACTGTTCCGCAGCGATTTCACCGTGAACTTCAATCATGGTTCGCTGGATGAGCGCAACATGTTCCTCGGGATTAAGCGCGGCTGCAGATCGTGCAGGGGTGCCAGAGATATATGAAGCAAGAATAACGCCAGGTCCAGTGCCGTTCATATTGTATGATGGATAGCAAACCCTTCCAACCCCGGAAACATCTACCGATCCACAGCCGCCAAAGATTGGCTGTTCGAGGTGCTCCCAGAAGCGAGTCTTATAGAGCAGAGCCATCTTGCAGGCTGGGTCATAGTTCAGAGTGGAAATCGCGCGACTCAGGAGAGACGAGTAACGCGGCAGATCCCATAATCTGACCTTGCTGAATGGTGCTGCTACAACGGCGTAGTCGTACTCCTTTGTCTCGGGCGCCATTTTCAGTGGGTCCTCACGCCACGCTACTGCGATTTTGCCGGTAGTTTCGTTGTAAGCTAGACCCTGAATAGTGCGGTTGAAGGTGACCTTGTCGGCGACATGCGGGTAGAAAGCGCGAGGAAGTGATTCCAATCCCTTGTCAATGGTGCGCCATTTTGTGGCAGCGAAGTAGACCTCGTCGTAAAAGTCGCCCCAGATGGGAGAGTCGGTTGTACCAGCCACATAGTCGGTGACATTGGCGTCGTATCCCAGTGCATATTTTAGATAACCAGCTTCAGACCAGTGGAACATGCCATCGTCAACGGCTTTCTTGTCGGCCTGGTACATATTTGTTGCAATCTTGCGGAGTGTTTCGCGATTGTCAAGAGTTGTATAGTTTTCGTATGCGGCCTCTGCATCGGTGGCGGCGGTTTCATTAGATGACGCGGCAGTGTATACAAGTGACGCATTTGCCGCAACCTGGGCAGCTGTGGGAATGCGCCCATTTGGTAAACGGTTTCCACCCGAAGCTGCAGGGACATTTGGTCCATTTTGAATCCAGGGAATGAAGTTGACTTGCAGCTCAGGCTTGTCGGTATTCATCTTATTTAGCGTCTCTGCGAGCTGGAATACCATACGGTGATCCTGAATCTCAAGCGTCTCATTCGTGTCGGCGTATGTGATGCCGACGGGAAAACGCATAGGACCCATCTCTTGGTACTGGTACTGATCCGGTGAGGTATTGTTGAGATATTTGGTTCGAATTCGACCGCCAACTCGTTCTGAAGACTCATAGATGTGCCAGTTGTGGATACCAACAGACTCAAGCAGCAGACTGGTCATAAGGCCCGACATTCCACCTCCAAGGATAGCGACGGAGGTATTCTTTGCCTTGGTGACGAAACTTTTTGCATTCTTCTTCGATTTCATGTATGCCACCCCGTCAAACCAAGGTCCCATAGCATCTGCGACATCTGCAATACTCTCTCGCTTTTTCAAATCTGGAGATGAGATTGGGATTGGAGAGGAGCGTCCGACAAGAATTGATTTGGAGAATGCATGCAAACAATGCGAGTGGGGTGCATCTGGAGGGGTCACCCAGACAAAACGTTCAGGTTGAGCGTCGCGTTCAACAAAAACGGTCCCGAGATCGTGGTGGCTGTATGAGGGTGATTCGATGTCGCACTCGGCATATACAAGTTGTAGTTCTCCTTCAAATGACTTATCGATAAACTCAATGTGAACGTTATGCAATGAGTCAGCTACCACGCTGGTGGGTTGGTGAATGCGAATCCTTTCAAAGTCTCGTTTGGCAACACCCCCTAAGACGATATCAGAGAGAGAAAAGCCAAGCCAATGGCTTGGTAAAGGTGGGCTTTCATTTTTATTCAAGCTAGCCAGGCAGCCTCTGAAAAGTGGCTTTAAAATGTGTGGAATTGCATCATCTTGGTGCACGATATCGAATACTTTATAAGTGAAAGCCCAAAGGCTAGACCATCAATATTGGGTGGTATCACCCAATAGCTACCGAGTTCTGTTGATAGATAATAACGATTCGGCATTGTTATCTGTTCTGGAGATGTTTACGCCGGATCCGGTAGGATGAACACCCGCTAACGGTTCTCGAGTGTCGTAAGTGTCGGAATCAAGCACTTTGAACGACCAAAACCAGTACGGAGTTTAGTCTCGGGAGGAGAATAGGAAGGCCGAATGCAATGAAGGGCACGGCCGAGGTCGAGAAGTTCGCGATAGGATTCGCTGAGGCGGCCGAGGAACAGTTATCGCGGGAGAAAAAAGTTATGACAAACCTGAGCGACTATCTTATCAGAGAGGGGAATGAAGCTATCCAGGGAGTCAAGCGAAGGGCGTAGGGCGTGCTACGTTCATAAACTATGTGCATTAATAGGTGAGCGATAATGAAGTGTACATTGTATATTGTAGCTATGATTATTCATTGAGGATTACCACAGCTCAAGAACTACCGAAAGTATTGATAAATCGACTCTTTATGAAAGCCGTGACTGAAATACTCTTTTAACTGACGCTGGCTTGCGGGCTTGCGGGGTGGAATATCCGGGGTATCGGATGCTGATAGTGTCTGTACGTCGGCTAAGCATCGTCGGTTAGAGGGGACGGTAGCCACCTTTCCAAGGAGGGTTAGATCAGGGAGATAAGAAAGCAAAGGATTGCCTGTTTGGAACCACTGGTATCAAGATATCTCAATCTCCAATACGACGCGAGTCGGTAATAGTCCGGCAGTCTTGGCGTTGCTGCTTGGCGTGGTTGCTTATCGCGGCTTAACCGCATGGTTATTCCGAAGGCATAAAGTGGGGGGTTTGTCCGGTGATAGCGGGTTCCTGCGAGATAAAATCAAAGAGTTCGCTTTGAATTTGTACAATTATCTTATAAACGACACCCGTGGACCCCGATATACATAAATCTGGATCCGAGGCGAATCTGGGAATCCTGTTGCCCGGCCTGGGCGATGAAATTGCCCTGGGAATCAGGGATCAGAATTTGGAGGGCATTTGCAAGTTGGGAGATATAGTGCCAGTAGAGTGTGGAAGGAAGAAACGTAGGATCTCCTGTTGAATAATTGAGCAAATTACAAACGGGCCACTGACAGCTGCCTATTACTACGCAACTGTCACCAACATCAACCCTAAATGACTAGATTATTCAGCTCCTTGCCAACAGTCTTAACCATGGGCTATTTGGTTAGGCGGGGTATCGTACAGAAAGGACCATAGTAATAGCTTCAATATTTCAACTTCCCTGCAATTCATGATTATTTAATATTTTCAGTCGTAAGCATGCAAAGGTATACAAAATCTTGGCGCCCGGTGAGTGCGGGGTCACCTGACTGTTATCGATAAGGGCCGCAAGAATCGAAAGTGGCACTCACTCGTTGCTTGCTTCTTCTCGTCGCTACTTCTCTTGCACACGCTTGGCTTGTCTGGTCGATCAAATTGACAATCATGTCGGCCCTACAGACTTTCCTGCTCGTGGTGGACCACGACAAAGAAGAAGCCAAGCGCATTGCCGACTCCGTGGCCCAAGGTAAGTCACCGCAAATGCACCCCGCATTCGCCCACCCGCATTGCACCGATCTCATGACTCTAACCGAGGCCTTTTCATATAGACCTCGAAAGCAAGAAGATTACCCTAATTGAGATTGTTCAGCAACTTGGTGAATACATCAACGATGAAGACCCAATCCTGCGCGGAAAGGCGGTCTCTTTCCTCACCTCCGTTATCAAGTCCCTCCCGCCCAAATACCTATCACGACAGCAGATACAGGTCTTGACGACATTCTTTTGCGATCGGGTAGAGGATGGGGGTGCAATTGCTGGTCTGGATACACTCCAGCGGTTAGACCGCTTCACTAAGGACTTGGCTATCAATACCGCGCATGCGTATGTTCTTTTGAGCTCCGATTCATACATCCACGGAAATGCGTGATAGGGAGAGTAATGCTGACGTTTGTACAGGCTGTTCTCTAACTTCCAGGATCTCCAATCTCGATCTCAGTCACAGCGATTCCAGGTTTACCAACTGTTGAACGAATTGATGCTGAAGCACCGAAAGGGTGGGTTGAAACGTCTTGTTCAATTGGTGAAGGCTTGACTGACGAATTCCAGCGCTTCGTGACATGGAAGAAATTTCACTTGTTGGTGTGGTAGACATCATGACCGGAGAGAAGGATCCTCGCAATCTGATGGTCGTGTTCTCCATCCTCAAGGTGGTCATGATGGAATGGGACATCTCCCACTACGTCGAGGTACGATCTCTGGACACAGAGCTTAAAATTCACCGCTAATCCACTGCAGCTACTATTCGACTCTGTCTATAATTACTTCCCTATTACTTTCCGGCCTCCACCAAACGATCCCTACGGAATCACCGCGCAAGACCTGAAGGATCGACTACAAGACTGCCTTTCTTCAACGAGTCAACTTGCCCCTCATACCATCCCGGCATTGCTCGACAAGCTGGACTCTACGTCGCCTAACGTTAAGGTATGTATCTACAAATCCAGGCTTTACGGCTGAGCTCTGCGTCTAACTTCCTTCTAGAAAGATGCTCTCAACGCTCTTATTGCTTGTGTGCACTCCTACAACCCCGATACCGTGTCGCGGTATTCCATCACCATATGGGAGGTTTTGAAGTTTGAAATCCTCAATGCTCAAGAAGAGTTCTTGTCCGAGTCATCTCTGGAAGCTCTCCACGGCATTGGACAGCGACTTTCCGAGGGTGTTACAGAAATCTCGCAAGATCTGCCTCTCGCTCAATACCTCCGCCCCATCACCAAGGAGTGCAACGAGCAACTTCAGGAACCCCAACAAAAGCAGGCAAAGCCCGCTCAACAGATCCTCAGTGCGCTCTCATCATCCTCGCCTGTCGCTTTCACACTTATTGTGCAGACGGTCGTCGCTCCTATCTTCACCATCTACCAAGAAGCGGATGGAATCGTCAAGCAAAGGGCCCTTCTCGAAACATTGTCGGTGTTGTTCGAGTCTGCCATTAAGGTCTTTGGGCAATGGACAACTCGAGGTGGTGAAGCGTCTATCGAGAACCCGTTGCTGGAATTCAAGGATCAGTTCTCAGATATTTTCGGCCAGGCCTTGATGGGTTCTGCAAAGGAAGAGGTTTCATTCCGAGTATCCGCACTGAAAGGATTCCTAAGGCTCTCAACTTTGCGAGACTTTTTCCAGGACAACGAAGTTGGCTTGTTTGTCCAGTACTTGGACGAAATTCTTTTGAAGGAAGAGTCAGTCGGCCGGGATGACTTGAAAAAAGAAGCCATTACAGCTCTTGCAGAAATTTCCAAGTACAAGCCTCGTTTGATTATGGACATCACATTCCCTGCCTTTGTCGCCACTCTGCCTGATGAGGACGATGACACCAATACGACATACCTCTCAACCCTGGATACATTGGCCAAAATCAGCGTTGAAAGGGATATCTTCGAGACTCTCTTCCGTCGGCTGTTTAGCAAGCTTTCGGTACTCCTCCAAAAGGAGCAGCCGGGATCTGTGGCGTATCCCCGGGCCATTTTGATGACACTTCTTTACGTGATGGATCAGAGGCAAATGGAATCTGATCCAAATCTTGATTTGTATTTTGATAAAATTGTCGTGGGTCTGTCTCGCAACGTTGCAGAGGCAGCATCTGGGAGGGCGAAGAATCAAATCTTGGCTGATCCTTCCATTTTGGACACTCTCGGACGACTGTGCAATCTTCTTGTGCGATCCTCATCAGCCCAAAAACAACAACAGGTCGCAGAAAACGTGTATAGCTTGTTTGCAACGCCATCGGAATTTTCGCCTGTGCCTTTCTCTCCAGAACACAACCCCCGACCATGAGCGAACTATCATTCTATCAACCTACCTCCTTGCAGGCTTGTCCAAAGACTGCAGTAATAGCCTCCCATATACCTTGCCCAATATGTCCGATCTGCTTTCGGATTTGGTGCGCCGCTCACTCTCCGAAAGCACAGAGCCAGCCACTAGTCTCTCGTTCCTGCGGCACCTGGCATTACTCACCAACAAGTTCCTTTCAAAGCAGGACTTGAATATCGCCGAAAAGCTCTTCGACACATTGGTTTCTCAGGATCCCCAATCTCTCAGTCCGGCCGCCATCCGTACTATTTTCTGGCTCGCCAAGTCACTCGTCCTTCGCATTGCGCCAACTACCACTCATATTCTGACCTCACTCCTGGGACTCCTTTCGTTGCCAAATCAGCAAACCAGCCTCTCTGCCGCACGCGGCTTTGCCATTCTACTCGGTGATGACGATGTGCTTTCTGTAGTGAACGGAGCCCAAGTTCGCCTGTTGGCCAAACAGCGTGTTTTCACCACAGTCATTCCGTTGATTTCGTCTCGTATCCGTGATGTCAATGTTGCCGGTAACGATGATGCCTCTCAGGCTACCAAAACATCTGACCACATCAAGCCCGCTCATTTGACTGCTCTTGCTGGCATCCTGTCTACCATCTCCACAGCTCTGGTCATGCCAGAGCTCCCTCACTCTGCTCCCTCTTCTCCTTCAATCTCTTGATTTGCAGACTGCCGACTCGGTTGCCGTCCGTGCGGCAACTCTGGATACCCTCGCTGTGATCATTCGTGACAATGGCGTTGCGGTTATTGATCAATGCGGACACGTTCACAGCCTCGTCATGAGACTCCTGAAAACGACGGAGATCAAGACGGTATCTGGAGCGGTCAACACCCCTCGTCTTCGCGTGGATGCTCTCAAATGTCTGTACCTGCTCGCCACGAAGCAAATAGTTTCCGAGGCTGCGCCCAACGCTCGTGCTCCGGCATCTATCTCCCCACTTCTTTCCGAAAAGACCCATGTTCTGCGATCTTTGCGCTTTGTCTTGGATGACCCTAAGCGTGACGTCCGTAAGGCGGCCGTCGACGCTTCAAGTGCTTGGCTCCGTGGAGTGGATGATGCGCCAGAGGATGAGGATTAAGCATCGCCAAGTATTCCTTTCTATATATGCCTTGGCGATTTCGTCAAGTAGTATAAAGTTTAGCACGCATCATGACTAGAATAGAAACGCCCATATTCGATACATACAATTTTCGGTCATTTGAAACAGAAACAGTAGTAACAGAACTAGTACTAGTACTACTCGAGGTAGGATGCCTGAGGAATAGGAATTGGATGTCCAGCTATACACAGCCCCGCTACATACATAATCCAATACCAACCTTGGAATAGAACCGAGGAATCCATCCGATCGACTGAGCCGAACAATATAACCAGATATTGATCGTTCAAGTTCTCGGTTTGAAACCCTCCCTCCTCAGACAAAAACTTGAAGTTCTTATTTCGGCCCACACACTTTCTGCGTCCAATCCAGAACACCATCCACCGCAAAATAACCACAAGTAAGATCACCACAGCAATCTGAGCTAATTCCGCAACCACTGCCCACTATGAAATGCAACAATTATTAGTCCTCGATCCTGGTGAACGTTGAATCACAACCATATCCCTCACGTACTTTTAAAACAGCTAGTTTCGGAAATAGGCGCTGCGCTAGTGAAGACAGCGAAAGAACCGAGCAAGAAAAGATTGAGAAACTTCATTGCATCGTATTTTGGTTCGGAGATAACTTTTTTGTATGGTAATTGCGCAGTGTGTTGGAAGTGGTGATTGATTGATTTATCGTCGGGGCTGTGCTGCACTGTGTGTGTAACTAAATGGAAGTGCCGGTTCGTCCCTCCGAAAAGCAGTGAATATCGGAGAATCCGGAAAAATAGAAAAAAGAAAGTGAAGAAAGTCGTCCAGCGAAATCAAAAAATCAACAGTAATGGGGCGAAATGTAAATCGGCGATCAAAAACAAAAAGGAGGGTGGGGGTGTAAATCGACCTGCGATTCAAGAATGGGACTGCAAAATAGCTTCGAGTCTGAGAAGGAAGAAATTCCGGCCCCCGGCGAACGCCCTTGTTATATTTTAAGGTCGCATTTATTATTGCGTCGGCTCTGCCTCCTTGTTGAATTTTGATTGGTTCGTGGGGCTGGGCTGCTAGGGGCGAAGTGTCCCTCGGCGTCGCGTTCTTGTTTCAGAATGAGCACCACCCTTATTACTTTCTGTATACCCCGAACACCGGCTGTTACGGGGGCCGGAAACCATTTGTTCAATGTCTTGAATGTGACTGACGGCCATTTTGAGTCCAGTTTGAAGCGGTTATTAGCCCATAAGCTGGGTGTAGTTTAACATTTACTAGATTGGCGCTTGAGTCGGTCGCTTCGATACAGTTCGTCAAGGTGGCGAGTGTGTGGGGGGGAGGGGGGGGGAGGAGGGAGGATCGCCAACTATTTTTGTGATCTGCCAAGTCCTCCATTCGTGATCTACTCGTACGCAGCTATGGGCTGACGACAGCCCCCGATCACACATTAATCAAGGTTTTCTACTTACCCCAGCCTTCTGTTGCACTGGTGTTTCTGCCCAGTATCTCAATTATTACCACCGAATCCACTATATTGATGCATGGCGCCTGGTAGAAGACGCTAGGAGCAGCAGTTCACCGAAATTAGAATTGACCACATGGGGAACTGCAATTATCTAGAGCTTGTAACGAGGCTCTCCCACGGTATGCAGCTTACTACCAGGTATCAGGGTCTCGTTGAACATAGGTTCTTAGAGTAGGGGCCAAATTCTTCGTAATAGAAGCCCCCAATCCCGTTTGAAGGGACTGAGGCTGAAACAAATGCAATATAATTCGACCAATCACAAGCCGCTAAAAACGTAACGTTTAAAACAGAACTGAAAGCCCACGCGACATTGATTAATTCGGACTAGCAAAATGAGTATTCAATTGCGGGGTTGGGAGCTGCTAAATGGAACAATAGTCCCTTTTTGCTAAATGGACCATGGGCCCTTCTGAATCCAGATTAGTATGTAATCTCTATACAAATTTAGATATACTCAATCTATGTCTACAGTAACACTGCAAAAGTTTCTAACTGCCTATTGTCTACCATTAGTTACTGTCCTCTAAGACCAGACGAGTAGTAATACAGGAAAATATTCCAGGGGCTCTTCAGCATGCCCTGCGATGGCGGACGGTATTCGCCCGTACAGACTCAGTCAGTAACTCCCAGGCTAGTTCCCTCTCTATGACATGCACCTGGCTCTGGAACTCGCTCAATGCTACTCCCACATCATCCTTCGGAAGAGAGTGAATGTGCCTTTCCCTCTCCCTCCTATGATATTCATCATGAATGTGATTGAGTTCCTCCCCGTATACGCAATGCTGATGCACATTTTCCAAGGCCTCGCCTGGGAGGCATCCCTGATCCAATTCTTCCATTTGCTAACTTCCGGCGGATTGACTTGAAAAAAAAAATCCTTTATAACTGGGAATACTACCAGTCAGGAATTACCGCAAAGAAGAGGATGATCAATGCGATTACGTCTTTACATTCGCAAGAGAACGCCACCCCTTTGGATTTGACCATATTATTGCTTGTGCGAAGCTTTTGATCACGGGTGGCGGTCAATTCAAGGCGAGTTGAAGGCGAGTTGAGAAGTTTATGACGAGGGCTTGACTCTGCGGCCACGGAGAGAAATGCGAGGCATAATGGCCATGATATCTTGTCGCTATGACATTCGGGTTTTGCATGAAAAAGTAGAGTCAAAGTGCTCGAATGAACCTCAGGAATCGCATCTTAGTTTTCCATGAATGTCGCTTGGACATGGGTTGTTTCAAAGTTTAGTCGGACTCTTCTGTGTCGTCTTGCGAGACCTATGGATGGAGGCACAAGCAGATCCAGGTCTTCCAAGAAGGCGGCATACCCCCTCCTCCTATTCCCGTGTTTCCATGAATGTATCCAGTGTTTGAGAATGGCGTTCCAATGATGCCCATGATCAGGCGAGAGAAAGCTTCTTCGTAGACGTGCGGTTAATGGAGAGGAGGAAATTCAAAGCAACTTGAACGCAATGAATGTTTTGTTTTGTTTTGTTCGTGTTCCTGGCGTCGCTCTTTCCCTTCACCACCAGTAAATATGAGGGGAGTGAGGAACAGTCGTGCCTGCCTGTAGTAGTGGCGGTTGGGAACTAAGTCGAACTTCGGACGTCCGGGTTAACGGAACCTCGTCACTATTCGCCATTCCAAATCTTCGCGAACAATTCAAATTCTCTTTCTCTTTTTGACCATGGCGGTAATGCTTCTTGCTAAAATCTGGATCAATTGGGGATTGGCACTAACTAATTTATACTAGCCAATCTCCAAGGACCAGGATGGCGAGCACCACGAGGTTCCCCCGTGGACATTATCCAGTACATCATTGAGGCTGTGGTTCAGTTTGGATGGGGTCGAACTATTTTCAGCATTTTCAACATCATGTTTTTCATCCCGTGGGGATTTTTCTTTCAGGGCGAACTACAGCTGCGATGGGACCAACTTCGAGCTAGGTAATAAATACTACATCATCTCAAAGCCTCGTCGTTATTCCTGGATTTACGCTTACTTGAGCCCTGGAGGAATGGAAAAGCTCCAAAACTCGGCTTTGAGTCTGCATTTGCCATGGATCTGGAGACTTCCGACTTCCATCTCTTCACCAGGTCATGAACCACGGGCGTACTCGAGCTGAGAAGCGCCAGAAGGATGCAGAGACCATGAACGGAGATCAGGACATGAAGAAGCTCTAGTGGTAAATCAAAATCGCAGACTAATCATCCTGAAAGCTACTGACAGTTAATTTTAAGTAATACCGATAATTTTCCAGTATTCTGTTGTTTGTTTTACGACTTGAACGAGAGCCGCCTTGGGATCATTTAGACTTTCCTAAAATACTGCGCGCCAGTTTCGACTACCTGCATCTTTCAGGCGGATGTCATAGATGAAAATAGTCTCAAATTGACTTCTGGCGGGGAAGAAGAAGAAAAGGGAAATTATATGGCTCGGTTGTAACCGTGGAACTGAATTGTACTAGATGCTCCCCATCCCCACTATTTACTAATTTAGGAAGTTATCGTGAGTGGGGCGGCATTTTATAACAACCGAGATCTGCTGGACATGATCTTTCCAACTTCGACTTTAGATTGGTCAGGCTAGAGAAATTTTTGCATCGGAATTGCCATTGACTCATTTTGCAATACTCTAATCTTTGACCGCTTGAGGCTAAGTCAACACCCTATAAAGAGCGCTTCGCCCTTGATTTGAGTTGAGAATATTTACCACTATACGCTCAGGTCAACGGCTGACTATACAACTCCGAGTCCGTTAATTTCGATTCAAATCAGTTCGAACAATTTTATTTATTTTACTTTGTCTACAAACTATGGCAAACAAAATGGTTGCCGAGAAGCTACTCCAAGCAGCACATGTGGCTCCTGAAATTTTCGAACTACGACCGGACTATAGAGCTCTCTTGCTGATTGTGGAGGGCATTCCTCAGGGCCCTAGCGATGAGACTAGCGAGAAGGTCCTCCAGGCAGCAGAGAGTCATGTCAAGGAAATGGTAGCCGGCACTCCTATCACCGAGTTCCCCCATATCGCTGCGTGGAGAGAAGCCTACAAAGGCTTCGGAGCCAAGCCGAACAAGACACGAAATAGTCTGGAGGCCCTGACTCGTCGCGCTGAAAATGGCTTACCACGTATCAACCGATTGACGGATATCTACAATGGTATTTCTGTCAAATATCAGATCCCTTTTGGTGGCGAGGATTTGGATAAATACGACGGATCCGCATTTCTGCTCCGCGCCACCGGCAAAGAATCTTTTCAAACCTTCTCTGGCGGAGAGCCTCAAACAGAGCTCGCTACGGCTGGAGAACCCATCTGGTGTGATAACACAGGCATCACTTGCCGGCGCTGGAACTGGCGGCAAGGCCCTCGGACAGCGTTGACAGATGACACTACGCGGGTGTTGTTCATTCTCGACGCGTTGAAACCACTTTCGGACGATACTTTGATCCAAGCTGCAGATGAGCTTGTAGCTTTGTTAAAAAGTCTTTCTCCGGAGGTTCAAACATCTAGACGCCTTATTGGCCCTTCGACATGAGTCCTTTCATTATTTTTCTGTGGCGTGTTATTTCTGTTCGGTCTCAAAATGTGTTTTTCTATTTTCTTACCATAGAATAGACTTGGAACTGTATACCAGAAGCTTCACGGCGCTCCATTAGCGCAGGGTCGTCAGTAGTTGTATACAGAGGTATTTTACAGTGGTGTTGCAAAAGTTTCCAACCCCCTATTGCCTACTATTTTTTACCACCTTCTAATGGCATACTAGTAGCTACTTACAGTCATTCTCGAAATCGGCTTGACCAATACACACTCAATCACTCTTTTCTGGCCCCACTGCCAAGACCTTAGCGCAGATCAATCATTAAGCTGCCCGCAGTGAATTGAGGACCACCGTAAAATGCAGTTTGAACGGTATTGTAAATTGGTGATGGGTGTAGAATATGTGCCTGACCCACTGCAGTATCCAGGACTGTCGATAGTACGCTGTGGACTCTCCGGCTGCTCTAAAGAGTAGGAAGGGGCGATTAATCAGTCAGCCATGACCTAACGTAATTCCTGGCCGTCCTGGCCACCCCAAAACACATACAAGATGCTGACTATTGATTCCTCTATATTTCAACCACCAGAGATTCATTTCTGTCAAAAATTTAGCATATGCATTTCTCGGGGTATATAAAGAGCATATCTAGATTTTAGACCTTTCAGGCTATTATTTCGATACTTTACCATAAAATGCAGCGTAATTTTGACGTTTTAGACTTGAACCCGTATATCTCTACTAATTCTTAAAGCAATTTTCCTATACCGTACTAGTAGGTTAGAAACAGTACTTAAATTGTATACGTTTAATATCTTATCCTAAATAGATATATTTGTGGAGATATGAAGTTGTAATTTATCGTATTTGGTATGGTGTTTTGGGGTGGCCAGGACGGCCGGGTGGCCAGATCGGCCGGGAATTACGTTAACTATAGTCGGATTTCCTGATTTATCTCAAGAAGGACAAAAATTAGCTGTGATAGATCCCTGGTCATTTCCAATTTCGAGTTTTATCGTTATTGCCGCAGAATAATAACGAATCTATAGTCAAGGGAAAGTGCCTTTCGTGTAGTTTATAAGAAATTATCTGCTTTTCAGTCGAAAGAGTTGAAGGAGAGGGTATATTTTTAGGTTGGCGATCAGGCAACCTTTATAGCGCCAAGAGGAATGGATTGAGGCTGACCCATGGAATATTTTGTTGGTCCTGTGGAGGTCACATTAGTCCCTAGGAACGGATCGATTCCGAGCCAGAATACCCAGATCACACAGAAGAAACGATAGTTATATAGCCAGCTCCCTATACAGGGCCGGTCAGAATCACCTTTATTATGCTTATACATTTTTGAATTTGAAAAAAAGTCTTGGCCAGACCTGCAATTTCCTATATAAAGTCTAGCCTTTGTGAAGTCATTGAATGTGATGACAGCCAAGATCAAGGGGCTACCATAATCTAGACACCGCCGGTATAATACGTCTTCAAGAATGTTCAACCAAATGAACCAAGCAAGGGAAACGATAGAAGCTAATCCAGAGCGGCCCCGAATATATCTCTTGTTTATGAAATAAGATAGATCTAATATTGAAGGATATGGATTCTTCGGGTTGACTAGTCACCCTGTTTTGGTCAATCCACACAAGTCGCAAGCAAGACGCTCACGTTACTATCGGCGGTATTCGCAGACACGATATCGAGAAGGCCATCTCCGTTGAAGTCACCCACTGCAACACTAAGTGGATCGTTCTCTACAGCGAAGGTGGCCTGTGTCTGGAAGCTCCCTAATCCAGTCCCGAGCAAGACGCTCACTGTGCTATCGGCGGAATTCGAAGTCACGATATCCAGATGGCCATCTCCGTTGAAGTCGCCCACTGCAACACCAAATGGAGCAGACCCTACAGCGAAGGTAGTCTGTGTCTGGAAGCTCCCTGATACAGTCCCGAGCAAGACGCTCACTGTGCTATCGACGTCATTCGCAGTCACAATATCGAGATAACCATCTCCGTTGAAGTCGCCCACTGCAACACCAAATGGAGCAGACCCCACAGCGAAGGTGGCCTGTGTCTGGAAGCTCCCTGATCCAGTCCCGAGCAGGACACTCACTGTGTTATCGCGGAAATTCGCAGTTACAATATCCAGATGGCCATCTCTATTGAAGTCGCCCACTGCAACAACAGATGGAGCAGACCCTACAGCGAAGGTGGTCTGCGCCTGGAAGCTTCCTGATCCAGTCCCGAGTAAGACACTCACTGTATTATCGTTGCTATTCGTAGTCACGATATCCAGATGGCCATCTCCGTTGAAGTCGCCCACTGCAACACCAAATGGAGCAGACCCTACAGGGAAGGTGGTCTGCGCCTGGAAGCTCCCTGATCCAGTCCCGAGCAAGACGCTCACTGTTTTATCGTTGCCGTTCGTAGTGACAATATCCAGGTGGCTATCTCTGTTGAAGTCGCCCACTGCAACACTAAATGGTTCAGACCCCACAGCGAAGGTGGTCTGCGCCTGGAAACTTCCTGATCCAGTCCCGAGCAAGACGCTCACTGTATTATCGCCGCCATTCGTAGTGACGATATCCAGATGGCCATCTTTATTGAAGTCGCCCACTGCAACACTAAATGGTTCAGACCCCACAGCGAAGGTGGCCTGCGTCTGGAAGCTTCCTGATCCAGTGCATCTACAGGAGCCTGATGAACAAGTCGATCCAGATGGGCACTATAGAGACGCAGGAATTAATCAGATTAGCCATAAGAACAATGACACAACGGTAAACCTATAAGCATAAATGTTAGGGACAACTCACACTGTTTCCACAAGTACCACAATTACTAGGAGTGTTCTGGAGGTTGGTACAGACTCCATTGCAACAGGTCAGACCGGACGCGCACTGTCGAGCACTCTTTAGTTATTGTTATTGTCACAAATATGTTGTCTACAGGCATCTTACACATTGCCCATTACAAATAGAAGAAGCATCACATGGTGTACAGACACATCCCCTATCTCATATCAGCTTTCAATGGCTCTGCAGTCTTGGAGTCTTAGATAATCAGAGATAGAGACTCACGGCGTAGTTTGTCCAAGCAGAAGTCCAAGTAAACTGGGAGATCCACTACCGTTGTCGCAGGATCCAGATTGATTCCCTGATTTTCGACACTGTGGTAATCATTATATTAGTATTCATACAACCTCGTCAGTCATTTCCGTGTCCTACCTGAGCGTCACAAGTGGCCGGGTCGCAACTCCCCCCGCTCCCACCCCCAACCCCGACCCCGATCTCCCCAATATCGCCACCCCCAGTATCAATGTTAATCCCGCCACCATTCCCATTTCCAATACTGTTACCCCCATGGGAAACCTCACCCCCACCGTTAGGGCTACCCCACCTTCTCAGAGCATCTTCTCCGGAGAGCGCAGTAACAGCAGCGCAGCATAAGATGGTGCGAAGAGCGAAACGCATCTTTAAACAAGCGTTCGCTTAAGATGAAAGAAATTTAGTTGTCAACCTGTCGTACTGCTCGTACGGGATCAATTGTGTCCTACCCCAGTAGAGGGTGTTATAAGAAGTCCGCTCACGTTCATTAATTAACCCCTTAGGTTTTGTTATTATAAATAAGCACTTGGATGTTTTGCTTGGAATGTGACAATCATTCTCTCTCTCTCTCTCTCTCTATTACACCACATAGAACTGGGGAGGCTTACAGAATGCGCCTAGATTCCGAGGCTGGGAGTATGTACGGGGCGACCAATCAGATCCCGTAGTACTCTGTTCAGATTGCCGGAAAGTTTTTCTGGAATTCATTTTGCGCGAAATAGTCTACATACGCCAAACCCCTTACGGGCTGAAGGAAGAAAGGGTCACTGATTTATTCTATAGCATTCTTAGGAATATATTTAAGTCTTCTACATTTAAAAAAATTTTAGACCATCAATGAAAGAACGTATGCAGTCTACATATTTAACGCTATAGCTTAGATTATAAGTCTTAAAGTTTCTTTATTATAACGAACAGCAAGACGACATCATCTTTCCTACTAACAACCTGTTATTACGTATTCAAAGGTTCAAGCAAACAAGTTTACAAATAATCGTTTTACTCTTCTCACACTTTTGAGCTGTACTCTTATCACTGTGCTCCCTAGAGAGGATACTACAGAAATGTGGAGTGTTCAAGGGACCAAAGAAAACAAAATCGCTAAAGTGGTATCGGTTTTTAATTGGAAGAAGTAATCAAGTCCAGGAAAATTGCCTACAATAGTACTGCGAGCATAACACACCGTTAAGGCAACGCCTATAGAAGAGCCCACAGAAAAACCCCACATGGAAAAACGTAGGTAAGTTGTCTGGCCGCTTTGTCTGGTGCGCAGGAATCCGCTATAGAATTCCACGGAGGTCCTTCGAGTCCATCTTCTCAAGATGGATTATAGGATTTTCCGAGGGTACTGTAAATCACATACTGTAACAAAGCAGCACATTCATTCACACCCCTCATCTTTTAAGGCTAGCTCAATAATAAATATGCGCTAAGGCCTTGGCAGTGGGGCCAGAAAATCGATTCTCAGTGTGTATTAGTCAAGGCGATTTCGAGAAGACTGTAAGATGGAATAGAGTAGCTAATCTATTTTATCTTAGGTGGCTACTAGTTCGCCTTCGGAAGGCGGAGACCAGGCCGGTCAACAAGGGCTTGGAAACCTTTATAACACCACTCTACAATACCTCCGTATAAAACTACTGACCACCTTGCGTCTATGGAGCGCCGTAAAGCTTCAAAACAAAATTCAAGTTAATATTTTTTTTCCAAGTTGCCTACTCTGAAATTAGTATATTAGGAAACATCAAATTGCAACCTAATAGTTCATGCTATAATAATATCAGTTGGACGCTCATCAAAGTGAGTATCACTGGAGATGTCACTTACTTTATGAGAACTGTCTTTGGCTCACTGTAGCTTCGGAGAGCATAGTGACTCATCTCTCTTCCGATTCCAGACTGCTTAGACCCTCCGAAAGGAGTCTGTAAGCTGATTGTGCTGACACAGTTGATTCCAACAACTCCACTATCCAATTCCGAGGAAATTCGCATGGCGCGGTTGATATCCTGGGTGAAAACACCAGCCATCAGACCATATTCAGTATCATTAGCAAGACGCAAAAATTCCTCTTCATCCTTGAATGTACTAATGCATGCCACTGGTCCGAAGATTTCCTCATTATATACCTGAGCATCTTTCTCCGGGTTATAGAAGACGGTTGGTTCCCAGTAGCACCCTTTGTCGCCGTGCTGCTTTCCACCAACCAATATTTTTGTCTTTCCTGCGTCTCGTTGGAAGAACGATGATACCCGGGATAGTTGAATTTTATCCGCAAGAGGGGCAAGCTCGTTTTGCTTCTGTGACATCCCCTTGGTAAACGCTTCGACGAATTTATCTGCGATGCTTTCCTGCACATAGACTCGACTCGCCGCGAAGCATGCCTGACCGGTATTTTGAGTGATGGCAAATACAGACCACCAGACCGCATTATCGAAGTTGCAGTCTTCAAAAATACCAGAGGGGGACTTCCCACCCAGCTCAAGTGTTACTCGCTTAAGATTGCTCTTCGCGGCAGCTTCTTGGATCTTTTTCCCTGTGGAAATTGAGCCGGTGAAGCTGACCTTTCTCACTCTCATGTGGTTTGCAAGCATAGCCCCGGTTGCTCCGGCACCAGACAAGCTCTGGAATACGCCCGGTGGGAGAATACCGCTCTCGGAGGCCAGAAATGCGAGACGGTTTGACGCCAATGGCGTTTTCTCACTCGGCTTCAGAATGATGACGTTTCCCATTGCCAAAGCAGGGCCGAGCTTCATAGCCATGATTGCGAGAGGTCCGTTCCAGGGATTGATCCCGACACAGACACCCAGCGGCTCTTGTCGCACGATTTTGACGAAACCGTCCTCGCCGGGGTACGACTCGCCAGGGTATTTGTCGGCCCAGCCAGCATAGTCTGCAAATAGTCAACTTTGCTACATTCTAGGACGACAAGGTATCTGACACGTACAGCTTAGAATCGACGCGGCAAACTCGGCTTCTCCGGTGGCTGCAGCCTGGCTCTTTCCGATAGAAGTCCCATCCAAATACCCCAGCTCCTCTTTGTGCTCCAAAATCAAAGCGGATAGTTTTACAAGTGCTTCTCCTCTTTGGGTAGCTGTGAATTTTCGCCAAGGTCCCTTGAAGGCCGCCTCTGCTGCTTCAACTGCGGCATCCACATCTTCGGCTGCTGCATATTGAACTTGGTCGCAGAACAACGAGTCATCCACTGGGTTGAAAAGAGAGTATCTCTCGGATGAGTGGCTATCCACCAACTTTCAATGCACGTCAGTATTATGGCATTTCCGGGAGACGTCAATATTCATGTTTCTCACCTTTCCGTTGATGCACAACTGCGTAGAGAGAGGGATATTTGTTTCCGGTCATGTTGAAAGGCAGGCTCGACAATCAATTTCGAGTTGAATATGTGACAGGTCTAAGTCAAACTCATTTTATAAGTTAGTTTATGCATGCCTATGAGCATTACGAATAATAACTGTACTTTTCTCTCTTTCGGGTGGCTGCGCGAGCCAAGAAGAGGGGATGATGCAGCATTCGAGGTGATGTGCCCACTAAACCTGCAATGCACAGCACATGCTTACATGGGCCTAACATTTGCTCCACATGAAATGCGCCTAGCGGGGTTAAGACCTTAAGTCCTCTTTTTTTAAGTGTGCTGTTAGCCTAGCGTTTGACTTTCCACGATATTGATCGTTCAAATCAAAAGGCGCTCCGGGCTTGACATGTCTAGTCTTCAACATAACAACAATTGCTACACAGTTCACAACTTTCCGTCAGAAAAAAAACGTCTCTTGGAAGCTCAAGTCTCTTTTTCGGAGACTTTCACCCCCGCAGCCTGCTCTAAGCCTGGTCTGATCACCCAAAGTGGAGCCAGCATATACAAAGCGGGGGCGCCATCTCATTCTTCCTCATCCATTGGATTGCAGTCCCTAGGGATCTGCTAACATGATTCAGGTTTGACATTTTTGTAGCACAAAATATGAATGCACGCATATACTTAGGCTAGGAATAGAAGTTGTACCAAGCCCCGAAACTGGAGTATCCGCACTTGGCGTATCTTTTGAATACGACACTGGTGCATACGCCGCTTCTATATACGCATCTTGTGAATACGCATGTCATCAATGCGCACTCTTTCCATACTTTATTCCAAATACGCTTCTCCAGGGTTATTCTAATCAAAAATTGTTGACAAATAAAATTATCTTCATAAGTTCTCTAGAAGAATTTCCAAATCTCAGCCTTTCCAAAAGCAATTCATGATTCTGCACTTCCATTTGCCCTCGAATCTGCAGTTATAACATCGGCAGGAGTCTGCTGTTCCGGAGAAGCCTTCACATAAGTGAACTTCGACCCAATTATCGGAGCGTCATCTTCATTGCGGACATACTGCGCTAAGTCCGCATCAGGGGTCATTTCAATTTTCGTCATCCCATTCCCGAGATAATCAAAGCGGTTCCCGAAATAGCGGACTTTGAAATCATCGTATCGCACATTCTTCAAGACTTCAACGTAGTGAATTGTACTTCCCGGCCACAGTGCCACGATTTTGCCATCGGCTGTATTACCCTTATACCAGGATCGACATTCCTGGTCCCAGACTGTTTGCTTCATATACTGATCTTTGAATTCGATGAAATCATCCACTGCTTCTTTGGTCACTTCGATTGATTTGATGCCTTGCTGTTGGATTCTGGTTATGTGCTGGCAGATGTAGTCGGCTTGTGCTGTTACAAGGTTAGTAAATCATTTTCTGTATGCTCAAGTGTTCTTTTACCTTCGATGCCAATAAGGACTGGTCCGTTTCCAATTGGACTATTTGGTCCAAGAAACATGTAGTAGTTCGGATAACCAGGAGCCGCGACGCCTAGATAACTTCGAGGCTCATCTTTCCAGTCCTCTGCAAGTTGGCGCCCATGAGAGCCGACCAAGGGGAATCGTGGCTTGAAGGTAGTATCAAATCCAGTCTATGGAGTCAGTTAGGAACACTTCACTGGTGTGAATCTTTGGAAGGTATAGATGTCTTACCGCACAAACTAGAACATCGACTGCATGTTCTTCCCCTTCTTCGGTTACACAACCCTCCGGTGAAATTCTCGCGATCCCACCATAAATGACTGTCGTTTTCTCATCCGTGAGCGACTCTAGATATCCCACTCCGGGCGTGATACGTCGACATCCCACAGCCCACTTCGGAATCAATTGATCACCAAGCTCAGGGTCTTTTAAAACACCCTGCATAGAGGTGCTGAAGCTTTCACGCGACCGCTGCTGCGTTGGAGAGTCGGCAAGAAAGAGGGGGAAGATTCTGTTCATATTCTGCTCGATCCCTCGACGAAATTTGAGCAGTGTGCTTGGATCTTTGGCAAACTTCTCCTTCTCATTCTCCTCAAATTTCCGTGGTTCGAATCCTGCGACACCAGAGACAATCCACGATGGCTCACGAATGAAGGTGGTTAATTTGGATACCTGCGGAAGAATGGCAGGTAGAATTTGGATCCCGGATGAGCTATCCCAGATTATGTCTTAGTGAATGAGTTTCCTTCTCACACAATAACCAGGGAAATCAAAGATGCTTCAGCATACCCATTCCCTATCAATCCCACATGCTTGCCAGTAAGGTCGAGATCTTGATCCCACGCCGCACTGTGAACAAGCTTGCCTTTGAAATCGTGCAGGCCTGGGATCGCAGGCCACCTCCAGGCATTCAAAACACCACTCGCATTAACAAGGACATCACATGAATCATTCAAAACAACACCGTTGACAATATCTCGAATCTCGACATTCCACTTACCAGCCCTGTCATCCCACTTGGCTCCAACAACCTGATGCGAAACCTTGGTCTTCTCGCCCAGATTACTCCGGAACTGAAACCTCTTGAAATAATCGTATATTTCGGTACTTGGGGCGTATGTGCTCGACCATGTCGGATTAGGATCAAAAGACCAGACATACGTGTGAGACGGATTATCGCACGCGCACCCGGGATACCGATTTTCATACCAGGTCCCGCCGACATCGGGGTTCTTCTCGTATATTTGGAAGTAAATGTCGTCGAAGTTGCGCTGGAGCTTGTAGCCCATTAATAGGCCACTAGCACCTGCTCCGATAATAATGACTCGCAGCGGTCGGTTTGAGTTGAGGGGATTCCCCGCCATGACTGAACGAGGGTCGAAGTGGAGGGAAGATGAAAGCAAAATTGACGCCTCGAGTCTCTCTGTTTGTCACTCTGTGTGCTCGTGGGACATTTACATTAAGTATCAATTAAATTGGCACGCCTTGCAGTTTTCATTCATTTTCTCGATCACCCCGCTCGCGCTCCTACTCCCACGCCCATTCTGATGCATGAAAAATGACTGGTCGAGTACGAAGCGCCCGGGGTGCTTGACCCATCCCTCAAACAACAGCACTGCCAATGAAGACTAAAGGTTACACGGATAGCGGCATCCAGTAAGCGGGCACTTGTGCTTGCCTTCCCTTCTTTCTCTAATTGATCTCATTTGTCCAAGTCATGCATGTATCGACTCATTCACTGTTCCACCAATTATCAAGCTGTGATGCCGTTTGGGCGAAGACAAAGACGGGCCCATGTACTTTATTTGGGATAAGATTTACCTGAGCTGTGCTCCAAGTTACAGGTGGAGGTCCGAGCTATCTCCTCCCACCTCGGTTAGATAGCACACGAATCAGGGTTGTGCATGGCAAGGTGTGTGCTGCAAGATCTCATTATTAAGGCCCCCAGGATAAGGGGGGTCCAGCTCATGCCCAGGAGAGGCCATAGCAATGACGATCTACTTTTTTCCCACTTTTCCTCCTCTTTGCGTGGCTGGTGGGTTATGTTTTTATTCATATATGCGGACATACGTGCGGAGTACTATGCTGTATCAACTTCCAACGCGATAGCGACAGCTCCCGAGGCAGGTTTGAACAGCCAGCTTGAATCACCGTTGGTGTAATTTCGAATGACAAATATCGAGTTCCCGAGACAAACTTTTATCATTTCTTTACTTCAAACTGCATCCTCTTTGATTAATAAGAAACCGTAATTGGATCTCCCATGTCTCAATGGCCTGGCAGGTGTGGAAAGCCGAAGGATGGTCTATTCGCCACTTTCTGCTTCCTCCGCCCTTCTCTTGTATTATTTACACTGATCGAGTTCATGGTTCTTCATCTTTCTCGAGCTGGTTGGAGCAAGCTAGTGTTGTAGATTGTAGTAAGACTTTGGTCAAAAATCTGGAAATCAAGTTCAGCTACAACCGGCAAAGGATCTACGAACATTCAACCCAACCAACCGTAGATTGGTTCCTCTTCATATGTCAGAGACCCCGTCATGCGAACGGAAGCAATCCAGCGAGCTTCGATAACCGCCGGTTTCCATCAAAAGCCTGCAGTCGTGTCTTAACCGAATCAAACGGCATGGTGGTATAAACGGTAGCCACGAGCTGGGCATGGATTCTTAGGAGCTCCCATCTTCCTCTGTATGACTGGAACGTCGCAAGGCGATAAGTAGGTAAAAATCTAAGTGTTGTGGTCGGGGTGTCTTTAAAGGTCTTCATGCGGCACTGGTAGGCGATGCCGGTTACTACAAAACAGAATCTGAATGCACCAATTTTGAAGTGAGGCGTTGTGTCCAACATGATGGCGTTTATTTTATTGAGCTATTCTGAGGTGAATGACATGTCCCTAAGAGTTGGAAAGTAGTGGATCAAGTTAACCCAGATATTTGCATGTTGCGTAACGTAATTGGAGTCCTTGGGGTTGAAGGATCCAAGATTGAAGGGAACAAAGTGAGCAGCTTCAAGATTTCAACGGTTTGGAACCCTCTGGAAGAGTTCATTTAGTTCAGTTAACCGCGCATTATTTCTCCAAAAACAAAAGGAGGAACCTCATGTTCCTAGGGCTAGCATCGAAATGCAAAAGCGGCCTATCGACGAGGGAAGACTGCAATGCCAATGCCCTCTCCTTCCCGGACAAAGAACACCCCGCAGCGCCCAAATAGCCGAACGCTCCTCATTTCGCCCATGAATAGACAATGCCCACAGCAGATTCTGCAGCTTCCACGCATGTATTTACATACTTATTCCAAATTTCAGGGTGTACGCACAATGGTAGAGTAAGTGGTGAAGTAAGAGGTGGAGAGGCTTGAAGGCCAGACATGCGATATATGCATACGGCAGAACACGCTTGTTCCTGGCGAGCACAGAGCCTTGCCAACCGGTATTGCGACCCAAACCATGCAGTTGCAATAATTGCCGCAACAAGAGCCCCTGCACTACCATCGCCGCACAATAGCACTCGGAAAATTCTTGACAGATTGCCTGTTCGAACCGCATACTGGAGTTAGTAGCTGACCGGGGAAACCACTCGGGAATCAAGCAGAGAAGGGCTGAAGAGATCACAGACCAGATGTATTATGAGAACCACCACGGGGTAGGTACATGGGCAGGACCACCAATCGTTCCCGACGGCCAGCATAATCCTTCCCAAGCCCCCAAGTGATCTAGCATATCTCCTCGAACTTGGTGTTATGATGCACTACCGCCTCGACATTTTCTGCAACCCAGGAGCTCTCCGGGTTCCGATTGTAATGGGGGAATATTGGTGGAGGAAACTTGAAGCGAGGATGTTTTTGTTTTTGTCTTGGGCGCCGCGCACCTTCTCTCCAGGCTGCAATTATACTATGCATTATGTAATGCATGAGTCACCTACTGACAGTTTGGAAGGAAGGAACTATAGCTTAGCATGCTGTATTATATCGTTTAAGGAAGGAGCGATAGTCCTGATTGGGAGGTACTACTAGTACTATATAGGGTTGGTGACATATTGAACGATATTTTCAATGTTTGCGGAAATAGCCGGGGCTACTAAATCATGTCCTTGTCGAGGTTTCGCAATGGATATAATTTCATTGTATATGCGGAGAAGCTTAACGCGTTCAATGAATACAAACGCGGAGCTGTTCACAGGGAAGGATGGATCGAAACTCTCCGGGATCAAATTCAAAGTCGAGTCCTGTGCGAAGTCATCAAAAGTGGGTGGGTTGATTTGGCCTTCCGAAACGGTGATTTGAGATCGACTTTTCGCATCGATATTTGAGAGGCAACATTGAGTGTAACAAGACCACCAAAGCCTTCTTCGGAGCCGTTGCTCTCTCTGAGGGCCAGTTGCGGGCTCAAAATTGAGTTTGATAGATACAGCAGTCAAATATGCCATCCATATCCAATGGAAGCTATCACCTGCGCTTAAGTCTTTGTCGTGAAAGCCGAGGAACAGTAGACCCTGTACGAAGGAGTATTTGTCCCCCTCCCATCGAAACCTGTAAAGTGTCTACCTTTAGTCAGTTTCTTCCGGGATGGGTCAAAAGACCGGAACCATGACCTGCATAGCTGGAAGCTTACTTCAGCCTTTTCAAAAAACCCCCTCGATGACTGGTCCAAAGAGTCCATGCCATATTGCCTGGCGAAATTTGAATCAACAAATTTGATGGCAATAGCGAAGAATGCTATCAGCATAAACCAGTTGGAAAAGCAAGAGAGTTTGTCTTCAGATCCACCTATTACAGCAAGGTCTCGGGCGTCCAGGACTGGAAGAATGCCATAGAGGTAACGTATATAGGCGCGAATCATTTCACGCCTAAGCTCAAGACGAGGCATGTAGAAAACGCCTTTACCTTTCAGTACAGCAAATTCATGGTGCGAAATATAGTTTGGCTTTGTAGGATAAGTACAGATGCTTTTCCTTTTTTCTCTGGCTCGAAGATCATGATTATTAGTGGACTTTTCGAGACTCGATGTGCCAATGCCTAGTGATGTATCCTTGCGAGCTTGGCTCCGATGTACTGCACGGTTTAATCTTTTCACGTCGGCTTTACCGCGTGGGAAAAAGCATTTCGCCCCGTCCAATGTGCAATTTGTGCAGCCGTTTGTCCGAAATACACCATCGCAGCGTACTCTTCGTAAATGGCAAGATTGGCAGGCGATTGGAGCCCGCCCGCGTCTAGGCTTCAGATTATTGATCGGACCAGGTAGTATATCCTCAAGATTTTCTCGATTAGATGCAGTTGCGTTTTCGGAATCTGACATACTGAGAGTGTTTGAGAGGCCACGATCATTTCAATTATTTTTGGGCAAGCTTTAAATACAGCTATAAACATACCGATACTACTATCGGCCCTGACTCGAGGCTCTGACTAAGTGACTTCCACTTGTGCTCGAGCTACTCCACGTAAGATCTCGGTGTTGCCACATTAGTCAATCTTAAAGAAGGCAATGTTAAATGATATTACTGCTTGGTTCGTATCACAAAGTGGTTTCTTTGCTTACTCTAGTATCTTTACAGTACACATACCTGAGCAACAGATACGGACGACAAGCCGCACGTAAACAATGATCATGGGTCTCTTTCCAAGAAAAAATGAGCTTGAATCTCTGCTATTGGGTAAAAGTATTTCACACTGACCAATAAAACTAATGAAATCTGCCTTATTCAAAAACTGTTCTTACGATGTGAGCTTAGTTTTAGGTATCAGCTGCCTTACTCTGCTTATTCCACCCGTGAATATGAGCTACCTCAACATTGTCTCATAGGTCTCCTAATTCTGAGGTATATGAGAAAAGAAATTAATCTTGCTGGAAAATTGCTTATAAAGTAATTCACATTCCATTTACCTCGCCCTTGTTTAATTTGCCTAGACTCTAAGATACCACTCATAGTTCGAGTCAGCTTTACGAGTCATCTTCATTTACGACGTTAATATCGTAAGGCATCACCTACTGTGATCTTTAATTATAAAAAGAAACAGCCCACAAATAGGGTGCCCTGGCTTTTTGTCTGGGAACTCAACTAGGCTAAGAGGCCTGTCGACTCTGTTTGGCCGCTGTTTTGTTAAGGCTAGCCATAAACTTTGAGTGACGAGAAACCCACAAAGAGAAAAGAACTTGAGATATTCTCATAAATTAGTATATAGTCACCAGGTAAAGGATATTGGAAAATAAAGGTCAATCGGTCAGGCTATATCCAATTCAAAGGGGCTAAAAATAAAAATAAAAATAAAAAAGCGATCTATACTGTATTTTCCACATAACAACCTCGTAACATCCATCAATCCGTTTTTCTTTTCTCAAAAATGAATTAGTAACAATCAATGTCAAATGCCTAAGAAGACGCCTCAAGGGTGCCGGGACGCTCAGTGGCCGCGGCGGGCTTGACGTCGTCCACGCGCTTGTTTTGGATAAGACGCTGTGTAAAGCATTAGCAAAAATTGACAATCATAGAATATAAATATGAGAGACAGGGGATTCCAAGCTCACCAGCAGATTACGGAGGAGGACGACAATGGTCACCTTTCCGATGGAGGGGACGAAGATGGACGCCTTGTCGCGGACTTCGTGGGGGAAGTTCTAGCGGGATATAAATTAGTATCTTTCGGGAAGCCTTCCAAATTAAAGGGAAGAAAGGAAAGAAAGAAGACCAACCTTCTCACTGGAGAAGTTAACGCAAACAGCACCCTCCCGCAACAAGCTAGTATCAAACTTATACTTATCACCAGGAACACCGGAGATAACAACATCACAAAGCGGCGCAACATCCTTAAGAGTGGCACCCTCCATCTCATGAATCTCATGACGCTTCTTCTTCAACCCCTCACCACGGGTAAACTTCTGCACACCGGTGATATCAACGCTATAAACGCAAGCACCGTCATTAGCCAGCAGTGCCGCCAGAGGCCGACCCACGACCTCGGACCGGTTAACCACGCAAATCGTGTGGCCGAAGAGTCTGTTGCCGTAGGGCAGGATGGTGTTGTAGATGTTCAGGTATTCCAGGATCTTGACGATGGCGAGGGGCGTGCAGGGAAGCACGCATTTCTGGCGCTTGGTTTCCTGGTCTAGGAAGCGGATATTTTGGTACATGTTGAAGATGTAGCGATGGCTGAGACCTTCGACGTCTTTCTGCACGTCGACGATTTGTTGCAGGTATTGGTCTTGGCGGTTGTTGAAGATTGGGTAGTAGACGATTATGCCGTCGACGGCGTTGTCGTTGTTGGCGGCTAGGATTGACTCTTCGATGTCGTCGCGGGTTACTTCGCGAAGGGAGTAGGCGAATCCACTGTTTTGTTATCATGTTTAGTATAGTGCTTGAGGGGGGGAAGTTGGGTTCTTTTTTTTCTTTTTCGGACGAAGTCGCGATTGCGATGGAGGGGTACTATGATTCATAGCTGGAGAATCTACCCCACCACAACGACCTTTGACAAGACCATTGAGAGCCAAAAGCGGGGTTATGTTAGGGATACTCACTGTTCCTCGCACGTCTTCTGTGTCCATTGCGCATACATCAGCGCGGCGGGGTCATCGTTGGCCAGGAAGCCGACCAGGTGCGGCGGCTTGTCGAGAGTCTTGATGCCTTCTTGCACCTCACCAAGCAGGCCATTGGCCACATTCTTGGACAGCATGACCTTGCATGAGGAAGGGGCGGCAGTTTGAGGAGCCGACATGACGACGAGAATGGTATGAGAGGGCGGAAAATAGAGGGGAGGCCTTTGAAACGCTGGTGGTTCTCGCGATGGGATGTCCTAGGGTGTCGAGGGGAAAAAAGATTGTTCGCTTATCGATAAGAAGTGCCGCTTTCGGCCCAGCAAAAGTTGCTCACTGCCGATGCGTGTCCACAGTGTAAATGCAGGTTTAACTAGTGTATGAGTAGTGGAGCGAATAATACAGAGTAGAGTAGAGTACAGGATAGTCTGGTTCAACTAAGTATTGCTCATGGTGGACTATGTAGAACCCGCAGGGAGAGATGGGACGCCTCGCCGATGTCGCCCGTGTCCACCAGTACTCTACACTATAGTTGTCCATACTACAGTTGTCTACTTTTTAATTCACTAATCTACTACAGCATCAAGCATGTGAACAAATGAAAATAAATTGCGGATCCAACATGGAGAGTCGCATGGAGACCAGACAGAAGTAAGACTGGTCCTCCTCCCATCTCGCGCCCCCCGATGCGCGGAAAAAATCTAAACGTACAGGATATAATCACATTTTGGCAGCACACTGAGTCCGACTCCGTTCATACCATTGCCGGCTGTGTGCCACAAGGGAAAGAGAAGATCGTCCTCATCCCTGGACCAGTAGGCGCATTACCATCGCTAGTCGATCGCTACATCCAAGGACAAGAGGACAATCAAAACGTATTCGCCAGGGCACTGGCACTGCAATTAGGGAACAGAACGGAAACAATGGGCTCAAAATTGTACAAACTATCTTGTCTATACACATAGAGTCAGGAAAACAGAACGACCAGCCAGGGATCACTCGCGGTGTTTTCTAGCTCACCTCTATGCGCTGAAGGACTTGTTGAAGGCGACAATGGTCTCCTTCAGCTTGGCCTCAGTCTCCTTGGAGACCTGGCCCTCCTTCTCGATAGTCTGCTGGATCTCGGGGTGAGAGCTCTTCAGGTGGGCGAGGAGGTCAGCCTCCCAGGAGAGGATCTTGTTGACGGGGATAGTGTCAAGGAGACCGTTGACACCGGCGAAGATCAGGGGAACCATGTCGGAGACAGCCATGGGGGGAGTACTGCTTCTGCTTGAGCAGCTCAGTCAGACGCTCACCACGGGCAAGGGTCTGCTTGGTGGAGGCATCCAGATCGGAACCGAACTGGGCGAAGGCGGCGACCTCACGGTACTGAGCCAAGAACAGCTTCAGGGAACCGGCGACCTGCTTCATGGCCTTGACCTGGGCAGCGGAACCGACACGGGAGACGGACAGACCGACGTTAATGGCGGGACGGATACCCTTGTAGAACAGCTCGGACTCCAGGAAAATCTGGCCATCAGTGATGGAAATGACGTTGGTGGGAATGTAAGCGGAGACATCACCACCCTGGGTCTCAATGATGGGAAGGGCAGTCAGGGGAACCACCACCGTGGGTCTTGTTGTTCATCTTGGCGGCACGCTCGAGCAGACGGGAGTGCAGGTAGAAAACGTCACCGGGGTAGGCCTCACGTCCGGGGGGACGACGCAGAAGCAGGGACATCTGACGGTAGGCAACGGCCTGCTTGGACAGATCGTCGTAGATGATAACGGCGTGGCGGCCGTTGTCACGGAACCACTCACCGATGGCGCAGCCAGTGAAGGGAGCAATGTACTGCAGGGGGGCGGCCTCGGAGGCGGTGGCAGCGACGACAACGGAGTACTTCATGGCGTCGTTCTCCTCAAGGGTCTTGACGAGCTGAGCGACGGTGGAACGCTTCTGACCGACGGCAACGTAGATACAGTACAGCTTGTTGGCCTCGTCGCCGGAGCTGTTCCAACGCTTCTGGTTGAGCATGGTGTCGAGAGCGACGGCAGTCTTACCGGTCTGACGGTCACCAATGATCAACTCACGCTGACCACGGCCAATGGGCACCATGGAGTCGACACACTTCATACCAGTCTGCACGGGCTGGTTGACGGACTGACGGGGCAGGATACCGGGGGCCTTGAGCTGGGCACGGCGCTTCTCAGTGGCGTTGATGGGTCCCTTGCCATCAATGGGGTTACCGAGAGCGTCGACGACACGGCCGAGCAGCTCAGGACCAGCGGGGACATCAACCTGTAAGATAATATAAGTATGTGTTGGAGAGAAGGAGACGTGACGGGAGTGCAATGGTAGGCAACCCGATCGGTCCGATCCGGGTTCCCAGGGGTTAAACTCACAATCTCGCCGGTACGCTTGACGGTCTCACCCTCCTTGACGAGACGGTCGGAACCGAACAGGACAACACCGACCTGGCCGGCCTCGAGGTTCATGCACATACCCTTAACACCGGAGGCGAACCTGGAGTGTTGTTAGTTTACCGGAAGGGAGGTCGAAAATGCCAAGACTTTTCGGGAGGGAATTGCAACGTACTCGACCAGCTCCTCAGCCTGGACATTGGTCATACCGTGAACACGGGCGATACCATCACTATTCGATAATCAATCAGTTTCATGTTTGCGAGGAGATTCGTTGGATGGCAGGCGTGGGCGCGTTGAATGAAATGGTAGCCGATGACCGAATTTTTCACGACCCTTTAGCCGCTCTCCCCCAGAGTGGAGGTTTTTAAGACGTACCCGACGGACAGGACACGACCGGTCTCAGCGAGACCAGCCTCCTCCTGGACACCACGGATGCGCTGCTCCAGGATGGAGGAGACCTCAGTGGGCTGGGCCTTGGCCTCAGCAGCGTAGGAACGGACCTGCTTGGAGGCACCGGCGATGGGGCCGGGGACAGCCGCGCGAACCTATAGGGAGGGAAGAAAACCTTGTTAACGACGATGTTCTGAAAGGGCAATGTGATCAAGGCATGTTGATGATATGGACGAAGGGGTTGGAGAAGGTCCTTCGACCAATGGAACTCGGAATTCGAGATGGGCAAAGTCGGGGATGGCGATGGACGGGGTTGAATAGGATGGCTGGGAAGGACAGAACTCACAGCGACACGGCCAGTGGCCGAGGCGGCCGCAACAGAGCGGCTGGATTGCCGCAGAGCGTTTCTGAACATTGTGAGAGGGGAGGGGGGGTTCAGAGGATGGGAGGAAGTGTTCTCTGAAAGAGATGTAGTGAGGGAGGAGTCGGAGAGAGGAGAGAGAAGGTTGTGGACGGGAAGGAGCTTTCGTCGGGGGGGGACGCCAGGATTCTCAGGACTCGCGCTAGTCCAATCCGGGCGAGGCCTCTCCGAGGTGGCCCTAGTGAGTGCTCAGTGCTCCACGTTGGTTTTGGGCCAGGTGTTGTGTTCTACAGAATATACCTAGAGTTTACAATAATTGTAATATTCATTATCACTTTACTATCCTATTTCTATACTCCTCCTACATACCCAATATGTTAGACTCCCATCGTAGCCCCCCGTTGTGTGTGGTCCAGCAGGTGCTCCGAGGCGGGTCGCTGCTTCCCGTTTTTTTCTCTTCGGCTCTCCGGATCCAGGGTCAGGTGACGCTTACCTAATGCCTTCGTCACGGCAACGCAGTATACAGTAGCTCGTAGTATAGCTAGGAGTGCATGCATATACAAGTACTCCGTAGACTTTTTAGTAGTTAGCATCTACATATACCTAGCCGTAGCTGGAAGTACCTCACACGTTATACCTATACTCTTACTACACCTACACCCACACCGACCACAGCTATATACTACGTCGCATAAGGGAATTACCGGAATCATCACCGGCTCAACAATATCAAAATGATAACGAAAGAAAACACGCTAAGACGATCGCCTCATAAGAGGGACAACAACAGCAAGAGCCAGAACCTAAAGAAACTTCCTCACCCTCTCTCTCTCTCTCCATCAACAACCTTAGATCCTAACACCTCTCCTTTCTCGAACCACCCGGCTCCACCCACATCCACATCCACACCCCATCAACCCGAAGGACACGAAGTCCAAATTTACTGAGCACCACCACCATTCTTCTTTCCCTCCTTCTCCTTGCGAAACTTCTCAATCTCCTTCTCAACACTCTTATCCATCCGCTCCTTCAACTCAGGCCGATACCCAAAGAAGAAAAGAATCTCCATCCAAACAAACAACGGCGCAAGCAGCAACGCCTGAACAAGATTATCCAGCAACGCTGGCGCTCGTCCCTCGAACTTGCCATGGCCAACAAACTGCGCCAACCACGAGACAACATGGATTCCACCAGCCCAGTAGTTCACAACCATGCCGTGGCTTCCGAGAAGGTAATTTCCAGCGGCCGCGGAGCCGATCACCAAGGGCGCGATCAAACCACCCGCGACAGGCTCGAGAAGGACGTAGAAAATGGCGTAGATGAATGCTCCGATTGTGCCGGCGTTGGCGGGGAGGTATTCGAAGCGTAGGACTTCCGGGGCGGGCAGGAGTGTTGGAGAGTTACATGCCTAGTAGTGTAGACGGTCAGCTTTTCTTCTTCATAGCTTGAGCGAGGGAGATGGAGAGATGAAAAAACGCGGGGTCACGAACCAAGACGATGCCTGTGAAGAGCAGAATCGGGACACAAGTGATGTGAATCGCGACATTCACCTGAAGATTTTATCAGTGGGAGGTCCTTCCAGCGGAAGTGAAGTTGTTGGATTGCCATTATTGCGGACACATACAGGATTGTTGTGGTAAGCTCCATACTGCGGATGGGATGTCAGCCGGGAACGAACCCTTCTCTAGAGTCGGGGTCAGGTCGGAGCGAGAGAACTCACGAAGAGCAGCTGCTTCTCAAGATTGAGCGCCATCCTGGATGGAGGCCGGTGCAGGCGGTTTGAAGCAGAGGCTAGAAGCCAGAAAGCTGGGGTTGGGGAAGAGAGATGGTTGCCCACTACATCATCAATTATGGGGACGCTAAGTGGTGCAATCGTCCCTGCCGCCGGGCAGGGCATGTGTTGGGCCGAGGGTGGTTTCTGTTTGGTATTTGTGGTGACTTAGTATGGGTGGTGGTGGTAATTTACAGTATTATGTTGTATGTTGTATGAGTATCACCAGCTAACTAGGCAAGGGCAGACTTCAACTAGGCCAATGCCACGATTGATTCCACACGTTACTATTAGTACACTATTAGTACATATACAAGGGCTATTTTCATTTATAATAAGCAGCCAATTTTGTCTACATCCAGCCTGCCGTCTTAAATACCTACTCTAACTTGAAGGCTGTCTCGAGCAACAGGTTGAGATTCAACCCCATTATACTTAGTACGAAGATTGAACTGAGCATTTAGTCTCTCTTTAAATTGGTTTTCTATTGGCTTTGATGTACTTGTATGCTTGGAAGTTCAATTTTACCTAGGTACTAATGGAACCTTGGAGGTATCTCCTGCCAGGCAGGCATACTACTGGGAGTAGAAAGCGTCGAAGTACAGCGGAATATATATCGCAGCATCCTGAAGGCTTAAACTCCTTGAATTTGATAATCGGCCTCCTTTGACCCCAAGATAGATATACCATGGTATTCAATTTGAATGAACTCAATTTTGTCTATATACTAGTACTAGTAGTAGCAATAAAATCCACCTGGGCACGTATTTCAAATTCCCATTCACTCTGCTAGTACCCCGGAACATGCCATGTCACATGACCCAAACCTCTCCCGCCGTGGAGGGACGACAATCTCAAGCAGCTCTAGCAAGCGCGCTCGCAGCATCGGTCTATCTGCCTTTACCCGAAGTTCCAGGCAGATACCGTATCTCCCAACGAGTCTCTCCCGAGTCTCTTACACACTCTTTCATCGCGCAACTCCTCACCCTGCGCCTCACCGACAGGCCATGAGCTAGCAGCCAACGACCTAATTCACACCAATTGACACCCTCCACCCACCTATCTGCGCACAGTCTAGCCTGCCGGATCTCAGAGCTCGAGCGATCTCCACGATTCCTTGCGCCCGTTAATTGAAGCCTCTTTGATCACGACACCGACAGCGCTCGTGTGTTCCGGAGCTGCCTTGCCCACCACCCAACCTTGACGAAGTCCCAAGCCTCGCTGATCGCAAAACCGCCACAATGTTCTTCCTCAAAGAAGAGACCAAGGTCATTTCCTTGCATCCGTCATTCTTCGGACCCAATATGCGAGAGTACCTGATTACCCGACTAAACGAGGAGGAGGAAGGCCGGTGTACGGGTGACCACTTCGTGATTTGCGTGATGGACATGGTTGATATCGGCGAGGGACGAGTGATTCCGTCCAGCGGAAATGCAGAATACACCATCAAATACCGCGCGATTATCTGGAAGCCATTCCGAGGCGAGACGGTACGTTGGAAGGAAATGAAGGAAATACAAGCTCCACGAGACGAGTGCGGAGCTGTTTCTGCTGGATTTTGTCTGACTTGAGATTTCTAGGTCGATGCTATCGTCACCTCTGTGAAGCCTACTGGTATCTTTACGTTGGCTGGCCCTCTGTCTGTGTTCATTGCGCGAAAGGTATATACCATTATGAAAATGCAAAATGCAAAACTGCAACCCGTGATCTGATCCTATGCTGACTGACTCCCTTAGAACATTCCTGGCGACATCAAGTGGGAACCGAATACCGTGCCTCCGCAGTATACCGATCATGCCGACCAGGTGATTGAGAAGGGGACCAGTCTGCGTCTCAAGATCCTCGGTGTTAAGCCCGACGTGGCGGCGATCAACGCCATCGGCACGATCAAGGAAGATTACCTTGGGTGAGTGACACAGCAACTACGTTTGCAAAAGTACCCTTACTGACAAGACATCTTTTCTCCCATAGACCCCTATAAACGAGATACGAGCCGCATCACATACCCACACTCTCACACCAAACCAAACCAAACCAAACCACCACACCCCCTTTCCAACATTTCGAGTTTACTGGACATAGCGATCCATTGGCGAAGCGAGTTCTACCGACGATTCCCGACCTTGCTTACTTGCAAGCCACCAAAAGAAAAAAAGAGAATTTATTGTCGATTCGGCGCTTCAGGGAGTTTTACAAGGATGGCATTTCCCCGGACTCTTTGCATGTGATTTGATATTTTGGCTGGGCTCCTTTTTTAAGGGAATGAAATAGGGAATGCACATAGACGAACTGGCTGATTTCAAAAACACGGCCCCAACCAATCCTTTCAAGGCTTTCATAACATACTTCGCCCCCTTCTCCCTGTTCCTGTTCCTCTCCCTCTCCGGAGATGGCTTATTTCCCAGGACCTCGACTGGAGCTGGTGTTCGGGCCCGCAGGAGCAAGGATCGACGGTAGTGAGCGCGTGGCAGATTTGCCAGATTGGCATTGCGCATGATTGAAGGGGGAATTTGTGAGCTGGAAGAGAGAATATGTACCAACATAAGTTCAGTTACGGTCCAGCCTTTTTTTTTTACGCCAATAAAAATCTCATGAAGTGGAATTCCGCATTTGGTATTGAACTCTCTGGGGGTGAAACATTTGAAGTTGCCGGAGAGACGTGGGAACGGGTTTAGGGCTTCTGGGGCTCACGGCCACTGGTGAAACACTGGCGTGTTTTTGGGGGCCCCTGCGTTATTTACTAAGTTTACTAAGTTTACTCTCGAAGCAACTGAATAGCTACTGTTTACTCCGTGCATTGTATACCCCGTAGTAATGGCCAGGCCCGGCCTCGGCGTACCCGGTTGGGTTCGTCGCGTCTCCCCTACCAAACATTCAAACAGTCAACCCTCCCGTCTTCTCTCCTCCTTCTCCTCCCCCCCTTGTACTCTCCCTCCTTCATTCCCTTGGATAAACCGTGTTTTCTTGGATTACCACGGCTATCATGACTTATCTCAAGGATGCCTACTCCAAGTTCCGGGCTAACCCCCGCAATGCCCCAGTGGCCGCCAATGTGTCGCTGATCTATGTTCCCTCCACCACGCGCATCGATGGCGCGGACGCCGTTGCGTCGCATTCGTCGCGCCAATCCGCCCATCTCAAGAAGAAGTCCGAGAAGATCATTAGCGAAATCGAGAGCTCCGACTCTCTGTGTCTAGATATTGAGACCACCATCGAGTTTCTCGAGGGCGGCGGGGCCTATCTCCCCTCGTTCGACGATAACTTCCTGGCTGATCGCGTCGTGACTTTCCCCACGGTAAATTAAATTCCCCGAAACCCTGCATGACCAATTGTGAGACGTCGTGGAACGTAATCTAATGCGACCTTTCTTTTTTGCCCCCTTTCTAGCTCCACATCGTTCACTTCAATGCCGAACATCAGATCCAGCAAGTGCGCATCTACTGGGATCAGGGTTCCCTGCTTAAGGAGCTCGAAGTGATTGGTGCTCGTGGCCGCAATTGGCCCATTCGTCAAGCCCAGGAGCAGACTCGTCTGCTCAAGGCTGCTGCCATTGCAAAGGACGCTGCACCCTCATTGGAACCCTCCCAGGGTGACCTGCCCGCACGCCCCTCCTCCCCGGAAAGCGACACATCAGGGACCCTTACGCGGCCGCTTCCTTGACCGACCTTCTCTCGCCTACCAAGGACGCTCCTGAGGAGCAAGAACGCGAGACACGCAGACCTTCTTCTCCCAGCAAGCGACACACTCGTGATCCCTACGGTCAGGGCTCCCTAACTGAGATCCTGTCTCCCACCAAGCCAGAAACCAACACCGTCATGCGCCCATACGGGGGATCCAACCAACCTGCGCGACGTGATCTGGGTGATATCTTCGTGGCCGATGACGGCGAGTCTCCCACTACACCATCCAAGGCCGAGAAGGTGATCTCTCCCAAGGGCGGAGCCAGACATCAGGGCGGCAACCGACTCTTCGGAGGCGCCGAGGAGCACGACGAACACCGATCTTTCTACAAGTCGGATCCTCGTAAGTACGAACACTTCGAGATCGGAGCCAACGAAGGACGCCCCGAAGACCGATCTTTCTACAAGTCCGACCCCCGCAAATACGACCACTTCCAGCTCGGAGCCGACGAAACCCCCGAGACGAAGAAGGACTCAAAGCCAGCCAAGGCCCGCAACCAATCCCAATGGGACTTTGGCGACTTCTCTACTCCAGCCAAGAGCACCGAACCAGCCGCCAAGGCCCGAGGCTTCGGCTACACCGACGAGGAAGTTGATCCCAACTCCCCTCCACGCCGTGAAGCCGTCGTCAAAGCCCGCCCCGACCAAAGCGCCCACTTCGAGATCACCGACGACGTGAACGAAGAAGACGGCCGCATCATCAGCTCCTTCGGCGGACGCGGTCAAAGCCTGTACGAAAACCGCCTCTACGACGAAGATGAGGCTGCTTCCAAAAAGCATGAAGGTGAACACGAAGAAGCTCTCGGCGTGACAAGCAACAAGGCAAACCTAAACAAGACCTTCGGCTCGCAGTGGGAAATGCACGATGACTCCCCCGGTCATAAACCCACCCGCTCGGATAACGAGAACCCCAAACCCTTGGCCGCGGATCGCAGCAAGGCTGTTAAGGCTCTAGAGGCGCACTGGGATTACTCCGATTCGCCCCAACCCTCGCGAACCGCTACGTCGCTATACAACCCTAAGACTCACAACCAGCCGAGCTGGAATATGCAGGATGAAGCTTCTCCCGTTAAACCGGCTACCTCGCTCCGTAACCCTCGCACCCATAACCAGCCTAGCTGGAGCATGGGAGGTGAGGAGTAAGCGTGGAAAGGAAGGGGTCTGTCTGTTAATCTGCCTTTTTTTTTCTTCTATTCCGCTTCGCTCCGCTTCCTATTCTTCCTTCTCCTACGACCATTTTGTACGGCCTCACCTGATCAACGAGCAATGTGTACCGATACCCACCATTAAATCAAATCAAATCAATCAAACGCCTAAAATTCGGGGATGGACTACTTTGTGCCGGGGGCTGCGCTGCTTGCTCTGCTCTGCTCTTCTAACAAATCCCTTTTTTGTGTTACGTGGAGCTTCGGTTGGATTATTCATCTGGCGTCCCTGTCAGGGTGTTTTTCTTCTTTCTTTGTTACTATTTCCTTTTCTATTTCTTTTCTTCTTCCGGGGTACAGCACGGGGGTTCCGTCCTGCTTGCCAGATCTGCTGGATTGGACTTGCTATGTACCTGATGCATTTTTCCCCTTTCTGTACAAGATTACCATTATGAGTTTTAGAACTCTTGTTTCTTAGTGTTGATATTTTCAATTAATCGATCTGGTTATTTGAGTTTCTTTAAGTTTCTTGTATTCAAGCTCTGCCCCTTGGTTTCAAGTTGATATGTGGTCCGCGGGATGGTGTTGAATAGAGAATACCCTTGCCCTTGTTGCCCTTGTTGCCCTGCTCTGCTCTGCTTTGATAACAGAAAGTCCCCTTCTTTCAAGTTATTTTGCCCTCCACTGCTGACGTGCGTTTGTTTCCCACGGCTCCCTTACTAATTAAATATTATAAAATAACTTCACTGTACATTCCAACGTTCAAGTTATTCCGTCACCACCTTCACTCCCCAACATTTTTTATACCTTTATTCCAAGGTCCCTTAGCACAGCATGTGGTCAATGTTGAGAAACAATATGCATCGTTACTATATATCCATTTATCAACTTCGATGACACCTGATGCATAGATCATATAACTATGTTGGCATTATATTACAGTCCCTTGTTTCACTATTGTGTTCCAAGGTTGGTGGCGGTGCATTGTGCCCAGGTGGGAACAGGTGTTGTTCATTCACTTTCATTTCTCAGTTCCAAGTTTCCGAGTCGGTGCCCAGATGTGCCCCATGATTATATTCCAAGGACTACATCTCTGCCTTCAAGTTATTCTCGTCCTTCGAGTCGTCCTCGGATTCTTCCAATACACCGGTACTTCGACCTTGATCGAAACGGCCAGGTCGAGATTGATGATGAAGACTGGGACATCGACGCCTTTCTCATAGTTTTACTGCGATGCACCACCAGCCCAACAAAGTTCCGCAGAAGGTGACGCTTGAAATGCTGGCCAAGATCGGGGTCATTGCAGATTACTACAAGTGCAAGGATATCCTTCACCTCCCGAAAGGTGATGATTGGATCCGGTCTCTCGATGAACAGTATCCACCAGCGTGTCTGCGAGACCTGACTCTCTGGCTATGGATATCTTGGGCTTTCCAGATCCCCGACAAGTTCAAAGCTATCACAGGATTCATTATGTCAAACAGCATCAGTCTGATCATGGACACCGGGGAACTTCCCATTCCTCCTAAAATCATCGGTAAGAAATTAGTGAGTTTATTGACCCAAAACAATACATAGCTTCGAGATTCTGACCTATTCACAGCAGCAATGAACGAGTCCCGGGAAGCCGCTTCGAAAAGGCACTGTTTCAAATCCAGCAAGCCCGCTAGGAGTACCTAACTGGGGCTCGAAGGTGTCGATCCGAATGCACCTCGATCATGTACGGAAGTCTGACTGGACAGATTAATTCGAACCAGCTCTTATCACCCTGGCCCGTGGCTCCCTACCTTGACCTAAGCTATAAGCGACTCATACAAGAGATGGGATTCTTCAGATCACCCTGGTGGGCGGCGTTTTCAACCTCTCCGCATCTTTCCCCCCATGTCTGTCCTGATTCGGACTTTGGATGCTTGTTCTTGGACTTGTATAGTTCCGACATTGGCTTAGACCTGCCAGCAGAAACCTAAGCATTGGTTACTGGGCGGTAGATAGGCTCACAATAGGGATGTATTGCCAAAGAGACATCAACACTATTCACTAGCCTTGCGAGTTTATGACCTTGCAAGGAAAGAAGAGAATTTGCTTTTGTTTTAATTGTCTGTTGTTTTTCTGCTAGGATATCCATGAAAAGAAGAAGATTTAAAGGAATGTCTCAAAAAATATGAATTCAAGTTCTACCTCTCTCCAATCGTATCTTAAACTACGGATTTGGAGACTCGAACCAGCCCATATCCACCTCATCTATCGATCCCCATATTTCTATCATCTTCTCTATCAGATCTTTTCTGCCTTCAACAGCCAAGACCTCCATAACAGCACGATACGCCGAGTTCAATGCTCCAATAACCCACGCATGACCACTACTCGTAGCTTCACCCGCGGTGTGTAGTCTTCCGTGGCAACTCGGCCGCATCAAGGGCGGGAGGACATCCGAAAGTTGCGCGGGCGAAAAGAGAGCATAAGCACCGACTGAGTATGGTTGACTATACCAGTCCCACAAATGTGCTTCCACTAGCTGGTCCTGGAGAAATGACATGGATACATTATGTAGGCGTGCCATATCCTTCAAGACTACGTGTGTTATAAATTCTTCTTGTTCTGCACTTTGGTAAAAGGAGGCTAGTCGATCAGCATCTTGACTCCATGTATAGCTCGCGATCATTGTCCCTGGAGCATCGGGGACACCAAGCCCATAGGATGGGTAAATGCAGCGTCGGATTGGAAGGTCTGTCGACGATTGTCCGCCAATGAAAGGAGCAGCCAACACATCGGGGTTCTCCCACCACCGCGTCTTAAACCAAATGCCAATTTTGCCTGCATCATCGTAGGCTAGAGTGCGCCACGCCATTGTGGTATTGTAATATAGATCTGGCAAAGTGGATGTGTCAAGGACCCTTGTTGCTCCGAGTGGGATTGTGCTGATTACATGGTCATAAGAATGCTCAGATGTATGGTTGACGACAACAGTCAGGGAATCCGCTCGTCCAGGTTTGATGGCAGTCACGCGGCTGAGTAGTTTTGGCGGCTTATGTAGAACTTTCAAAAGTCCATTGATCAGTCGCTCGAATCCGCCATTGACCGTGACCCAAGAATCCAGAGGAGCAGCCGTGAATATCCATTGGTCGATGACTGCCTGGGCAAGGGAGGATTTATCAAAGGTCAATGTTCCTTCCTCAATAGTCTCTAGCCAGTTAATTTGCGCGTTGGTAAAACCTTTCTGCAAAAGGTATGCCCGGACGGACAGCTGGTCAAATTCCATGAGCTTTTTAAACCCTTCATCGATATTTTGCTGTAGCGCATCCACCAGTTCGGCGACGGCGTCGCTGTATATCTTATCAGGATTGAGAACAGCGAACTCGGAGGGTGGGATATCCCCGCCTTCATTTGTTAGGACATGGAATGCTGTGGCAGAGGGGATCACGTTGGAGTGAATAGATATATTGTTGTATAGCTGGATATTATTATTCGTGGAAAAGATATATGGGATCAGATTAATTGCATCTGCTGGGTCCCTAACGTGCGAGTTCACGTAGCTGACGACGGACCAGTTTTGAGCCCCAGTCAGTCGGTCCATGTAGGGCATATTGGGAATTCTCATGGCACCCGCATCCTGAATATCCAATTAGTATTGCTACTACCAATACCCTATCCAGCCGCTGTTGTAACTTTGCACTTACATAATAATTGTAATACGCAGCATCCTGTGGGGTTGACTTCTTCCAACTCTCCACGTCAAAATAATGGGTATGGATTCTTCCCGCCCGCGCGTCCGTCTGCCTCCAGGATTTCAAATTCGATACTCAGGCTCTGCAAAAGCAGAGCTGAATACAAACCCGCAGCACCTGCACCAATAATGCCAACCTTTAGCCGTGGTGGCCGAGATTGGCAGTTTCGGTCACATGGTGATGCCGGAGGACCAGGAGGAAATTGGTTGTATACTCCTGCGCGAGATATCAACTCGCGGAAAAGTTGAGCTCGAGCCTTGCCGGGGTCAATGGCACTTTGGACGCCGTGTAGGCACAGGAAAAAAAAGAAAGCAGAGACAAAGAATAAATTCCCCATTTTGGCAGCAACGGAAGAAAGTGAAGACTCTCAAACTAAGGACACTATGGAGATTATTATGCCTATAAACTACTAAAAGGGAAAGTAGTCATTGTCTATCTATATGCACTACATTCCACTTCTCCGCGGCGGGATGGAATGTGTATGAAATGATCACCTCGGCTTACCAGTACAAAATCAGCAAAAATGACAAGCCCCGCGTGGAATGTAGGGGAATTGGGCAATAAAGTTATTTTCATATGGATTATGACAGGCCCACATGACTGTTAGATCTACGCAGCTTATCTGGCCGGATCCTTAGGCCGGAAAATTCATTAAAAATCCCGAAGAACTTTCGAAGGAATCTCATACATGGACCATGAATTCTCCATTCTGGCAGAACCTCCTATTGGCAGCTCCGCATCGATTGTCTCTCCAAATACAAATACTTGAACACTACGCGACTGTTTAGATCATCTCCCCGTCCGAGCGTCGATTTGGACAACGCGTTCCTTTCGGATTTTGTAGGGGTACACTGCACCTGGTCACATTGACTTAATCACATTAACTCGAGCTTAATTGCTAGGCATCTAAATGTTCTGGTCACATAGTGGAGGTTGCGGCACGAAAATTGTTCGTAGCAACTTCTTCATATTTAGTGACTGTCGTATATTCGATCGCCTAGGACTATCATAGAGAGAGTGTATAATTTTCAGAAATCATGTAAGGGGTTAGATACTATAAAACTACCATAACACAGGTGTGTGGGAGCACCCAGATTGGATGATAGCCTAGACTCTCCGACGCACAATTAAGCGATGCTTGAGGGCGAAAAGATGGTACTGGTACCAGCTTCGTGCTTGGACTAACATTCTACTAGTGAAACCCAAACTTCTGGAGAAATTTAGTGCGAACGCAAGGTTAAAAATCGGGGAGTTCAGCCAAACTTCCAGAAAGCCAAGCATTGAGCATCTGCTTCTCCTCCAGCACTCGTCGTAGTATTTGTCCTGCCACGAAAGGCCGAGGCAACGAAAGCGTAGATCAGTCATTATGAGGAGTATTATGATTGTTAAATGCTTCAAAGACCAGAAAGATTTTCGCCATTTAATGAAACAAATATAGTATTAATACGTAGCAAAACACTAACTAAAGATTATCAAAAAAACCCACAGACCCGTTGCAGCTTCGATTGTCTATCAATTCCAGACTGAGTCTGGTACAGTTACAGGCTCCGACGGAGTCAGCGTCGATACCGAATAATGCGGCCAGACCAGCTGATCAAATACCAAGTTTACTACCTGGGAATACTGAATCTGGATTGAATTGACAGTAATCGTTCTGGGTGCAGTGATATCATGTGGGGGGGTTGACGATGAACACCGGCCCGGGATGATGTCCTCGTGAGGCCGGGTATAGTTTGATAGGGGCTTGTCCGCGCTTGAAGGTTGGAACTTTGAGCTTATATTGTACCGTCTCGATCCAGAAGGTAGCATTCATTTGGATCGAGTTGGCATTAGGAGTCGTGACGGCGGGATTGCCTTCCAAGAATGCGATGTTCGCTGTTCCACCCCCGAACACCGGAGGTAGAGGTGCCGTGGCCACCGTAAAAGTGGTGGTCTGTATAATATTTTGACCTTCAATTGCATTGCGGAGAACAGTGTTTGGGTCTTTTAGCATCTCCTGAGTGATGGTGCCAGCAGCAATGAATTTTGAGAGATCCTGTGGCAATCGAAGAGTGGAAATCATCGAGGCATTGAGGCTGTCAAGCATCAATGTTGGACCGCCGCCAACAGGGAATGGCAGCAAGCTGGCTGGTGGGATCTCTGGTGGACCGGAGAAATTCGAGGTAGGCTCCAGGCATTGAGCATTGATAGTTGTGCCATGTGGAATAGACGCCATACGCACGAGCGATTCGCCAAGCACTGGAGTATTGTTCGTTGACGGGACGTTCATCCACAATCCAGCCTCGAAGTGAATGCCCGTGGGAGAACCATCAGCCTTTCCGGTTTTCTCATTTGTCACATCGTTGACAGCTTGTACATAAGATATGCCATTGAGATAGATATCGTTCTGCGAGTCAAGCCCGCGGTTAGGTACGGCGCCAAGCTCTCCGGAGAAGGTTATCGAGTCATTTATGAGATTCAGCTCCAGGATGTTGTCAGCGGGAAATGTTGTAGTGTTTGGCGGTCCGCTATTTGGGCGAAAAATTGTGTTGAAGCCTGTTCCCGTAAAGCTTCCATTGAAGTTCGTCAGCACGCCCAGCTGCACTGGCTCACTGGGCGCCGGCGTTGACCCCGAGAATTGGACCGCCTCAAACTGGAAGCCGGGGGGAAGAGATATCGCCGCCATAGCTACTGTCGCAGTTTCTAAATGATGCTAGCCAAGGCAATTTGGTACCAGTAAACTTGGAGCAGAGAGGATAATTCAATTCCAGAGAATAGAAACGGCTTCTTTATGACAATGGAGGGTATTAAATACAGTTTAGGGAAGGGTCATGAGAGACGCTGTATCTTGTGCTATGGCTCTCATAAATTCTAGTGCTGGCCTGTTGGCTAATCGGGTGTTTTGGATTGGATCTTTGACTAGTGTTGAAATAGTTCCGCTTTTAGTTCCGTCCACTTGTTGAAGCCATAATAGGCTTTTCCAGTCAGATAGAATTCCAGGGGAGCTACGGTAAGGCAAGTCTTCGCGATGAAAGGGCCGAAGGAACGCCTACTAATGTAGGAAAGATCTGGAATGTAGTAAGGATTTAGGAATGTACTGACATTATGTGACTGGCACATAGTATAATCTCTCCGCGGCACAGCTTCGATGACTATTGGTGACTATTAGTAACTCTGGAAGAGACCCTTGGGAGCTAGTAAGCGGAGTATAATGTAACTCTCTCTCTGATTAGTTCTCCGTCAGCCGTAGGCTGGCATGGAGAGACCATCTTCACATATTCCCATCTTCCGTCTTGCGAAGTCTTAAAGAAAACTCTTAAAGGTGTCTAAAAGAAAACCAAGGACCTAAGAAAATATCTGGTTAAAATTTTGATTTGGATATTGAAGCGGTCTTGATCGTGCCATGCATTATCTATAGTGATGGAGAGTGGAGATGTGGGTTCCTGAAAATATGGTGGATGGACGATGAAGAGTGTGAGGATTCTCAGCTACTCATAGAGATCAAGATACGACGTAGAAAATCAGGCAAAGAAAAGTAGTAGCGGGTTGACGAAAGTAATAGCTCGAGGAGAGGAGGAAGAAGCGAAAGCTTGATACAGATCTAGGCGTAGATGCCTAAGCGGGTGCCATCCGCGTCAGGCAGGAACAATACAATAGTAACGCCTCCAGTACGTTACAATACCGTCCACCGGGCGCAGTCCCCACCAAATGCGCAGTCAACACTTTCATTCTTCAACTTTTAGTACAGCTTTATTCTTTACTAGAATACCGGATAGTCTGAGTCAAGGATCAATATGGGAGACACCAAATCTAACAACAAATAAGCATATCAATCATGTCGAGATTATGTATATTACGATGCCTCAGTTTTGTTACTGTATTGGTGGCCCATCAACTCTGTTTGCTTACCTAGTGGACCTTGTTCGTCTTTCCTTTTCCCCTGGACCCAGTCTCCCTTTTATCAACAACTTGAACAACCTGGGAGAATGACTTTACTTCCAATGGAAAAATTGAGCTCCCTAAACCTTACAACCACCCCAACACACATTCTCGACCCAGATGGCGAAGTGATCATTATCTTGCGCAACGCAGATGCTCCCTTTGCATACGAGCCAGAAGAGATCCCTGGCAAAACCCCCGAGAAGACCGAAAAGACTGCCGAAGAGCCTGCTTCTGATGAGACCACTCCCCAAGAACCCAGTGCGGTAAAGTCAGAACCACGCATTCAAGTATCCGCAAAGCATATGATTTTTGCTTCTTCGTTTTTCAAGAAAAGTCTCACTGGCGGTTGGAAGGAGACCAAGGATCTACAACAAGGCTCGGTTGAAATTATTGCAGACGACTGGGATCTCCAAGCATTCATGATTGTCCTTTATGCGATACATGGCCAATTCAAAAAAGTACCACAAACGGTTTCTGTCGAGATCCTTGCCAAGGTCGCAGTGATAGTCGACTATTATGACTGCAAGGATGTTCTTTATCTTCTCCAGGATAAATGGATTGATTCTTTGGCAAAGTTGTCAGTAATTCGATCTTCACGAGATCTGATGCTCCGGCTATGGATTTCCTATTTCTTTCAACTCTCTACCAACTTTAAGGAGTTGACAAGCTCAATTATGTCGTCGGCTACAGATTCAATCGTTGCTAGGGGACTTCCAATCCCTGCTACATTTATCGGTAAGGAAGAACATAATACTCTGAATTACTAGTAGTACATTACTCCTGACAAGGTTATAGAATCAAGGAACAAATATCGCCTGGAAGCCTTAGAAAAAATTATGCTTTCTTCAAGAAACACATGAGTCCTTCCTGCTTGGGACAAGGGGATGTGATTTTGAATGTCAATCAGTTATGTATGGGGCCTTGGCTAAGCAAATTCGTTCAAGCCATCTTCTATCACCTTGGCCTGTCGCTCCTTTCCTGGGCTTAAGCTACACCGGCCTTTCAGTGACGATTGCATCATTTACATCACCATCCTGGCGGAAATTACCTCCCCCCCCTCCTTCCCCTCCTCCCCCTCGAAATCATTTCGGCAGCCACAGCCAAAACTCCCACGGCCAAGTTGCGGAAGATCAAGCCCGTCATACTTGTACTCATTCAAGTTTCACCCCATTATTTTCTTTCCGGAGTCATCTCGTCACGGGCTTAGTCCTAACTCAACCCTCTCCCTTCGGAGGGGAATTCGGATCGGGTTTTCGAGGAGGCTTTGGAGGGAGCTCCGAGAACCCTCCGTTATTCACCACCTAATTATCGGGTTGTCTTCCCTTACCAATTATAGGAGGTATTGCGATACGCCAACCGGGCTTCTTTCTACTACATGGCCACCCAAGATCTAAAGGAGGATGACCCAGGCGTTGAAAAAATTCTCGATGACGTGGTACAGAGGGAGGTTATCCTGGGGTGACCGAAAAAAGCTCGCAATGAGGGAGGGAGGGAATGGGGAAGCCACTGCCAAAGATGCCAAAGAACATCCATCACAGAGATTTTTACAATTTTACGACGTTGTTGTAAGGCGGATAATCCACACTTGCTTTGTTTCGTCTTTCGGTTAACATGGCGAAGTAGCCATGTTTTTTTTTCTTTCTCTCTCTCTTTCTTTTTTCTGCTTACGCCCATGTACATTAGTAGTTGTCTGTCGACCGAAGGCCAGTATGAATAGGACCATCTTCTCATCTTCCGGACTTATTATTCACGAATTGAAGTATACTCTTGACGTTGCAAAATGGCTTGGCAAAGCGCTTTATTCTCAAAAGTTCCACAAAAGAGCAAAGAAATATTCGAACGATGTGAGAACGGGCTAGAGAAGCTACTAGGTCCTGATAATGAAGATACAAAGAGTGCCAGGAGATGGGTCGTGAAGGCGAAAAGAAAAGTCCCGCATGGAAATGTATCTGACTGATCCTGGGGCTAGTGCTTTGGGCGATTAATACTAGTATTTGGCTGACTTGGGTTTAGTTTCATCGAGGAAATGTGAAATAGCTAAATTTCTGGTTCGGTGTATATCGTCTATACTGCTGAGAACTTCTAGTATAAGCTTGACAGAGAAATAGCTGCCAGTAGGTATTAGTTCGTGAAACTATCTGAGTGTATGGAAGTTATAAATCACTACGTGCAGATGCGTCGGTTAAATGACTTTTAAGTTGGAGTAAAATGTTTCATTCCTGAGGGAGTCGGTGGTCCTGTAGATATATCCACCTCCAGGTCCTAAATCGGGGGTTGTCTTCATTCATATTGGTATGCTCGGGTTTCCCTCGCCTTCAAGTTGAGTAGGCTAAATCTGACCGTGAATGATCTCGCCTATTGCCAGCGATGTGAAGAAGACAAATTTTAAGGACGCAAGGAAAATCAATTCATAAGTCCATTTCATGAAATGTCCAACCACGAACTCGAAGAAAACCATCGTTGCCGCTACGCCTCTCTATGAAAAAGCAGGCATATAGACGTTAGCGAATCCCGAGCTCTATCTCGGAATTCGAGCCAAAATCGTCCCTTTCGCGCGTTGCGAATGAAGCTTTTTGTATGCCTAGGCAGGAAAATTCGGTTAGTTATATCAACTTTGCAGAGATGATAGTGGAAGAACCTACTTCCAAAACATCTTCCATTTCCCACTCCGAATCTATCATAGCAGTCAAATGCCCCTTCTCCGCCAATTCCCCGGAGCGGGACAAAGTAAATTGATTCGGCGTCGCTGTAACCATCTTATACCAGCGCGGCGTTCCGCCCAGGATCTTTGGCCATAATAGATTGACGCACAGTGACCATATGTACCCGAACAGACCTTGCAGACCAGACTGAATGTGCATAGCGCCAATGTTGACAAATCGGCCATTTTCACGGAGATATTTTGGGGAGTGAGTATAGAGATCTTGTATCCCAACCGTGTCTGCGATGGCGTCGAAGCGGGTTTCACTGTGCTCTTTGGCAAGATATTCATGGAGAGGGTCATGTTTCCGATAGTCGATTGTCTATTAGTAGATTAGCGCAATTCTAGTGTTAAATCGCAGACGTCCACAATCTTCCCAGGGTATCATGAAATCCAACGAAAAAGTGACAGTTAATTCTCACCTCATCAGCCCCTATTCTCTTCACCATTTCAGAATTCCCCTCCGAACAAGTCGCCACAACACGCCCACTGTCGCCAACAATAGCCCTAGCACACTGAACAAGCATGGTCCCCGTCGCACCACTCCCACCGTTGATAAGAATTTTCTCACCCTTCTTCAATCCAAGTTCCTCAAGCACCTCCACAGCCGTAACGCCATTCCCACCCAGCGCAGCGGCATCCCGAAACGAGATGCTACTAGGAATAACAACAAGTTGTTCCTCTGGACATGGACAATACTCCGCCAAGGCCCCATGTCCTTTGAAATAAAGCTGTGTAGATGTGCCACCGAACACTCGGGCACCAATAGTAAGATCCGGACGTTTCGCCGCAACATTAGACCCCAGCGCCGCGACTGTGCCGGAGAGCACGAGCTCCGGTACTGCGGGGAGAGTGTGAATCCAGTTTGGAAGAATGGAAATAAGAGCGCTTGCGCTGGGGGTGAAGGCGGTGTATTCGATCTTGACTAGGACGTCGTTGGGGCCGAGATTCGATGGGCTGGGTGTGGTGAAGTCAGAGGTGAGGTTGAGTACATCGGCCAGTTGGCCGCGGCCTTTGTAGGACCATGCGCGCATAGTTGGGGGGATACTAGAGTTTGTCATGTTGAAAGCTTGAAGCTGGTATGAATCTTGGATTATCTGGTTAGCTTTGCAGCTTTCAAGTAAGGTTTTATATTACTTTAAATCAGTTCGCGACTGTCGTAAGCTCTCGTAGCCTGGAGACGGACGAAATTGGTCCGTTCCCGATTGATTGTTGGCCTTTGGCGCCAATTCGTCAGCCAGCCAATCAGCTAACTATCTAATTAACTTGGTGTTGAGATTCCCAAGAAACTACTCTTTGACCTTTTGGGGGCCAGAATGTGCCGGTTATAATTCTCTCGGATTCGGTGGTATTGCTAGGGCGTCCAAGATGCTTAGTACATTGTCCATTACTCTTTTGAATAGCACACCTCTCCTCAAAGGAAATATCCATAATAATAGATGATTTGGTTATATAGTATGCACAAAATACAAATAGCTTCAGGTAGTATCATGATATCAAAGTCCCTCATGCCCGCAACGCAGCAATAGCCGCCTCAATATCAACCATATCATCCACCCGCACAGCAGCCCGTCCCCATCGCACATAACCCTCCGCATCAACCGCGAAACTCCCAGCAGACTGCCATCGATTCCCACTCTCAGTAGGCCTTTGCCAGATCCCGTCCTCTCTGCCCAGTTTCCAGATCGATGCAAGGCCCGCGAAATTCCAAAGATGGCCCCAGGAAACGATACCCAGCCCCCACCTTGCGTAGATTTGACGGTCGGCATCGACGACCATGGTAACTGATGATCCATCCCCGGACTCAGACCCACCTACGGCGTCTAACCATTTCTCTGTAGATTCCTGGTCACTGTGCGATATTGTTATGAAGTTGATATCAGGGTGTTGAGCTGAGGCGGTGCGCATTTTTAGGAATGCTGCCTCGGTGACTTTAGGTGGCCCCGGGGTGGTTTAGTTAGTTTATATTTTCTTAGAATGCTTCCTCGTCTTGGGATTCTTTATTTGATAGGGAACGGACCTGGACACCCGCAATGTCGGAGGAATGATATGATAGTTGGTTTTCCATTATCTGCTGGAAAGGGCAACTCTGGACATGACGGGGCTTTGGCTCCGATTTCGGGGGCTGGGGAGGTTTCCACGTAAGACGGAGAGAAGAATGAGGATAGTTCTTGCGAGATAGTCATTTTTGCCGGAGTTGGTTGATCGTGGTTGAGGTTGAAAAGTGATTGCAGTCCCACCTCGAGCGGGGCCACGTCATTCCATAAAGAAAGGAAGATCAGGGGGCTAACTGATCTGAGAGACTGGTTAGGTACAGTACAACCGCCTTGTGCGAAAGGCAAAGTGGGATATAAGAATATTATTTTTAAGATTATACTCATAATGTAGCTGGATTTCTTCCTTCAAAGGCCCAATCTGTTCCAATGCAATCCAACCATCACACCAAAAAGAAGTATCTTCCACGCTCCGCAAAACATCTGGGTAACAAAAATCATAAACCAAAAATAAAAATAAAACAATGCCAATATTTCGTTTCAGTTCGTTAAATTCTCGTGATGATCATAAAAAGTTCGCGTTTTCTCAAATGACCGATTGCCAAGTAGTTAGATGTCTCACTTCACCTCGAGAGGATGGTTTGTTTCTCCTTTTCCTCGTAGATTTCAAAAGTAAATGCCAGAGCCGAAACCAAGTAATCTCCGAGACAAGTCAAGTCTACCATGTTAAGCCTCACCTAGATATAGAACATGGTATCCTTAACAAGTTCATGCGGGCGGTAAGTCTTCGAATCAGAAAGAGTCGGGTCATTATTCCCACTCCTCTCCGTGCCTGCAACACTAGCAGAAGGAGTCGACGGATCAAAAACATGATGCAAGTAACATCTCGCCCGCGTACAGACAAGGTCAGCATAATACGCCGGTGGACAGACAGAAACTGCCTTCGTCGCCCGACCAAAGAGATAACACATTTTATGCGTCAACTCCTGCAGCACATCCGCCGCGCCGGGCCCGTTCGCATCACTGGGGTATTTGGGGTGGAAAATCTCGTCCCAGACTGTGAAGTAGTGTGCCGGACGGGCGGTTCCCTGCAAGCAAGAGTGAGCTTGCTGGTACCAATCCCAGGAGCGGCCTTCGGAGATTCCTCTGTCGACGACGGTTCCCGGCTGCGGGTTGTTCGACCTCTCGGCGTCGCCTGGGTTGGTTGGGTAGAAGCGGGTGTTGTGTCGCTTGCCGACGATTATGATTGCCATCTTTGGGAGACCATTTGCGGTGTCCTTTGCCGAGTAGACGGTTTTGCAGGCCTGTTTGAGGAGGGGAAGTTCCTTGTCGATGACGAGGTTGTATTGGCCTTCGCTGACACCGTCACGGTAGACCACAATGTTTTCTGGGAATGCGCCCTCGTTGTGGGAGGCCCAGAGGCGGATTCGAGACTGGAGTAGTCGGTCGAGGTCTGAGACCATTTCGTCGCGGCGTTTTTGCACGACGATGTCCGCGGGCCATTGGGCGAGGTCTTTGTCGACCGAGGCGACGATGCCGGCGACGCTGGGCGCGTTGTCGGTTGAGCCCGGGGATGGGTGGGTGACGCTCTAGACCGACGAGCATGGTCTTGCCATCGCCGAATAGGCCCATGTTCTTGAGGCTTTGGTTGGCGCCGCCGAGTTTTAGGTTGATTTTCAGGCCCACGTTGGCGCAGTATTGGTCGAGACCTCGGTCCGATGTGAGCTTGCTTGCTTGAACGTTGACGTTCTTGACGCCGTAGGTTACATCGCAGGTCTGTTTTATACTGTTGTAAATGGCGGTGTCTGTGTTGGACATGATACCAAGGATCAGATCCAGTTTGCCGTGTTTATCGAGAAGGCCCTTTATCTCCTTCTGGATATTTCCTGGCTGCGGTTGTAGAATCCGGGCGCCCTGCTTTGGTGCCTCAACGGCAATGCCTGCCTTCCTGAGATGATCGGCGAAAGTTGACAACAAGTCGTTGACGTCTGTGTTGCTCATTCGATCGTACTGTCTTCCAGGGAAGAAGATAAATGTCCAGTTCTTCAGGGCGCCGGATTTGCAGAACTTGATATCTTGCATGTTCCAGGAACCTCTGACAGGGGTGAAAGACTTGTTGTTTTTGTAGTAGACTGTCGGCGCAGGGAGGACACGGCCCTTGACAGTGATCAGATCCGGGTTCACGCCGACGCCAAATGATGCCTAGTAGAAAGTTAGTACTGTTATTTCCCTTTCATGTTAGAAAGACATACCAGTGTACCGTTCGGCGGGTTAACTCCTAGCATGCTCACGCCGTTGGTCGCGATGGCCTCGGCATTCTGCGCTGGGCTACGACCTCTAACTGCAAAGTTGAGCATGTTCTTTGTCTGGTCTGGCGACAGTTTGTTGGCCACTGGCTGACCAACTGGGACATCGCATGCCTCAACGGGCAGATAGCTAGGCTCGGCTCGGCTGCCGACATTGATAACAGGGAACTCGTTGTTAATATTCATGCCGTATGCTAAAAGGACATAGCGTCAACGTGTGGAAGGAGAAACTTGCCAAATACGCACCCAAACTTACAATCCAAGAAGTATTGTGCAACAGAAACGTATTTCCCTGCCTGAGCTGGGCCGGCGGGAGCTGGGCCCTTCTTACCCTTCTTGCCAGCCCCAGCTGCTTTCGGCGCCGCTTGACCTGGGGCTCTCAAGAAGAACTGCACATCATTGGGACCAGCGCCATCACGAGCGACCTTAGGCGGATTTGGGGATGATCTACCATCTTCCCTCTTGGCCAGACCGGAAATAGTCTTGGGCGGGGCAGGTCGAGGCTTTCCACTGCTTGTCTTGCGCTTGATATGGTTTGGCGTGATGCGCATACGCGTCAAGAATTTAGCAAGAAGGTAAGACTTCTTGCCATCGTATGCATATCTGTACTCTGCACCATTCCGGAAGTCCTGGATGGTCTGGGCTAAAGAGCCTGCCTTGTAGCAGGCCACATACTTGACCTGGACGTTCAGCAACACCCGTGCGGTAGCCGCGCGGACACTGATGAAAAATCCGCGAAGAACCTCGAGACCACCGGAGAGATCCTGACGATCTATGAGCTGACTGGAGACTCCGAAATGCTTGTTAGCTCCGACGGAGACTACGTCGGTGCTGGTCTTGGGGTGGTGGCCCATAATGATGTTTAGAGCGGCGATGAGCTCTGGCTTGGTGGCTAGCATGTCCCCGCCTTAGTAGAGGTTAGGTGGTTGATCAAATCGACGGAGTCGAGATGGCGGACACTGGTACATTTGACTTGGTACACGCGAGGGTCCTCGGGGTATTCGTCTTCGCCTTCGGCCTTGTATCTGATGTTGAAGGTCTGGCCCTCAGTAAGATTGAGGTCGACAGCCGAGATGATTGTGGAGCGATAATCAGTTGCGACGTGGGATTTCTGGGCGGCGAAGTGTTCGTCAACGAGGCAGGCGATAATCTGGCGAGCTTTCTTTCCAGCTGGAGCGTCCCGAACTTTCTCGGCCACGATCTCGACATTATATCGGTGCAGAAGCTTCCCCTTGGCAAGACCTGTGAGCGACAGGTAGTTGGCGTACAAAGTCACCTCTTTGCCTAGGGTTCCATATCCCGGGCGCAAGGGATATGCCTGATCGGCTTGCTTGAAGCCCACGAGGGATTTTGCGAGGGCGTTCTCGGTCTTGAGAACGTTGGCATCGGGGGCGGGGACGGATTGACCTGCACTGTAATGAAATCTTTGTTAGCTAGCTGCATTGCCATCACCGGGTCGGAGACGGATATACCGATAGATGCTGGGACCCTGTGGTCCAGATTGAAATCCACCACGACCACCTCGACCTCCACGATCGCCTCCGCGGCCGCGATAGCCGTCGTCTCCGCGACCACGGCCTCCTCCACGACCTCGGTAGCCGTCGTCCCCTCCACGACCGCGGCCTCCTCGATCACTTCCGCCTCGATTGCCTCCTCCACGACCTCGATAGTTATCATCCCCTCCACGACCTCTTGCTGGGCGGAATGGCATGCTGGTATCACCACGGCCACTGCCGTTGCCGTCACCACGGCCGCGTCCGCGACCCCCACGATCTCCTCCTCCTCGGTCTCCACGGTCTCCACGGCCTCGGCCTCGACCACGATTATCGGACATGATGGCAACACACCTCAATGGAATTAAGGAAGGAGGTGTCTGAGGAGGAGAGACAAGGTCTTGGGTGAAGAGGGCTCTTTATAGCTTCAATGATGGGGCTATCGAGTGGGCATTGAATGGCATTGGGCGAACGAGCAACCCCACTGTTCTGTTTCTTTGTTGTGTTTGGCGCTGTGTTTGTGCTGTGGGCCTCGACCGGGGTATAATTGGGGACTGTTTGCTTGAGAAGAGAATATTGTATGGATCTCTTTGAGGGAATGGAGCAATCAAAGGAGCAGGGATGTGTTGGTGCAACCGGGATGCTGAAGTTGACGTGTATGAAGTGGTGTGTTTGCAGGTGCAGGTGCGGGATGCGGTCTGGTGTGGGTGTGGTTGATTGCTAGTGCAGTGCCAGTACAAAGTACTGCAACACTATCACTACATAGTATGTATAGTGTTCACCACACAGCTGTACTGGATTTATCTATTAATTATCTTAGTAAATAGGTGAGCCTGGGCATATAAATAAGTACTAATATTCATTGTTAATATACTCTGTCTAATACTAGTATAAATACTCGTACCATATTAGCCAAGCTGTATGAGCTTAGTGGCAGCATACGACTACTTATAGTTAGTATGGCCGTGCTGGCATGAGTCATAACTATACGAGCTTAGATCTAGACTACTACTAACCAATAGTTACTCCTGCTAATGTTGTGTCCGCACCGAGTGAGATCATCACATGGCGATAAGCACCCAAAAACGGAGATTAGCGGTGATTAATCAGCGCAGCCAGTGAGAGCCATCCACTCTTCTCTTCTTCTTCCTCCTCCATAAACTTTCTTTCTTCCACTTGACCTCCTATTCTTAGAGGCTTACACTGGAATAATTCCTGCGCCTTCTCACTCTGCGCATCTTGCTGTTGCTCTGCGACTTGGTTCAACCCCTTTCACGCATCCAGCCCAGCGGCGTCATACGAGGACAATCCACCCCCACCCAACGGCAGAGCTCCAGCACATGCTAGCAGCCCGCGCAATCGGATCGACCTAGACAAATCGGCGCAACCCTTCTTCTCCTCCACTATCGCACCCCGTGTTTCAGCTTTGAGTCGACCTGTCCGATTCAATCCCGGAATACTCTCGTACTGGTGTTGCGCCTGAACGAGCCAAAAGCCAGAAACAGCCCCCATTCCAGTGGTTCCTAGTGGGCGCAAGGCTTGCGCATATTCTCTGTGGCCAGGGGCGAGGAGAAACATCGCTTCCTGAGCACCGCGCAATATATTCACCCGTTTCCCGAGCTATTTTAGCAGCCGAGAAAAAGTACTGCAGATTCCAGCAGTCCACCTCCGCCCCGCGGTGATTCGTTACGCCATCCGGAAACCGTTCACGTTGAAGCCGCGTGCCACTATATCGAGTCTGCACTGTGCGAGCGACTTCCCTCTACCTAACGAGACGGGCGCATAAACCTCGCATTTGGAGGAGCAACACCCATCGCACTGCCCAAACGACAGGCGAATACCCAACTCAACCCCCGCATACACCACCCACCACTCATCATGTCTCCCACACCGCCCTCTACAACATCTTCAAGCGGCCACTCGCCAGAGTTCAGAGTGATCCGGAAACGAAATCGAGTCCCGCTTTCATGCGCCCCTTGTCGACACAGGAAGTAGGTTTCCAAATCCCCTGATTTACCAGATGTCTCGATTGACCAAACGCCGCAGGCTGAAATGCAACCGCGGACACCCGTGCGAAAACTGCGTCAAACGAGGCGATGGCCCCTCTTGCACCTATGCCCAGACCGGTACTCGGAAGAAGAACTCGTCTCAACAGGCATCTCCAACGTCACCAGATGACATGCAGAACCGAATCGATCGCTTGGAAGGCTTGGTTCTCTCCTTGATGACCAATGGGACACAATCTGACGGCCCAGCCGCTGCTATGGCCGCTATATCGGGTGAGAGCACGACTGGGTCGACTGGTTTGTCAAATGAGATCGAGTTGGACGATGACGAGGGGCCGGAGAGCGATACCGAACAAGTTACCAAGTCCTTTGGTATTATGAAGGTGGACAACAACAAGTCCTACTACATCAGTGAAGCTCACTGGGCATCCGTCTTAAATGATGTGAGTTCGCATGTTGGCGTGAACTACCCCGTCTCACCATTTTTCAATGGCTAACGAATGCTATGAACTAGATTTCCGAGGTAAAAAATTACTTCGCTACGCATAAGAAGCAGTTCGAGGAGCAAGCGGAAAAGGTCAAGGCTACCCGCCCGCGGACCGATGTCCCTGAATCCACGTTGCTCTTCGGAGCCATGAAACCATTGAGTCGACCCGAAATTATGGCTTCATTGCCGTCAAAATATACGGCAGATCTCCTCGTAGCTCGCTATTTCAACACGTACGACCCAGCTACCCACATTCTCCACGGCCCAACCTTCCAAACGCAATACAATAAGCACTGGGAGGATCCATCGCAGACAGAGCTGGTTTGGATTGCCATGCTGTTTGCTATGATGAGACTCGCAATGCTCTCCTATTATAGGGAGGGCGACGAGCCCCCCAGAGTTTCGTGGCAAGGCTATGGACATGGCTGGATCTTTCCGCAATTCTGTTGCCCAATGCTTGACCCTGGCAGACTATACCAAGCCACATCCGTTCCTCATCGAATCGCTGGTATTCCATCTCCACGCTGATTATACCCAGACCTGGGAGGCCGATATCTCAGTGTGGGTGCTGACAGGCGTGATTGCCCGTCTCGCTATGCGTATGGGATATCACCGCGATTCGAAGATGTTCCCCAACATCACTCCCTTCCAAGGCGAGATGAGACGACGTGTCTGGTCCTTTGTGGCAACTGCAGACCTGCTCTTTTCTTTCCAGGTTGGCATGCCGAGCATGCTCCGTGATGCCGATATGGACACAGAATTACCTCGCAATCTCTACGACGATGACTTTGATGAAAATTGCCTAGAACTTCCACCGCCTCGCCAGCTGACCGAGCCGACCCCGATTTCCTACTTGATCTCCAAATCCCGATTGGTATACGCTTTTGGGCGGGTTAACGAGCAGATGTCATCGCTCTCGTCGACTTCTTACGACAAGGTGATGGAGCTTGATGCAGACCTGCGCCGTGCGAGAGAGTTGATTCCCGACCACTTGCACATCCGACCGTTCGAAGAGTGTGCACTTGACCCGGTCAATCTTATCACATCGCGATTCTCTGTGAGTATTTCTTCGAGGCCCCGCGGGAAATTCCAATACTAACAGCTCCAGGTCGCAAGCATCTACCTCAAAGCACAATGTGTGCTACACCGACCCTATCTGGTCCGGTCCCGAGAGAATCCCCGGTTCACGTACTCTCGACGCACATGCATCGACTCCGCCATGGAGCTCCTCGAGTTCCACGCAACCTTGCAGTCAGAAGTAGGAAACGGACGTCTACGCGGCCGCTGCAACCCCGTCACTCCTATCAACTCGGCCGATTTCCTCCTGGCCGGCACAATTACCTGCCTTGATCTCTACCACACCTTTAACCTCCAGAACTCCGGTCGCCCGTCTGGCGACACCTACACCTGGGGGCGAGAACGGCGCGATGAAATGCTTGCTGCAATCAAACGCTCGAAAGAGATCTGGGATGAGACGAGCGACAAGAGCATGGAGTCGTTCAAGGCAAGCAGTGTCATCGGCGTGATGCTTAAGAAACTGCAAATCGCGATCCCAGGCTCCGAGAACGGCACTGGAAATGTCCCGTTCGAGCCACAGGATGAGAAGCAGAACGCCGCCATGACACTTGGTCTCCTGAGTAGTGGAATGAGTCCTATGAACCCGGGCCCGCCTCCATACTCAGATCCTATGTTCAAGATGTCCGACTCCCCCATGCCGACTGTGGGTCCGGCCGAGATGCCGGGCCCCGCTTCGCCCTTCAGTAGCATGTTTGGTCAAATGCCGGACATGCAAGTCAACCTTGACTGGGTAAGTTGATTCATCCAGCTAGCTAAAGCCCTCTATTTGGCCAAAGAGTGCCCCAGCTAACGCAACTCAATAGGACGCATGGGACACCTACCTTCAAAATCCAGGCTTCGACACAACAACCCCATTCTGGCCAATGACAAATCCTGGCATGGGCGTCCTACCACAACAGCAGCAGCAGCAGCAACAACAACAAGTCCCGAGTCCCATGGTCGACTCCCGGACTCCCTCTATCCCGCACAACGCCCCAAACGGTCAACGTGTACCCAACATGTTCAGCCCCAACTCAAATAGCTCCGATGGTGGCAGCGGGTCAATACCCGGATTCACACCCATGTCCCAGCAAAGTACGAATACCGGCCGGAGTCAAGGATCAATGTAATGCTGAGGTGGATTCGGTTTCCTTCCGGCAACCATGACCTAGTTTTCTAGGCACGAGACTGACGACAATGCTTTTTTTGGATTTGATTGGATTTGGATTGGGTATTCTTTTACCGCCTTTTACTATTACCCCCATGCCCTGCGTTTCTATCTTCGAGCGATGGATGCCTTGCGTTGCAAGTTTTTTGATTCGGTGTCGGGAGATTACTAGAGGTTATTAGTTAGTATCCCTTTTTTTTCGCGAGCGATTTGATGATACACGGATCTGGACGGACACGGACAAAGGCATGGATTGGACTGGATTGTATATATCTCCTGTTTTCATGGATGGATATTTGACTGCGATAAAAGCCTCGTATTGGTTATATGCTTTGCGCTGGATGGGCGATTTGCCTGGGTGGTTGGTTTCTCTTCTCTTCTCTTTCTCTGTATCATATCATGATCTTTTTAGTTTGGATATACAATTAAGACTCCTCTCTACATACTTTACCTACTAGGTATACCCGGGCAGGGTGGTCAGTGATTCTTAAAAGCTTCTCCACCTGGGCAGGAATCGATCTTCCGTTAATCTTGTAATATTACTAGTTCAATTAAGTCTGTTTCTCCTAGTCAACCCTAATTACAATTACATCAAATCATTTCCACATCGGACTCGACGTAGCTTCACAAAATTCGTTGCTAGATCGCCCACTCGCCCCTTCTGACGGGTATGCAGGCTCAGTGGTAACCTCAATCGTGGTCTCCTGGTGCACCTTTCCAATTGGCGCCAATTCAAGGTCCGATCGAAATATTCGATCCTCTGAGCCCCCTCGCTCCGTAATTGTGCCGTTCATAGTGTTTTGCTTCCGGCTCTTAGGCTCGGCTGTGATGGTGGTGAGGTGAGTTTTGACATCACGTCCACGACTGCCTGGGAACATGCTGTAGGAGCGATCTTGACTAGGTTCGGAGTCGATTATGAGGTTGCGGCGTGTAAGCGTATATAAAATCACGTCGACAAGGCCGGAGCTGGTAATAATAGCACCTTCAAAGCACTGGCAGTTAGCAAATATTCTAATTCTTATCCAGAATGGATTGACGCAATATGACGGAGCTACTACTCACCGGCACTGCAAAAGAATGCGACAGAGGGCATTTTGCCACTCATATTTGCCATACGTCCTGCTGCCAAGGGCAGGGAAAGCACGACGTAAACAATGGGATAAATGGTCATATACCCAACGACACGGCGCAAACGCTTCAGGCCCTCGATGTGGCTATTTCCCAGAATCGCAGAGGCGGAAATTTGCCGCCGAAGCTGGGTGTACATCACCGCGTAGAGACAGAGAGTACCGAATTCGGCGAGGAAAATCCAGAAATAATGCGTCCAAAGACGAAGGGCTTCATAGTCTTCCCTGATCCAACACCAAGCACCAGATGGGACAAAAGCATCAGCCCCATGGGATGCTAGAGGGATAATCATAAGAATAAGAACCATTGACCAGATCCCACAAACGAATGTGACGAAGGTTTTGTGGGACATCTTGTATCCCCAAACGATAAGTAAAAATGTATGGAAGGCAATACCGAGGACGAAAAGACCGCTTCCTGGATTTGCCATTTGGAGCCATAGGCCCTGAAGGAAACATGCAGCGGTGCCAGAATTTATCTTGTCGTCTATTATCCATTTCAAGCAGATGAGATAGGCGATTGATTGTAAGAAGTCGGCGAGAACCAAGTTGTAGATGAGAATGATGTACTGATTGTAGCCGATATATCGTTTGAAGTGTAATTTCCAGAAAATGAGGCGATATGTGATGAATCCTCAGGAGAGATGATGTGGCGATGAATGAAAGAAGTGCCATAATCGAGACGGCGATAAGGCCCCTCCGCTGCTCCAGGGGTAAAGGATTGATGTCTAAGTTTGAGTCGCTGGCTGAGCGTGTCATCAGCTCGCCCGCTGAGTGCAAAGATGCCTCAGTTATGGTGGTGAGGGCAGCCATTGTCGAAGTTTTCCTTTTAATTATCAACCCTCGAGCAAGATTCCGGTATCGATGTTTGAGAGAAAGTCGTCAGCTTGAGGTGAGGCTGTTGGCGCTGCGGAGGGGTCGATAAAAAGTATAGTATTAGAAACTCAACATTTCTAATAATGATCCGAGTTTGAACATGAGCGCGATCCTGCCAAGTAATTTGGCAGGTACCAAGAATGGAGATAGAGGAGACGAAAAGAGAAGGGAGGTGGACCTTCTAGATATGCAGTACGAACGCCATGACGTTGTTAACGCTCAAAGAGCAGAACCTGGGTCAAAGTTCAGGTGGACACCATCGTCGGTACAGAAAGAACTCTAACACCATTGGAAACATGTGGCCGATACCAAGGCCAACCACTCTTCCTTGGATACAAGGTATATGTGGAGACCGAATTAAGCTTTACAACTTGAACTATTGGATTGAATAAATCGGTTTGCTCTCAGACTCCGTAGTATCGTTCCACTTATTTTGATCACTATGAGAGTGCATGTCACGAAATATCGAACTTTCATCATTGCCGAACAGTGTGAGGCCAAGTCAACTTGCGAACAGCCCCATGCAGAGCAGTCAGAAATTCATGCTTCTCGGGCTTCTCGTTGGCCCGGGATTCTCGTTAGCCGGATTCACATTGAATCCGGAGAACGAAAAGTCTCCGGCGTCCGAGGCAAAGGCACTATCCAGGACGATTGATGGGGCGAACCGGCCTCTGCTTATGCCTTATAAATGAAACAAATTTGTTTCCCATCATGCTTTAGCGCTCATACATGCCCGCGTAAGGGAGAGCCACTGTAGTCTTTGGAGCAGCAGGTTGGCGAAATGTGGCAACTTGATGTGTTTCCTCGGCAGTAACTAACATCACCAATATCCAGAAATTTCATGTGCTTCCCAAAGCAATAAAACTCTGTACGGAGCAGGGGCTAAAACATTGCTTTCTAGCATCGGTGTGCCGATCTCATGAACGTGCCGTCCGAGCTGCGAACTAAGCTTTGATGCGCCCGACGGTATTCGGTACCGGGATTGCGATGGAGTCTAGTGAACCAGTCGCCCAGGGGTGATTGGCAAAAAATTGAGTATTCGAGAGGCGATTAAATTCAGGGATCGCATGCAGACGAACGTTCCGACGCGTGTCGCAATATTCTCCCGTAATATTGAACTTTGACATAACTCCATCTGATAGAAGAGTGGAGAATCATCCTTGTTGATGTTGCATTTGGTCCCACAAAACACACAGATACATACAGGATTGTAGTTCTCACAATTCCCCTAATATGACAAGATTCAGAGTTACCTAAGATCTGCAAGTCTTCGGGGCGTCGCTCGTGTCGTTGAAAGTTCAGAGTGGACCAGGAAGGTTTTTGTAAGAAGGCTGACATGTAACATGCGACAAACCCAGCCAATGGGAGACGGGTTCTTCAAGTGTTTCAAACTTAGAGCCCCAGAATCCGGGCACGCTAGGGGGATCAAGCTTCTATCCCGCGTGCTTCGATTGTGGAGGAAACTGCCGCCCCAACTTGCTGTTTCACTGGGTCTTCCCCCAACATAGTGGCAATCGACTCGGTGTTTGTACCAAGGTGGCAGCATCCCAAAATTCACAGGGTTCGCTATAAAAATTCGGACACAGACTATTGTATTCCAAATTATGTATTGGTATATCTTAAGAAAAACCTATAGCCAGGACGGCCAGGAACTACTTAGTTGGTGCTAGTAGCGTCATGTCATTGGTGTGGTAGATAGGCCAGTAATAAAGATAAAAAAATTACCATATTACTGCTTGGCATTCTGTCCAATACCTACCCTACTACCCAGTTGTATATTTATTACACTGAATTGCTGGGATCAAACAATTTGTATATGTAGAATAGCTTCACTAAGAGGGGGGAGGCAGATCCTTAGTATGACAAGGAACGCTAGTAGTTTTGGGACGCTGGCAGAGACACTGGGTCGATCGCCAACATGGAGAGCTGTAAATATCATTACTGTGAACTAGTCCGGCGCAAACTTGAGGCTTGTGTGGCCCGTTAGTGACGAAAACTTTACGAAATCTTTTCACATGTTATCAAAAGGCATCCATTGGCATTACGATGCTCGGACAAATCCTTTCATGCCGACAACTATCTTTTTAATTCGATCAATATTGCGGCTTGAAACTCACCTAGCACCAGCTTCGCCCTGCCGATCATAAGGATCGTACGCCGACTATATGCCCGTATGGCACTAGTTATTCCATTTTTATCCACCCTGTACCAAATTACACTTCGTTGCAACCTTCCTCGGCTGCAAATCATGTTTGAGTTCTTTATGTATGCAGTTCATAAATTTTGCCTAGCGTGATATTTCTTTCTGTCAGGGGAGGGAGGCCAATTCTTTTTCTTTCTCTTTCTTCAGCCTGGTGCAACGTCCTCCAGACAAGTTACATCGGTATCGTTTTCGCTATGGCCGAAGCGACAGTTAAGGGAGGTATCATCGACAATGTGTCGCAACTCTCTGATGCTCAGAAGGACCCAAGTGCTCTCAGAGAGCAAAAGTTGGTCGATTTGGAAGATCCAGACGCGAACTTGAGCCAGGAAGAGCGAGAGGCAATCGTATGCGAGACCATTTCATTTTTCTCATCTGCAATTTCAATTCTTTTTGAAGCGCAAGCGGATTCAGTTCCTAATCACCATTTTGCATAGGACCGTCGCCTGCTGTGGAAGTTGGATTTGCGACTAGTCCCATGGTTGAGCCTGCTATATCTCATTTCGTTCCTTGATAGGTGAGATAGTATCAAAGCTCCGCCAACGTGAAATTCTAACAAGCAAATTTTTGAAGGACCAATATCGGCAATGCAAAGATTGCCGGCTTGACCAAAGACTTAGGGATGACCTCCAACCAGTACAATGCAACGCTCACCATTTTCTTCGTCTCCTATTCCGTCTTTGAGCCCTTCACCAACATCCTTCTGAAGCGTCTACGCCCGAGCATATTTATTCCGCTCATCATGGTGTCTTGGGTGAATATGAATCTAATGCCTTGCATACTCACTTGAAGTCGCTAGCTAACCGGTGCTCGTCTCCTAGGGAATATGCATGACATGTATGGGCTTGGTCAAAAACTATTCCGGAATAATGGCAGTACGCTGGTTCCTCGGTCTGAGCGAGGCAGGGCTATTCCCAGGGGTGGGTTATTTGTTGTCATGCTGGTACAAGCGATCAGAGCTCGGCGTGCGCATGGCAATTTTCTTTTCCGCGGCCGCACTGGCTGGCTCATTCGGTGGCCTACTGGCAGCAGCGATTGCAAAGATGGATGGAATCGGCGGGAAATCAGACTGGTCGTGGATCTTTATCCTGGAAGGTCTCGCCACAATCCTCGTTGGTATTGCCTCCTTCTGGTGTGTTTATGACTTTCCAGACCAGGCGAAGTTCCTGTCGCAGGCAGATCGCGCGCGTGTTCTTCGTCGTCTTGCTTTGGATCAGCAGTCAAGTGCAGCGCATGAGGATTTTAAGATGGATTATTTCTGGACCAGTGTCAAAGATTGGAAAACCTACACTGGGGCTATCATTTATATGGGGGCGGATGGTGCACTGTACGCCTTTTCTCTGTTTGTGCCTACGATCATCAGTGAACTAGTGAGTGACCTTGAAAAAATCTGTCAAAGGTATCAAAGCTAATTTGGATGTCCAGGGTAAATATTGCACACCGTTATGGGATGCAAGGTGCGGTGGACTGACTTGTTTTTATAGGCTATAGTTCGATCCGTGCTCAGCTTTTGAGTGTTCCCCCATATGCTGCTGCGGCTGTTTTGACGGTGGCTATTGGCTTTATCGCCGATCGCACACGCCAGCGAGGTCTTTGCAACATCGCTGTGTCAATCATTGGTATGGCAGGCTTCGGCATGTTACTGGGCTGCGAGTCAGCAGGTGGGCGCTACGCTGGTATTTTCCTAGGCGCAATGGGTATTTATCCAGCGATTGCAAACACCATTTCTTGGAGTAGCAACAACACTGAAGGTCAGTTGGTACTTATCAAACGGTCATAACTTACTATTACCCGTTCAAGAGCTAAATTCGTTTTAGGTGTCTATAAGCGTGGTGTCTCTCTAGGCTTTATTATCGGCTGGGGTAACCTCAACGGGATCGTCTCCTCCAATATCTACCGTGATGCAGATGCCCCCCGGTTTTACCCTGGGCATGGCGTTGTGCTCGGCTATCTTGTGCTCTTTTTATTCGGTGGCTCTATCTTGCAGTACTTCCTACTGCGTCGCGAAAACTCAAAGCGTAGGCGCGGAGAACGGGACGCCTCGATTAAGGGCTTGGATGAAAGTCAGATCGAGCTACTGGGTGACAAGCGTCCTGATTTTATCTATACCTTATAGGTCTCATTCCAAGGTTTCCTTGGAGATCGTGAGTGGTAGAGCCAACCTTAGAATATAGATTGTATTACTAGTACATAGACAGAAGATTTGGCCGGACCTCGACCATGTCAAATTTCAAGTCCCGAGGTCGAAGCGGGCAGATTAGCCACGGGCGACATAATTTTGAATCCATAAATCGTATATGCCCATAAAACCTGTCGTTAGATTTTGAAATCTAGTCCATTCATTCTAGCTGGAAATTCAAATCCCGCGATAAAATCTGTTTATGATAGTAGAAATTAAACATTAATTACTTGGATTGGCTGTTCTCAACATTAGATCTCTGACGCTCATAGTACTGAGCCTCCGTAATGGTTACTCCACTTGAAAATTCAGGGTAGTAGGCGCGGGAGGAAACACTATACTTGGGCGGACAAAGGAACACATCTTCCTTCTCGACAATTGAACAACGTCCATCTGTATAAATCACGTTCCCAGGATGCTCCATCCCCCAATCTCCCCATTGTTGTTCCCTAGTCTGGAGATCCTCACAATAGCTAGCAAAGCAGAATAGATCTGTAAGGCAAATTCTGAACGATCCATCGTAGAGCTCTGAGCAATCATTTTCTGGGTCATTAGGGTCAAAGTCACAGTCAATCACATTGACATATCCGACTAAGCCAGAATGAGACTTATCATCTGGCTCTGAGCTCACCAAAATTGACCGGATAGAGCGGTCATCTAAAACGAGGCAGTAGTCGAATCGAGGTCTACCCAGATTATGACAGTAGCCTCGCCCTTCGGCCCATTCGACATGTCGCTTTCGAATGGTATCTGTCGATGCATTTTCTAGGTTGGGATCCTCAACAATCACATTTCGATAGCCCTCACGAACGAGTTCATGGATATTAGGCTGAAATGAGAACTGTGATAAAAGGCCGCAATTTTCAGCAGTCGGCATACTGGCGTAGCAGTACCGATCAATCTTCGCGATCACAGCGGCCCAGTCCGGGTCAGATATACTTCCAAAGCTCGTGCGGTAGATAAAATATCCCCACGGCCAGCCCCCAGCCATCCCAGTATGGTACTGGAAAAACCGGGGAGCATGGCCATTCCAGCCAGATCTCCATCCCGGTTTTGTCGCGAATCGCCTTTTTCTTTCACGTGGAAGTTCCTCGGGGGGAAATTCGGATGATCGCCATGGGGTAGCCCACGAATCGTCGTGGAAGAGATCCATGCTTCCAATTTTCGACAGAACAGAACCTCCCAGGAAATGTGAAATGAATCAAAATTAGGATCTGTTACCCCGCTTAATATATTATTGTCGACTGGAAGGTTCAAGTTCCTCATGACTCAGAAGTTGTCTGCTAGTAACTAACTATAGTTTGAGGGCTGGCGTCTTGGCGATTGATGCCTGAGACTTCAGGCCAAAAATGCATATCAGCCACCCCACGTGACCTTATCGAAACTTTTCGGCGCGCGCCCCGACGGACATTGACATTGAACCAGCTTGACTATTTGGAACTCTTCCATACCCTGCACTTCGCATCTTGATTTCTTCCCGGGCGGCGTCTTTCAGAATATCTGCCCTGCTTTTGGATCAACATGTATGCTCCCCACTCTACTATTGAATCTATAAACACCTCCACAGCACCCTATCCGCGCATATACCAGAACAAACCACTAACTCGAGCAATAGGCACTGTCTCCGCCAAGCCAGCTCAAGGCTACTGAGCTCTTCTCCAAAAATCCCCATTTCTAGATCAATCCGCCCCGACATCCTCACTTCCTTTCCTCGCACTCCCCGGCCATTCTCCGCGTACCAAGCCCGATGGAATTCTTCACAAAATGACCCACGCTTGACACCTTCCCAGCCTCCCAAGGAGGAGGTTGACGTCGAGGCCGAGGCCTCAGAACAACGTCGACAGCCGAGTGTATTAGAAAATGAGAGACCTGTTGAAGACGCCGCGGCCGAGTCCATCAACCAGGCCTCTGCGGCCCCCAGCAAGCGCGAAAATCGCATGCGTAAACTCAACAAACGCATGCAGGAGCAAGCCGAAAACTATTCACCGCCGGAGTCGGAGACAATTTACGTGGGTAATTTGTTCTACGATGTTGAGGCGGAGGATCTACGGACGAGGATGGAGCAGTTTGGAACCGTCATTCAGGCGTTGATTGTTTATGATAATCGGGGTTTGAGTAAAGGGTAAGTTTTCACCATGACCCTCAATTGATCATAATATGCGCATTATACTCCACACGCACGTTGATCCGTTTTACCTTTTCCCAGCGGAGGCTAATTCTCGTTTTCATTATAACAGATTCGGCTACGTCCAGTTCAACACCACCGAAGAAGCCCGCAGCGCTATCGAAAACCTGCACCTCCAAGTCTTCGAAGGCCGCCAAATCGTCGTGCAATTTTCGCACAGCCAGCTCCGACAAAATGATCAACGGTACGAGCAGTCAAATACCTTATTTATCGGCAATATCCCGTACGAGTGTACGGACCGTGATGTCCAGGCTATTTTCGCCGATACTAAGAATTTGGTCGATGTCCGGTTCGCGGTGGATCGGCGGTCTGGGGCTCCGCGCGGATTCTGTCATGCGGAGTTCGTGAGCATTGGTGCGGCTGTGAAGGCTATGGAGAAGTTGAGGGTTAAGAGGCCATATGGAAGAATGTTGAAGGTTGAGTATTCCACGAGGAAGCGGGTTTCGTTTATGGCGGGGGAGAACGTTAAGGCACAGGAAAGGAGGGAATGGGGAGAGAGAACAACAGGAGCAGGAGGCGGAGAATAGGGATATCGAGAGTCGGACCGACTTCCGAGTTTAATTTGATGTTGGGGAGGAGTGTACATTATGAAGAGAGGGACTTTAGGGCAGTCCAGTGTCCACTGTATATTATTGAACTACAACAAAAATCTGTATACTGCATTACTACTACAACTATTCTTCTACTGTAGTTACCCTACTGTTGATGTTGATCTCCATTTACTCCGCGGCAGTTGATACCACGTGACCCCGGGGAACCTCGGCTGGCGGAAAAGCGGCCTGAAGTGGGCGAGCCCCACGTCGATTAGTTATCCGGGGCTTCTCCTCTCTCTCGCATGTGCCCGCTACTCTTCTCTTTCCCCGAATGCTTTTTTGATTTTGGGTTTCGACTTTTATAATCATCACTCTCACATTTACACACTCACCATGTCCTTCCTCGGTGGCGCGGAGTGCTCCACGGCAGGAAACCCTCTGACACAATTCACCAAGCACGTCCAAGATGACAAGTCCCTCCAAAGAGACCGGCTGGTCGGCTGGGGACCAGGAATGCAAGAAGGCATGCGGTCACGAGGGATGATGGGTGGACAAGACCAGGTCAGTGAACAGTTTCCAATTCCCAACCGGGCAATGCAATGAATGCAATGCACACCGAACCCCTCCCTGGCATGATATACGCATTTGAAGAACAAGAAGCTCACTGAAGGCCATAACTCGGCCACTTTATCACAGATGATGGACGATTTTATGCAACAGCCCGGACAACAAATAAACGGCCCCTCCCCTCAGCCCTTCGCCATGGAACACATGCGCCGCGAGCTGGAGAACTTCCAGACCGCTCCCCCGCGCACGGGATCACCTGGCTGGGCCGCGGAATTCGATCCCGGTGAGCAGGCCCGTATGGAGGGTGCTTTTCCCGGACAGCAAATGAACAACACTTCCGGTTTTACACCTGCCGAATTCGCTCGTTTCCAACAGCAGAGTCGCATGGGCATGCCCCAGAATTCCAGCCCGGCTACCACCGCCACACCCCCACAGATGGCGGGGTACCAACGACCCATGGGGATGGGTGGTGGATATATGGGCGGCATGGGAGGTATGGGTATGGGAATGGGCGGTATGGGTATGCGGCCTATGGGTATGCAGTCTCCGATGGCGCAGCAGCCGGTAGAGGGCCAGACGCAGGATAAGGGCAAAGGCCGGATGGTTGAGCTCGATGATGAGAATTGGGAGGCGCAGTTTGCCGAGATGGAGACGGCGGGTAATGAGACGCGTACGGATGACGAGGCGAATGCCGCTATGGAGGCGGAACTGAATGAGCTGGACAGGTCAGTGCCCTCCAATGATGCCTTCGAGTCTGTATGGGAAAGGATTCAGACTGAGACAGCCGCGAGCAGAAAACTGGCCGAGCAAGATGACTTTGAAGTTACCGAAGACGTGCATGTGGGCGATCTGGGTGATTGGGAGGGATTCGATACTTTGAATACCCGTTTCCGCGATCCTCAGCTTGGTGATTACATGTTCGAGGAGGATAATGTGTACCAGGCTATCAACAACCCGTTCGAGGAAGGTGTCAAGATTATGCGCGAAGGTGGTAACTTGTCTCTTGCAGCTTTGGCTTTCGAAGCTGCGGTTCAGAAGGACCCGCAACATGTCCAGGCCTGGACGATGCTGGGTTCTGCGCAGGCCCAGAACGAAAAAGAGTTGCCGGCCATCCGCGCCTTGGAGCAGGCACTGAAGATTGATGCTGGTAATCTGGATGCACTCATGGGTCTGGCCGTCTCATATACGAACGAAGGCTACGACTCTACTGCTTACCGGACTCTTGAACGCTGGCTGTCAAACAAGTATCCTTCCATCATCAACCCGAGTGAGGTTTCCGGCGACGCCGACTTGGGCTTCACAGATCGTCAACTCTTGCACGACCGCGTTACAGAACTCTTCATTCAAGCTGCACAGCTTTCTCCATCCGGCGCACAGATGGACCCCGACGTCCAAGTTGGCCTGGGTGTGCTTTTCTACTGTGCCGAGGAGTACGAAAAGGCCGTGGATTGCTTCTCCGCCGCCTTGGCCTCAACTGAGTCCGGCAGCACCAACCAGCAAGAGCAGCTGCACCTGCTCTGGAACCGTCTCGGTGCTACACTGGCCAACTCCGGTCGTTCGGAGGAGGCCATTGAGGCGTACGAACAAGCGCTTAACATTAACCCCAACTTTGTCCGCGCTCGCTACAACCTCGGAGTCTCATGTATCAACATCGGTTGCTACCCGGAGGCCGCGCAGCACCTCCTGGGCTCCCTTTCCATGCACCGCGTTGTTGAGCAAGAAGGCCGTGAACGTGCTCGCGAGATCATCAGTGGTGGTGGACCCGATGGCCTGGACGACGAGCGATTGGAGCGGATGCTCCACATCAGTCAAAACCAGAGCACCAACCTCTACGACACACTGCGCCGGGTCTTTAGCCAGATGGGCCGTCGTGATTTGGCGGATCAGGTTGTTGCGGGTATGGATGTGAACGTCTTCCGCAAGGAATTTGAATTCTAGTAATATTCCCATGAGCATGGAATTGCATGTCGGACCTTTGACATGAAGGTTTATCTCATTTTTTCTTTATCCTTTTTTTTCTGTTACTTCTTACTGGGATGCCAGCAGGGCCTGGCTGCATTGATGATATCCGTACCGAAAGTGTACGACTGGAATCATTCGGGTTGATTGGATATGCTCGAATAGAAATCTCATGACGAATCCACTCACGACCTATATCATATTTCATAGGGCATGAATCTCGTAGTAAAAGCGAAATCACACATGTAGCTAATTAGGCGACAGGATGAAACGGAGTCTTGTTCATTAATTCATCAACAATCTTTCCGACAGCAACTGCTTTCTCCTCTCCAAACCGCCCTCCAATAATCTGCACACAAATAGGCATTCCATCTACCAGATCGATGTCATCTAAGCCCGCGACTAGTCAGCATGTGAACCATCACCATCTGAATGCAACCAAAAGATACTCACACTGCGAATGATTAAACTCATCAGACTCATTCCTTCCAACATGACCCTTCCACTCCGCATCACCACCATCAATCTGTTTATCTGCCCTACCAATAGGAACAGTCACAGCAGCATAATCAAGCAAGTTCCACATAGCTGTATATCCCAACCACTGACTACTCTTCACCCAAGTCTTAGGTTTATATCCAACCCAGGGCAAAACCGGCATAAGGAGGGCATCGATACCCGCATCGACCCACTGAGCAAGCATTTGCGTCTGAAGGTCATATTTCTCCTCTTCTACTTTTTCCCGTTCCACGAATGACAACATATCTTCTTCCGTACCCACAACCATACCTTCAATCAACGGCTCGTCGATTATAGCGCACAACTTTCGACAGTGGGCGCCGCCGTCGCCGAGGATCGCTTTTGTCCAGAGATTGGTTGCTGGTGTGTGGAGGGTTGTGTCCCATTCAATGACTGGTTGTGGATTAGACTAGTTCATATCTTATACCAGTTCACATCTTGATTGCGCGCTTTGATAACATACCTTCGTGCCCGGCGTCTCTTAATGCTTGCACGGTTTCCCGCATAGCGCGTGCAACCGGAGGCTGCGGTTTGACGACGCCGTCGTCGAATACAACGCCAAGCTTCAGTTTGCGGTCAGTTGGGGGCGTGGCCAGCTCTTTGCGCCAGGGAATTGGAATCGCGGCCGGGTCGAGATTCCAGGGGGAGGAGGCGAGGAGTCTTTCCATGAAATATTCCGATGTTGATAAGGATGTAGACATTGGTCCTGCTACTGGTGGAACAAGATAATGTTGATGGAGGCTTTTGATGTTAGTATGACCGAGATGGATAACCAGCTAATGATGCTCGTGTTTCCTTTCCAGAATTCTGATAAGGAATGATTGCAACTGGGGGAAGTTCTTACATGGAACAGTCCCACGGCACACGCCCTGTTGTCGGACAGATAGAATACAAACCCTGAAGGTCTGAAGGTACTCGAATGGAGCCACCGATATCTGTGCCAATTCCTAGGATGCTGCCGCAAGATCCGATAAGAGCACCTTCGCCGCCAGAACTCCCGCCAGAGATGAGGGCGTGATTGAATGAGTTGACCGATTGACCGAAGACATGATTATACGAGTCGGACATCTGGGACTATTAACGGCTGAATTTCACATATCCCCAATAATTGGGAGACAAAACCTTATAAATAACAGCTGAACTCACCATAAGTGATTGCGGAATATTAGTCTTGACATACATCACCGCACCCATCGACTCAAGAAGTTGAACAATGGAGCTAGAAGTTTTAGCCGGCTTATTGATAAGACCGACCCAGCCTGCAAGTGTCAGCAAAAAAGGGAAGTAACCATGAGAAGAGTTCAAGAGATTCTCATATGTATTGTAGCTTACCGACTGTCGTATCAACCCCCTTAAGATCAAACCGATCCTTAACAGAAACCGGAATCCCATGCAAAGGTCCAATAACCTTCCCAGTTATTTCCAGATACTCATCCAACGCCCTCGCATTCGCAAGCGCCCTTTCGAAAAATATCTCCGTAAGACATTTAGTCACCTGCTGCGCAATCGCGGCACGTTTGCAAAATGCCGTCGTGAGCTGCTCGCTGCTTACGCGGCGCGAGGTAATGAGCGAGATTAGGTCGCGGATATCAGTTGTTTCAGTCCAGGATAGTTCGTCGGCGGTTAAAATGCCGCTGGATCGAATGACATGTATGCTCGAAGTGGGTAGGTTTTCCAATACTGAATCTGGGAGGCGCCAGGATGTTGGGATCGCGTTGATTTGGGTGTTGCGTTTGGTGAGCACAGCGGGCTTCCAGTGCGGGCCCTGGGGGTCTAGATTTGATGCCATGTTTGTTTTATTTGTGACTTATTACTAGTATTTATAGCTTTGCGGAAGGTTCGCAGGGATGGAATGTATCGGCCCTGGCAGAAATTGGGAAATTGTTGGGAGAGGTCATTGATATCCTGTCTAAAACTTGGCAGGGTAACCCCTCTTCCAAAGGTTGTTGAGATCATCGGGTCTGGCATGAGGTGAGGGGTCACACCCGAGAGGACCATTCACTGTATACTAGTAACCGGGGTGAATGCGGAGATGGAGAGTTTCACATTTGATCAAAGAAATATCGCGAGTATGACATTACTAGCATTAATAGTGTGGATAGTTAGTAGCTACTACTACTAATACTAATTACTAGCAACTTGAATATAGTAATCATCCGAATCAATCCGTGGATCCCACAATTCAGGATCTTTCCTCCTTCCAAGTTTTGCGCTATAATGCGTGGTGTGTATATACTAAAGACAGAGTTCTCTATGCAAAAGAAAAATAGACTCCCTCTTAATGCGGCCCGTACTGGACAGTGTTCAGTGACGGCTTGGTATCCCCACGCCTCTTAGCATATCTCTTCATCAAGCCATCTGGAGAGGGAGTATGCGATAAGGTAGTCTATTGGGTGCTTGTATCTCTTTATGTATTTTAAATGCTGATCCGATGTAAGGAATATTCGCTTACGAGGTCGTCTAGATTTGATTAGGTATGAAAAAACAATTTTCATAACCAACCCAAGTATGGAAAGTCAGGTCTTTGCTTCCGAGTCTTTATTCTTTATTGACGACATGGCATTTACAGCAGAGCACGTAATTGACATCCCCTTTCAGTTTGCAGAAATGCAAGTCCTCAGTGCCAGTCGGGTATGAGATAGCCTGCAAATCCTAATCGGCTATGTATCTACCTTCTTTCTGCCATCCACAAAGATATCTTGCCTGTTTATCCTCTGAAACAGCTAAAGGACTTTGGGTAATCGAAGTTCTGCAGGGCGTAGCATCCTTTCCCGCAGTTGCCTGGAAGAACCGCGCTCGCAATTCGTACTGTGGCTGTATGCTGTCAGTTTGTGGCTTTGAAGGATGATCGATTTGAAACCCATACAAGTCGAAAGTGCAGTGACTGTTCTGCTGAAGAAGCAAGCCTCTGTTATAGGAAATATGTTTAGCACCTCATCTGCTTCTTCGCTCAGGCATTGTACTCGTGCTTAGCATTCTCTATGTTGATACATTCTCCGGATTCAAACTTCTTGTTCAATCCGCGGCAGTTTTCTGCCCCGAAGACGGTGCCCTATACCACATTAATTACTGCAAATAGCAATCTTTGCTCATATTATCACGCAACGTACGATAAATATGCTGTTGCCATGCTTTGTGGGATAAGGAAAATGGCTGCGGTCTTGAAGTGCATCTTGAGTCTAGGTTCACAGAATATAGATTCTTGGGCAAATATTAAATATTTGAGGAATAAATGAATAGTGATATTTGCACTTCCAGGCCAAAAGTTGACAACTTAAATACCACCTAGGCACTCTAGCACGTGATAGCCTGGTTCAGTTTCCCCAATATATCATGATATATGACCAGCGGTGACGGCTCCGCATGACGTGACAAAGTTTGGAACAAGAAGTAAGGATAGGGAACTAGACAATGGTCGGCACTAGAACAACATATAGAGGCCCGGAGATTTGGGGTTAAAATTTCACCAGTTTGTACACTCTGTGTCCGGAGGTATCAGGATTAAGTCCTTGAGCAATTTGCAGAGTACCTAGTACTAGTAGCTTTACTACCAAGGTATGGTAGATCGATCTTTAACGCCCTAAACCCTAATACCACTATCCCTAAACCCCTCAAACCGCAAATCCTCCACCTCGCACTCAAGATTCTCCTTCGTCACCCACTTCCGATACTCCCTTTCCCCATAGGTCCCTGCCCGGGGTAACTCATCCAGCTCCGTCTTGCCAAACTTTGCACCTTTGCTGAGCAATAGCCGGACAATATCACTTGCTTCTCTAGCTTCATCGCGATACTTGCTTCTGTACCTGCCATTTAAAGCGTAGACCAGGGGTCTCAATCCTCGACTGTCAGATGTATTTACATCTGCACCTCTTTCGACGAGGGAGCGAACTTCCTCCCATCGATAGACAGAGGCTGCTGTCGCTAAACGAGTGTTTCGTTTCTGGGATCGGGATCTATGTGGAGGTTTCTGGTCGAGAGGGTTTGTGGGGGTATTTTCTATGTTGACTGCTGAAGGTTCAACTGGAGGGTTGGATCGTCAATACTAATACTTTCAAGTGGCCCCCTCGGGGCGGAGTATTGAAGATACCTTCTTCGACAGGAGGAACTTGGCCCGTATCTCCGACAGGAATATCTCCATTTTCTCCGAGTCCTCCGGGCTCATCTGCAGTCACATTTTGCTGGCTAGAGTAATCAGCACTACCAAAGAAACCAGCTTAGCATCGATTCTCTCCTCACAGCCAAGCAAAGAAAAAATCAGAAGTAATCCAAATCCAAATCCAGATTTAAAAAAGAAACATGGATACATACCCCTGCAACAACCTCTGAACCTCACCAAGTTTCCCCCTACAAATCCCGACCCTCCTCCTCTGAAACTCAATATCCTCACTCACAAAAGCAAACTTCTCCTTCGACGTCGGCCTCTGCGATCTCAGACTCGAATACCTCTGCAAAAAGCCATGGACTTTCTTCAAAATCGCATCGCAATCCGCTAACAGAGTTCGAATACCTGAAATTCGCTGCCCGGCGCGTCGGTAGCTGTTGTACTGCTCTGAGACATTCACGGCAATTTCGTAGCAGGATTGATAGGTCGTGTTTAGGTCTCGGTATATGCTGACGGAATTAGGGTATGCGACGCGGATGCTGGATACGCGGCTTATTATGCCTTTTAAGCCGCGGGTTGGTGGGGGGTTGGAAGTTGGGATTGGGATTGGGATGGATTTCTCCATTGCGGTATTCAAGTACCTGTGTTTGTGATGGAAGAAGGGTTTATGTTATTACTCCAGGGCTGTTTTAGCTGACGGTTTCGCGACATGGGAAATCTAGAGCTGTTATATAGACCCGTGGACTCAGACTGCCCAGATGCGGGACGCACGGATCTGACGGGAGTGAGCTGGCCGTGCAGATGGCGGCGAACCATTGCTCGAGGAACGACAGGGTGTTCTCTCAATGGCCAGGGAGCCTCAACGGGGCGATATGACAGGGTGGACTATAGGATAGGCCGTTCTGAAAATGGGGTGGCTACGTGTGTTTGACTTCTATGCGGCTTACTATTGCTAGCCCTGATGTGAACGAGGGAGGGGGGTGTGATCAAAGCTGGATTGCATCGATGCAAGAATACTTCCAACGTTCTTTGTCAACTTGAGACTAATGTACATGGTTTGCCTCCCTCGGTGAAATTTATACCGTCATCAACATATTGGCGTTCTTGTACCAGAATAACAGCGGGTTCTCGCCATTCCGTGTCTCCGTATCTTCAATATACGCCCAGCGATTCATGAAATCTTCATGAGTCGTCACTTGTGTGAGTTTGCCCGTAACGGCTCGGTAAACATCTTCGAATACATTGAAATCAGTTGGGAAAAAGATATCAAAGTATCCTTGGTGAACCTGCAGGGGAGGATGTTAGAATTAATCCCCAGTATACTGAGCGAAGAAAGGTTGGAAAAGCGGGGGGTACTCACAAATGGTGTCGACACAGTCACGGTCTTTCGCTTATACCGAGTCTGAACGACCGGCGCATTGATACCTGGCACGGCATCAGGCAGAACATTGAAGTCACTTGCCACAAGGCGGTGCGCAGGGAAATACTGGTTCAGAACATCAAAGAACTCCATCATCCGTGTAGGGATGTACTCAGGGAGCGTGTAGTCACCGCGGAAAGGAGACATGGAACGCAAGCCACGGAGATATGGGTGGCCGAGCGGACTGGGGAAAGGGCGGCGAGCTGCAGCCTGACGAACACGCATGAATCGAGCCGCCACAGGGTCCAACTTGGCATTGTAGTACTCGTGGAATTCGCCTTCCGCGTCGATAAGTACTCCGCCTTGCTGGGGAAGCCCTGTGTTCCAGTCGTAGCGAATGGTATCGTGGGAGAAGTTGTCGAAGACTTCGAGAGCGAGGAAGAAACAAGGCGAATGCACGTATGTATCCCAGTCAAAAATGGACTTGTTCACAATCTCGACACGGTCTCGATGGCCAGCTGTCTCGAGGGTGTCCATCAAGTTCTTCATCTGGAGATCGGCTAGTGACGAGGAGATCTCAATGATCTTGTACTTTGTGCGCTGGTACACTTCATAATCCGTATCACGGATGAAGTTCAGGATGTTCAACATCATGGTACCGTTACCGGCACCCATTTCATAGATGATCAAGTCGTGATATGGGTACAAGGTGAGCTTGTAGTTGGAGACTAGGTATCGCGCAATGGACTCTCCGTAGTAAGGTCGGAAGAGCTCCGTCGGGGTATGCCACAGCTGCCTTGATTCATCTGGCTTGATCGCATCAAGCTTATCCTCAAACTCAATGTACCGGTCGCCCAGGAGCGATTGGAAGGCCGGACCATCTTCTATGCTATTGAAGTCGAATGGTTCGCCGGGGGTAAAGATAGTCGCATGTTTGGAGAAATAGCCGTAGTGCGGATTATAAAGGCTGTCTATAATCGTCGGGGTTAGTAACAAAGAAAGCGATGTCGCATCGCGGAAATGCGCGACTGAGACTCAATTCCAAACGTACCATCGATGAATTCGCGCGTCAGCATTTTGACCTGCTTCGGCCGTTGCCGGCGATTGCGTAGGTCATTCGCCGTGACCAGTGGATATGTCCGGTACTCCTGGTCGATATTCTTCGGCTCATCGCCACGTTTCGTCCACAGCGTACCGCCATCCTGGACCTTGCGCTTGGCGACACTGCGGCGGGTGAAGAATGTACGCGATTGTGTTTGCCTGGAGAAGGTTGATGGAGACTGCCGTAATGATTGGCAAGCCGGATGCCGAAAGAGCTGTCGAAACAGCTGGTTGAGGACTGGCGAGTCCATGTTTGTTGCGCGGGTTGAAGCAGTCGGAGAGCTTTGGGGGGAGCTTTTGCGGAGAGAAGAAGATGCGATGGTTGATGGCCTCAGGCAGGAGGCACGTGCTTTGTCACTTCCACTTCCACTTTGACTTTTTGATATTCCATTTCTACTTCAAGTTACCATTTGCATTTGCATTTATTATTAACTGCTTTTGTTGGACTACTCAGCAATCGATTTTGTTTAGCCAGAATCTTGATTCGCCCCTTTTCACCTCCAATTGAGAACCCCCCCCCCCGGGGGATATCTACGCACGCAAGTGGTCCGAGCGTCGACATCAGACTGCGCATCGATATCGCGCCAAATTTCAATGAATTAAACGACGGCCTCGAGCACTGAATATGCCGGACCATTCGGCTGTTTATATTGCCACTGCATTTATTGCGGGTGCCGGTCTAGCCTTAATATGTAAAGAGGCACTCACTACGCCGCGCCGCGAAAACCCAACCCCATCCAAATCCGAGCCTGAGGGTCTTGTCGCGCGGCCAGGACCTCCGGCCATTGTCGAGGGCATTGAAGGATGCATTGGGAACACGCCACTCTTCCGGATTAAATCCCTTTCTGATGAGACGGGGTGTGAGATTCTAGGCAAAGCCGAGGTGCGCAAGCCCAGTTCTCCGCTCACCAAATGAGCATAGCTATATACAGGCGAGTTATATGTATAAATGTGGCTAACATTTACGCAATGCAGTTCCTAAACGGAGCTGGCCAGAGCTCAAAAGATCGCGTGGCTCTGAGCATGATTGAAATTGTATGTCATTCCACCCAATGCTTGTTCAATTTTGCACGTATGGCTCTCTACCGGCACCGCTGGAGGAACTGTATCAATAAAAACATCATTATTTGCCAGATATTGACTGAAACCTAGGCCCAAGAACAAGGAATTCTAACCCCCCACTCCGGAGACACAATCTACGAAGGCACATCCGGCTCAACAGGAATTTCACTAGCAACCCTAGCCCGAGCAAAAGGCTACCTAGCCCACATCTGCATGCCCTCAGACCAAGCAATCGAGAAATCCAATCTTCTCCTCAAACTCGGCGCAATAGTCGACCGGGTCCCACCCGCCCCCATCGTGGAAAAAGACAACTTTGTCAACCGCGCGCGTGCCCTTGCCCAGAGTCACACTGGCACAGCATCATCGCAAGGCCGCGGTTTCTTCGCAGACCAATTCGAAAACGAAGCGAACTGGCGCGCCCATTATGGCGGTAGTGGTCCGGAAATCTATGCCCAGTGCGAAGGAAAGATTGATGCCTTTGTCGCGGGTGCGGGTACGGGTGGGACTATCTCTGGCGTTGCGCGATATTTGAAACCGCTACTTCCTAATATTACGATTGTGCTGGCTGATCCTCAGGGAAGCGGGTTGTATAATCGTGTGCGGTTTGGGGTCATGTTTGATCTTAAGGAGAGGGAGGGTACGCGGCGACGACCACAGGTTGATACTATTGTTGAGGGGATTGGGATTAATCGTGTTACGGCTAATTTTGAGGCGGGGAAGGAACTTGTTGATGATGCGGTTAGGGTTACGGACGCGCAGGCTTTGGCTATGGCAAGGTGGTTGGTTGAGAAAGATGGGATCTTTATTGGGAGTAGTAGTGCTGTGAATTGTGAGTTGCTTTCTGCTATCGGTTTCTTGATGATTGATCTTTTTGATATAATTATACTGACTATGGCTACCAGGTATTGCGGCAGTCAAGACGGCGCAAAAGCTAGGCCCGGGCCATCGAATTGTTACGGTCTTGTCCGATTCCGGGTCAAGGCATCTATCCCGGTTCTGGGCGAAGGCTGGTGATGTTGGCGGTGCCGTTGATACAAAGCTTGAAAGCGTTCTTAATGCGCGAGATGAAGATTTTGAGTAGACTCAATCAATTGGTGGTGATACATGTTTTATTTTTTCTATCAATAGTCCAATTCGGGGGGTTTCCCTTAGTCGCTGGACTGGGGTATTGGCCAACTGATAGAACCTTTGACAGGCCTAGCTCCAAGACGGGAAGTATACGAGTCAGGCAGTGGAGGATCTGAACTGACTTCTTCCATGTGGACCTTTGCTTCATCACTGAGTGTACCGAAATCCTCTGTATCCATTTGATCCTCCCCATCGTCTTCATCCTCTCCGTCGCTAATCAAATAGACAGTTGGTGTCTGACTAGCCGAGGGCGAATCGGGGTTAGGAACAGCTGGTGTCTGATGAGTCGAGGGAGTGTCGAGGCGAGTGACAGAGGGTTCTCGATCACGGACGTCTGTTTCTAAAGCATCATTTTTCAAAGGTTGGTATTGTGGGTTAACACAATGCCTCTCTAAGCCACCGCCGTCATTATTCAACTGAGGCAGGGAGGAACTTCCATCGCGATTCCAGACCTCATCTCCAACCCAACGGCGCATTAGCTCAAACTCAATTTCAGCCTTGGATCGGTCGGGCAGCTGTACGTGGAAATCCTTCCAGGCAAGGAATGGCCGATCCTGCAAGCGATCGAAGGTTTCAAGTTCGCTTTGAGACCAGGGAGCTTGGAGTGGAGATGGTTTCGCACGAACAGCAAACCAATGATTTGAGTTCCACTGTGTGAGTTTGTCCAAGCTGCGGTTAGGCAGAAACGGAAGTATCTCCTTCCATCTTTTACCTTCAACGTGGCGCTTGCGAAGCACCAGTCTCATCTCGTCGGGAGTCATTATAGTGCGGGACCTCGGTGATATGGGATCCGAGGACAGTGCAGCAGGTACTAGTGTAGATACAGGGATGGACACAGGGACAGGGCTCGACGCAGGCGCGGCGCCATGTGTTGTGGTGGGAAGTGCAGGGGAATCGTATTGTACATCGATAGAATTTGTCACCGTTGCCCGTGCGTCGCCTTGTTCCACGTGGCTATGATTCGCGTCAAGATGTGTATCTGTAGCCGATTGGTCGTGAGGAGTGGGTTCGGCAGGTGCCAACAATTCAGGATTTAATTCAAATCGAATTTCTTGGTTAGAGTTGTCATGGGCCGTTATGCGCATTCGCTTCCGACGAATGTTCGCTGCGTTGGACGGGGTGGGTGATGGCTGATACTCCTGCAGCGGGTCGTCCGATTCGTCGCCTTCTTCAGCGATATCCGCGAAAGACCAGTCGAGCGCCTCCAGCGCCACGGGGCTGGAATGATACTTGCGTTTCGCCCGGGGTCGGGTTTTGCTCGGCGTCGCTCTGGGCTTCCCCTCTGTGCGCGGACGACGTTTTCTTGGAACACTCCAAAGGGATCTGGAGCCTGGTGGCGATGATTTTCTGTCCACCGTGGGCAGTCGTGGAGTAAATGGCACTTTTGCGAACCTAGTCTCGGTTCTAGGCGTCGAAAAGGAGCGGGGAAGCTCAGGGACTTTCCATACAGGGTCTATTGGGCCCAGTTCCTCGGGAATAGGTTTCACGTCCAGCTCTTCTGGTGCCTGCCAGGCTTGTGGGTTGTCGGAGGTCGAGGTCAATGCAGGCTCTCTTGGATGGGAATGATCCTCGTCGGGGATGGGACCTTTCGATTCCGGTCGCGTGAAGTGGAACAAATCATCCGAGTGCGCGCCTGGATCTTCAAACACAAGGTTATCAGGGTCATGCGGTGATCCGACAGGCTCCTTTTCATTCTCAGATTCAGGATCCTCATCTTCCTTGGCGTGCCATGCCTGACTTTGATCGTTGCGACCCTCCTCTTCCAGGCCCAATAAATGACCATTGTCAACCACAATATCTCCCGTTTCCAGGTCGATCTCATCGCCGACTTCCGTAAAGTCCTGACCGTATTTCGCAAAGATGTCTTCGAAGATAGATTTCAACTTCATATCATTCTGGGCGCGTGCTGTTTGTAGATCCCAGTCATCTGAGACTTCTTCCTCCGGAGGGTCTGAGGTAACCGAGAGACGAGGCCTCTTCGTAGGAGGTTCCATTGTGTTTGTATCGTCGGTGTAGGCGTTGTTGGCCATTTGTTGCGGGCGTTTCGAACGCGTCCGCGTCTGTGTCGCGCGATCGGGGCTGTCAGGTTGAAAGTTGAGACAGCCACTGGCGTCAAGCAATCAAGAATGTTTGCGCATTGCAGTAGTTCGTAATAATCGGAGGTGGGCCACTCCAAACAAAGCGTGGCTAAGCGCGCGCAGCAGTAGAAAAAGTAAAGGTGTGGTTGAGTGAGTGACGTGCGGGAAGGGAAAGCAAAGGGAAGCTCCAACCGCAACCGCGCAACGTCAACGTCGACTTCCACTCAACTTCCTCCCCGCATCCACCGGCATTTCTGCTGCTCCCCCACAAAACATCATATCATCATGAACTTGGACTTGGACTTCAACTGAGATTCCCTCATTCGTCATGTATTGTCAAAAGTGTCGCACGCCCTTGACTCTTGATGGCTCACTGGGCTCGTTGAACCCCACAGCTTTCGAGTTGCTTGTTAGTAAGTGTCCACTCATTCCCATCCAGTCGCAACGAGCGGTGTCTGACCTCAAGCTTCTCGCTGGAATAGACTCTACAGGCAAAACAGTCTCTGACCAAGGAGCTACCCCCTCGGCAAATCGATCCTCCAATCCTCCGGAACGTCGTGAGAATTACGAACGAAATGCAAACCAATCTACGGCCCCCTACTACCGGCGTTCTCTACAAGGCCCGCGGGCCGGAGCCCAGGCTCACGGATCAGGGCTGACACGAGGGGATAGCGGCAGCATGTCTCTTCGTCATGCTCACTGAGTCCCAGTTTGGGCCTCCTGCAGTAGACACGTCTTCGCCGTCCCGTGTCCACCGGAAAAGCTCCCAACCACACGACCCTAACCATGAGAACGGCTCATTCTCAAGTCAGGTCGAGAAAGCCACTCGTCTCTTCGAGATTGTCTCTGCGCGATCGGATATCGATCATCCCATCTGCATAGAATGTACTGATATGTTGGTGGATGGGTTGCAAAAACGATTGAACGCTTCTACAAAGGAGCGTGATGCGTATATTGCGTTTCTTCGGACTTTGAATGCTTCTGTTCCATCAAGCGAGGATATCGATGTGGCCGAACAAAGTCTCCATGAGAGTCTCAAGGCCGAAGAAACAGCCTTTGCCGAACTACAAGCCCTTGAGCGAGAGAAGGACTCACTAGACGAAGAAATCGCCGGTCTCGAAGAAGAGTCTCGGCAGCTCGATTCAGACGAGGAGAGCTTTTGGCGGGCCCGGAACGGCTTCTCTCTCACGTTGGGAGAGTTTCAAACTGAACGGGATGCACTGAACATGCGTTACGACCATGATTCGCAACAGTTGGAGCGATTACAACGGACAAATGTCTACAATGACGCGTTTTGCATTGGCCATGATGGCTATTTCGGGACCATCAATGCCCTGCGTCTTGGCCGTCTGGCCAACCCTTCGGTTGAGTGGCCCGAGATCAATGCGGCCTGGGGCCAGACCTGTCTTTTGCTTTCAACTATTGCAGACCGGCTTAATTTTCAGTTCCAAGGATATCGCCTGCGGCCACTGGGGTCCACCTCTCGGATTGACAAAATTGAGTATCCTGTTCAGCCTGCTGGAACAACTGCTACTGACCGTAGCGCGCCCAAGATCACCCAACTAGATCTCTTCTCCTCGGGTGATCTCCCGCTCAATCTTCCCTGGCTCCACCGTCGCTTCGACAGCGGCATGGTGGCGTTCTTGGAATGTCTACGCCAGCTTGGTCAGTTCGTTGAAGCGACCCCAGCACCCATGGCCTCGCCACGCCGGGGCCAGCCTGGTACCACTGCTCCCGGTGTGAGACTTCCCTACGAAATCAAGCGGGACCGCATCGGCGATGCTAGCATCAAGCTTGGATTCAACCAAAACGACGAAACATGGACGCGCGCGTGCAAGTATACCCTAACTTGCTGCAAGTTTCTTCTCGCGCACACGAGCAATGTCGCCAGCACTGGCTCTCATTCGGCGGCCGTCGCCGCGGCGGCGGTAGCTGCTAGCAATCCAGCAGCTCGACCGTCCTCCACCTCAAGCCCCGCCCCCGCCAAGTCGCGGCCCTGAACAAGGCAGCGTCAAAGGCTCAAGGATTAAGGACCAAAGAATGAAGGATTCAGCCAGGAGGCTACGTGCATGCGGTGAGCATCTCGTGCATGCCATCCTGGTCGATTAATTTGGAGGCGGCGCTCTTTGCTATTGAATGATCACTTTGCTAGGAGGGGTTTCACCAGGGACTTTTTCTCAGGTAGTAGCTCCACGTACTTATGACCGAGGATGGGCTTTTACCTATGGCAGCACCACTCAGGCTTGGTTGAACAGGGCAAGCCTAGTTGGGCCATCCCGGGTTTTGATCGGCAGAAGCTAAGAATCGCCAATCTCCCTTGTCATCTATTCGGCTGGTTGCAGGAGACCACTCGTGGAGCGCGGAAGACGCCGTTCTATTCCCATTTGGCCTGCGCCTCAACTCCTCCTCACAGCGGGCCAAAGGAATCCACTTCCGATATGATCCTGCAGTCTCGTTTCGCGCCGCCACGACTCCCTTCTGATCCGGTCTGCGCGCTACATCCTAGTACCTGCATGCGATCCGAGCCGGTGAACGGTGGTCCGTGGGGCGTATGGCCACGGTCGCGGCAGATATCTCCGCCGCCAGGTTCGGCGTTTGAAGTGTGGGCCTGAGCTCGAGCCAGCTCCACGCGGAACTGGCCTGCCGTATGGTTCTTTTTGTCGCTCGGACTCCCGTTCTGGCCCCTTTTCCCCTTCGGCCTGGAACCTCGTTTTTGCCTCAGTCCGTGCTGGCAAGCCGTCGTCAATGCTGCCCAGGATGTGAAAGAGTCCACTTTGAGCCCACTCTGGGAGGGGCCGGAGTCCACATGGAATCCACTCGGATACCGTTTCTTGTCGGGTGCATAAGTACTAAACAAACTAAATGAAGAGGAGCACTGGCAACAGCCCCCAATGACCGCGCGCCCCGCATTTCGCCTCGAACCTCAGATCGATACCTGTTCGAGGAAGGGCGCTTCGGACTATGCATGCAGGAGGGACGGTGCCCGATTGTTCAGACTCGTACTTGTGTCCTGTGCCTCACTCTCTCCTCATTTGCCACGTACTTTTCAAACAATACTTCCAGACGCCTCGACCAGTACATGAGCCAGGGCCAAGTGTACCTCCGTACCTCCGTATATACAAGATCGATCTCCCTAATGTAATACATACACCATTGACGCAGTCCCTCCGTACTTTGTTCGTTTCCCTCGGGGACTGGGGGGTTGACCTCCCCGACCGTGTCGATCAATGCAGCCATCGATGCCTTGCCACCTGACACACTGATCGCGTTCTAGATATTGGCAACCGGGCCAGGGACGTTGTTCACTTCTTTGTACTCTGTACTCCAGTGCCCAGGCGGAATACCTCGAGACCTTTCCATTCGAAAGTACCGATCTTTTTTCAATCACTATCCCCGAAATACGATGGCACCACCCCTGGACTTACTGCCCATGTACTTTGTACCTCTGGCAGTGTACATCACAAAAGGACGAATAATTCCAAATGCGATCGTAATCCTCGCCTCTTTGTTTCATCTCCCTTTTTTTTTTACCCTTTATTATTTTCTCACCCCCTCTCCCCTTTGATTCTACCCTACGATTCCCACGTCAGACGCATGAGTCAGGACCCACGAGAGGTCTGAGTTTCGGCCGGATATGGTCAAGGGCCTAATGGGTTCAGAGACCAAAGCGCAAGGAATGCGAGGACTGAGACTCGCCCCTTGAATGGGGGAGGAGTGACACATTGCATCCTGGGTCACTAGCCCTTTTGCGCGCCTATTTTTACAACATTCTGGGGAGGGGATGACACTGTCTAACGGCGAGGCATGTCTAACGGTTTCCCCCCCCCCCCCACACACCTTGCGTCCACGAGGCAACTTGACAAGTGGACAAAAATGACCAAAAATGACCAAAATGAGTGGGATGCAAGACCACCACCACTGACCAGCAAAACAAAAAGATATTAATAATCCCAGGTATCATACAGCTTTCGCCTGTAACAATACGAAATGGGGTGGCTTGTCGAACCAGAATGCTGGGAAGTTGAGTGAGTCCAAACAAAGGCTGTCACGAGTCTCGGGCCGCTCCCGGTCCATCCTGGGTCCATGGTCGAGTGTCCGGGGTATTGCCTAGTATCAACAGTACTAGTACGGAGCATCCTTGTCTATATTGCTCTGTATTGCCTTAGGGCAATCCATGCATTTATTCACGAATTGGTATCGCCATGAAAAAAAGAGAGAGGAGCTCATCCGAGTATCTCCAGGACCTCCTTTGTCCCATCATGCCAAATATCCAATCAACGATCCCAACCCACCCGGCCCTCCAGTCTCCTGTGGGCCAGGCAGCGGAAAATGCATCCCATTTGCGGCCAGTGCACTGCATGTAATAGTTCGGTTAGGCTGCGCAGTAGTGCAAAAGTACCTCAGCTCCACCGAGAAAGGCAATAGCCTCCAGCGAATAAGCCCACTTACTTTCAACCAGGCTAGAGCCCGGCCGGAGATCTCTCCCAGCATCCCGTACCGTTGGCGATCATGACAGTGACAGTGCACCTGGAGCCCCCCTCCCCATCGCCTCCATCCTTCGCGCTCGCTGATTTGCCCGGGGAAGCCAGGGGTCGTGCGTCCGCCGCAGCTCGCCGCAAAGAGAAATCGAGAGATTCCTTGGCCGATGCTCAAGTTGCCTGGTGATCCATTCTTCATTACTGGCTTCTTTTTTTTTCCATTTTTCCCTTTTTTATTAAGAAAACCATTTTATTCTCTCGCTTTTCTCGCTGCTCAGCTAATGGGTTTTTATTGCTTCCGATTGCCATTTTGATTTGTATTATTTTTGCTTTGCTTTCTTTTCTTTTCCCCCTCCTCGCCCTCGCCCTCTCTCTCTCTCTCGTCGGCTCTTCGCCTCCCTCGCTCTCCCCCATGGCAAGATGGATCCTTTCCCCCCGCTATCGTCCATGACGCTCTCACCGCAATCGCCAACTCCGGGTCCGAATCCATCTAATTCCACTCAGAATCCCACCACCTCATCCATTTTTCGGCCCCGCCGATCCGAGGATTGGCACGAGTATCGCGAGATTATTGAGCAACTCTACCGCAATGACCAACTGAAGCTGCGCGATGTGAAGCGCATTATGGAGCGTGATTATAAATTCCAGGCCTCGTATGTTTTATATCAGATTTTCTTTCCATCCATCATTGTTCCGATTTTGTCCCTCATTCATTTCCATCGATCTGTATCTGCAATTTGGGTTCTATTTTCAAGTAGCCTGATGCACTTCGATTTTACCTATTGTCTCTGTCCAGCCGTGAAATTAACATAATCCCAGAGAAAAACAATACAAAGATCGCCTTGCTGCCTGGCACGTTCGCAAGAATATTAAAGCCAAAGAAGTCCACCTTATGATTCGAAAACAGCAAAAGCGTGCCGCGAGGGGCAAACAGACGGCTTTCCGGGTGAACGGACAAGAAGTTGACAGCAAGCGCATTGCTCGGTTTCAGCGTCGCTACGGCGATAGTTGGAGCGAGGAGAAAGACAAGGATATTCAACAGATGAGCCCGGAACCCAGTACGCCGACCTCTATCATACCTCTTTTCGTATAGATGTCTAATATCATCATAGCAACCCCGTCCGACATGACTTGCTATACTCCAGAGCCTGCCGACGAGGCCGCCACGCCTATATCACCTCCAGAGATCCAGTCTCCATCGCGCGAGCCCTCATCTTACCCTCTTAGCTACGGTAAGTACCATCATTTTGCATCTGCCTCTGCATTGAGGTGACACCCGCGCTCACGCATTACACTCGCTTGTCCATATTGAACCCCGCTAATCTAAGCAGACCCCAATCACATCGACTCCATCCCCGACCTCATCATAGATGACGACTCACCATTCCCAATAAGCATGCATCATAATCCAACTCGACGAACGTATCATCATCAATCTGAATCATTAGTGCACACGCCCCATTCACATGCTCAACACCCACAATCTCCGCACGCACAACACCCACATGCACATCATCCGCATCCGCACTCACTTCCACCTCCTCATCTACCGCACCCTCACCACACCGTCATGTCTGCCACCGCAGGCTCTATGCCTCCACTTCAACCCGTGGCGCCCGCGATTCCACTGCAACCCGCCGCAGCCCCTGGACCGGCGTCTTCACATCGAGACTTCATGAACGCAGGGGGTATCGTGGCACCCCCTGCAAATATGGTCCATACGAACGAGTGGGATCGTCTTGATAATTTCCAGACACGCCTCGAGCTGCTAAACACCCGCCTAAACGATTCCATGTCAAGGTGGAATCGGGATCAAGATCCCAATGAGGTCCCTCATCATCCTCATCATGAAGGACTCGGGCTATAATCGGTTTCTTTATTCCCATCTTCCTCCTCCTCTTCCTTTCTTCTCTCTTCTCTCTGTGCTATGTAACTGGATTACCTCTTCATTTTTTTCTCCTCCTCCCCTCTCCTTCACCTCCCTCCTGTCTCATCTCTTGCCTCTTCCTCTTCCCTTCCTCTTCCCCCCCTTTCCCTGTCTCTCCCTATAGTTTCAATCTCGCGGTTTCTTCGGAGTGTGCTCTTTTATTTGTCCAAGTATACATGCATCAGTCAGGGAGAGCGAGAAAAATCATAGCAAGGCGTTTCTTCATAACGGGTCGCTTCGTTTCGTTTCATTTTGTTTCGTTTCCATCGGGACTGTTTAGATCGGACTTGTGCTTGTCCCTGTTTACCTTCGACCTGATGACCTAGGGTTCTTCTAACCTTCATTCCATTGTTTATATATTACATTTCACCCCGCATTCCAAGATGTCAAAAGCAAAAGCAAAAGTTATAGAAAGTGCAGGACTACCACTATTACTATCACCGTCACTATCACTATCACTCACCCTAACAATCCCATCCCAGCGCGGTTATTGAGTCTGAGACTCACGATTATGAATCTGAATCCGATCATCACCACCTCCGACTGGGAGTCCTTCACCACTTTGTACCAACACACCAAGACCACTGTCAACTTGAACCCTTCTACCACTGACACTCTCCTCATCCTCCTTCTCCTCCTCAACCGCCGGCATCCTCTTCCACCCCCATCCACCGCCCCAACCAACCCAACCCTCCTCCCGCGGCCCTCTAACTCCTCCCAAAAGAATCGCCAACCCCGCAAATCCCACCGCAGCAACCTCAGTCACAACCCACCCAAATCTAACAAAAAGCAACGGCCCCAAACTCGTCCCAAGAATATCCCCCCGAAAAGAAACAACACAAACGCCGTATTCACCCTACTCCTTGCACCGGGGGCCGACTCATAAATCGCAACCCGACACGCCGTCAACGCAACCTGTTGTCCTAAATCAAGTAGAATGCACTGAATAATTGGTCCAGCGATGTTCCCCCCGGGCCTGCTGTCGATGTCGACGCTGACCCTCGTGCTGGTGTCGCTTCCAACAATCCCAACAACAGCACCAACCAAACAAAATCCAACCCCAACGAGCGCGGAAACAAGCGGGACTGACTTCTCAAGGACAAGACGCGAGTATACAGGTCCAAATGCCATGGGGAGAATACCCACGACGGCGAATAACCCGATCACAAGCGTGGAGTAGGAGTACGGTTCGGCCGAAAGGAGGAATGTCAGCGTCGTCCAGAATGATGTGTATGGTACTGAGAAGCAGAAGCCCATCAGGGAGGCTTGGATTAGAGTTGGATTGTTGATGAAGAGGGTTATTATACTCCATAGGACTGATGGGTATAGGAGCAGTCTTTGTTGGAAGGTCGCTTTCTTTTTCTTTGATGGGTTGGCACTTGTATCTTGCGCTGTTGATGTCGACTCGGACGCTGATGCTGGCGTGGTGTTTGCGTTGGTGATATCCATAGTAGCAGGATAATCTGGCATAAAAGCCCACAACATAATCGTGATACAAACCTGCAGTCCCAGCGCGAGCCAGTAGATATTTCTCCAGGATGTATATTGTGATATTATTCCTGCTATGACGCGGGCGATTAGTAGGCCGAGGAGTAAGCCTGATGAGACGAGGGATATGGCTGTTGCGCGGTGTGTGGGCGGGGCGATGTCGCCGATTAGAGGAAGCATTATTTGCTGTGAGATATCATGGTGGTTAGTGCTAGTATCTGGGGTATGCTCCGTCTGCTAAAGTCTCTTTCTAGACTTATCATATCCAAGGTTCAAGTTCATAGTTGACAATGTTCAAGTTGTGTCTTGGATGTTGAGTCTTCCAAGCCCGAGTCCTTTCTGTCCCTACCAACTAGTAGTTCCTACTAGTAAGTAATACTTATATACCCGCCACCTAACTAGCACCCTTTACTATAGAGAGCACTAACAGGAATCTTCAAAAGAAATAAAAGCATATACATACCGGCGTAACAGTCGAAACAGCAACAACAAAACTAAGCGCAACAAAGCACTCAAAATTCCCCGTCAAACAAAGTCCCAACCAAACGGCCGCCGTAAAGCTCGTCAGGAGTAAAGTAAATGGTCTTCTTCGGACAAGATCGCCAAGCGGGCAGAGGAAGACTAGGCCTACGGCGTAGCCTGCTTGCATGACTGTTGGGATTTGCGTAACGCGTTCGTAGGGGACGGCGAAGTCGGAGGCGAGGAGGGTTAGGAGGGGGGTGTTGTAGTAGAGGTTTGCGACCTTTTTTTGTCAGGGAGGAAATGGTTAGTTCAACTTGAAGTTTCCACTGGGGAGTGGACTCGGAGGTATATCATGTAGTTCGAATCCTTATCCGGACTTGAATATATCGACTGAGAATGACAAGGGAAAGAAGTAGTAAAGACCAGAGTAACCAAGCCACCTAGGTAGTAAAAAAATAAAAACTACAACTCACCGTAAATGTCGTCGCAAACCCAAATAAAACCGTCAACGCCCAGCTGAATTTCACCGGATTCGCTGGATCCCAGCGACATCGGTGCGGTGTGTAAGTGACCAGAGACCAGATCCTGTACAGTAGGGAGTTGGAACCCAATTGTGCGGTAGACTCGGACTGGGACTCGGACTCATGTGCGAATCTGAAGCAGGGGATTTCCTCTTTCCCTTGTTTTTGTTCTTGTGGGTGCTGTGATCTGTTTTTCTGCGTGGGATCGAGTTGTGTTTCATTTGGGAGGGTGTTTTTCTCCGGTGGGCGGGGCATGGTGGGTTCGTTGGAGACTTTTGAGATTATAATTGTTGTGTTGGTTTTTTCTTTTTGTCTATTACTGTACTGTACCCTGTCCCCGACGATCGCGATTCCTCTATGTGACAGGAAGAAGCGAGGAGGGGAGGAGGAGGAGGCGATGACTCGGAGTAAACGGGGAGCAAGAAAATAGATAGTCGAACAGGTAAAAGTGAAAGGAAAGTTATGAAATTTAGAGCCGGAGGAAAGAAAAAAAAAGGAAAACAAGGCTTGCATTAAGAAAGTTTGATAAGGATAGGCTAGTTCGTTAATCCTTGTCCATGGTGGTATTCATGGAGGGGGAACCTAACTACTATACAGGGCGAACGCAATTTTGTGAGAACTCCTTCGGAATTTTGGCCCCATTCAATGTAATGTAGTATTCACCGAGCATTACCAGGGCAGTTCTTTCTATCATAATATGATTGGTATTTAGTCAAGGGCTACACTCTTAATGAATGGAAAAGGAAAATAAATTTGAATCAAATAAATCAATATGCATGTGCATTGCACTGGTAGATACTAAATACAATACAGAGTCATGGAAATCGCTAAGCCCAGTCCAACCCCATCCGGAGATAATCAGAAAAGAAAAGAAAATAGGTAGTAAAAAGATAGAAAAGAAAGAGGTGAGCAAGCAGATAACAGATCCCCGCCCCCAAGCCCAGGGGAGTTGTGGGTAAGAGGGAAGCGGGGAATTTGTAAAGGCGGAGGAAATTTGAGCCTCGTCCGCTTGTGCGACGTGGGACAAGATCCGAAACAGGTAGATCATTGGGTGAGATTTCACTTATAAGATCGGAAGGGGGAATCCTGAAAAATTCAACCATGTCCACGGATTCAGTCCCAAATGAGGTAGAGGAGGGGTGTCAAAAAAAGTAGAAAGAAAAGTTCGAACGTAAAAATCCCGACAGGCTTTTTTGCGTTTCATCGCGTCGAAAAATCAGTTCCAGTCCCAGTCCGGTGAAGTGCAGTGCAGTCCAATCTAGCCATAAATCTATAAGTTTCCCAATCAAGAATAGAAAGTGCTCTTTTGGAAGCTCTCAGGTGAGATATCGCCCATCTTGCCCTTCAGCTCGGGAGGCTGATCAGACTTGGACAGAGCAGACAGACTCTGAGTTCGCTCAGGAGCACCCTTGACCGGAGCAGCGAGAGGCGCCGCCTCCGGACCCTCGATGGCCGCCTGATTAGGACGGCGCTGGATAGTCTCCAGGTACGGGCCGGGGAGATATCCGACGCCACCATCACGAGCACGGCAGCGCCACCACTCGGAAGCATTACCCATGGGATCAGACTTGCTGAGAACAGCGACGATATCGCCCTTCTTCACGGCGAGATCGATGCCGTTGCTCTCCTGCGTCTCGGGAGAGTAATCGTAGAGCACGCGGCAGAAGTCTAGCTTCGTGGGGTCGAGTGAAGCTGCGGAGCCGGGCTCGCCGTTTGGTCCGACGAGTTGTTGGCGGCGGCGAGCTTCTTCTTCTTGGGAGCGGGCGAGTGCTTTGATGAGCTTGCCCATTAGGTAGGGGAGGCCGAAGACGGCTACAAGGAACATGAAGAAGGGTTTCTTGGAGGGCTTGGCTGGGGCGGGGGAACCGTCGGGGAGACTGGCGGCGGATGAGCGACCGCCCATGAAGGCTGCGAATGCCGAGGGTGTGAGGGCTGTTGCGTCGGCTGGGGTGGTCGGCCGGTAAGTTTCGCGATGAGGGTGCGGAACCAGCGGATTATGGTGAAGATTCCCAGGGCTGAGCCGAGGGTGTTGCGCAGGTTGCCGAATTGCTCGGCGACCGAGACCATTGCTGAGACATGTTAGTACAATGATGTCTCGGAGAGATGATAAATGGGATATATAGATGTTGACTGGGGTATTGATTGAAACTCACCAAAGAATGAACTGTGCGTGGCCATGTAGGTGCTCTCGAGCATCTGGGCGAATCCGCCAAAGGCACCGACGATGCTCTCGATCATGTGGAAGGTGGCCTGGGTGCTCTGGCTGAAGGAGTTGGTCAAGCTGTTGGGGTCATTGGGATCCTGCCCAGGCATGCCCCCGTACATCCCTCCCATACCTCCCATACCGCCGTACATCCCTCCCATGCCGCCGTAACCGCCGTACATGGAGCCCATGCCTCCCATCGAGCCGAAGCGGGAGTAGGGAGAGGAGTAGCCGCCCATACCACCCATGCCACTCATGCTGCCATATCCTCCGTAGCCGGTGGATCCTAAGCGGGAGGCGCCATATGGGGAGTAGTTGGAGGCAGTGTTGTTGACGACGGAGTTGAGAGTGTTGGGGCGAGAGGGGAGGTCGGGGGCGGAGGTGGTTGAAGTTGCGGGGTTGGCCGCGGAGGAAGCCATCGCGGTGGCCGCTGGACTGGGTGTGGTTGTGGTTAATGCGTTTCCTGGGGTGTTGTTAGTTTGAGGTCAAGTATTCGATGAGTCGACGAGTTGCAGGGTGATCGACTGGGGCGGGAGTAGGGCGAAGGCCGAGGGACAACAGTCACCGTCACGGGTATCAAAAGACTCAGAATCAGACTCACCGGTTGCAGCGCCTGCTCTCTCCCACGGTTTAGGTGGCGACACCGACGCCATGATAGGATTTAGCGACCTTGCATTAGGTCTGGGTTAAAGAAGGGAGGGGGTAGCGTGGAAGGGTAGATGGTGGAGAATGGAAACTGGAGAAAAGATGGGGGAAGAGTGAAATCGGTCGCATGTGGCCGGCAGTGGAGAAACCGAGGATGTCGGCGTTGTCCGTGGAGTGCTGAGAGTTACGCAGGTGGCGATACTCCACACAGTATAGTATAGTATAGTATAGTATAGTATAGTATAGTATACTAGTACTCTACATTTAATATTTACCAAGTAGTAGAGAAGTGTTCATTAATTATCATTAATTACTCCCTTCCTCACTTCTACCCCATTACATTGTGCCCTTGTGCCCTTGTATACTTATCACTCGTGGCCGATCTCGGCGTCGGTCTCCGAGGCCGTCGGGAAACGTCCCGAGGCAAGTATGAATAATCGGTATACTTATACAATACACTAGTACAAAGTATACAAGTATCTTTTACAAGTACCCAAGTATACTACATATAACCTTGGAACTTGAACTTGAACTTGAAGTAGTCTCTAGTACTACTAGTACAAAGGTATTTCTACAAATTGAATAACATCGAGTAAATAGCCATTTCTACAGCTCATCTAACTCTATACAATAACCCGAAACCAAGGTGAATCAAATGAACCACCCAACGCCATGTGCTATATACAATCATGCAATCCAATTACAACGCCGATCCCAATGCATTGGCAATACCCTCAAGTTAGAGCTCTTGTTGATGCGGGTTAGAAACAACATTCGGGTCGGATGGCGCCTGCAACCCCCATTCACGCGGAGGTACAGTCACTCCAAGCCAGTAATGCCACAGACGCCGCGCTTCCATACAACTAATTTGATACCTAGCGAAAAGATTCAGATTAGTCGCAAGAAATCATTTGGATCCGCACGACACGGATACAGATACAAATATAGGGAGGGGGGGTGAAACTTACAAGGTTCGCGGAAGATCGGCCCACGCGCGGATCACGTACAACATCGTGTCCCGCACCATCTGCCACTCAGTCATGATATCGTCCATAGTCGACGCGTCCGGGTCACGAGGAGGTCGAACCCAGGGGTATCGGTGATCGGGACCCGGTTCATCGGGGCCATGGTAGTACTGCACATTCTCCGATTCATAGTACAAGATACCACTTCCGTCGTGCCTCAATTTGATCTGTTTAGGATCATTGGAGAACTGTTTGATCTTTGCTGCCTTGGGCGTGGACGGTGCGGCGAAATGTTGAGGGAAGGCATTGTCATTGCCGGCTTCGATTGCTTCTTCGAAACTGCGCGCTGCGGCGATACTGTGTGAGATGCGGCCGAGAGTGTTGATGAGGGAGACGAGTTCCGTTCGGCGGAGGGGTGGGTTCTCGCCGTTCTTTGTCTCGTCGTACTCGAATAGGACCTTTAGGGCGGTTCCGTAGCCGTTTACTTGGAGTTTGCCCCAGAGTCGGCACTTGTCGCATCCCACGCAGTCCATTAGTCGACTGACGTTGCGGAAGCGGTTGCGGAAGTCTTCCTTTAATCCGTCGGCGCTGGGGTCTTGGAACATCAAGTTCTCGTCGAAAATTTGAGGGGGGCGGGAGAGAATCTCGGTCAGCTCGTTGACGCGCTCCTTGGTGTCGAGTTGCTGGGTTGGGTCGCTGGTACAGAAAGTGTAGTTTTGAAGATGCTTGCGGAGCTTGGCGACGGCGCGCGACACCAGGGCGTAGTTGAAGTACATATTCGAGATACGCTCCGGATGCTCGTGGAGGCGGTCCTTGAAGCATTGCATGTTGGGTTGCCAATTTCCAGTCGTCTGGTTGAGGTAGTCCCAGCAGAGGTGGGTAGAGATGGAAGCATGCATACCGCTAATAAGACGGTGGAAGACACGCTTCTCCAAACACTCATTGTCCAGCGGGAGCCCGTCCAATCGAGCCGACTCCTTCTGAAGCACGTTGCGGAAATCCGAGAATGCTTGCAGTCCGCCGCCGCCCAATGGCGCATTGAGCGACTGCTGCCCAGCCAACTCCTCGGCATCGTGCTTCATGAAACAGTTCTCGCGGTAAATCGCGTCCCAAACCTGGTGCGCACCTTCTCCGGAGTATCCGGTGAATCGCTCCGGGTTGTCGACGAGACTCACGTAGTCCCCTTTACCAGCCGACCCTTCGTCTTCGGGAACGCAAAAGTCCCGCTCATCGCATTCATCGTCGTACTCGACCACGCAACTTTCCCCGACACCCTCACCGAGAGTTCCTTGAAGAGGACGCTCTTTCGGTCGCTCGGCTTGGACTTTGCGAGGTGGGTGTTTCGCCTTGGGACCTTCAAGTTTACTCAGTTCTTCGGCTCGCCACGTCAGCGGGATATCTTCTTCGGATTCGATTGTGTTGACGGAGCAGGCGATGTTGCCGCACATGCTATTGGCATCGGACCAAAAGGGGCATTCTTTGTTGAAGAGGTTGAGACGGTAGTAGGAGAAGAAATCGGTTTCTTGTGTGATTGATTGGAGTAGGGTGTAGACTTCGTCGTTGAGTTTGTTGATGGTACCGTAGGAGACACACGCGTCGGTGACCATGGCCAAGGGGTCAATCTAGTACAGCGGAATCGTCAGTCACGGGGGGTTCTAGGGAAAGGGAATCCGGGGCAAATTTACCGCGCATTTCATTGTGTCCAGCGCGCCGGAGTCATGGTTGCTGGCATCGGCATCGGCGAGGCTTCCAAGGGCAAAGACTGCCGCGAAGAGCAGCCTGACAGCTCCACGCATATTGGCGGTATTTTCGGCGGCCGTAAAGAAAGTACTATCGTCTCAAAGGGTAACGGTGACGGTAGAGGACGAGCAATGCAGGGGAAGATAAAGATTGCAAGGTGGCGTAAAAGTTGGAGAAATCTCCAACTGTCGGTAGGACAGATCGAAATATGGGAAAGGAGGGACCACCTAGTTGGCGCGACAGCATGTACAGAATATCGACATTCAAAAATGGAACTTGAAAGCAAAAAAAGCCAACCGTGATTGAAATGCAGGGACAACAAAGTATAAAGAAAGCAAGTGGAAGTGGACAGGACAGTCTGGCCTCGGTGGCGATCGGCCGATCGAGTGCCAAGACATGCGTGGGCTGACAAACACGAGAACTAACTAACTAACTAATGGATTACTAGTAATGTACGGAATACTCGGAATTCATCAGGAGAGAGATCATACGAGTGGGAAGAATTGTTTCATAATATACTAGTACTAAGAGTATACTACTAGTATTGACGAGTAATTAATTGGGATGGTTGTGGTGTGGTACTACAAGTTGCTAGTTGTAGTACTGACCACCCCGGGACAACCGTCGGATATAACGACGATCGCTCGGAGATAAACAAACTACAACAATAAATATATTAGGAACATAGTATTATCCCACATACTAGTACTAATATCATGGGAACATCGATGTATTTTGTCGATTATATTATTATTACCTAGGCACTATTTATGTTCAAATTCAAGTTGTCTAGCCATTGGGCAATTACGACTCGTAATCAGGACTTGAAAATGTAGTATAGTAATAGTACCATGATGAGGTTATATATAGATTCAAGAAAACGAACTATACCGAAATAAACTCAACCCCAAATAACCTTGAACAACCTTAGAACAGAACACTGACACAAACCTTGAACACACCAAACGAACTTGAGCTTTAACCAGACACTTGAATTTGAAAATGGACTCCAGACTTCAAGTTCATCAGCGGGAAGAGAACAGGCGGCTAGCGTATTGAATACCCGCAGACCTGGGGATCATTGCGGACAAAACGTGCTTTGATGGATGCGGTGTAGATGCTCTTCCATATTTTCTTTCCGATTAAACGTCCTACTGCACTCCTCATCCGGACATTCGAACGAACCCGGATCAACGTGTTGGGTTTTGATATGTCGAAATAGAGTCCCTTTGTTTGCGAAGGGTCGGGGCCTTTCGCAGCCTGCCCAACCACATTCTAGTAGGGTATGGGTCGAACTGTTCAAGACACAGCTATTGTTAGGAAAATTTTTAAACAGAATATAATTTCATGGCGTATTGGGGGAGCTCTAAACCTCTTTTTTGTAACGCGGTGAGTGCCAAATTTTCTATGAATATGTCGATGTTGACTTTTCTTGGGTAGAAATGAACCATTCGCGACGGAAGTTGATGTGTGTGGGCTTAAACCCAACCATTCAGAGCCAGAAAACATAGCTTTCTCGGCATGTTCCAAGTCCCCATTCTTCTCTAGGACATCGTGCAAAGGATTGTGGCCCGTGTGAAGAACAAACTGGGAGGATGGGAGTGGAGTGATCGAATTGGAGTGATATTCCAGGTTGTAATCACTTAGGGTAGATCCATCCACGTGAATTGATGTTGAGAATGGAAATTTTAGAGAAGGGTCCTCGGTAGCAAGTTTGTCAGAGGAAGTCGGTTCATAGCTAAGGTACTGTTTTGAAGACGAGTTCAAGTTGATAGCAGAAGGGGAATTGAACGAAGACCAAGCCATCTTAAAAAGTAGTTGCGGAGTAAGCTTTAATCAGAAGAACCTTGGAAGTCCTGGTGATTGTCGAAGTCTAAATGAGCTGGTTTTTTTCAATTACTATCGTTGAAGGGAAAGATGGTTCTTATAGTACATTCATTCATTTCCAGTTGGCGATGGGATTTCCCCGAAATCAACTACTAAAATTTCCAGATTACTCACAATGGAACCTTTTTTGACTGAATCGACACGATCTTTGCTGATTACTGAATTAGAATCAGCATCAACCCCACCTGAGACTATGTCCTAGACCAATCATACCACTTATTATCCACGTCATCTCGCCCTCGCGAGGTCCTATCCTTCAACTTTGGGGCGAAATCCTTGCAAGTTACGATGCGGCTCTGACAGATACGACCAATCATAGTGCCAACGCCTCGCCTGATCTGGTGGCATATTATGCCGCTGTATATGCCGCTGTATCTCTATAATATTAGAAGGGGTACGGGCGCAGCGTTTCACTCTGGGCCGCAGTAGCAAGCCTAAGAAGTGCCGCAATGGGTTAGAATGCCGATCCAACGATACAGCTGCAAAAAGCCTACCTGGTATCTCATAGCCAGAAACTTATAAGCGGGACTTCTGAAGCACGAAGGTCATGCAGTAAAAGGGCTCGGAGTCTTTAACCCCGGTAACATCAATATTAGTATTGGGCATCCAATGCCTTCGAGGAAATGCTTTGCCGCCGAAATACGATGATGTGCGTAAATCGATACATCGCTCGTAATTTCAAAACGACAAACCTTGGTCGCGTCAAATTCGATATACATAAAATGCGACTTCCATCTGTGTTCGGAAAAGCTCATTTTTATTTACTAGTTTACTTACATGGCGTGTTCAAGTTCTCGGCTCGCTTAGTATTCAGTGACAGCAATTTGTAAGTATATGTACAGGAGCAGCCATTAGTTAACTACTATGTTACATCAAGGTCATTGTGTTCTTTTCTCCCCATGTGATCCATTCATGGTTCAGCTCAGCAAGGCCGACCTGCCTAAACCTCAAGCTATCATTTCTTAAACGAGCCAAAATGAGTGCGTATGCAAGTATCGGGTTTTCCTCCTCCCACAAGGTAGAAACATGAGCGCAGAAAAAATCACTCTCCATCACTGTATGCTCATCGGATATCTCCTGGGAAGAATCCGCATGCTCTTCGCGAGTCTGTTTCTGTGTGCAGTACGTGGTCACAGTTTGCGAGAATGAGGGGATCTCTCGTATCCGAGCTCGGATTGTAAGCGATGCTGGCTGTTCCAGCGGCAGCGCCGATACAATGTCGGGAACCTCGCTATCGATGAGCTCAAATTCACAGGAAGAAGGCGATCGAACAGGACCGGGATCCCGTGATACTCGACGATCACGAGTGAAAGAGATGCGTCCTTTGTAGGCAATCCAGGTCCATGAGGGTAGGTTCAGAGAGTCTAGGAATTGGAGCTTGCCCCTAAATCCCGGCTCAGAGCTCCGACTCGAAAGTGCCCCACGTTTCACGGCTTCGGGAAACAAGCACGATGACCCCAACGCAAAAATCACCTCACCTTGCGCAATGAATTTGCCGAATCATGTTTCGTTCCGAGGAACACTAGTACTGATGAAGGAAAGCCACGCGACTGGTTAGAGGGTCATATAAATGTTCCTCTGCGGCCAGCTTGCTTGTACACTTTTTCTATAACTTTCGAGTTCAAGATCCCCCGCATTACCTTACCCCCGCACTCCAATAAATCATCGACCCATTTAAGTTCCAAGGTTGAACCGATTACATCCCCGTGTGAAACTTCAGTCCTTCATCATGTCGTCCCATGCCAGCCGTCTTCCGACCCTAGACCATCTTGTCGTCCTCGTGTCTTACAACACACTGGAGAACCTAACCGGCCACCTTCAAGATTTATTCACAGTCGCCCCGGGTGGTAAGCACTCCAACGGACTCACATCGAACAAACTAGTCCTCTTCCAAGACGGAGTCTACATCGAGTTCATCGCTTTCTACGACAACATCGACCCCGAAAAACGTCGAAGCCATCGCTGGGGAAACCTGCGCGAGAACACCATCATCGATTGGGCATTCACATATCCCCCCAACAATGACTTCAATGCGGTCAGAGACCGCGTCGCCAGTACAAATACACAGATCTCATACGAGAAGCCGGCGGAATGGAGCCGAGAGAGAGATGATGGCGTGATTCTCGAGTGGACACTTAGCACGGCAAATGGGCCATCCGATAACCCGATTTCACCAGGTCAGCTACCATTTTGGTGTCTCGATACAACGCCCAGATCGCTGCGTGTTCCTTATAAAGAGTCGCCTCAGCTGGCGCAACACCCCTCTGATGTCCGAGGTGTTGCATCGCTGGCGTTGGTTGTTGATACTAGTGACATCAACCGTTTGACGAAGGTCTACGAAGCCTTGTCTGGCCCAACAGCACCAGGTGGTCGAACCTGGAGTTACAGTGTGCCCGAGGGCCAACAAGCTGGTACCATCTCTTTGGGAGACACTCCCGGAGAGGCATCAATTACTTTGACGTTGAGTGGACTCGTCTCGAGGCAAATTGAGCCTTTGCCTGGACTGGTGTTTGAGATTAAGGAGTAATCGTACAGATATTAACATAATGATCTGCTGAATTGAGAGCAAAGTCCGTTCCGAAAGGACGTAGTTGGCCTAAGTAGTAACCAATCCACGCTCAAACGTATCATTTCACAATGGTAACGCCCCATATTATGATTAAGTATTTGAATCCTATTCTCAGCGGATACTGGTCTAGCCCTTCGAATCCATTTCGCGGGGCCCCTCTCCTTGTGTCTTCGAATCCATTTCACGAGCCACCTCTTCCTTTGCAGGTAATTCGGCGGGGTACTTTCTGTCCAAGCACACTTCGCGCGACACCGCGATCCGATCCCTCAAGCTCTGGTCGAAACTCATCCGCATGCAACTGGGGCTTATCATCCATGGGAGGTTGGGTATTGAGATTGCTGTCCTTGACTTTTCGAAGCCGGCGGCGGCGCACAAAGAAGAATCCAAGCACTGCTATAATCGCAACGGCTACTACAGGTACCACGACGGCGGGCGCAATAGTAGTAGCATTGGAGTGACTTTTACTACCCGCGCTATTTCCTGAGCCGCTCGCCGTCTGTGTCGCATAAACAGTAACCAGGCCCTGCGATCCTGATGTTGTCGTTAAGAAAGTACTGGATTGTGTTCCGGTTGCGGTTGCGGTTGCGATTGCTAGACTGGAATTAATTCCAAGAGAAGCGATCTGGGAACCCAGGGCCTGCGCAGAGGCAAGCAAATCCGATTCTTTGGCGAGGAGGCTTTGTACTCGAGATTGCTCACTACTCTTCGTGAGAGTGGTGTTGCAGTAGCGTAACCAAATTGAAAACTCCGAAAACTGATTCTGTAGTGTACCATTGAACCCTTCCAAGGAGCTACCGTCGACGCATGTACTGCAATTTTGCAGTGCCTTCATAAATGGTGAATCTGACTCGCAAAGTTTAGCCGTCTTCCCCTCTGCTTGACCTTCCATAAAAGCATCGTCTATAAGAATCGCTCATTAGTCTGTGAAAGCTGTCCTGTGTTGATTCGGGCCCACGTACTGCAAACATCGTAGCATGCAGCGGGGATTTCTGAGGTTTCTCGTTTCCAAAACCCTTTAAGGGCATGCGAGATTATCTGGATCATCATTATCCGAGGGTCACATTGTTGGTGAAATGGGATTTAGCCTGGGCGCTGAGGGGGTTCTGCATTTAACGAAAACCGGGATCCGCCCTCAATTTGCTAAGTAATGATAGACAGTGCTTCGCTCTGCTTTCCAAATAGATCCTGTCAGCTGGCGGCCCGTGCCTGTTGCTACTAGATTATCATTGGATAGTCATTCTCGATATGCACCAGGGGATGATTCTTTCCTATTGGAGCCGCATGTGACTTGGACCCTTTCAGCTCGGCACTATTTCCCCGTGATTTTATTGTCATTATCCTATCAGGGTTCGTTTAGTGCGTTGGAACAAAGCGGGGTCTACAATAAGGACGCATTTCGCTCCAAACATATCCCTTTGTGAAAGAAATGTTATTCAACAAAGTCATCGGGCAAGAAGGACTTCTTGACCCTTAGTAAACCAGGCACGACAATACGATTCCATCTGGGCACAATGGAGGACGCTTGGAGGTTGATACCCCTGACTCAGTGTAAATTGGTACGGGTGGCGCCTTGATAAGCGCAACTCTCTCGCCACTACTGGTCTACATTAATATTCGGAGTTCCCAGAATTGGTTATTTTGGCCCAGCGAAAAGATAGATTGATCATCTATCTAAAGCAAAGAGCTGCTAGCATACTTAGATCCGGTAGCAAGATAACTTGAAAACCAGCTAGGATTGCATTTACTTGCACCATTCACTTACGTCCAGAGGAGAACCACGACCACAGACCAGACTTCTCCTCTCCCTCATTCAGGGGCATGCCTGAAGCAGATATTTCCCCCTCCACGTCTTCTTCTTCGATGGAAACCCTATCTTCAGTAATCGTCACCGTAGAACCCGAACCCCATGAATCGACTGGCTCAGAGGAAACCGATGTTGTCGGCGATACCGCCCAATCGGTTGAAGCTGAGACAAGCTGGGGTTGGAGCTGGAGCTGCTGCTGCTGCTGTGACGAGGGCAAATACGAAGGATTCCGAAAGTAGGCATCCGCCATACGCAAAAGGTGATGCGGGTTATGACTCTCCAGAGCCTTCCTTTCCCGGGCGATGGACTGATCAAGCGCTAAAATTGTAGGGTAGAAATCGTTCCTCTCCTGGCAGCATGCACATCCCAGAGTACAATGTCCGCTGAGGCCCTTTCGAGCCGGATCCTCCAGACGGCCTTCGCAACAATCGCAGCCCTTGCCGCAGCAGCCACCCCGTCTAGTGCAGTCTTTGACAAGCTCATCTCGCAGATACCACTTTTCATCTTCGCGGACGGCGTCGTAGAGTTCTTTCAGAGGTATCCCGGGCAAAGCGGCCTCGCTGTAGTAGAGATTTGACTCGGATTCGACACATCTGGCAATCACGGGCTCGGGTTGTAGGAAGATAGATTTATTTTTGGTTGGCAGCTGTGACCAGCCGTTTTCTTCGTCCGAACCAAATCTGTTCTCTGTCTCTGGATAATCGAGCCTGGCCTGTTTGTCTTGACTGTAGACTCGGAATTCGTATTCGTCGATTAGTAGATTGCTGATCAGGGCCGAGGGACATTGGAATTTCTCCCCGTTGTGTTCGTAGTAGAGCTCATGCGTGTAGGTGCCTTTGTCTGAGTCTATGTGGAATCCGAACATTGTCGAAACAGCTGTGCCTGTATTTCGAAGGTTGATTTTATCGCGCTTCCAGGAACTGTGCTCTTCGCAGTTTCTCCATCCGTCACTCGACATTGTGAGAGTAGATCAATATCGACAGCCTGGAGATATGGGAATGACTAAGTATGAGCGAGAAGTGAGTCAGAGTCAGAGAATGCAAGATAAAAGATGAGAGCGAAAAAAAAAATTCATTTTCAAACTTGAACACGGAATGATGATACTTACAACCTTGGGTCAGGTACAAACCTAGTTGAGGACTAGTAGTGGCTGGATTCAAGCCGCGGCAAAATAAGCTCTGAACCGTGCCTTTCCCGAAAGGGTTAGTGGAAAGACTATCTTCTCGCCGCCACAATCGTGCGGGGTTGAAAGAGGGGTATCTTACCAGCTGATCAGATCAGACGACACTGGAATGCGGGTATGGCGAGGGATGAGATGGGAAAGGAAAAGTGAAGTGAAGTGAAGGGGGCTATCTACAATGGAAGGCGCGGTGACCTGGAGGTCATGGGTGCCTGAGGCGTCCATGCCTCAATATAGAAGCGAGGTGACAGTTCAGTAGTAACCTTGGAAGCTACAGCAACTAGTACTGAGAGGGTGCAGTTGTAAAGCGTCGTTCCAGCTCCTACGGTGTACAAGTAGAAACAAACTTGAAGGTCCGGGTGTATAGAAATAATGAAAGAAATAAAACCTCCGTCTAAATACATAACGAATCCACTCGTCTATAAAACATTTGAGCAACACGAGTGGGACGAAACCGAAGGAAAAGAATCCAATAAAGAGAGAAAACACTCCCGTCCAAGAAAAAAGAAACGGGAATACAGTTGAATAAAAAGACAAAACAAACTCCACACTGACTCCTGGTATCTCGTACAACCATTATCCCAGGCGTAGCCGAAGAAAAAGAAGAAACCAACCCCCAAGAAGCCCAAAAATCAAGAAGAAGAAGAAGAAGAAGAAGAGTCATGGCATCGTAAACTCGTCACCGATCCGATCACCGATTACGCCGTACTACGACGCATCTTGTTGCGCTTCAGACTGAGCTTTTTCTTCAGTGTCGCGAACGGGTTCAGAAGGGGCCGATTATAGAAAGGATCATTCTTGAAGTCCTCATCGGTGAATTTCTGTTTCGTTTTCGTCAGCGCAAATCCTCAACATTAGACGAAAGACCAAAAAGATCTTCCGCGAGAGGCGAGAAAAGAACTAACCTGACCAGGAGTCCTCATAAAATTGCCATAATCATTCATCATATTGGTCCCCTCCTCATACGAATAAGTCTGCCCACACCGATCCGTCTCACCGGGCGGGAAAAACGCCACACCATCCAGCGGCCGATGCGAATTCAAACAGTCAATGATTTTGTCCCGAGGCGTTGCGCGGAGAGCTTCCTCGTTCGACTCGCGGACTGCCTCGAGTGGACTGCGCTGGCTGATACGGTTGCGCTCGGGACAGACGGCGTCGTAGGGTCCTTCGTGGTGGTAGGAGTAGTTTGTCACATCGTCTAGTTGGTCGATTATATCTGGGTTGACGAGTTGGGAGGTACGTGGGTACCTGTGTGTGCGGCGGCGCGGGATCGAGCTTGTGCTGTTTCGTTTGCGCTCGCGCTCGGCTTGGTGGTGGGTGTCTGGGGTCCAGTCTGAGGTCCAGTCTGAGAGGGAGATGGGGGTGGAGCGTCGGTTGTAGGTGGTTGTGTTGTGTGGGGATGATGTGGTGAGGCGGGCGTAGGGGTTGTTGCTGCCAAAGTGGGAGGTGGAGTTGGAGGAACTCGAGGAGCTGGAGCGTCGAGTTGATGGGGATGGGGTATAGGTGTAGGTGTAGTTGTAGGTATAGTTGGAGGGGTGGTGGGGGTGGTGGCGCGAGGCCATGGGGATACAGTCGACTGCCATGGATGGGATGGTAGGAGTAGTAGGATGGGATATAGGGATGGGGGGGGAGAGGAGGAGGGAGGAGGGGGGGAGAGGGGAGAAGGGGATATAGTGAAGGAAGTTAAGTTAAGAGCGAAGTGTTGAGGAATGAAGAAGTCAAATATTCGGTAGGGGACGGCATGACGTGTACTTCTACTCTACAGCGTACCAACTACAGAGTACCAGTATACTGTACCAGTATACTCTGGGATACTTTCATGTGGCACTAATAGTACCACGATTATCAGTGCCACTTCTGCCGCGCGTAAGGTGTTCCTAGTGACCCGGTAGCCCCGATCGGCCCCGTTCGGCTAGGTTGGTTGACGGACTAGTGGTCTGTCAGGGTCTGCCATGATCCACAGTTCTCCAGTATCTACTCTGCATGTGCTCTGTCCTCTGTCTATCTCTGTAGTGCGACATTGACCATCTCGAGTCATGGATCCACCAGAGACTCCACTCTGCCCCGCGAGGGATCGTCAAGTGATATCATGGGGCAAATGATGTCAGTTATCACAGTTATCACCAGGCAGTAGAATAGAAAATTCGAAATGCAAGTGGTGTAAGAACAAAATATGTTCAGCATGTAATTTAGTAAATGATCCTAAAGTATACAGACAACATAATAGCTACTCACTCATAGTGAATACCCTGCACCTGCACCTATACCCTACTCACATCAATTTCTGCCGTTGCATCCACCACATCCGAGACTTCCACTCTTCCACTCTCGACTTTTCCCCTTCCACTCCCTTCCGAGCTAATGATTCATTCCCCTTACACCCGCAAACTCTGTTCCTTAATCCCACGCCATCATTTAAGCTCACCGACTAGCTAAATAGTCTTCTCCTTCCCCATGACGCAAGGAGGTATCCCCCTCGTTATGCATCTGCACCTGCACTGCAGTCTAGACCTCCCCTTCTCTGAATTCTCTGAATCTAATACGTTCTCCCCTGCTCTCCAGGGCTCCCTATGCTTATTTTTATCTCATGGCGTACAATAAACCTCACAATTCGATCCGATCCGATCCCTGAGTTCGCCTGAGGGCCTGGTGGTTCACCGCCCGGGCTGTACACAGCGATGTAATATTACAGTATTGATCGAACCATCAGCACGAACCATCTGAGATACACCTCCTTGGACATACTTCTAGGCTTCTAAAAATGTATTCATTTCACTAGTGCCCTTGCTGCCTGTCTGCTGCCCAGCTACACTCTCGTGTCTCACAATCACTACTGTGACAGATCACAGCCTAACACCGCCTCAAAAAGCCAAGCCCATGTGGAATGTGGCATTGCAGCGCGTGGCTTGCTCGTCTGTCGTGTTAATGTTCAGCTATTGTGCATGGTATTGGATCGCATTCCAATGGTAATCCTAAATCATAAAATTGACATATCACGTCATGCGAGAACTCTGCAAACTTAGGCGAGTTGGGCTGAATTTATCAAGTATCAATTCAAGTGCCGATTATACTTGTCGGAATGGTTCGCTCCAACAAGAACATGTGCTCTGGGATATTTCTCTCTCTCCCTTCTTTCTTGTATTCGCTAGTCTATTAAGCTGTTTCTATCTTCTATAACATCAATCAGAAAGTAAAGAATATGTTTCACTTTCTTCATATGAATTCGAAGACCTGTATTCTCAATACCACATAAATTACACAACTGACACTTGCGCACGAGTAGACGAGTAGCAAGGCTCCAATTCTAAAACACTCTATCTATTCTTAGAAGCAGACCGGACATCATTCGCGTCAAGGAGGGGTTTGAAAGACTAGTTCCCTACTCCGTACAGGCGTTCGAGAACTGCTCTGCTGTACGGATAGCCATCTCATCTATCTCATCTCACCCTTACATTACTCAATCTAACCAACGGCCTAGCTAACCCGACCCAAGCCAACCCGACAGTTTGCACTCTTTCTTTGACCCAGGACCCCCGCACCATTGCCATTCCATTCCATTCCGACAAAGATAGGTGACATTGTCAGATCATTCACATTCCACGCCTCGGTTCTAAATTCTCGACACCTCCGTCCCGCGATAGAATCGCTAGCTCCTCCAATCACTGCCCCTCCGTCGATCTTACCCGGTCCAGATCGCCATCTCACATGGACCCTGCAGGTGGATTTGCGAGCTGTCGTGTTAAGTTAGTGCTATGTAGATGAGTCAGATGCTTGTGGGTGATTGGATCGGTTCTATCGCGGTCTAGGAGAAGTGACTCGTGATTATTTGGTGATAAATATAAAGTCAGGGACCCTGACTCAGGGTACTAGTAATCGGGACGGAATGGATCAGGGACTCGGAGGCAGCAGATAGATAGGTTACTGGCTGTTCTATTGTGGACATATTCAAGTCCTTCATATGAATTGGGTTACACTAATCCGTACTAGTCACACAATTGCTTCATTTTATTTTTACTTTTCGTCGAAATACCATCTTGAGTAGAGGTAGACACTCGATACATCTCATCTAGCTAGAAGCCATGCTGGCATCACCCGCTCGACAGGTTCATATACAACCGCATATACACAAGCTTTCAGGCTCCCAAAATAAATTCCCGACATCGATGTACCAAGCCCTTAACTAGTTGACGGGCACACGCATGAGGAAAGAATGAGGCAGGGAAGTGGGATCTAGAAGATATGGATACTTCAAACTAATCAGGGTTGATCCTGAGATGGATTCCAAGGTTGGTTCAAGAAGTTCGAACTAATTTCAAGGGCTAGTATTTAAAACATATACTACTAGTAGTATAATATAACTAATACCCTCTACTAGTAGGTACGGTACTACTAGTACAGTGCCAGTGCCAGCCATTCTCTCAACCTTTCGCCAACAACCACAGAAATTGCTCAAATAATGATACTTATAGCCAAGGAATATAGAAAATACAATGCCGGAAGATACTAACGAGTTGTATACACCCATACCCGTATCATGGAGTTCAACTTCATCTACTCGTACATTCTTGGCGCCCACTGGCAGGTGGAGCGGAACTCTTTCCGCCCCGCTCAGCCTTCGAACTTCAACTTCCATCACACCTCACACGATTAACCACACTACTTCAACCTCATCTCATGTCCCTGGTACAATATTCCTCCAGTGACTCAGAATCGGAATCCACTTCCCCACCCCGCAAGAAAGTCGCCCGACCAGCTCCAACAAATTCAACTTCGCTCCCCCCACTCCCCGCATCTTTCCACTCGCTCTACGCCTCCACACGCGTCAGCACCAAAGACGACCCATCCCTCCACGCCGGTCGAAAACGCGCCATCCCCCACGTCGAGGGAAATTGGCCGACACACCTGTATCTAGAATGTGCGTTTCGGTCTTATCTCATTGTCAAGCTTTGCTAATTGGGCTCTGATCGCAGGGGTTCCGGGAAAGGAGGAGGTTCACCTCCTTGCCGACTTGATTCAGGCAGCCGACGCCAATACCAGCAAGACCACTGCTTCTTCTTCGGCGCAAAGTGATAACGACGCAAAAGTGTCCGATGATGACTCCGCATCGACTGTGCACAGTCTTCTCCACTCCGATCTGGGCGCCCAGTTACCCCTTCACATCAGCCTGTCGAGGCCCGTGATATTGCGCACAGAGCAGCGCGCATCGTTTACGGAGGCATTCTCGGAAGGTGTGCGTTCATCTGGTATTTCTCCGTATGTTGTAGCTTTCGCATCCCCCCCCCCCCTCGCCTCCTCCCCTGCATTGACAGTGGCCGTGGCAGTGATAGTTACGATGGAAGGAACCACTACGACCATAGAACGCGTCGCTAACAACATCCAAGCTTTAATGTTTACCCCGAAACACTAAAATGGGTCTCCAACTACGAGAAAACGCGCTGGTTTCTCGTCCTACGCGTCTCAAAACCAAAGGCCGATAATCTAAACCGTCTGCTGGGACTATGTAATTCGACTCTGCATCGCTTTGGCCAACCGCCTCTCTACGCTCGGGCCGACCCTATGTCAGAGCGAAGTCCAGATTCAGGGCCTGCTCCAGGATCTGCGCAGACAGATGATGGTGATTTCTCTGGCTGCTTTCACATCTCGATTGCCTGGTGCTTGAATGCGCCGGATTCTACAGAGCTGGAGCGTGTGAATGATGTGAAGCTGGATAAAGCCCAGGCTATTGATGTCCCCTTTCCTTGTGTAAAAGCGAAGATTGGGAATTATGTTGAGAGCTTTGAGCTTCCGGTGCGAGCGTGAGGAGGTGGGTTCTGATGCATTCGAGTAACCTCTATAATGCCCGCACCGAGTGAGAAAATGCTTGTAAATCGGTATTATAATGCGGAATACCCGCGGCTTGTCTATAAAATCCAATATATCATAAAACTATGATCTCTGTACTATCTTATACCAGCTTTATCCAGCAATCATCGATGCACAACATCAATTAATGCTCTTCCTTTCGCTCTTCGAATGATTTGGGTAAGGAGTGACTCAAGTCGTCGCTCGCGTCAGAAAAAGTGAGGGATGGAGGCCCGATATAATACCATGAACCCTCTACAAAAACATTAGGGCGTTTGTGGACCAGGGGGGTCCCATTGTGTCGGTGGGCGCATCGCCAAACCATCAGAGCTACTGTCAGGATCGGGGGTCAAATGCTCTTGAGATACTTGCACCGCTGATTCTCGCGGGGGTTCCTCCCTTGTTTCCTCCAACGGTTCTTCTGATGAGTCTTCCATAACATCCAAGTGAAGGGCGTTCATGATTCGCCTTAGTAACACCCTTTGACTCTCTATAGTTGTGCGATAAATGTCTAGTACCTCAGACTGTTTGTGAACCCTTTCTAAAATAATGCTTGAAAGATGTTAGCTTGAGCTATACCTAGTCCTTAATACTGCTACGAGTAGTAGGGCATACGATGTCTAGACCCTTACCTGGTTTGAAATTGATCAAAAAGGGCGTTCAATTTTGTTCTTACTCGAATGATATCATCTTGATACTTCTGAACCTTCGCATTCCGAGATATAAAGCGGCCCCTCTCAAGCATAATTTTCCATTTCCGCGCGTTCGACGCATGCTCAAAGGGCACCACCACTGCTTCGGCCTCGTTGAATATTTCGGATGCTTCGCGAGCTAGGACTTCGACCCTTTCTTTATATTCCGGGCCATATCGTGGGCTTCCCACAGATCCTTTAGCCTTGTCCATAGAAACCTAACCTCAAGAGCTTCACTTGCTATATTGGAGTGAAAACGGTGGATATCCTCTTTAGCATTTCCTAGCTCTGCCGTACGGTAATATACCGTGATGGTGATTGCATAAAGGAATGTGAGTATTCCAGTAACACTTGCTGTGATCGAGAGTTCGCTGTAATCACATGAAAGAACCAGCGGGCAGGTCGAGTTAAATTCCATGGTAATAACCCAGCAAACAGATAAAAGCTACTAGTAAATGCTGGTAAATTGATTCGATGTGTTTAGAACACAGACCTTCTGCCCTGATTGAATTATGAGGGCAGTCTTGGCCGGACTGTAGGGTGAGGGGGAGGGAAGTTTTGCACGGCGCGTATTCAGAGGGGTGCATGCAAGTGTGATAAGCATAACCATACGGCCCCATTTACTCATTATTGCGAGTGACCTGATCTTCTATAGTCAATAGCATTACATCCCCTTCGTACTCGTAGCTCGGCTGACAGAGATCTCAAAAATACACACCTAGCCATAATTTGACCAAAATTGAAGCTGTAGTTGCGCAATGTGCCTTGTGGCCTGAACTTTCGGGCGGCGAAATTGCGGTAACTACCGTAATTTTAATTTTGTATTTCCGACTCACGCGTCCGCGTCGCCGCAATTCAACCTCCTCCACTCCTCCATCAGCATGCAAGTTCCAACTGTCACTCTTGTAAGTACTGCCACAATCTCTCGATCGCTCTCAAGCTAACACGTATGTCTCGCCAGGAAGACTTACAGGCTTTCCAAGCCTCACATTTCCCAGGCCATCCTCAAACAATACACCCACCCGTCGCTGAACCTGCCAATGACGACACATATGAAGATGGAGAGGAGGATCTGGGATACTATCCCGATGGTGTGAAACGTACACTCACGGATGAGCAAATTCGGATCTTTAGACACAGCGAAATTCACGCACTACTCCGCGAGCGGCAGCTCCAGCAGGATGAAGCTGATTACGAGGCCAGACGTGAGAAGAGCGAGGACGAGCCACATCAAACAGTCAGGGCCGAGGAGAACGCGATAAACGCTGCAACAGAAACCCCGTCTGCGCAAGGCTCTGCGACTAATGTGCAACCATCTTCGCGGCAACCGCCTAAGGCGCTGTCCAGGCCTGTGCCGACTGCTGCGGAATCCGAGTATCTCGACTACGGGGAAATTGACGAAACTTCGACGGATAAAGGACAGACTCAAGAGCCCCAAATTAATCATCCGCGACGGAAGGTCATTTCTTATGATGATTGAGGTGGTCCAGTTTGCAGTGCTTTTAAACTCCGAATCGACATAACGGGCAGAACTGGTGATAGGTGATGCCAGAACCAAGCGAACCCACTCCAAGGACAGTCCATCAATGGTAAGGCGAATCTTTTCCCCCTTCTCCACTTCCTAACTTCCCCGGCCGAATATGATGAAACTATTTTTGTCATCCTTAGACGGAATGCCACACCTTCAAGCTTCTCCCGAAGTGTGAGGCTTTGACGACCATAATCTTCTCTCTGACAGGCTTTCCTCATTCGCAAATGTCATCATTTTCTCTTGGAATTCTCAGGCTAATATCTTGATAGGCCATTGTCCCCCGAAGCTATCCCAACGAGTCCGTATCGACAAGCCATACCAACGCCGACCATGCGAATAAGCCAAGGCGACCATACATTTCGCATCTGTGATTCAACACTTACAGTTCCATTCGGCACTGGCATATATCAGCATACCGATAGTAATGTGGATGCCGTCTACACAGGCAACAAGCCTTGGGGTGGCCCCTGGCCCCTTTAACTCGGCCCGATGGGGGCCAAAAGGTTGGTAAACCTGTTTCCTAAACCCAACTCAGGATCACTCGGGATGAGTTGGGTTTAGGAAACCAAGGTCTGTGATCGCCCCTAAAAGGTGGCTACATGTGTGGCCCCACGGCATAAATAAAGCCCCGCAGCCACCAACAGCTGCCGATGTTCTCCCTTTTTTTACTCGCCCTTGTCATTAGCAATGGAGGATACTCAACACATCAAGCAATCAACTTCAACGGATGAATCACAGCAAGTCCCTGTCAATCCAAAAGCCCTACGACGCGGCAATCCTCCCCCTAAGCATCCAATCGAGTATTGGGAAGAGCGCTTACTTGGCAAGAGGCTCTACCGCGATGACAAGGAAATCCCACCCGAGGAAACAGATGTAATCATCTTGTGCCTTCTTCTGAGGTGAAGTAACGTAAATACTAATATTTTCTTCCTGTCAGACGGCCGTCAGGGAGATTGATATCCCCGTGCCCACCCGGAAGCTCCCAGGCGCCACAGACTATATGCGTAAACACGAACGGTATTTCGTGATCCACCGTGAACGTCATTTTGATACACTGTGTTCTGAAATCTAAAATTAGACTTCTGATATGGATAAACTTGAATGGTATTATCACTAATGTGATTTATGGCTAAAGGAGGATGGTGCAACAAACCGACGACGCGCATGATGGCACGACAACCAGACACCTAGATAGTGGCCCCCTCAGGCCTTATCTGCTCTTTTATTCTAGCTTTTTTACCTTTCTTAATGCTATGGGTTATTCCTATTGTACTGAGTTCTTGTAGGTAAGGGAACATGTAGTTGCGGGCGAAAATTGAGAAAATGCGATCTGGTAGAAAAAAAGTGACTGGATTATAGTATGATAGGAATGGAAATTATCGTCAAACTTGGAAGATATACCCTCTTCTCCTCTGATGATTAAAGAGATGGTAGTTCGGCTAGTGACCAGCAGGCGTTGAATTCTTCAACTGGCAAAGCACTATGACTGCTGCAGAGAGTGACAATAAAGCCAAAATTGATCTTCAGGAACTGTAGCACTATGCCATAAATGACAGAGCCCTCCGAAAAGTACCTAGCAGACTCTGGTCCTCCTTTGTCGAACGGAATGCAATCCCTTCCAAGTCGCTGCTATCCTTCACGTAAGACAACAAGCGTTTGGCATACGAGGCCGCTGTTGCCGCCGCATACTGCTGAAAGCGTTTGTTCTTATGACTGTCCGAGTAATCACATATCCCCGGATCACAAGACAGGGCATGGTATTCGCGATTCCGGCGGCTTCCATTTCAAAGCAAAGTACATTTCTCTCCGCGCTCCACTTCTCACGGAGCTCCGCGTCTTTCATGACTTGATTGCCTGATGCGATGAGCCCGTAGTGTATTTGTGGGTGATGATCTGGCCGATTTGGCCTTTCGGTAACGTAAGTCGCACTGCACAGGTCGCAGGCCGCGTGTCTGGGATTGTGCGCATAGTGGCGGGAAAAGAGACGGTCTTTTTCCGGCCCTGGATACCGATATTCTTCTTGCAAGACATGATTTCTTGGATGTATTCTTGAAGCGGGGCTTGAGGTAGATACGGATCCGATTTCATACTGCTGAGCGCAGTCATTACCAGTCGAGGGGCCTGCTGAAGATGACCTGATTGTTCGAACACGCCATTCTCGAGGGCTTTGCCCATGTCGTATTGGATGACTCTAAGATTAGTGCCAATTGGCTTGCTGATAACGACGTCGCCGAGGCGGATGTCGTTCCTGGACGATGGAACACCTCCCCGATATCTACTAATACGCAGAATTTTACAGAGGGGAAGCTTCTTCTCAGGTTGGTTGTCTATCTCGCTTCGTCCGCCAAGGGTTCGAAGAATATTGTCTACGCAGCGAAAAAGTCTTCACGCGATCAAGCAAACTGTGCTGTGACAAACGATTTCCTTCCGGAACAATTTAGAAAAGAGCTCGAAATTGCAGGGCTGACTGGAGCACAGGCAATGGCGACAACCCTCGACACAAAAACGATGCTAGCTGTGGCGAACAAAATGCATCATTGATGATCTTACCGAGCAGGGCAAGACGCCAAAGATCACACAGGAGACTAGTAGTATCGTTGAAATTGCAGGAAGAATCAAAGATAAGGAGGACGAAAATGGAGAGATACAGAAGAAGCAGTATCTAGGGGGGAATGACCATTCCCCTTGCACGGAAGATGGCGGTTATGGATGCGACGAAGTGTTGAAGAAATACATCGGGAACAACATCGATGTCATAACTGAAGACCAGGCAAAGGAGCCATATGATGACAATAAGCCCGTGTCTTTGGGCTTTCAGCCAATCTTTGATGTTAAGGATTCATGAAGTGAGGAATCGGATTATAATGAACCAGAATAAATGTATCATAATCGAGATTATGAAGCACAGATTTATGGGAGTAATTAGCATCATCGGTCATGAAAGTATAATGTGAAGTACCAAAGTTGCCAGGAATAAAGCTACTCATTGCCTGGGTCACACTAAAGTGAACGACATTGTCTGATCGTAATCATAACATTGATTGTACTCGTAAAGCCGTCACCCTCCATGAGGCTTCTACATCTGGATTAGACGACTCTCAAATAAGCCATAGAAAAGATAAAGCTCGAGAAGTTCGTAGATCGTCACAAGATGGCACACTTGAATTTGATTCAATTTCTTAAAGACACATGGTATAAACGAGTTGTTTTCATATCAGCTAAATCAGAGATCTCAAGTCTAGCATTGCAAGCTTTTCAGAGAACCTTCCGGTCAGGGGCTAAGCGATTTTCAGTCCAAATTCCATTGGAAAGCTCGTCAGAAACAACCTGGAAATGAATACCCTCCTGGGCACAGGCAGCCCGAGCAGCTTTCGCGAGGGGCACTGTTTCGCCGTCCTGGGCAAAGTATTCCCATCTCCGGATCCAGACGCGCTTAAGGTGAGGCAAATGCGCCTTTAGCTTTGATGCGTTATATGTGACTAACTCCGTCATTTCCTCCGCGTGCCAGGAATCGTAATCAACTGGAGCATAATCCGACCTGAGACATAATTGTTCGACCCCTTCGGGTAAACCTGAGACCAGATCACTTGAGGCCTCCATTGTCCATCCTGCAAGTAGGTTTACAGGAACTTCAACAGAGCGAAGCTTTGGGAATTGCTTCAGTAGACCATAGAATGGAGTACTGAGGTCATACTCCCCTCGTTGAAGATGAAGATCACTTTTCCCTGGTGGATAATATTCAATGCCAAAAGACAGATTCGTGAGTGATTCCTTAGAATATTTCAGGCCTTCAATTATTGCTGGTCCATCTTTCAAAGCTACCTCCTTGCCCCATCTGTATGCCATTCCCAGATGCAGAGTTTTTAAAGAGGGAGCAAGAGAAAGAATGCTAGGAGCCTGATTTTCTTCAATAGTCGCTCGTGTGAGGATAAGCCTTTCAAGCCGAGAAAGATCTGGCCGCCCATAAGGCGAAGGCAGCTCTATGCCCTTCTTGGTACGAAGCCATATTTTAAGCGACCGGAGAGCTGTCAGGTAGAACCAAGCAGGAAATTGTTTAGGATTGCACTCAGGGTATCCAGGCTCTTCGTAGATTAACGGCTCGCCAAAGCTCATTTCGTCACGCCGGACATTGGCCCCGTAATCCACATGTGTAAGAAAATTGAACTGTGACAATTGCTTCGATGAGAGTGCATGGCGTAGCATTAGTCCAGGGAACCCAGATTGCCATACAAAAGTATAATCAAGCGACAGTGATTGGAGGTTGTGAAGCTGCGAGAGAAGGATTGACACAAATGCATAGGGGTTTCCATTATCAAGAGCTTGGGTCCAGGTATTAGAATCTGGGAAAGCAGTTTTCTTCACAATGTGTTGGGCATGCCCAAGAACATCCTGAAAATGTGTGATCTCTTCTTTACAGTCCGTTTCACAGCTTGGGGGATGCCATGACTCAACCGCTGAATCGAAACTTTTCTGTGACAGAAGACAGAAATGTCGAATATTATATGCCCGCTCTGGCTTCCGCAGTACAGCGCGAAATAATAGAAGAACTTTTCTAAGCGGGATTGGTTTCCACTCCCAGGCAATAGCTTTCATTAAAAATGGCTCAGAAAAGCATTTACTGCTTTTCGAGACAAGGAGAAGCGACCGATGATCTTCCAGGGAGAGATAGCTCAGAATTTTGAGCCAACAGTCGCTGGGTAGTAGAGACACCGGACTGAATATATGTCAGTTAAGCTGTAGTAGTACATAATAGCTAGACACAAATTAAGCAGACCAACCTTGCTATGGAATTGTCACCCATTATTAAGATGTAAAGATAGGATATTGTGAGAGGAGAGAGAGGAGGGGGCAAAAGTTACTATATAAAAACCAGCCCCCAAACTCAGACCCTTTGGCCCCCAACTTGAGCGCTCCGCTACGTCTACATGGTCATCCCCACATCCCACTACTTTCTATCTTGTTAATATTGTAATATTGGGACCTGTGATTTACTACATCTGGTTAGTTTTGCCGTTCCCGGCCTAGCGCCCCAATACACCGTCTTGTCACCTCTCCCTCCGTCGCTGACGAGGGGTATAAAGCCATGTCTCTCGCACGCCGTCTTCGTGAAAAGCAGTCAAGAATTTAAGTTGGTCATTCCAACCAAGTGCTCAGTTTTGTCAACATCATCCAATACTTGTTTTGTTTCTATCGCTTCTACTGGTACAAGTCAATATGCGCTCCTTTACAGAAAAAGAACAGGAAACGTGCGACGGGCCTGAAGTGGTCGTACGCCACTCCATCGTTGCCCCTAAGTTAGGCACGCAGGCCAATCTCATAGTGATCGGAGATAATCCTGCTCCATTGGGCTCGGTTTCCAACCCTATCGTGATCCATGTTGATGAAGGTTGGTGCAGTCATGAGACAGATCATGATTATTATGAATAACAACGTAGTAACATTGTTTTAAAAAAATACTAAGCATAGAGAAAGAAAGAGGTGTGTATAATCAGTATATTGGGCCTAAGACATAAGGCAATGACAAACGATAAGCATGTGATTCGTTCCTAGGCCTAACTGCAACTGATCTGATGGAATGAATACCTTAACACGACACAGCCGCGGATGTCGACTTGGTATATCCCAAACTAATGAATGTCTCATAGACAACCAAGCATCACCCCTATTATGCTGGACGCCCTCTATGACCACCTCGCCAAAAAGCCCGGCCTATCCATAGAAGAGATGGCTATCTTCCTATGGGATGAGTTCAATATTTTACCATCGTCATCCAGTATCAAACGTGCGCTTTCCAAGGCTGGCTGGACAAAGAAGAAAGCCTAGCAGAAAGCAAAAGAACAGAACCCTGAACTACGAGATTTCTACCAGCATAAGCTATCTGAGTTTCGGTCGTATCATCTTGTGTTTGTCGATGAATCCGGATGTGATACAGTACTTCCGGAAATCGGTGTCACCACCTACACTCTTCGATTGTTTCTCGAACCCCTCCTGTCCACACGAGCACGAGGCTTCTTCACCCATCCATCACTCCAAAAATCCCCAAATATTGTTCAGACTCTCTGCTAGAGTGGGATGGGCCAAGACTGCATCTCGCAATTTTTGGTAGGGAACATTTCCGATCATCGCTACTTCCACCATGCTCATGATTTCGCCACCCTCGATGCCCAAGCAGGAAAACCCTAGAATCAACCCTATATCACCGTCCACGACAGCTTTCATCATTCCTCTCGACTCGTCCGTTTCTAGTGCGCGGGCGATGTATGCCATCGGCATTTTCGCAGTTTGAATCCTCTTGTTGGGGAACTTTACACGAGCTTCCTTCTCATGGAGGCCGACGTGCGCTAGTTGGGGATCAGTGAACACCACGTACGGGACAATGCGGTCTTTGGTAGAGAGCCTCGTAGGTGGTAATGAAAGCATGTTAGACCGAAGGATGCGAAAGTCGTCGTACGAGATATGCGTGAATGCCGGTGGTCCTTTCACGTCGCCTATTGCAAAAATAGAAGGAGACGAAGTCTCGAGATATTCGTTTGTCACAATATAACCTTTCTTGTCGGTGTCGATACCTGCAGCTTCTGGCTTTAAACTGTCTGTATTTGGAATGCGGCCAGTAGCGAATAGGATATGCGTTCCTTCGACGGTTCGATCGCCATTATTGACGTGGAAATAAAGAGTAAACCCGCTAGGCGACGGCGCAATTCTGACAGGGTCAGAGTTCAAGTGTACCGCAAGTCCATCCTCTTGAAAAATATTTCGCAGTAGGTGAGCAATTTCTTCGTCCTCGTGCGGTAGTAATTGTCTTCCACGCTGGATTATAGTAACCTGTGCACCTAGTCTACGAAACAATTGTGCAAATTCCACTCCCACATACCCTCCTCCAATCACCACGAGGTGGCTAGGAACCTCGTCTAGCTCTTGAATTGACGTGGAATCTAAGACTGCTCTTCGATCAAGCAAGCCGATCCCTTCGAGGAGTGGCGGTGCAGGTCGTGCTCCGACATTGATGAATATCTTCTGGCTTTGGATAGTTCTCACATTGCCACCACTATCTTTATACTCGAGTGTCTTCTCGTCCACAAAAGTCGCCTCACCTATTAGGGTATCCACGCCAGCGTCTCTTAACTTAGTCTCACTACCACCGCGGAATGAGGCGACGATGTTGCGTTTCCGTTGGCGGACCTTGAGCATATCGACCACGGCCACATTCACATCGGTCTCGTGCTGACAAGTGTGTATACCATAATCTAGTCCCTTACGAACTAGATAGGCGATGCGACCCGATGCAATTAACGTTTTTGTCGGTGTACAGCCTTCATTAATACAGCTTCCACCGATATGCTCGCGTTCAATCAGCGCTGTTTTTTGTCCAGCTTTCGCAAATGCGGCGGCAAAGGGCGTGCCGGATTGGCCAGAGCCGATGATGATAACTTCGTACTGTAAGTTTGTCGCCATATTGCAATAGTGCTTCAGCGAGTTGAGGACAGCCGGGCGACGAAACATCAACAACTAACTGATTCAAAATATAAGGTCGGTCCGGTTCGAGCAGGTCAATAGGAGTCAGTAGTTGATGCTACGCAGGTTCTGAAATAATACCTAGAGCCATCTTTAATAGAGGTATTAGCCTAGCGACAAGGCAACTAATTCACCGATTCAATGCTGCGTGGTCTTTCGTTATTGGTCGGAATGTGGGATCTTGGACGTCACGACGGTTTTCAAAGGCATCAATAACGTAATTCCCGGCTGAGTCAGCCACCCGGCTGATCGGGCCACTTCGCTCATTACAATTTTCTAAATTAGCATCTTTTAATCAAAACGCTATAATGTATTCATATATAAGCAGCTGCCTTCGCATTGATTTAATCTATACCTAATCTTTCCGCACCTACTACACATAAGGCTGCGTGCGTTTGGGCAGCGGAAGTGGTAATACAGGCTACTAAGCAGCAGCTAGCGGAGGTGATTGAACGCGTTTGAATGGTTTGGTCAGCGGTTGAAGTAGCTCCAGTCCCTTCCAAGGTAAAATCGCCTCGTCTACTATCCGATTTTGGGATATATTTGTTTTTGCCGCTTCTTCTCGTTCGTTGATCAGTCATACGCTTTACCGAGAGCTAATATTCGGCCGCTGCTCCGCTAGCGGTCGAGAACCATTAGACTGATGAAGGCCCCCCACCAGCTAAAGCGGCGAGGGTCCGTTTGGGGACGCATATTGTGCGGTACTGGGGGAAGTCGTGGTGTCATTGGCCGCATTGATCAGCAAGCTCATCCACCGAGCGACAAACTGATATAGCCTGTGTCCCATAACTCCGCTGGAATACACAGCCTAGCGATCCCTTTCCTAGCAGCTCAAAGTATATTATTGTTTGTCATAATGATCGGAAACGAGAGTGCGATGAATCTGACCAGGAAAGCAATCGAGGAACATTGGCGGGCATCGGATGACAGTGATACCGAAGCCGAATACGCTATCTATGCCGTAGACGCGATCCTAGACTACCCGCAATCAGGGGAGCGTTTCAAAGGTCTCGCGGCAATTTCTGCACAGCGTGGTGGACACCCGGCTGACCGGCAATTTACGGTGCTACGCATCTCAGGCGACGGCCATCTATGGGTGAGCGAATGCATCATCACCTATGACGGAGTACCAACATACTCAGTCTCCATCATGCAGTTTGCTCGCGAGCTTGTGGTGCACGAGACACAGTACTTCGCTGAGAAATTCAGTGTACCTACGTGGCGGGCAGCGCTCGCCGAGCCTATACCAGGCGGGCATATCGAAGAGAGATGATCACGTCCTTGGCCCAGGCCAAGTCTTCTACTTTTTGAGAAAAGTGATTTTGGACAAATCTTTACATTGGTAGTAACATCTTTGGCGTGTCTTTGGAGCACTTATTTGTTTGTGCCTAAGTATTCAATATATATTTGGATTTCGACCTTCTTGCAGAAGCGGAAGAGAAGTAAGACTAGAGCTAGCCAACCTGGTACTCTTTTACACCGACCCTGTATCTCGCCCCTAAGTTTCACTCGCAAAGCCAGATTTGCAGAGGAGGAGAAAATGTGGCATTCTGATATGCGATTCTGAAGCACCCTTTGCACTAATGCAAGCTATTACCTGTTTAGGACACTTTAGTGAGGTAAAGCAGCATCCCCATTCGCATGTCACAATCTACTTGTACAGGGTAGAACATATATCGTTCAGGTAGGAAATGAGATCTGGGATGGGTCAGAGAGTCTAAATAGTAGAATAGATTGATAATGAACTGATTCTTGTAGAAGAGAAGTAGATACATATGCAGGAAGTATCTGATATTGTTGATCACGATGGAATTTTGACACTTGGACTGGTGCTGTACCAAGAGGAGCCAGCCAGTCCGTCTGAACCCTATCCGCTTATCACATCCAGACTCATCTACATGGACCAGGTGGTATTAGCAAAACTCCAAGATCAGATGACAGTAATCATCACGTAAATCCGCATTTGGCTCCCTGGCTTTTTGTCGAGTCCTCTTCTCTGTCCACCATTTACGATGCAGGGCGTCGCTGAGCGCGGACTTAGGCATGGACACGTCGAATTCATCCAGCAGAATAGTAACATATTCCCAACTCATATAATTAACTAGTATTTTACGGAACAAGGCTTAGACATCGGGGGACGTTCTTAACTATGTAGAAGTAGATTAGCTCTTGGCGTTAGGGTTCGGGAAACAATGAAAGAGTGTAGGTGTTGACACCGATTTCCGGCTGTAAAAGGGTGGGATATAGGCGGACTGGCTGGTCACCACTCGGCGTGACACCGGTCCAAGTGTCAAATTTTCATCGAGGCCAGTGCTACCAGATACTACCGGCATACACTCAAGACGGTATTATTCTGTCTTGTATCTTCAAAGGTTCAGTGTAGACGTACTAACTAACTATTAAGGCTAGTTATTGGTCCGTTGTTATATGATCCTTTCTCTACTTTGAAGATGAGTCTCAAACACTCTCTCTATTATCTCTCACACTGAGCATAAACACTGTATTTTGTTGGGGCTGTCGGTAACGCTCTCTCTTTTCAAGATATAGAAGGAGCCTGCTAATTTTAAGCAAAGGGAGAGTAGTAAGGTACATCCCTAAGTAACATAGTGGTTATACAACCATACTTACCTATCAGTACCTTCCGGTCGACCCTTTAGGTTACGAAACTCTATAACAGCATAGAGAACATTACGTTTGCTCTAAGTGTCGTAAAGATAGAAGAGTTTGATGTCGCAATAGTAGATAGAGTCTAGAAGGTCTATCACAGGGATATACTTCGGAAGATCACTCTAAAAAGTAGGATTTTGTATACGCTTACTCAGGGAGAAGTCGCTAGGTAGAGAGGTGTTCTGTATAAGTAAGACACCGAGCCGGGTCCCGATAATTGCAGACCAGAGTTGGATAGTAGCAAATTGGACGATTATACTTCTATAACGAAAAAACTGCGAATAGACCCAGTAATACCGATAGATTATACAAAAGATATCCACATATACTGTATTCTTGTCCTTTATTCGTCTAGAGATTTTGCGCTCAGTAGGAAATACGCCATTGAGAAACTATACTCTATTTAGCCTAATCCCGTACAGAATAGAAGAGTAGCTATACGCGTCGTATCTGCTTATGAATATCGTCATTAACACTACAGCAGGTGAATAGCACGAAGTATTGATATAGGCAGCGCCAGTATTCGTTATACAATTAAAGTACTTTCTTTCGTAATATATTAAAAATCTAGTCGAAAAACTTTATATAAATCGCGTGATCTTCTAGCAAAAGATAGTCTACATAGTCCTGGTTTGATTGAATACAATATCTATTTCTACGTTTGTCCCTAAATACAAACCTTTTTATTATCAGGGAAAAACCCACTTCCACCAGTACCGTTTAACTACAGTAATTCCCATCAGCGTTCTAGGCTTAAAGTTTAGAGGAAGCTATCCAAGTCTACGGAAATAGTTCACTCTGGCCGAGTTTCCTCGTAAAGGATAGGATCGGTCTAGAACTAGTGCTCATCAATTTGAGCTAGGGGTACGGACACAGGCGCCATAAAGTAAACTCGGATACAGAGGCTAAGGTTTGAATTCTTTGATAAATAACCTTGAACAAGTATGTCGAGGGCAATCGAGGCAGCAGGGTCAGGATAAGGGGAGGAGAGTGTTGGAAGACCCCGTAAGAGAGGGCGGACGGGGCATCTTATAGGCGCTCGATCAGGCTGAGCGAGATAGAGGGGGCCCTAGTTTAGGATACAGAGGGGAGCCATTTTCGGCGTCGTTTGGTCGCCAGTGGAAACAGGGGGAACAATCGTTGAAGTCGAGCGTCAACAGCGGACAAGAGGATGATGACTAACAGCGCTGGTTGGGTGCAGAATAGAGAGCAGTACAATGGAGCGGGCGGTCAAGCAACAGCTCGCCGTCCAAAGTTACGGGTAGAAAGGCGGCCGTTTCTGGCGCCAGAGGTTGTCATTTTCGGCGTCGATTTCACAGGTCCCTATATTCTATGTGTAAATCTCTCTTTCTCTTTTACTCTAATCTTTTCTCTTATATCTGTTTCGAAGAGCTCAGACATCAATGGAAGCCTCTTTAAAATAATTTAAAAGATCGAGGTCTAATATATATATTTTTCTTAATTTTTAATTCTTTTGCTTTGAGTATGCGGTATATGGTTGGAAGATAGTTATACGGTATACCAAGTCCAATCATGTTGACCCACATTCAACGGTTGACCGTCGTCTGCCGAGGACAAAAGCGGTGAATCACAGCAACCATATTTTCCCACTAGTCTCGAAAGGCGATAAGGAAAACAGGTTATCGGATCGGATCTGCACTGACCTTGCACTCCCGGGGCCCCTCACGGAGTCAAACTTGCCATTGTTATCAACTCAATGCGCGATGTCTAGTACTTCCTACGTCACCGAACTACAATGGCAATAGACTCTAGATCTACCTGTCCTCGTGAAATCAGATGTGACACGGAACAGGACAGGATTCGCGATCTTTCAAGGTGCGCTTTGCCGTCTCTGACGTCGCCGATCTCGCCGATAGCGCATGCTGATTTTGAATACCCCCACTGTCTAGATACTACTGTACATTCGAACAAGACCCTCAATCAGCAAACAGTCCCCGCCTTTCTCCTGATCCTACGTTGACTGCGCTCACGCAACTTGGAGTCTATCGTTTTGGATGCAACCGTTCTTTCGTTTCAATAATTGATGGCGAACAGCAACATCTCATCTCCGAAGCAACCGCCTCAGTCTCTTTGCGCAATGGAGACAACCACCTTCCCAATGACGGAATCTACCTCGGCGTCCGGACGCTCGACCTGGAATGGGGTGTGTGCCCTCATGCCATTCGTCTTTTCACAGGACAGGATTCGTCGAAGATAATGGACACCGAAAACATAACCGCCAACCGAACCCGCAATATAATCCGTGATTTTACCTCGGAAGATTTCTATAAAGATCGTCCTTACGTCCAAAACTGGCCATACTTCCGTTTCTATGCTGAAGTGCCCCTATACAGCCCATCCGGGTATGTGCTAGGCTCATATTGTGTTGTCGACAATAAGGCACGAACAGAGTTCGGAGATGAGGAAGTCGCGGCTTTACAAGAGATTGCAGATGCCATCTCCCAGCATCTTGAGAATATTCGGATTGTTCATTATAACCAACGGGAAGAAAGTTTGGTGAAAGGCTTAACCAGTTTCGTTAAAGGCAGCATGGAACCTGACCGCGCTGATATTTTCAACCGACTTGCAGAGTCACGAGAAAAACTGAGTCTTCAAAATATGACCTCCTCGGATAGCGGAATTCACACTGATGAGACGAGTGCATTTCTTTCAACGAATCAGTCCAGCAGTGATGAGTCCGTCTTAAATCAAGGATCTTCAATGACGCAAGAAGATGGGACCTTTTCCCTTTTCTCAGATGCAAAAGACTCGGGGATGACACAACCTACTACTCAACCATCTTCGCTTGCCCCGGGATCACCAGAATCAACAGAACTGTTAACATATGACGAGGACTCTCCTTACGCAACGATGGAAGACGTATCCATCGCTGAACATTTGGCTGCGATCTTCTCTCGCGCCGCTAATCTCCTCAAATCGTCGATGGATCTGGACGGAGTAGTGTTTCTTGACGCTCGTCAGAGTGACTCGCAATTGTCAGTTTTCATCTTTCCTTTACTTAAACATCCACTAACGTGATGAAGTGACCTCCCCGATAGTTCTGCGAACAAAAGTGTTTCCTCAACCTCCAGGCACTTGGATTCCTTGAACGACCCTTGGGACTGTCTTGAGGGCAACCGAACTACCGAAGATCCGCCAGATAGTGCGAAAAACCTCTGTCGGCCCTTGAACCATGATACAAGCATGCCACCCATCGATAAACCTTGCCCAGAACCTCAGCTCGCTCTATCAGAAAACATTCTTCGGATTTTGATCAAGAATTTCCCAAATGGCCACACATTCGACGTGAAAGATGGGACCGACACTCTGCAAGACAAGGTTTCCCGCCTGCTTGCACATAACCTACCAGATGCGAAATCAGTACTTTTTATTCCACTGTGGGACTGGAATAAATCACGTTGGTTAGCTGGAACGCTAGTCTGGACGAATGACCACCGCCGCCCATTGGGTATCGAAGAACTGCATTACTTCAAAGTTTTTGGTGATTCTATCATTTCCGAGGTCTCAAGGGTGCACTGGAACGCAACTGAGAAGTCAAAATTTGACTTCGTATCATCTATAAGCCACGAGCTTCGCTCTCCGCTTCACGGGATACTTGGAAGCACAGAATTGGTGCAATCTTTGCCGCTCCAGCCCTCTCAGCATGATATGATAAAAATGATAGAAAGATCAGGCCTGACCCTGTTGGACACGATTGATCATCTGTGAGCTTTTCTTATTTATACCGCAAATGGTTATTCCTAACTTTACTGTTTCTAGGCTTGAGTATTGCAAGATAAACGACCTGGTGACTAAAAGTTCAGGTGAATCGAGAGCCATGAAAAATGGAGACTCCGACTTTGACCTTGGCATACTAGTCGAAGAGGTAGCGACCGTTCTTTGCGCTGGCCAACAATCGCAATATGACACCAATATCCCGGATGTAATGTCTCCATCTGGGCCTAGCGCAGATGTGCATGACCGACTTCATAGTCAAAGTGCTAAAGCTCCGGTCATAATACGACTTGAGCAACTCGATTCCTGGATGGTGCGATCCGCGGTCGGTGCTTGGAAAAGAATACTGATGAACATTATCGGTAACGCAATGAAATGGACTAAGAGCGGCCTCATCGAGGTGACACTGTCAAAAGTGAGACCTGAAAGTCGCCACGGCTCTCCCTTTGCCAATGTATGTGTCCGAGATACCGGCTGTGGGATTTCACGCGACTTTCTTAAGGACATGCTTTTTTCTCCGTTCGCTCAGGAGGACCCACTAGCGCCGGGTGTTGGACTTGGCCTCAACATCGCACGCAGATTGGCCATGTCCCTTGGAGGCAATATTAACGTCAAAAGTGAAATGGGCGCAGGCACCCAAGTCGATATTCTTATTCCTGTTACGATTGCTCAATCCGCCGAATCAGCGGATCCTCATTCATCGATCACAGACACTCTCGTTCCACCACCATTGATCAAGGCATCTATAATTGGATTACAGCTTCACCCAGAGGTGGATGAAGTGCCGACGGGAATTTTAAGCGTAAATGCAAAACGGAACTTATCCATTCGCAATGCGCTCATGGACGTGTTCACGACAAAACTGGGCTGGCAACTGTCACCACGAAAGTTTTCCGACAGAATGCATGGGGATGTCTCGATCATCGAGGAAGCAGACCTTAGCCACATGTTAATCGAAGGGTCACTACCTCTAACTGGCTCTCAGGGCGTTCGAGATTTCTTTATTGTCCTCGGCGATAAGACATCGTTGTTGACTGGTGATCTACCTGCAAATATTATCCGCGTTCCACCGCCGTGAGTTATATCCATTCTTTTCTCCAGTGATGGTACTGCAAGCTGACTATTCATTAAAGGTTCGGACCTCGGAGTCTCCATGACGCCGCTGAAAGATTTCTCAACCTTTTCAAGGCATCGATGCACTTGGACCCGACGGATCTGGCTCCCATTTCCACCCTGTCAATGAACCATCCGGAAATATCAACTCCAACGGCAGATCGAATCTCCTTGAAAATAGTTGACTCTTCCCTAACCGGGTACAACTCGACACAATCTCCTCCTCTCGATCCCCCTGAGTTCTTTGCCCCTCAACTAGAGTGTTCACGAGAAACCATCAATGTACTGATTGTGGATGATAACGACATCAATCTCAAGGTACGTATGCACCTATCAAAACTTTTGTGCTATAAAAATCCACCCCATGCTGCTGTCTGAACTCCCCATGCTCACTGTTGTCCTTAAGATTATGTCTACATTTATACGCAAAATTGGCTTCCAATACGACACAGCTTCGAATGGACTCATAGCTCTTGAGAAGTATAGGAATTCTAATCAACGATATGTCTTCGTCTTGATGGGTAAGCCTCGAATTCATTCCCAAACTCCTCTACTACCTTGGTTGGTCCATTGACAATGACAGATATATCTATGCCCGTAATGGACGGATTGGTTGCGACAAGGAAGATACGCGAATACGAAATGATCAACGGATTCAATCCAGCCTGCATCATGGCTGTTACGGCTGTTGCCTCTAATGAGACACGGGAGGCAGCGTTAAAGGCAGGTGTCGATGACTTTTTGGTCAAACCGTTGTCTCTTGCAAGACTTCGTGAATTGATGCGGTGTTGAATTCTTTAGACATATATCACAATTCCCAATCAGTTCGACCAAATAAGCATGTCATCCCACAGTGCTATGGAGACTCAGATCGATCTCCACACAAGAACCTGGGCAGTCTTATGATGGACGCGCTATACTAGTAACTTGAAAGGACCTCCGGTATTAAACGCAGGCATTTTTCAATATCATTAATTTACCAACTGGGGTTTGATAATTTCAAGGCTACAAGTCCAACATAATCATTTGTCTATCCCGAGAATCAGTATATGGAACATGAAACTATCATAGTATTATACCTACCAATGTTGGAACAGGTGCTGATCGATATGAAAAGTCGAAAATCGCGGAGCTACCGAGCCAAACGCCAAACAATATCTGAACGTCTGACAGACAAACCCAATGATAATGGTCTAAGGCGGGGAAGCCTGAGTAGGCGGAGGGATCGACTCTGTCTTATCCACTTTGGACTAGCGCCTTGAGGCATCTGTGTGTACTATTTTAAAAGTGACATCAGGGGTGCGCATAGACTACGCCAAATATGGTAATCTAGAAGTTCTGCCAATGATAGGCCTTAGGACAACTAGGAGCTCAACAGGGGTAGGAGGCTCAGATGGTAGCTAGGTCTATTGGAGGCCATGCTATCCAAAAATCGCCCCAATCGCCCCCATGGACCCCTGGCTGAGCAAAGGCTGTGAAAATGCGTCATAGCTAACATTTGGACCATTGCCGGAACTATTTATTTCCCTCCCACGACACCGAATATTCCTGTCTTCATAGGACTTATGTATTAACTGCCCAGGTGCCAAATTGCCTGTATTCCAATAAATTCACAATGGCACAAAACCTCGACTCGAGTCTACCGAATGGGGCTGTATTCAACAGTCAAAAAGTTCAGGGCTATCATTATCCTCAACAAGGACCAGGTGCCACCACACCACCCCAAGGCCTCTACCCCCCAAAGGTAAGAGCTCTGGTCAAGAACATTGTGGATCCTTACCATTTTTCTGAGGCCTTGGACGTAATGCTGACTTTCAAAACTAGCAAGAACCAGGGTGTGGACTAAGTCCCGCCGGGAGTAGCCAGCAAGAATACCCTGGTCTATTCAATGAGCAACGAGTACCACAAAACCAATTTCCTGCTGGGCCAGGATATGGTATACCTTCGGGCATACCAGGAAATCTTCCATATCCTCAGCAACAACCATACGCACCGGTAGGTGAGAATGCCTCGTATTACGGGACTGCGCCTCTAGACCAGTATGGAAACGCTATCGGCCCTGCTGGTCCACAAGACGAGAAAGGCCTTGGCTCAAGTGTCGTCGGCGGTGCTGCTGGTGGCTATGCCGGCCATCACTTGGGAGGCGGATTCCTAGGGAGTACAGCTGGAGCAGTTCTGGGAGCAATTGGCATGAACGCCGCAACACATCAAGTGTAAGTCTAGGGTCCGTTCAATTTGCCTCTGTTTTATCCAGAGGTCAGAAGTGACTAATTAGCTTTTTTTATCCTTGATAGGAATGGCCAGAACAAAAAGCATAAGAAGCATAAACATCACAAAAAGCGTCATGGATGTCACAAGCATCGCAGACGGTATTCCAGCTCATCTTCGAGCTCGAGCAATTAAGTCTCAGTGATCGGGTTCATGGTTGTTTCTGCTACCTTTTCATTGGGCTTGGCTGGAAGATCTGTCGAATATAATTGGATCCGCACCTGGGAAGGGGGACTCGGAGAGTTATTTTTTCTCTCATATTTGTAAACATCATTGCCGTTCGTGAAATATATGGTGGGAATTTCAATTTCAATCTTTTTCGCCCAGCTGCGTGATATAATAAGATTTCTTGGGATGAGAAGGGATGAAGACGAGAGCCCTCTGGATGCAGAAAAAGGATGTGTTAGAGGAATACAGGGCTTACACTAAGCGCATAATTCAAGGTTACCTAATACAGAGAAGTAAGTGGCGTTCACTAAGCACTCGCCATTCATTATTACTACTAGTGATCGGTAGTTCCTAAATATGCGCAAAACAGGGCTGGCTCTCAATGGTTACCGATAATATTTGGCGTTAAATACTGGTAGTAAAGCCGGTACTTCGGATAGGGTATCACAGATTAATACATTCACAATCTCCCATCTATGATCGTTCAAATCCCATGCCATCATCATCATATACAAACAGCCTCAAAATAGCCTTGGCAACCTCCACGCCATCATGTTCCAGATGCGCTGTCTCGCCTGCGCGATTCGCATGTTCGAAGTCTTTGATTCCACCGCCGTCGACACGGATCTGGATCTGTCTTTTTACCATATCCTTGTCAAACGCCAAGTGAGCCTGCGTGGTGAACAGCCGATTTGCGATGTATAGGCCTTGAATAGGTGTATGCTCAGTGCGTCCCCAGCAAGCGATTTCCGTTTCCGGAGATATCATAGTGGGTCCCGCAGATGCAGCAGTAGGCGGTAGGACTACTTGGTCCTGGTGCATCTGGTGCAAATGTACATGGTCTTTGCGTGTGCGGAATAGCCGTTGCCCGACAGGCGTGAGGTTGATTCGGCAGTGACCTAATTCCCAATCTTGTGAAGGCGCGGGCCCGACGGAACCCCCAAGGAGGCGAGCTAGGAGTTGGTGACCGAAGCAGACTCCCAGGAAGTGGAAATCAGGGCGCTGTATCCAGAGATTTTTGAGAAGCTCCAGGAGATCGAGAATCCATTGATTGTTCCCGTGCGCGTCGTACACGCTGCCCGTGATCAGCAGCCCGTCAAAACGATCGAATTCTTTCACGGTTGGAATCCGACCACCATGTTCGGACACGACAAAGACTTGGTCAGTCTCAACGCCCAGAGGTGGATGGTGAGCGCCGCCAGCTTTGGAGAAATGTTCATGGACGATCCGGCCAAAGGATCCTCGCATGGAATATGTGTCTGGATGAGGCTTGTCGGTCTCGAGGACCATGAGACGTACAACAGGCGCCGATGGAGTGGGCTTGTAGGTCTGATCCATGCTGTATGCTTGCTTTCTGGTATGATTTGTGAAGTGAAAGGGAATGCGGCGACCTGGGTTGCAAAGTGAACAGTGGGTTGAAGAAATGGGGTCTACGGAGCCAGGCGGCCAGCAACGTAATGATCGCTTCTTGCCAATGCCAATGCCAATGCCAATGCCAAGTGACTCGGCACTTCCTTTTGGTAAGAAAACCTGGGCATAATGTCATGGATCTCGACGATTGGAACCGACCCACTACCAAGGTCTTGCTGAGGACGTCTTGGCCTCTGCCTTTTTACGATGATGTCATAGCATTATCTGGCCACCATCAACGGTCTCATTGCAACTCGAAAGAGCCATTCGAGTTCATGATATCTATCTTCTTAATAGGCGTCATGTAAATAAGCTCTTTTTTCTTCTCCTTTGATTGGTGCCTTACAAGTTTTCCTTGATAATTAGGGTTCGATATGCACTGCTGAAGATTTTTCATTGGTAGATCGGCGTACCTTGAAAGGAACCTCAACAAACTTGAAAATTCCCATCATCGACAATATTTAAAAATGCCAAATTCCCTTCCTAAACACGTATTTGCTACTAATTTCGAGAGCAGTTGAATAGATCCGAACCAGCTCCTCGTCAAGCTCTACGGTGGCCTTGGCACATTCTGACCTGTGGCTCACGAACAAACAGATGTATCTCAGATCGACATAGATCGGACGATTGTGCTGATTTTAATTTGAAAAATATGACCAAGGGATTGAAAAGCAATTTCAAGATGGTTAAGTGCCCACGGAACCCCTTCCCTCCCTCTGTGAAGGGATTGAGGTCATAATCGATATGAGTGGGTCGTGGAAAAAGTTAGGTTCCATTCCAGACTAAGAAAAACACCTGATTCTGAGGCTTTAACGCGAGTTGTAAGCTCATAGTTTGAATATCAATTAGTACTTACAATCTGGAAATGAATCTTTACCATTAGTCGTAAACATCGGAGGATAATTGGGTCGGAACATGCTATGAAAATGCCGCTGAAACTGCAGACATCCGTTTATCCCAACAACTTCTAGTACTAGTGCGATTTTCGGTACTACTGACTTGAACTAGAACCCTCCAGGGCTGTCACTGGTAATTTCTAGGCATATGATTTGATATGAGAATATATTGTGCGATGATTTGGTAGAAACAAAAGATGTTAGAAGGTTTGAAGACCCTGGGGATAAATATTGCTTTCGGGCTGAAGTCAGATTCAGACTCAGATCATCGGATAGCTAGGTTAGATGAAAACCGCGGTGTGATAGTAGCCAATTGCGTGCCAGTATGTTTCTCAACTGCACAATGCATCAAGGCGTCCCGTATTATAACCAAGACCAAGCTCTGCAGGGTATGGGAATTCTAGGTTTCACAAGTGAGATGACAAGAAGAAATGTTGTTACGTACCTGATTATCATTCTTCATGCAAGATGGGTCACTTCAACAAGATATGCAGGTGCCGTGCATGAATGCCCCAAAAACCCACTAAAACCTTGGAATAAAGAAACATATTTTCAGGCCTCCATTGATGCAGGTCACGGTAGTGCATGAAGTCTGACATTATGCTGTAGTTAGCTGGTAGGACACCTGCAGCTAGTAGCCCGGTGAATTTCCGAGACCTTTTTCCCCTATTTTCCTGGGCTATTCATCCAAGCCGTACTAGGTAGCCTGGCTCAACCTTTGTAGAATATACCCCTTTTTTTTCCTCGTCTCTTCCCTCTTGGAATCTTACTGAGATATCGCTGCCTGAGGCACTAATCCCGATTGCCGTGCTTCTCTCTTGCACCAATATCACATTACAACCTTTCTCCATTAACAGCCTGCTGGCACAACACTCGGGGAATTTTCCAAGAATCGGTCTCGCTTACCACCCTCGACTGACTGGTGCTCCATCGTCCCTAGGCAGATCCCTGACATCAGGCCCGATAACGATCTTCGGGCCTTTCGATTCTTTAATCTTCAAACCTCCATCTCGCTGCCATCAGCCGCTGCATATTTCATAATGGAGTTACAAGGTGCTCATCCATCAGGGCGAAGCAAATTACGCCTTTTCGTGATTATAACAGCGCTTTCGGTACCGTTTCGCCCCCAGAAAATCCAGTGCCTTTTTGCTAACCCATGAACCAGTTATCGATGTTTATCGCTGCCCTGAGATCAAAGTATCATGGCAACAGCGAACCCTACAATCGCGTCACAGTTTAACAGCGCTTCCGGGTATACGTGGATAGGTGGTAGGTGGAGGCCTGCTTCACCTTACTATGATGATCATGCCTCATTCATCTTCTAGGCGCATATCTCTTGGCAAATGCAGCATCGGCGTGTATTTGGGCCAAACTTTCTGATATTTGGGGCCGGACTCCCCTTTTACTTTTCGCTATTGGCCTTTTCTTTCTTACGTCGATTTTATGTGCGACGGCGACGATGATGAGTATTCTCATTGTTGGTCGCGCTTTACAAGGCGTGGCAGGTGGCGGCTTGCTCCAAATTGTTACAATCATCATCTCTAATATGTTCAGTGTCAGGTAAGAGACTAAGATCTCTGTACTGGCGTTTAATATTGACGTTTCCAATAGACAACGAAGTCTATATCTTGGTCTGATGGAGCTCATGTGGGCTTTTGCCGCCGGGATTGGGCCTTTGCTCGGTGGAGCCTTCTCCCAGTATGTCAACTGGAGATGGGTATTCTGGATCAATTTACCAGTCGCCAGTATTGCATTTGTTCTGATCTTCCTTTCCTTGGATGTACACAACCCCGAGACCGGGATCGTGGATGGCGTCCGAGCAATCGACTGGTTCGGCAGTCTCTCCTTTCTTGGCCTGACTCTTATGCTTCTGCTAGGGCTAAATCTTGGTGGTGTGACATTTCCCTGGAAATCACCGCAGGTCATTTGTCTGATTGTATTTGGAGTTATATGCTTGTTGCTATTCATTTACAGTGAGAAGCGGCTCGCAGCAGACCCCCTGATGCCTCTGTATATCTTCACTCGAGTCTCAAGCGCTGCTACGTTGTTAGTGACATTCGCGCATGGTTTTGTCAGTCTTTTTACTTACTTTACCCATATATTTTCTAACAATATTACAGGTCTTCATTGCCGGAGAGTACTACATGCCTCTTTACTTACAATCTGTTCATGGATCGTCGGCCATGGGTTCGGGCATTCTTGTCCTTCCACTGGTCATTATGGAAGCCGTGTCTGGCGTTCTCACAGGCGTCATCATCCACCGCACAGGCCGGTATCTAGATCTTATCTGGATTGGCCTAGCCTTCATGACGGTCGGAAATGGGCTCTACATTAATCTTTCGGTGAACTCGCATATAGGCGAGATCATTGGATATCAGATTCTCAGTGGACTGGGTATCGGGTTTTTATTCCAGACTCCGATCATTGCTATTCAGGCTACGGTATCCCAAGAAGATACTGCTACAGTTACAGCAACGCTCGGCTTTGTACGTAACATGGCAAATGCTTTCTCTGTTATAATTGGCGGTGTTGTTTTCCAGAATAGCATGGCAAAAAGACAAGATAGTTTATTGGCTTCCGGGATGTCTCCAAGCATGGCCGCTCATATGTCCGGCGGCTCCGCTTCTGCGAACATTGAGTCTATCGGAGCTATTACCGACATAGCGCAGCTACTTGCGGTTAGAGAGGCTTTTGCATGGATCTTAAAGAACATGTGGATTTTGTATACATCCATGTCTGCTCTCGGTATCCTCTTCTCGGCCTTCATCCTGAGGTTGAAGTTGAACAAGGAGCATGTGGAAACTAAGACAGGCTTGAAAGTTGAAGCAACCCCTGCTGTGGAGAACGTACCTTGTGTGTAGTACTCCGATTGCCGGATCTTGGTATCCTGTGTGAAGTTACATGTCTCTTGCATTTGAATACTCCAAATACAATTTCAGATTCTTTGCTCGTATACGCACTACCACAAAACCTAGGGTCGGGTTTGAAATTCTATCCTTCACGTGGTGATAGCTATGAGTCAGTATTGATTCTCAGAAACCGGATAAGATTTGATCGTATTTATCACTGAGAAGACGGAGTTAGACTAAACACCACTCTCTTCGGTGTAGCACGAACAATCCAAAATCGCCTCCAGTGGAAGAGTCCATTTCGAATATTCAGGACTGCGAGGACGACAGTAGGGTGGTTCAGTATTTGAAACCCTTGGCGTGATACAATGCTGTCTGCGAAGACATTCCTGCACGTTTGCTGCTTTATTTGCACGCATGGTAGCAAACACAAAAACCAGGAGCTATTAGAGCGCTTTCATCAGGCTCCGTTCAATATACTTGTGTACCAGTCAATTTTCGTCACATTGCATAATCAAATTCCGCCTACGACTTTCGAGTCACTGACAACTATGCGGTCATTCTGGGTAGTACAGATCGGCCATGGGGCTTGTATCAAGGAGCTCTGTCTTTTTCCGCCATCAGGCGTGAGCCGGCAGGTAGCTTTGAAAAGACGACTATATTTAAGGGTCACCTCCGAGGGCAGACAGTCATACGAGCTGGGTCATCCAGGGGGAGTGGGCCAGCCTTAGGCTTCAGGCACCCCCGTATGCCGCCTACGGTGACTGTTATAGGGAGAACTCGAGTTATAGTGACTACTCTGGCTCCATTTGCGAACAGTGGTAGCTCAGTGGACACCGTATTTCTTAAGATGCACCAATTTGACAATTCCCTGGAGTTGTGTCCGAATAATGGGATCTTTCCAATATCCTTTGTCCTTCCGGATGCGCTTCCTTTTGACGCTAGTCCCAGGAACCCAAAACCAAGAATAGGATTCAACAACGGTCACTTTCAACTCCCGCCGAGCATTAACTACAAAGGGGATCAGTTCTGCCCTCAGATGTGTAGCGTTGCCTACTACATTTATGCTGAAGTTGCTTTGCAACGCGGCGAAAGGCGCCATGTCAAGAAAGAAGTTCGGCTCCTTCCCTTGTACTTGGAGAAACCACCTCGGCTCTGGGTCAATAGCAGCAATATCCAACTTTCTGACGTAACTCGACTTCGAAAGACGCTGTGGACCGCCAGTACGGGCCAGCTCACACTGCATTCAAGTTCCTCTCTGCAAAAGTCTATATATCTTCCTTTTGATAGTCAAGGTAGACTGGATATAGCCCCACTGCATCTAGATCTCGATTTAGATCTCGAGGGGCTTGAGGTATCAAGCAAGCTACCACAAGAGTGTCAACTTCGTGCAGTTCTTGAGGCTGTTACGTACTTGACTACAACGCCAATGAGCGAGCTGCCTGACGGAGTACGCCTTTGCCATGACCCGAATGCGCAAGTGTTTCGAAGAACTTTATATTTGTGGAAGAACAAAGGCTTGAGTCTGGACTGGGTCGAAAAGGGTGGGAAAGCCAGCAGTTTACGCCAGGGGGCTGTGTCAATCCCAGTTGCCATACCCGGGGAGGCTACTGTTTGTCCAACATTCTATCATTGTTATATTTCTAGGGAATATTTTATGCGAATTGAGCTAATTGATGGGAGATCCCAACCCCTCCATCTCAAGCTACCCCTTCAGATATATAATTCCCTCGAATTATAAGTGAGCAATCGAGTATGTCTCCTCTATGTTCTGTACGGAAAATATGTGAATGTTTAGATTACGATATTGTCCCATGAAATCAGAAGCATCCCAGCGAAACAGAAGCAGGTCTGAGCTCTGCAATTCATCGCCACATTCCTAGAGTCGAGTTTTTGTTTGATTATACCCCTAGCTCCATTTGCATGAAGCGTCTGACCATCAGCCTTTGCGACTAGTAGTATCCCAATTGACTTTCTGACAGAAAGGCCTCAACTGGGCGCGACTGGTACTATTACATTTGTATCCAAGTTCCAAGGTTATGGTAGTTGGAGTTGTGGCCCGTAGGACACCCTCCCTTCCCCCCGGTTTACCAAAGATAGTAGAGACCGGAGGTCATAAAAGTTGCGGAGGTGGTAAGCAAATGTTGTGAATGTCATCATGAAGTTTATAATAGTAAGCTTGCTTCCTCGATAAAGTCTTGAAAACTACTGTTCGCTAATGTTCCACTCAAATACTAACTATTTTCCGCCATAATGATTGGTACAGCTTTTCACCCCATGTTTCGGAGGATTGAGCAACAAAGCCCCATGGCACACTATCAGAGTAGCACAGCCGGAGGAATTTTAGTCTGGTGAGGGGTTTTCGGGCGTCCCGCAGAGACTTCCAGGGGCTCAGTGGGAGCTCAATGCCGAGTTCTCTGCAAGTTTGCATATTTTGAAACGGATTACAACCTTGTAACGGGTCAAATTGTTGCCTAATACATAGACATACAAACTTCCTACAAGTTGCCTTGCCTGTGGTGGGCGTTGAATTCCAAAGTTGCTACGCGAGAATCCTCTCAGGATCGATCTCGATATGTACTCATTTCGACTGGGGTGGAGCAACCTTCATCAGACGCCTTTAGGCCAATACCTAAATCACCCATCGATAAAGCGGGTCATACCTTCGTGTTAGTAGCCCGGAGAAGAATAAGTTGAAAACCAGGCGCCGGAGGGACATATGCTGCACCCTGCCGGTGGCCTGAATTTTGCTTTTGCTTTTTTGGGAAAAGGGCGATCGCCAGGGTGCTGCACCAATCTACTAGGTCGAACTTGTTCTCTAGTACTAGATATACCTACCTGGACAGGCTCTTTATATTGCCTGGTCAACAAACACTCTAGCCCTTACTGTCTGCTCGAAACCTCCCAGATCTGACCTGCCATCATGTTTATTGTCATTGGACTTTTTATCATATTCGCCCTTTGCGCATATAAACCTTTCTTCCATCCATTGTTTTTCTCCTCTCTATCAAGCATTCCAAATGCAAATTGGCTTTCGGCAATAACACCTATCTGGATGCAATGGAAGAGATTTCAAGGCGAAGAAGTATCGACCTTCCAGAATGCCTTCATGACAAAGGGGCCTATTGTCAGAGTTTCACCGAATGAGATTGCCGTGAATGACATAGATGCCGTCCGTGTAGTCCATGGCTATGCACAAAACAACTGTACAAAGACGAGCTCGTACTCCGTCTTCATGCACAACGGGTATGCTTTTGGCTGTGTTCTAATAGTCCGTCCTTTGACTTTCCCAATTTTCTATACTCATACAACATCAGCGCTCGCAACTGCTTTTCCTCTCTTGGCACTGATCATTCCATGCGTCGGCATCGAATCAGCTCGGTTTACACCAAGCCCTATGTTCAATCATCCCCTCATGTCCGCACTTTGCTTTCTCACCTGTTACAGAAACGTCTTTTGCCCACGCTTGGAAAACATGCGCGAGAAGGCACCGCATTGGACGTTCTTCCGGTAAATTTTGCCTTTAGTCTGGACTTTGTGTCCTCATTTATTTTCGGTCTTCCTCGCTCTACAAATTTCTTGGAGCACATCGAAGCTCGCGATCGATGGTTGGAGTCTTACGCAACAATCTACTCAGGAAGACCTCTTTTCTGGCTTCAGGAATATCCTGATCTCGTTGCTACTATGAGAAAGTTGGGTGATCCCCTGTCCCTCAAGAATACTTTAACGCAGTAGATCTCTTTGATTCCTGGATTCTTTCGCTTGTGGACGCAACAGAGACGGCATTACTTCAGCCTGACATGGACAAGTCCGAGCCTGGTCATTTCCCAGAAATGTACCACACACTGCGATCAAGTATACTGAAGCAAGCTGGCGGGAGAGCAAATTTATCCAAGATACCCTCATCATCACAGCGCCTTGAGCTGGCCAGCGAATGCTTGGATCACTTAGGTTAGTCTTCCGCTTCTATCATCCTCTATTGTTGTGGTGGCTCTCAATTGACTGGACTAAAGTTGCGACCCGAGATACATTTGGTAAATTCATTCTGGCCCCTCTGCTGCACGATTGAAACAGTGACAATTTTCTCATGACTGATTTCAGGCATTGTCTTCTCATTCGTTCTCCTATACATTTCCCGCCATCCCGAAGCTCAAATAAAGCTCCGTGAAGAGCTTCGCCCGATGAAGGAAATATTCCATCTCGCCGGTGGGAAGGAGAAATCCCTTCCATCTGCAAAATCATTGGAATCTCTCCTTATCTCAATGCCGTGCTCAAGGAGTCTATCCGTCTACGTGGAAATGTCCCCACTTCCAACCCACGCGTTACTCCGGCTGGTACACTGGCAAAATTGGGCCCTTATGCAAATATTCCCCCTGGTGTCAGGGTCAGTGCCTTTGCCTGGTGCTTACATAGAAGGGAAGAGGTCTTTCCAGATGCAGAAGCTTGGATACCCAATCGTTGGCTCGGTGAAAATCAGCAATTTGCACCTGGTGACCAGGATCGATGGTTTTGGGCATTTGGAACTGGCAGCCGACGATGTTTGGGTCAAAACCTGGCTCTTGAAAGTTAGTCAGGCCTCTTTGAATTTGAAATCTCATATGTGCTGACATTTTCATCGCCAGTGCTGCGCTTCTCAATGGCAGCCATATTCAGCAACTTCGAAGTTTCAATTCATGATGATACTCGGTTCCTGAATGCATCTGGATTTGTTACTGGCAAAGGAGGGGAAAATCTAGAGCTGATGTTCAAGCACCTCTAGGAGAATATGTTTATCTTATGGTGGCCTGAAACCGAGTATGGCCGGCAGTTGCACGGAGATAGGTTCGAGGTTGAAAAGGTCTACTGATTATTTATTCCATATCAGAGGTATGGAAATATTTTTATCAGGTTCAAATGTTGCCGAGCGGAGCCCTGGTCGATACAAAGTGACATATTGTGCTTGTTCAACATCCCTGTTTGACCATTTACAACATGAGTCACATAGAGTAACATAACACCCCAATAACATCTTTCTTTCGAAACAACTCAAATTAGGAAAATGCTGCTGCACGTAGTAGAGGACCCCCGGGAAATATGCTCTGGTGGGAGCATGTCAAGATATATTTTACAACCTTGGAATGGCTCATCAACCTTGGAAGCCCTGGAGCCGACAGTGACGGGCCTAAAGCCCACTGGAAGCTTGGAAATCGCCAGGTCTCGAGTCGGAAATGTTGTTTTTTGGTCAGATCTGACTTCCTATTTTACTTACCAGCAAGGTCCTCAGGCTAGAGTCGGTCTACTTATCTTCGGCCTCCTCCGCTGTTTCCTAGCGCAACCGAATCATTTTTCCGCCAGCATTGGAGCCCGCTGCCAAGGCTTGGCATCTGCATATATCGATATGTTTTTGTCACTTGAAATTTTCTCTTATGAAGATTCAATTAAGTTCCATTGGAATCATGGTATCGGAGAAGCAGGGTACCGTTGTCAAATATATCTCTTCTGATGGCAGCGTTGACGCAAGGTTATCTTTCGAGTTCAGCAAACAGGAACATGCTCTTGGCTGGTGGGATGCCATGCGTTTGCATTACCCCGCCATAGGCTGGGGAATTTTCATGAATCTGGTGAGTGAAATTATTTCTTATAGAGACTATTGCATACTCATGATTCCAGGCAACTGTTCTCAAAGGCATCGACGGAGGAATCGTTCGCAGCCTGGTCGGACTTCCTGTCTTCAAGGAGACATACGGATATAACGACAATGGAAAATACACGATCGCAGCGCAGTGGCTATCCGCCTTCAATTATGCCAACCTTCTAGGTGCTATTGTCGGCGCAATTTTGTCTGGAATTGCCTATGACCGCTTTGGACCTCGATTGATGACAGTAGGCTGCTGTGTGCTCTCGATTGCGTTCATATTCGTGCAGTTCTTTAGCCATACCCCAGCTCAGCTTTTCGTCGGTGAGCTGATCAACGGCTGTATCATTGCGTTTTACCCTATTTGTGCATCGGCATATGTCGGCGAAGTCACTCCCCTCGTGCTTCGCGGATTCACAGCCACTATGACTAACCTTGCTTTCTCAATTGGCTCTCTGCTCGCTTCTGGTATCCTCAAAGGAACGGAGTCCATGGACAGCAAGTGGTCGTACAAAATTCCTATCGCAACTCAATGGGCCCTACCATGCATTATGCTTTTACTGGTGCCTCTGTGCCCCGACCCGCCATACTGGTTGTGTCGCAAGGGTCGTTATGAGGACGCTATGATCTCACTGCGTCGACTTGGGACCTCAACTCCAGATATACCGAAGAAATTAGCACACATAAAGGAGACTCTTCGGGTTGAAAAAAGCCATCAGGGGGAACGGCCCAATTATATTGATTGTTTCCGTGGTTCTAATTGCCGTCGTCTGGTCATTTGTGTTATGGCATATAATATGCAAGCATTTGCGGGCAATGTTTTCTTTCTCAGTTATGCCGTGCATTTCATGGAGCTGGCTGGACTCGATGCTTCGGATGCATTCTCTATGAATATTGGTCTCACCGCACTGGGACTACTGGGAACTTGCATATCGTGGTTTCTACTCTCCTACATTGGTCGGCGAACCGTGTATATTTTTGGATGCTCCACGCTGGCCGTTGTACTGTCCATAATCGGTGCCGTCGATCTTGCCCCACGGCAACCATCTACCACGTGGGCGCAGTGTGGCTTGATGCTACTCTGTACTTTTGTGTATGACATGAGCTTGGGACCATTTTGCTACGTTCTATTGGCCGAGGTATCTTCTGCAAAACTCCGTGGACTTACAATCGCACTCTCAACTGTGAGCTGCTTTATCTGGTCGATTGTTTTTGCGGTTGTCATACCATATGCCATGAATGAGGATGAGGGTAATTGGCGTGGAAAAATTGGATTTTTGTTCTCGGGTCTTAGTTTCCTAAGTGCTGTCTATTGCTTCTGGTGCGTCCCGGAAACAAAAGATCGTACATTCGAGGAACTGGATATATTGTTTGAGCGGCAGGTGCCAAGTCGTAAGTTCAAGTATTTCAAGATTGATGTTGATGTTGGTGGTAGGCGTCTGGAATGATCCTCTCAGGATATTAGAATTTTATAGAGTAGAATCCATGAAATCAACATGAATTTCTTGTGCAAGGGAATCGATCAATGTCATGGACGGGATATGGTATTCAAATGCGTGACATGCATCGTGTAAGTCCTAGTATTCAATCATATATCTGATAGGCGGATATTAAGAGAGGACAAGGACTTGATTTTAGGGTATCATATTGCTTCTAGTCCAATAATGGTCAAACTGTTCCAAGGTTGCTGCCCATTCACTTTGCGTGGGAACCGTTGCCTCAGGCACCAATATTTCCTTTGCCCTTTCCTTCACTTTCTCCTTTCCCGGCCACCACCGTTCACAATTTGACATTTGCCTCCGTGACTATCGGCCAGAAGTGCTCTTTCTTCGAGCAGCGACCAGCCGCAACCGCGATACGAATACGATTGACTTAATATGAAGAAGGTAAGCTTTTGTGTTTTAAAGCCTCGGGCTAGAGTTACGCCGCGATGATACGCTATATATCTTGCCAAGGAATCGAGGGTGACAAAATGCGGGGTGAAGTTACATTTCGGCTCTTGAGATCTAAAAAGCCTTCCGCTGAATGATTAATTCCTTCCGCTGAATGATTAATTCGGGAAAGATTGTCGAATTGAAGTCTTGGCGATGACCTCTTGATGGAATTATCGTGCCTTTCGGTATAGCTTGGACCGACGCCAGGCGAGAAATTCCATCTGGGCTTGGTCAATATGCCCCGGATTTTTGAATGCGGGGTTGGACCATATGCCCGGTGGCTCAGTTGATGGAATGGATGATCTTGAGCAGTTCCGATATAAAATGGCTTCGAGGACCGACACATGGATGGCTAGGCATCATGGCTCTTTCAATTTCTCAGGTCTCATTCGAGCACCATCGGACGGCCTTGGGTATAGCGGAGACTTCTCCCCGGATTTCCTGGCGATTCGATGGACAAGTCTCGGATTGGCATCAAGCATCTTATGATCTTGAAATTCAAAGGCCAGGAAAGGATGCAGAGACTTTCCACGTGGATTCTGCGGAGTCTGTTCTTGTTCCATGGCCCAGCGACCCCCTAGAGTCAGGAGAAGAGGCGACCGTTCGGGTGAAATCTTCCGGGGGCAGAGACAAACCTAGTACATCATGGTCGCATCCTGTTTCTGTCGAACCGGGGCTTCTCACCCCCGAAGATTGGAAAGAGGCGGTTGTTTTGGCGTCAGACCGAGCTACCGAGGTCAACGCCACCCACCGACCTATCTACTTTCGAAAGGATTTTGCCTTGGACCAGGACATTGCATCGGCAAGGTTATACATCACGGCGTTAGGACTATATGAGGCTCGTTTGAACGGTCAGCGGGTTGGTGATCATGTTCTTGCCCCAGGTTGGCAGTCGTACACGCATCGCCATGAGTACAATACTTACGATGTCACCGATCTTCTAAAGAATGGAGAGAATACCGTGGGTCTGACTGTTGGCGAGGGCTGGTACTCAGGACGCCTGGCGTGGGAGAACAATCGAAATATTTACGGGGATACACTAGGCGTACTTTGTCTACTCGCAGTAACCAACTCCAACGGTACAAAGACGTACATCTCCACCGACACAACATGGAAATCTAGCACTGGCCCCATTATCTCTTCTGAGATTTATGATGGGGAGACATACGATTCTAGGCTGGAGCAAAAGGGATGGGATTCTCCAGGATTTGATAAGTCGAGCTGGCTCGGTGTCCGTGAGCTCAACTTTTCTAAAGATGCCCTCGCTGCCCCAGATGCACCGCCGGTGAGACGTGTTGGGGAGCACAAGCTTGAGAATGTGTTTTCTAGCGCTTCAGGCAAGACGGTGTTGGACTTTGGGCAGAACTTGGTCGGCTGGCTGCGCATTCGCGTCAAGGGGCCGAGAGGCCAAAGCATTAGTTTTGTTCACACCGAAGGTATGATAGTATGGCGACCAGTTGCCTGTACGTCAGCTGCTAATCTCCACTAGTTATGGAAGATGGAGAAGTCGCAACACGCCCTCTTCGCACTGCCAAAGCAACAGACAATTTCACACTTTCTGGCGGAAATGATGAATGGGAACCTTCATTCACGTTCCACGGCTTCCGATATGTTCAGGTCGAAGGCTGGCCAAATGAAACTAAACTCGACGCTGATTCAGTCACTGCGATCGTTGTTCATACGGATATGGAGCAGACTGCATTCTTTGATTGTTCTGACTCGCTGCTGAACCGGCTTCACAAAAATATTCTCTGGAGCATGCGTGGCAACTTTTTGAGTATTCCCACAGATTGTCCTCAGCGTGATGAACGTCTGGGATGGACAGGCGACATTCATGCCTTTAGTAGAACTGCAAATTTTGTCTACGACACGGCCGGCTTTCTTCGCGGGTGGTTACGGGATGCGCGCTCTGAGCAAAAAGAGAACAATTGTCAGAAGCCTGTTTTCTCTATCAAACCCATTGCCCCTTGCTAATCAGACCTTTAGATGCCCCGCCATATGTTATTCCAAATGTTCTAGGAGATTCGTCAGCAACCTCAATTTGGGGAGATTCAATTGTGGCTGTACCTTGGCAACTTTTTCAATCTTTCGGAGATGAGAAAATGCTCGAAGAACAGTATGCCGGAGCCAAAGACTGGATTGATAAGGGGGTCCTTAGGAACGAAGTCGGGCTATGGAATCGTTCGACCTTCCAATACGCTGACTGGCTGGACCCTAAAGGCACCCCAGACAATCCAGGGGATGCTACAACGGACAAATATTTGGTCTCCGATGCATATCTGATCCACAGCACCGAGCTTGTGGCTAACATGTCCACCCAACTCTCTCTCGTCGAAAACGCCGAGAAATATACCAAGGCTCGCGCTAAACTGACCAACGCCTTCCAGGATGCCTGGGTATCTCAGAATGGAACTGTGGCAAATGAGACGCAGACAGGCCTAACATTGCCACTGTATTTCCGATTGTTTTCTGATCCAGCACATTATACATCTGCTACGAAGCGACTTGTCAATCTCGTAAAGGGAAACGAATACAAAGTTGGAACAGGATTCGCCGGGACTCATATCCTCGGACATACACTATCCGAATACGGTGCGGCAGACTCTTTCTATGGCATGTTAATGCAGGAGGAAGATCCGGGTTGGCTTTTCCAAGTGGTGATGAACGGAACCACTACATGGGAACGCTGGGACAGCATGTTGGCAAATGGAAGTGTTAACTCAGGATCAATGACCTCTTTCAATCATTACGCGGTCGGGTCGGTAGGGAGCTGGATCCATGAAAACATTGGTGGGCTAACTCCTTCTGAGCCTGGCTGGAAGAAATTCAATGTCGAAGTACGACCCGGGGGTGGATTGACTGAGGCGACAACCAAGTTCACAAGTGCATATGGCCTTATATCCACGCATTGGACACTACAGATGAGCAAAGGTCATGACAACTGTTCGAAGAAAGAAAGGGTCTTTCATTTGACCGTTCAAGTGCCTCCGAATAGTCAGGCGACCGTTCAACTGCCGTCTTCTGGCTCGGAGAAGAAGCCCATCGTGGTAGGATCGGGAGTGCACGAGTATGAAAGCTGCGTGGTCTAGTTAATATTGTTGAATTGAAATTTTAGGTCAAATTTCGGGCGGCGATACTAGATCGAAGCCACTTCGAACCTCCAAGCCTCACTGGTGATCGCGTTTTAGCCGTTCTAGTTACATGGATCAATCAACCAGCGATAGTACTAGTAATCCTGACGCTCTCAAAAATCATATAAGGATAAAAGCCCGACCGTGAGGCCCACAAATCCGTGCACTGCATTATCCTGCAGAAGTCGTCAACTCAGCCCTTAAAACAAGGAGTTCAAAACAGGCTCTAGATTCGTGACAAAGGAGGATAATAGCTTCCTTCCACAAACCAGAGAGCCCCGTCTGTATTAACTTAAGTGTTCAATGGAAAGTTACATGTACATTATACCAATTTATACAAAATTTCAAGGCATTCCATATCGCTTTGCCCGTCATCCACCTCCATTTTCAAAATAAATGTTCAGTGGGCGGCAAGTCCATGTCTTTCAACCAAGTTCCAGTAGGGTTTGGCAATAGACGTTCGAGCCGCTTTTCCAATTTTGATCCACAGCAAACACCCACTCCAGAAAACCACCCCCAGCACTGCTATCAGAATAAATGTATTCTGCAGCCCCATGTTCGTGATCATGGGATTTACTGCATACGCGAATGCAAAACCTAATAAATTTTAGTCGGAATATTTGAGAAACATGATGTATCCACAAGCGAATTTTAACGTACCGATTGTGTTCCGGATCAGGATAACAGTCACAATTGACTCTCCCGCCAATTCCTTCTGACTGTCAATAATGTAGGTGATGGCTAGGCCAGATCCCATTGGCAAAGTCACGCAGATGAATGCGATTCCGATGACAACTCCAATCCATGGAATGTGGTGGCTGGCTCCAACACCATAAAGAAGGCACCCCAGAGGATGGGCGAGGATAGGAATCAAGAACATCCAGAGGCGGTCCTCGGGCTCCTTGATACCGTGTCTTCTTCTAGCGAGCCTGATCGCAAGAATATCGCTGAGCCAGCCGCTGAAGTAGCACCCAATCGACACTCCTATCACACTTGCGAAGTAGGTAAGACCGATCGCCTCAGTGCTAAAGTTATACGGCGCCCCTCCCAGAACCTCCGCCAAGGAGCCACCCAAAACATTGTACCAGGCCAAGATACTTCCAACTAGAAGACCGGAAAAGATAATTGTCGGGAAGCACAGAAGTCGGAAAGACAGTGTTATCGACCGAAAGAAGTTGAATGGCTGGGAAGGGTCTCTGAATCCCCACAATTTCAGTTTCTGGATGTATGTTCTGACTTCATAGATTTCTTCAGCAGCGGCGGGAGGAATACTGGAGCTCTCTGGCTCTTTGGATTCGCTGCCCATCTTCTCGTTCGGAGGTATGCGAGGACTCAAGCGTGCTAGCGTCTTTGGGGTCGGAAAATATCGGCTGTTGAATATTCACTTTGCGGAAGAACATGGTCTCTTCAAAGGTGAAGAATGTTCCAACTGTGAAGCAAAGGCAAATAATGGCCAGGATGTACTGGATCCATCTCCAACCGAATCTCTCGGCAACGAATCCACCAGCGATAGGCGACAAGAAAGCACCGCACCATAAAGTCCAGTTATAAATACCCATGTGGAAGCCGCGATCGTGAGCAAAGTGGATATCAGCAATACAAAGCTCGATCAAGGCTTCTTGGGGCGAAACAAAAATGCCAAGAAGAATTCTATTGGCATACCATTCGCCTACCGACGTTATATAAGCAGACCAAATCTGTATCAGCGATGCCCCCAGCATGCCAACTAGAAATACTGGCCGACGACCAAAGTCCTGCGCTAGGTTTTGGGTTAACAGGGTACCCCACCCCATGAAGAGATACATCAGGCCATTTCCTGTGCTGAGGTCTGCCACGGAAATACCCGTGTCTTCCGAGATAAGGAGGTAGGAGGACGACAGGCCGCTGATTAGAGCGGCGGCGAAGAAACACCAGGCCATTTGGCAGGTGCTGCTCAAAGACTTGCGGCAGCGGGACCAATTTAGAGGGTCATCTGGATGAGAGCTCGGGCGAGGAATCAGGACGATATCTTGTTGCTCTTTATTGTGCCTCAGGCTCAGATTGTGGTCAACATCCACCTGCTGGACAGTTCCAGGGATGGGGAGAGGGTCATCCATCTCTGCTGTTAGGGCAACGGAGATTTGGCTGTTCAGGTTCTAAATATAATATCTGGCTCGGATGGTTTGTTTCAGTTCCAAAGCTGCTGGATACCTCGCACGCACCCTTAATCGAACCGGGGCCTTCTAGAGGATAGTCTGTGTGCTGTTTCCAGTGGCGTGGGTGATATCGCGAACACGAGCTATATAATATTTGTGCATACCCCAAATCAATCACAAAGGCGTCGGGAAATGGCTTATCATAGACGGCTCGAGCCTGGGGATAACCATAAAATATCCAGCCACAGCAGATTTTGGGTAGGAAACAGGGAGAGCCTTGACCATATTGCTGCCAGTGCACGCTGCCAAGTGATACCCCGCAATCCATGGCCGATTTAAGGCCTTCCCAACTCATGTTATCACCATAAATATCGGTGTCATTGGCTGCATTGAGTTGGGGTAGTGAATTGGAGTCATTCTTGATAGCTTAGAGTTGGTTGATAAGATACGAGTTAATAAGGAGCGAGCTGTCCAATCGGATTGCCCCATTTTCGGCTCGACTCCAAATCATATTTCCAGTGCACTTTATTGATAATTATTTAGCGGCCGTCAACATCCACACATGAACTTGAAATTGTCTACGAGCTTTACACCCGATTTACCATCACCTTGATAGCGATCGGGCCGAAGCAGGGAAATTCAAAGGTAGTTTTATTGAAGACCTCGGGGCGCCTTTGTAGATCAGTTGGGGTAGCTTTAGTTGGAGCAGTTGGAGTACTGGGATGTCTTAAAAAAAGGAGTTCGGAACAGATCGAGCGCAGCATAAACGGACATTCATGAATACTACTAGTACTTTTCTTGGAATACGATCATGATAATATACATAGTTATTATAAATATTCTGCTCTCGTTGACAATCGATTCTAATGAATCGGCTCGGATTGAAGTTTGATGTAGTAACTACTGGAAGTGACTATCCAGGTATATATCTACTTCTCAGGAAAGTATGCCTTGTTGAAAATATCGACGACGGCTCTTGTTTCTTTGACCAGCTCCAAACACCCGGGAACGTCAGAATGACAGCAAATGGAGATGGGGTTATCCTTAACAGGCAAGTCGCAGGTTGATCCGTCAATCGCAACAGCAGTGCATGTTTCCATCTGCTGTGAAACGCGTCTTCGTACTTCGGCAAGATCCCAAGCCCTACAAAAACCACGTTAGATAAGACGAGCATGACCAACGGGGAATAAACAACTTACTTCTTTTTCCGCTCAATCAAAAGAGAAGCATCCGCATTGTACTTAACATCCGCATAAAATTCCGCAACAAACTCGAGCCCTAAATCCTTGGCCGCTTGTTCCATACAAGTTCCCGGAAGCCCGAACACTTTGACACCCTTAGGCACGGCCTTGAAGACGGCCTTGGAAATCTCGTAGTCTCTGCAGCACATCCCATAAAGTGATCCATGGGGCTTAACGTGATGAAGAGGGACTTCCTCCCTGTCCAGGAACCCCTTGAGCGCGCCAATTTGGTAAACCGTGATCGCGGTGAGTTCGTCATGTGAAAGTTTCATTTCGCGACGGCCGAAGCCCTGGAGATCTGGTAGGCCGGGGTGTGCTCCGATTTTGACGCCGTGTTCCTTGCAGCTGCGAACGGTTTCCATCATGATGAGGGGGGTCACTAGTAGCAGAAAGATGTTAGTGAAAGTTTTCATGCTCTTGCAATTGGTTCGCATAATATTCTTCGTAACCGATAGGGCATCGCGATGCTGGCGGTCGCACGGAGGGAAACAGAAAGACATACGAGGCATGGAAACCACAGGCAATATTTGCATGATCAATGAACGGAAGCAAATCTTCATCTGAAGTGATTGTCCAATTTCCAAATCCTTCTCCTAGGTCAACATTGATGAGGGCTTTGTGCTTGATAGGTCCCATTTTGGCGCTTGAAAACTGGCCGTGACTTAATGAGGGCCGATGATGTCCGTCGAAAGAGCGATACGGATGTTGGAGGATCTTCAAGTGTTGACCTTCGATAAGATAATTGGCTTTAAGTGAGAATCTTTTGGAGGCGCTTGAAAGATAGCGGGCAAAAGGATAATGAATCAAGCTGTCGGTCAAACCTAGACAGTTCGGATCCTGCCCCAAGTGTCTGGTTTATTTGCTTGACCCGGACCTGCTAATGACCCCGCCATGCGGAGCTGGTTCGGTTCGGAATCAAACCGCTTTCCTGCACTACCCGGGGAGTGGCAACTCCATTAGCCCGAGACCGTTTGTATTCCCCCTCAGCTTAGGACCCACAAAATTGCGCCGATTGATCGAAAAACTTCATCAAGACTTGTATGCAATGCAGATGACTTTTTTATCTGCTTCTTGTAAACTAGAGAATGACGTAAGGCAGCCTTATTGAAGATACGAAGGACGTTCTTCACCAGAACGTAATGTTACTAGTAGGAGCGAATGTAATTTACATGGGAATTGGTACATTAGATATCATGCAATCAACTATATGATTCCACTTGAAGTTGCGATATGGGATCAATGGTCAATGGCATACCAGACCGGTACTAACTTTCAAAGACACAATCAGCTGCATCGCTGGAGAATTGATGATCACTTCCACCCACGAGCCCCAAAGTGGGAAACCATGGCATATAATTGAGGTTCACCTGGGTGAATTGATCATCCCACCACATTGACCAGGCATCAAACTGTGTGTCACGCTTAGCATCTCCGGAGGGGTTGACATCCGGGAGATCGTTGTATGCAAGGGCGGCATTTGCCTGTGGATCTTGAGAGGTATGGTTTATCGTCGATGGTTGTATTTCATCGGTGGCCCGAGATGTTTCGGATGGAAATTTCATACCAGACGCTTTGGGCATAGCTGGTTGGGCGAGACCGGACTCCAATCTATTGGCGAGGGATTCGAGCAGATCGCCCCAACGACTACTCAAGTGGGTATCATCGACTACAGAGTTGCGGAGACCAAGAGCGACTTGGCGAACCAGATCGAGAGACGTGGGTATATTGATCTCACTAATGTTGGCAGCGCAGCACTGATTGCGCGACTTAGCACGGTGGGAACAAAGAAGGGACAAAGTAATGCCAACGACTAACCTTGAGAAGGAGCAAAGTTGCACCGAGAATCCTGGAGTATGATCGCACGGGAATATACTTCAAACTCCCATGAGGGAGTAGGTCGTCAAGCACTGTTCTAAGTACAGTTCGAGAGGCCTTAACAGTCCTCCTGAGATGCTTCTCTTCTTCCGTTGAGGGACCCTGAAACAAGCGTCCCGGTGTGCCATTTGCACGACCATGAGAGCTTCGACTGATTGCAGCTTGTAAAGCGAGGCTGAACATGCAGAGCTGGGCATATTCGTATTCAATGTTAAGGATATACCGGGTCTGCTTGGCCACTAGAATCGAGTGAGCGTAGATTCATGTGGCGGCAGGGCCGGTACATGATGATACATACACTTTGCGTGGTCAAATTGAACGAGTGCTTCATTTAGAGATGGTTCAAGGCCCCGAACAATCTGAAGGTAGTCCCCGTTACGAATGATGTCACGTGTATACTTTGGCGACGGAAAGAGAAGGTCGTTTGCATTCTTCATGATTGTTGCGACGCGCATCCAGCATTCAGTCGCATCATCATTCCTAACGTCGGGGCTTTCGATGGGAGTGCATTGTGTCGGATTTCTTCGCCCTGCAATGCTCGAGGCCCTGTATTAGCTTTGGAATTTCTAAAACGTTCGCCTAACATCTCCTCATGGGGGAAATGCATACCTGGTCGGCCTGGCTGTTGGGTCGCGTAAACCCATATCAAGCACCGAATACGGTGGAATCTCTCATATTCACGAGCGATGTTCAAATTATCGTGTTCAGCTTCATTTTGCCAAAGAGAATTATCCTCTGAGAAGATACCCATCTCAGCTGCCAGCATCAAAACAGTGGAAAGCATGGATTGGCATAGGCGATCTGATCGAGCGAGCCAGTCATGTCCGGACCGGGCCCATAATACCGGCTACTAGCATTGTCTCGCATTTTTTTGGTCTCGGGAATTATGATTGAAGACATATCATCATCAGGTGGCGGAAAGTGAAGAGCACGCGGATGCCAATCTAGCAACAATAACAATGCTTCGCAAGTTCCCAATGTGCGGAACCCATGTGACCAACTGTCTGTATATGCCGGACGCGGCCCGTTGAGCGAAGGAAATTCCCCAACGAACAGGTCCTCCGACCAAGTTAATCGCGAAATCATTCCTTGTAAATATCTCCAAATTCGATCGTGAACAATATAAGAACGCGCAACTGCGGCGGGTCCCTCCCATTTTCGATACCTCGACCCTATCATCAACATGGTGATTGTCAAAACGGGTTCCTCCTCAATCAACGTTGCATGCTGGGAATGACATCGGAAGTGTTCCGGCACAACAGGGGAAAAGGCAGAATGGAACGTATAGAAATGATCAACCATGTCCAATGCTTCCTCTGCTGTGAATAGCCCGCCGCGGACAAATCGTAGGTTGGACCAGGCGCGAAGGGCATCATTGGTGTGTCTATTGGCAGTCGGCACAATTTGGATGCCGAGACGCAAGTCGGGGGAATTTTCGGTGGCGTTTGGATGGTTGGATGGTGAGCCATCAGTGGATTCCCTTCGAGCCTCACTGTGCTCACAAGCCTCCGACAGCAGTGTCAATGCTTCATGGTAGGTTCGAGGATGACCTTCAAGCAAAGCAGCTGTTGCACGGCCATCTCCAGGCAATGGTCGACTGTCTTCTTCTGTAGGAGTTGGATTGCCGGGTGACAAAAGGATCGAATTGGGAGAAAATGTGGTAGGTTGAGGCCTGGGCTTTCGGGGAGAAGGTTGGGATTTCCGATTGGCGATTTTCCTTGAACGCAACGCGGAAAAGAAACAGTCTTTGCTCTCTCTCCGACATCGCGCACACGGTGGTTTACTGGGAGAATCGGCCGATCCCAACTCGCATCGCACTTTCTTCTCCCTGCACGGCTCACAGGCCTGGTCACAATGTCAGAGGATCGACAAAGAGGGAACTGCGGGGGCTCAAGGGTCCTCGGTCCTCATACCTGGTAGACTCGTCTGTGTTCCCTTGCATGAGACATGGTAGATGGGAGATTGCATTGGACGAAAAATCCGAGCCGGGGATATCCAGACACTTTATGAGAGATCTCCGAAGTAAGCGGTGTTTTCCAGCCAGTCGGATGAGCGCAATTACCCCAACCCCGTGACATTTCCCCGCATCCGACGTTGGGGTACTGATAAGCTTATCTATTGGCCTCGGCTGAAGGGAACTGGGGTATCCTAGGATACTAATAACTATTGCACATCCGCAGGACTTCCCGGAATTCATGAGATCAAGAATTTCACAATGGAGAAATTGAAAACATTATTGATCGCAAATCGTGGTGAAATCGCGGTTCGAATTGCCAAAACTGCCAAGTAAGAGAGCCTTGCGGACACTGCCGAGCTTGTTTGTTACCAACAGCCTAACTAATACATTATTCGCGATAGAGAGCTGGGTGTCCGCACAATTGCAATCTACACTTCTGCTGACGCGACATCACAACACCTCCGAGCGGCAGATGAGGCAGTCCTACTACCGGGTGACGATTCCACCGCGTACATTGACGGGTTAGTTCCTTACCATTCCCAAACGCAAGCTCTATGAAACTGAGACGGTGATGCACCCAGGGATGCCATTATAGAGATCGCACATTCCTACAATGTTGATGCGATTATTCCGGGCTATGGATTCCTGTCGGAGAATGTGGAATTTGCCCAAGCTGTCGCCAATGCGGGGATGGTCTTTGTGGGGCCTCGCTCCGAAGCCATTGAGTCATTCGGGTTGAAGCATCGTGCTCGGGATATTGCTGTGGCAGCCGGAGTTCCAATTGTACCCGGAACAAAGGGGCTGCTCGTAACAGAGCAGGAGGCAGTTGATGCGGCAAATAAACTGGGATATCCTGTACGGTACCCTGCCCGTATTCGTGGCTGACACCCCCCGCTGATGATGTTTTGCTCTAGGTGATGCTCAAAGCCACCGGTGGCGGTGGTGGTATGGGATTAACGATATGCAAATCAGTGGAAGAGGTCCGAGAGTCCTTGATGCAAGTTCGGTCCCGAGGAGAAACTTTGTTCAAGAACGCCGGCGTATTTATGGAGCGTTACTACCCCGAGAGCCATCATATTGAGGTTCAAGTATTTGGCAATGGTCTAGGAGATGCCATCCATATCGGGGAGCGCGAGTGCTCAGTTCAGCGCCGTCACCAAAAGGTTGTTGAGGAGTGTCCCAGTCCTTTCGTTGAAAGACACCCAGGTTGGTTGCCACAATTCTCCTACGTGTTTCACGTATTATCTACTTACTGATGTTTTTAGGTCTTCGCGAGAAGCTCACCTCTGCGGCGGTTTCTTTGACCACATCCATTCGCTACGGATCTGCAGGCACAGTTGAGTACCTAGTTGATGATGTATCGGGTGACTTCTTCTTCCTGGAAATGAACACTCGTCTTCAAGTGGAGCACGGTATCACCGAGCTCTGTTACGGACTTGATATTGTAAAGCTCATGCTCCAACAGGCTGACCGAGAGCTATGCGGTCTTGGAGGTCTGGAAAAAAGCTATATTAAAGCTTTGCAACCCAAAAAGCCTTCAGGCTGTGCAATTGAAGTTCGTGTGTACGCAGAAAATCCTGCACGAAACTATGCACCATCTCCTGGATTGCTTCAACATGTTGAGTGGAAGGAGTCGAGCGGCACTCGAATCGATACGTGGGTTGCTACCGGAACCCGAATTTCCACATACTACGGTATGTCGCTACATTGAAGCCGTTATATGAAATATTACGCTGACCCAAAAAAATTAGATCCCATGATTGCGAAGTTGATGGTACATGACACCAACCGAACAGCGGCTATTGAAAAGTTGGGCGATGTCTTGTCGAACTCCACCCTCTGCGGACCACCCACGAATTTGGAATTTTTACACGCAATCATTGATTCCAGTAAATTTAGGTCGGGTCATACTCTCACTAATTTCTTGACTGATTTCGAGTTCACGCCTGCTGCGATTGATGTCATATCGCCGGGTGTGTATACAACAGTACAGGACTATCCAGGACGCCCAACAACTGGGCGCGGAATTCCACAAGCAGGGCCAATGGTTAGTGGAACTCTATCAATCAGAAAATTATTCATTTGCTTACATCTTGATATCAGGACCCTTTGGCATTTCAAGGTATGCAGTTTCCTACTAGTAGCTACTAGTTTTGGTACATTTCTAGATGAGGCGAAACCCACTAACGGCTTACTATCTTATTTGCAGTTGCAAACATATTGGCCGGCAATCCGGTCGGGACCGAAGGCCTAGAAATTACATTGAAAGGACCAGAGCTACGGTTCCTAGCACCTGCAATGGTATCTGTCTGTGGAGCTCCAATGGGAATTACAATTGATGGGGCCGATGTAGCAATGTGGACACGACTATATATCAAATCTGGCCAAACCCTATCAATCGGAAAGCTCAATGGATCTGGAGGGTGTCGAGGTAAGTTATTATCCATCGTTCACATCCACCCTACTAACTTGCTATACTAGCATATCTCGCTGTTCGAGGAGGATTCCCAGGAATGTAAGCTACTCCTATTCATGGATCTTTCTTCCTGACTCTCGAACTAATCACATGAACAGTTCCCCATACTTTGGATCAAAGTCAACCTCTCCTCTACTTAGTATTGGCGGGTATCAAGGAAGAGCACTGGCTCCAGGGGATATGTTGGCAATTTCAAAGCTCGATTTATTCGAAGAAGAGTCTGAAGTCTCATTGCCCATTCATTTACGCCCGAACTACCCCCCTCATTGGGACATTGATTCCATGGTAGGGCCATATGACGAGGGGTACATTGTATCCGAAGATGTGGAAATGATATACAACACAGTTTGGTATGTTCCGTGCACGGAAGAGGTACAAAGAAATACCTCATTGAGCGCTGCTAACTACTATGTTTCAGGGATGTTTCGCATAATGCCACTCGAGGCGGAATTCGCCTTGTTGGACCTGCTCCTAGGTGGGCAAGAGAAGATGGCGGCGAGGGCGGACAGCACCCTAGCAACGTGATTGAATACGGATACCCGAACGGAACCTTGAACTGGACAGGAGACAGGCAAGTCGCGATGGCGAATACATTGATGCTCATTACGCTAATTCGAATCGCCCTTTCAGCCCTTGCATCTTCCCCGTGGATGCCCCTGATCTTGGTGGCTTTATATCATCTACTACAATTGTGAATGCCAGCCTGTGGCGTATGGGCCAACTTAAATCCGGCGACACTATTCAATACCGCAGAGTATCATTGAAAGATGCTCTTCAGGCTCGTGAGAAATTGGAAAGGTTTTTGGAAAGTGTGTCAGGACTTGTAGCCGGACAATGTGACGTGAGCACCATAGAGCCAATCTCCAATTCCGAATTGCCAGAGTCAACTATGTCTGGTAACTGGGGGAAGGCGTTGATTCATAGCACTGTGCTGGGGGAATCTGGGATTTCTATGTCATTCAGACAGGTAAGAAATACTGCATTTCACATTGCCCATCAACTTCTAACTTTCCCTTGCAGGGTGGAGATGACTTCTTATTAGTCGAATTTGGTGATGGGAAGTTCAATTTGAATCATCGGTGCCGAGTAACAGCATTGAACGAAGCCTTCAAGAATTCTCAAGAGTCCGACGAATCTGTGAAGCAAGCCGTATACAAGACCACCGGATGCTGCAATTGTGAGTATCCCCTTTAATCTCCAAGATGCTTGAATTCAACTGACAAATGGCCAATCAAAGCTCTTCTAATTCACTATGATGGTTTAAAACTCCCCCCGGGATAAGCTTGTCCGGCTTTTGGTGTCGCTCCAGGAAGCAGTTGGCGATCTCAGTAGCTCCCATGTTCCAAGTCGAAAGTTTCGTCTTCCTATCTGCTTCGAAAGTCCAGCTCAGCAGGAGGCAATCCAGCGATATATGGAGACCCAAAGACCACATGCTCCATTCTTACCCAGTAACATGGACTTTGTGGCCAATATCAACGGCATTACGCATGATGAATTGGTGGATATTTTTCTCTCGGTTGAGTTCATGGCTATTTGTGTCGGATTCTTCTGTGGCGATACAATCTGCCTCCCAATCGATCCCCGCTATCGGTTGAAATGCCCCAAGCAGAACCCCAGTCGTGTATACACCCCGGAAGGAAGTGTCAGCTGGGGTGGATCATGCATGAAGTAAGCCCTTCCTCATACTCCCGACAATGAAGACAAAGTTCAAATGCTAATCTTAACAGCATCTATCCCGTTGACGCTCCAGGTGGATATCAAATGACAGGGCAAACCATTCCCTGCTTCAACCAATTGGGAGTGAAGCCCGACTTCTCGCCAAGTCAGCCAGGTCTTTTCCGTGACTTCGATCAGATCACCTTCTACCGAGTGGAGAAAGACGAGCTGGAGAGTGAGATGGCTCGTTTCCGGTCCGGAAATTATAAATTTCAATACGAGGATGTCATATTTGATATGAGCGCCCACAATCGTCTCCTCGATCAAACCAGAGAAGAAACCGCGGCATTTAAGTCTCGCCAATCCAAGGCTGAGGTAAAAATGCTGGCCCTGGAAAAGGAATCGATGGACAAGTGGATAGAGGAGAGAGCGAAGAACAACGTTCCTGCCAATGAAATTGAACTTCTGAGAGAAGGTAAATGAAATCATCGCGAGTCAGTCACACTTTCAATATACTGACCGAATATCACCAGACCCTGAAGTTTTAACGTTATATGCTCCTCTGGACGCAAATGTTTGGAAGGTCAACGCTGAGGATGGCACTATCGTCTCCTCTAATCAGGCCGTTGCTATCCTCGAGGCAATGAAGATGGAAGTCGCTGTCTCCTATAATGGCGATAAGAAAGATGGTCTTGATCAGTCCTTTAGAATTGAGAAGATGCTTGTCCAGCCGGGTGATACGGTAAAAGCTGGAGATTCACTTGCATTTTTGAAAAATGTATGACACGAGTGGGAGAATCATGGAGTCTCTGAAAATATCATCTAGGGTTTCATTGAGAATTGAGCTCGAGGTGTGAGCGCAGGTGATTTTGCTTATCTTGAAGGAGAGTAGCCCAAGTACAAATGAGATGCTAGGTCAATCATAGTAGCGCCTTAATAATGATCAAAGTAACAGAACCCGACGGTGTTATGCATTCTCACATGCGGCCTAGGTCGCCTTCCTACACGCAGGATAGATTAACTATTGTGACGCCGTTCACCAGCTTAGCTTTCTCAGCTCCGAATCCATCTCTCTTAGTCTTTTCTGCAAGGATTCCTCCTCGGCTGCCATGGTATCCCGATTCAACGCAAGCTGGTCAAAGTTGATAGTCGCTTCAGCGAGTTCATAAGCCATGTCTGCGGTCCTGAGGCTGCTGCGGGTAATGCGTCGTTTCTTCCTTGGTGGCGAGGGAGCCAGGCGGGACTCCGTGGGCCTCTTTAGTAAATTGGCAGAGGATGTCATTTCTAATTCAATAATCAGTAAACTAAACAGGGAAGACCAATCTGCCACACGAGCTTACGGTTATTGACGGAGGGCGCGAAAAATGGAAGAACGGTCTTCAGGAAGCGTGAAAATGTGTAGGTCACAGGAGGGAGTTATTTTGGAATGCGAGGCCAATATCTGGTAATGTCTTGTGTAGTGGAAGCGAGGCATGGGAAAAGAAGTTGGAACCTTAACGGTCGAGATGGATGTAAAGGAAACTCCTGGGGTCGGAGGGAAATAGGAAAATGTGGAGGACACCGTGACAGGGAGACATCGGGAGTGAATATAATTTACCTGCGCTAGGTGCTCCGAGTCTTTGCAGCACCTGGGCATTATTGCAGCGTTCCTTACTTGAATGGATACACCTGGGCATTCGGATATGCTGCCTGAGCGCCGAATGCAATAACATATCCCGATAACAAGTATAAATATAGGATCAAGTAAGGCGATGTTGATGAAGAGAGTTAATTCAGATGATGATGATGACAGACAACCTTGATAGATGGTGATGATTGTAAGGATAAGAATTTGGAAGAAGACAAAGCAGCTATCTTGAATAAAGGCGTATTCTTCATGCCTGAGGCATACGTGCCTCAACTTGAACTTATTTTGGATTAGTTCTGCGGGATATATTACGGCAATTGATCTTTAAGTTTGTCTAAATCTACTCCAAAGAAACTAAAAGGTCTCATTCGGACAGGGGGGCTGCTGACGGGGGATGAGAGTCATGATGGATGAGAGAGACGATCGCGAGAATATGTGTTGGATGAAAGGCTATTGGCTGCCCATGTGAGGCTGAAAGGACTAGATATACCAGTACTACGAGTATAGGTATCCAGTGGCTATTTTTGTGCGACACGAGGCCTATCTCCGAAGGAGCAAGGACCTTTTCTATACACGGGCCTTATTTAACTATAGCAGAAAATTATTGGAAGTTGTGAGGATGCTCAAGTACTCACAGAGGTCAATATACGACGTAGCGTAGCAGGAAATGGAAATAGTAGCTTTCGACGAAAGTAATAGCTTGAGGAGAAGAAGAAGGAGGAAGCTGAGATGGAACTAAGTACATGTAGGCAGTGGATGCCTAAGTGGATGCCGCAGGCCCAAGGCATCCACGAATGGTAACAACACCAGTTCGTTACAGAAGTGAGAACATTGTACAGTCCTAACTTATTGTCGGTGCTACCTTACCAGCCCTACATTAAGTTAATACTACTAGTATCATATTGTATTGACCGTGATAGAGAGCTAGGTATCCAACCGTACAATTAGCGCAATGTGCTTCTGCCAAAGCCACTGCGCAGGTGAATTTACCAGATAAATGAGTGGGTAATAACCAAGTCCTGTGATATGTACCACTATGGCTACTTCCAAGGTTATATGTAGTTTTATATTTGTCAAAGTATTTTGGACAGTAGGTATACCAACGTAGTATAGTACTGAGGTGGAATTTGGTTATGGTCTATTAGTAACCTTGCAAATTGGAACTTACGAAATACTACTTATCATACACACAAGGCACTGGAAACTTTTTCCAATGACATGCACCCTATGCGGCAAAGCGTACGTTCGTTAACCATAAGATTGATAAAGAAGCTCCGTTCCGAAGTACTCCGAGGAGACTAAAATGACTATTCATGAACTAGCGATTCACGAAGTCACCACATTGAAGTCGTTGAAAACATTTATTCCACCACTTATTATGTGAAATAAGGTCTGTTTCAGAGGCTGAACGTAATTGAAGTCTCTGAGTTGTCTCTAGATGCTGTTCAAAGACTGGGAGAATGGCCTAGAACTAGCGGTGTACAAAATTTATACATCCAGGTCTTATGTAACACAAGATCGAAACTGTGTAACAGACACCAAAATTGTGTAACACCACATGCTTCTCATACCCCGCCAGTAGGTATTTGAAGAGTGAACGCTCTGGTCTCGTCGTCAATGATTTATTTCATACCTCATATATAATACCAAGCCTTCCTGAATTCATCATCAACAATCAGCAATGCCTGAATCGGTCAGTCATCTGAGGGGAGGACAGCAGCGACTGGCAGAAGCATGGGATCGATTTAACGCTGCTCAAGCGGCGCGTGAAGCCGAAATCCGTCGCCCAGCTAGGCACATCGACGTCGTGAGCGAAGATGAATATCAGAGAATACAATCTGCAAGAAGGAAAATGAAAGACTATTTCAATGGACTGGTCTACAGCTGGGATTATCAATATAAACAACTCAGCCAAAGATACATCCGGGCCTTTATCGAGAATTACTACCCAAACAGAGTGGCAATCGATGATGCTGCTGTGCAGAGGATTACGGATTGGATCTCAAGAGGTGTGCTGATGTATTCCATCGTCTTATCGGACCCATCGTTTACTTCAGATCCATCCCGGGATGGAAGGATGTGCTAGATATTGATGGATACAACGCGTTTGAAACAGCGGACAAAGTCCAGATACTGAAGGATATTCTGCATTTTCGCTTGAATTTGCGAGACGACAGGTTGGCTGGACAAGAAGAACGATTTATTCGTTCAGGAGCATCGACAGAGCCAGGGAAATATCTAGGATTCTATGGTACGAACGTGGAAACCACTTGGGGGCTTGGTCTCATTGATAGCTTTAAGGTAATGTCCTCATTTCTCATCGTTGAAGCTGTGAAGCTGTCAATGAAGGAGGCTTACACTGGCTCCCCAGGACTTTGATGTCTCCCGTCTTGTGGGGGTACTGAAGGATGAAAAGGATGCAACTTACATGACGCCCAAGGAACGAGAACTGACTGCCTGGATCTTCCAAGATGAAGACACTCAGGCGGATCTGGAAACTATCATTAAAATGATAGTACTGTCAAGCCTGCTTGAACTGAAGGACCTGGGGGCGGCGGCTGCTCGAATGATCTCATTGATACCTGAGAATAGTAGCAAAACATCGATCAGTGACGAAGTGAAGCAACTGAGTGATATCATGGACAAGGACGCAAAGGGTCAGATTATTTGGAAGGATATTTTGGAGAAATGGGAAGAAGAAAAGGGCGCGGCAGGTGACGAACTACGCAACCTCATCGACGAAGGGTTAAAGAAAGCTGAAACGGAAACGATTATTAAATAGGGGGCGTGGTAACATGCATGGTCACATCTGAAGTCTGCCCCATATTGCTTTCACTTGATTGGTCTCCCATGGGTGGCAGGGTGATCCCTATTTCCAGGTATTGGAAGTATCCTGATTAGCAAAGTACTTTCGGTGCAACTTTCGGTGCAAATAAATCATTCTGTTTACTTGATCTACGTTAGCTCATTTTATACTACAGTAATTTTTTTATGTGAACTTAATCATAGGAGGTACCTGTCATGCTAATGCAGAGTATACAAGATACCGGCCGAGCTTACCCAAATTGTGCCCATCTCATCAGCAAAGCTTGCGGAAATTTTATAGGGCAACTTTCTTCTTATCATAACGCTGATAGAGGTGTCGAATTGCACCCCAGCATATCGAAAAAAAACAAAAACAAAGCAAGGGTAAGTAACCATGAAATTGCTTGATGTACTGATTCAAATAATAAAGAACGGCGATTGCGCAGCTTTGGACAACTTGAAGAGATATCTCGTAATTTTAATCTGGGGAACGGGAACCCGTTCTAGGTCGAGTATATTGCCTGCGGCACCGATATTCATCTGCGGCATCTTCACTATGAATAAAAATTATAACGCTCACTTACATACAAAATCGCGGGCCATTCACGAAAATTTCACCCAGTCTGGAATATATAGCGTATGGTGGCGCCGATGAAAAGAGGACGGCTTGCCAAAAGCTAACCCTGGAGCGACATTGGGATCGGCGAGTTAGGGCCTACTGTTCGTTATAATTTTGAGTTTGAGAATTGTCTCAAGTCTAGCGATATCTCTCCTTTAACAACTCTGTACAGTACATACAACCATAGGGTGTGGAGAACAGGGCTTCCCGTCCGCTCAGCCGTACTTAAGCCACATACTAAACGCGGTCAATAACTAAAGAGCCCTGGATCTTAAAATAGCGTCAGTTTCCGACTTAGGGTGAGTGTGGGTGATATGGGTGAGAATTTTGGAGACTAGGGTAAGAGAGGTGAGAACGGGGTGAGAGCGGGTAAGAACAGGGTGAGAGGGGTGAGAATACCCACTGCGATGCGTTGCGTTATTCTAATTTACTGCAATGGTAGGAAATAAAAGCCCGAGGGCGTAAGTCTAGTCTGCCATTCCTCATTTTTTTTTTCATCCAGCTCCTCGACCGAAGATGTCCCCAGAAGAAATACAAAAGAAGCTAGAAGAGAGAAAGGCACGTACCGTATTATGTAGTTTCACCCACGAGTATCAGAACGCGCAGGAATAAGTAGTTAATACTTTCTGCCATAAGCAGCTTACTCTAGCTACGCTCCGTAATTACAAGAATACAGTATTAAATTAGGTACTGTAGGTAACCAAAACATTGTCTCGGGTCATCGAGGCTAATCAAAACACAACAGATAGAGACTTTCTCGCAATGAAGCAACTAACGCTAACTTCTCTAAAGAGGAGCCCGATCTTATCCCTCAGCTGTTAAAATCTTTTACAGAAGATTACATTGCTACAAGGAAAAAACTACCCTTACAGAAGTCAGTATGTTTGAACTTCATCAATTTTACGTTGAGGTAGGAGCGAGAAACTTCTTGCTCTCTACCAGGTCTAGTTAAGGAAGATATTCTCAACATAAGGCAGACATAAACGATTACACAAGGTATTCGCTAACCATTTATAGTATATAAGGCAGGACCTAACTATCAAATATAAGCTGAGAACAAAGCCGCAAGAACGATATATAGTTACAGCTAAGGATATAGACTACCTTCTTTGTAGCCTATTTAGGGACGATTAGCATAATTACAGACATAAGCATACTTAGGTCCAAACTAGCAGCACCCTTATAATTTTCGCTGGCTCGGGCTCGAGAGCAGGCACTGTTGTAGAGTTAAGTAACTACTGTAATACCAACGAGTATCTTTATTACAGGGTTTATTAGATCTCCCCCCCCCCCCTCTCTTCTTTCTTTCCTAACTTCGAACTATCAAACTAATAAAAAGTTAATAGTACCTTACTTTTAACCTAAAGTAGAGCTCGAAAGATAGTAAGCTAAAACGTTGGGTAATGATTAATCCTTAATTCCTGAAAGGAAAGCGTTATAAAGACGACAGATATTTATAAGGTCCCTAATTCTCTTATAGTTCTCGATAACTAACCTAGCATTCGAAGACCTAAAAATTAGTTTAGGGAAAACCCGATTCTTAGATTTAACTTTATGTTCTGGGTTATAGTATATAGCGTTGCTAATAGTACCTTCAAGGGACTCAGTACAGTAGAAGAAGTTCTGGCAGTTAGACCTCCTAAAGGAAGGAAATTATATATACTGTAATGGAGATTTCCGCTCTCAACATTGGTACCCTAGGGTCAGGTGACAGAAGCTTTAGTAACAAGGCTCCTGCTTTGTTTCAGGAGAATAAATAGCGTTCGTTCTAGATTATCAATTCAACATGCATGTTCCCCCTTACGAAATGTTCTGCTGAGGTTGCGGTATCGGTATACTGCTTATGAAAGGTTCTGTTATTCGTTCTGTTGTTCGTTCTGTTAATTCTCTATAGCGTCACGCTTGTCTATCGTCTCCTTGCACTCTGCGAGTGTGGTGGTGTTGTCTCTTCGCGATCGACCCGTCTGCCAACGCAGACTGCCTACGAGCATTCCCATCTTTCAATATATAGAGGTCTTTTACAATACTAAGGGAGCAGATCTATAATTACCTTATAACGGACGATACTATAGCGACGATAGATATCCTCTAGCTTTCTTAGGAAGTCAGACGTATTAGTTTTGTTGAAAGCAGGGGCTCCCTAAGATCCTGGGGCTAGCATCACACTATATATTATTTAATATATTAGCTAAGGGGGCAGAACTATATAATACTAAGTAGTGTAGTGGGGATTCTGCTCTCAACATCAGAATCAGGTGATTAGAGCCTTAGCAATAAGGTGTCGCTTATAGGGAGATATTTAGTTCGCGCGATAGCATTCTAGGAATACACACACCTGTCAAGTGTCACAATTCTGTCTTTTCTGTTCCTGCGGCGGTAGCAGTATCGGTATACTGCTCATGAAGGCTCCGATGCCTTAGGAAGCTATATCTCAGTGGCCATCGCCTTGCCTACTCGCCTGCACACTGCGTGTGTGGTGGTTTTGTCTCTCTGCGATCGACCCGTCTGCTTGACAGACAGCCAGCGAGCATTCCCATCTTTCAGTAGGTAGTACAGGATCTTACAACGGTATTACTGGTATAGAAGGGGACAGAGGAGGCGGTTTTACAACAGTTTTAGGACTTTTAGGACGAGAGGGTTCCCTAATTATCGATCTAGAAGCTTTAGGAAGCGGTTTGTAAAACTAAGTAAACTGCTCTACAGTAGTAATAGGTATAGCTATATTACTAGGAAGTTTACTATTATTTCTGCCGTAATTAATAGCTATAGTTTCGGGAGATTATTTTCCTGCAGGAAAATAAGATATTGGGGAATAAGAACAATAAACAGATATAGTATTAGAGAATAAATTAGCCTAATAAGATAATCTCTAGGTAGAAACAGAAACAGATAAAGATATAGACGAAGAGGATAATACTAAATAAGGAACAGAAGACTCTGTCCTCTAGGGTAATAATAATAACAATATAGCTATTAGTAATTAATACTGTTCTAATAGTAATCCCTTTAGTAATAGATAACGTAATATAAATAATAACAGAATATTAGACAGTACTGAATACTAGATATAGCTAATACTAGGGTATCTTCGAACTATAATCTTATATAATTAACTTAGTATTATTTATAAAAGTCCTTCTAGTACTGTAGCATCTCCTATATACTAATTAGTAAGTGTTGATCATAAAAACTATATATATTCTGCAGATAGCAGTATTCCGGTAAACCTTTTAGCTAATATTTCGAATATTTGATAGGCTAATCCTACCTAGGTTAAGCTGTTCTTTATCCTTTATAATATGTTCGAATACTGTTGTATTCTCTTAGGGTTAAATACAGTATCTACTTCTTACAAAGTTATTACTCTTGCTTTTAGCTATCCTTTTGTTAATCGAGCCTTCCTAGGGATACTATATAAAAGATAATAATACTTATAGGCAGTCTGCGTTAGTAGACGGGTTGATTATAAAGAGATAATACTACTATACTTACAGAGTATAAGGAAACGATAGGTAAGCGTAATATTATAGAGAATCAACAGAACAAATAACAGAATCTTTTATAAGCAGTATACCGATACCGCAACCTTAGCAGCCTTAGTAGAACACTTTCATCAGGGGGAACATAGATAATTATTATTGATGCTATCAAACGAACGCTACTTAATCTTAAGAAACAAAACAATGGCCTTATTGCTAAGGCCTCAGTTACCTGACTACAGGGTACCGATGTTGAGAGCGGAAATCCCTATTACACTAACTAGTAAGCCAAAACATGTGTGCCTCGAACCGCCCCACCCCTCGGGATGTGGGTACCCCCGGTTCATTTGGCAGCTAATCATCTTTCTAACACTAAATTCGCTGGATACCTACTCTCTGTAGCCGCTACTGCTGAGGATGACGGATGATGCCTTGAAACACCACCCATGGCGCGTAATGACACTCCACTCATTGCTAGACCCTCAAAATCCCACAAATAATGCCATGATCATAACGAGTCTCTGCGACTGTCGGGCCCATCCCGTAATGTACTGGTCTCCACCCATCTAGGTCGGTAGCTGCTCGATCCTGGAGTGAAGAGTGGTAACGTAGATACAGTAATCGAATAGTACTGGATGGTTGCTCTTGAAGGACAGTGGGCCTATAAGGCATCAGCCCCATCTTTAACCGCCAGCCTCACACTTAGCTGAACTATTTTTGGTACGTGAAGATAGAAGAGACATGCCCATTGAGTTATGTTAAATACCTCTAGTCCGTTCCGTAAATAGGTTCTCAGATGATCTCTGCGTTTACATCCGCTCCTTGAAGGGAAAATCCAAAATTTCTCACCCCACACTCTGTTTCAATCTTGATTGCTTTTTGGAGTTATTAGTTTGCTCGTGAAGAGGCCAGACTGTACCGAACGCAAAAGCAGCTGTCGCTTGTACCCGGACGACTTCAAAATGCAACGACTGCTTCGGCAAATGACGTTATCCCGCAAGAAATCAATAGATCTGGAAACACAAGCCGACTCGGTCATCCAGAAGTTGACATACAATAAGCGCATGGAATTTATCCAATTTCTGTTCGATGTCAAGCCTGAAATCCTCACCGGCTTCCCTGGAATCGAATCATACTGTGACTATTTAGAGCATGATGCTTTCCAGTCATTGATGGACCCAGAATTTAGCTTGATCTGGGAATTTATATCCTGCAAAAAAGCCAAAGAGATCACAGACTGTTGGGACTGGTGTCTTGCAGTGTTGCAGGTGACACAGTCTGAATATCCCGAAGTCAGTATACACGACATAGCACAGCGCCTCGAAGAGCAGATTGGTCCCTTGAAAACGAATATAGGGCGAGTCCAGGATAAGAGTTATCTTTACATCGCGATTTTCGGGGTTCTGTGCTGGTCAAGCCTGGTGGTGCGGCCTAGGTTGATCTTCACAGATGCTGTGTCGCCGAATTTCACATGCCTCCTGCCACACGACCCCAAATCGACATTAAAATCCCCCTCCAACAAACTAGTTGACAGATGTAAGCGGCCATTACTGACCACTTTTCGGTCGTTCAAACCACAGAACTGGGGTGACCAGTCAAGTGAACGTATAGTTGATGGATCGAGACCTCGAGAAACGGATAGCCTGTACGTGGCAAGCCTCAACGTCTACTCGTTACGCTACTTTGGGCACGTCACCATTCAATGGGTCGATACCATCAACGAGCATCTACGGTTCAATCCAGCTGATCGTCGGCTGTCCCTGTTTCGCTTTCCCACATTCTGCGCATTGCTTGCTAGCCATGGAGAAAATGTTTGCCCCACGATTAGAAGGTATAATACAGATCATCATACAGGCCCCCATTAACGTCGTTATAACTAACCGTTGATAGTATTCATGAGCAACTTGACCCTTTGTCCCCGGAGGAGAAGGACCAGTGTTGCGTTAGTCTAGAACAAGAGATTATCCTCTCCTACCGCCTTCTTGTTGGACAAGACGACAAGTCCAGAAAGGTTGCACGTGAAGAAATTTGCATGTTGAAGAACTCGTCCGCAGATCAAATTGTGGACAGAATGCTCTCGGATCTCTGCGAACGCAAGTATGACTGTGGCAGTCAGTGGTGGAAGACATGCGACAAAGTCTTGCAGAGCTATCCATCCGAGGTATGGCCAATCACATGTCGGACCATGGAAGGCCATCTTCAGCAAAGCGACGTATACAGCGCTCGAGACGACTTCCCAAGGCTTGGACCACGGTTGATCAAGCTCCAGCAGTTCAATACACGTCAGAGACCCAGTAAGCTGACCGATCTGTGGCGCGATAGGCGCAATCCTTTACAATGGTACACATTCGGGGCTGTGTTACTGGTTGGGGGAGTGGCGAACATTCTGGCAGCACTTCAGCTCCTGGTCTCTATTGCTGCACTGAAGTTCTAGGAGTTATCTATTCCAAAATTGCCTGATTGGAGTCTGAGTGCACTTCTTATAGATGCGGTCGGGAGGTTGGCCACTGACAGAGTAAGGACTTATTTGAACGTCGTTTTACAGTACAATAAAAATAATTAACGTTCAGAACACATAAAGAATCATACATGTCAATAATTGAACAATTATTCACTCCACTTGAGCTTATTACCTGCCAGTTTCTGCCTAGTCTCAGTTATATTTTTTCTTTTTTTCTACTTACCCAAGTTATCTTGTCACTTAGTATTAGTTATGTCTTTTGGTATCTCAGTTAGAGATATAATCATCTGCGCCCAGATCCCCACCAGCTTACTTCATCCACTACCAAGGGTCGCAACCCCCGGCTACACTTCGAGTGTTGAAGGAATTTGCATGATACATTGCCCACCGTCCGGTATATTTGCCACTGCTTTATCACCAGCATTCCCGTTACGCCTTGACTCATACTGCAGTCAATAAAATGAGGATCAACGAAGATCTAAATGTTTCTCCCCTCTACGAGCCTCTTGAAGGAGTCAAAAGACTTGAGAACTATCGACCAAGGGGTTATCATGTCGTTCAAATTTGGGATCTCCTCCACGATCGATATCAAGTTGTCCACAAGCTGGGATATGGCTCTTACTCAACTGCATGGCTAGCAAGTGATACAAAAACAAAGAAATACGTTGCAGTTAAAATTTGCACGGCGCGAATCCAAGGGAAGTGGACATTATATCCACTCTCCTTCAGCCTTATTGTCCTTCAGTCAGTCATCCAGGAAGAATGATGCTGCCATCTATCCTTGACAGATTCACCCTCCACGGCCTGAATGGCATTCATTCCTGCTACGTTACAGCGCCGACCAGCGCTAGCCTCTCCGACCTGAAAGATGGTCCATGGATTCGCTTATTCCAGCCTGACGTAGCCCGGTCATTGGCTGCGCAACTCATTCTTGCCTTGGACTATGTGCATGCTCAAGGTATTGTCCACGGTGACCTGCACCTTGTTAATATTCTTCTTAAAGTTCCGTCCGGGTTTGATCAGCTTTCACCGAAACAATTATACTAGAAATATGGAGCCCCGGAATTGGAACCAGTTTCTCGCCTATTTGGCAATCCTCTCCCACCTGGCGTCCCGACTCATGGGGTTCCGCCTATATGGTTGGGGAAAGCCAGTGAAGAAATAGGATTGCTAGAAACCAAAATCCTGCTTGCAGACTTTGGCGAGGCCTTTATTCGCTCAAAAGAACGGAGATTTGAATCTTTCACCCCCCTTGTGATCTGCCCCCCCCCCCCCCGGATGCACGGTTTGAATCTAATGAATCACTATCTTTTTCATCGGATATTTGGACTGCCGCCTGTACCATATGGTCTATCATCGCTCAGCGGCCTTTGTTTGAAGGATTCCTCGCAACAGCAGACGATATGACATGTGAACACGTTGACACCCTTGGTATTCTGCCATCCGAATGGTGGGGGAGATGGAATGCGCGAAGGCATAAATTCGATGAAGTCGGTGTGCCAAAGAATCGCAGGTCTTTTCGATCCTCGGACGATCGTTTTGAGGATAGCGTGCAACAGCCCAGGCGAGATAGCGGAATGTCGTCATTTGAAGCAGAAGAGAAGGAAGCATTGTTTGATTTGCTGCGACCGATGCTCTCATTCAGGCCTGCTAGTCGCCCTACTACCAATCAAATTCTCAATTCAGAATGGATGGTGAAATGGGCCTTGCCTGAATATCGCAAAAGCCAAGATAATCTATGAGATAATCCAGAGTCTGACTACATATATCACCAGATAACTTGTTTTGGATAGACATGATACTGAATGATTATCCACGAAACTGTCCATAGAGTAGAGTGAAACCTTCTTTAGCGGGGCAAAGTGTGTAAGGCGCGGTATTTTGAGGTTGTGTAGTAGGCGATGATGTCGTCGTACACTCCGAAAACACCCAGCATTAGCAGTGACACCGTTGGCTGGTCTTTCCACATGAGATTTTAATTTAGTCGTCAATAATGTGGATTGCATGGTCAAATTATGTGCCCCATTGGCCGACCAGATCCTCGCTTTCATTGCACAAAACAGGTGGCTATGTGCAGGTGCCAAGGGGACTAGTGCTTCAGTTGGTCATAGAACAGCCAATGATATTTGCTTGACTTCAGTTTTCAAGGTCAAAGCGTGATCCTTGCATGAAATGTAGGATTCTCACCCGGGCGGCACCCACCGCACTACCTGCCCCACGCCTAATGGCCGGGCTAGCCAATCGCCAGGACTAGCCTAGTGGGGAAGTAGCTGATCGCCGCTTTTCCATCGCGCGACCCGGTTGAGAAGGGTGAGTGCGCAATGAAAAAAGTGAGAAGCTTGATGAGGATCGCCCTCGGTCGCGCGACTGCTGTACGACAGAATGAAAAGTCATTGGCACCTAACACCTCTACCAAGCTAACGAATAGGGGTTAGACTCGTGGATTTGCATGTGTGTCTTCTTGGCGGTCAAATAAGGTTAGATTGTTTGTCCATGTAGTCTGTCCTGTCTGTTCTGAATGTGGCCGTGCCAGAGCACCAGAAAGTATATTTCAGGTTCCACTTTCTTTCCCATTCGAGTTGTAAGATTTCGAAGACCTCATAAGCTGAAGAGGGAGTAATATTCGATGGGATGTGAATATATCAAGATCGAACGTAGCAGCATTAAATGACGTAGCTAAACAAGAGGAGGGAAGGATAATGAGAAATGGCTAGAGAGGTTTTAATGCTGGTTAAAAGTTAGAGGATGCACGTAGATGCCTGCGGCAGCTTTCAAGCATCAAACGAAACATATCTCTTGCTCGCCACCTTTTGAATCATTGACAAAGTCTTGTTTGGAGGATACTGGCTCTGCCACTATATAGCAATCGGATTTCATTAATCGAATCACGTCGTACGCCCTAATTGGCTGCTGATGGCTTACCCGGCAGTCAAGCTGCGTACACCTTTTGCTTTCAGGTTGCTTCATCACTTTCCAGAGATATACGTTCTGAACGTAATAGTATGTAACAATAGCCCTTACCTTTAAGCTTTCCTTAGCCTATAGATAGGAAGAGACCAAATCCTAAACCTCCGTCGGGTGTTGGCAACGTATAATAAGGGTCAAGGTGCCAGGGCGCAAAAGGTGTTCGAGGTGGCTTAGTACGTTAATCGAATGACAAATCATAATCAACGATTCAAGAGAAGCAAGTAGCACTAAAGAGAAACAAAATGATATAGGAACACACTCTATACTAAGGTAAATAGCGATAAAAAAGCAGAAATGATCAAAATGAAATGACGATGAGGAGTGTAGCATGAATTTGGGGTGGGAGAAAAGAAGACTGGCACACAGTATTAAACTCCGCATTCGTCTTTAACTAAAGAGCCTTTATTCAATTGCAGACATATTTCAGCAGAGAACTTGAAATTTTTTAGAGTAAACATCGCATACTTGACGCAAAAAGAGTGAGGAAAGGAGAAGGTAGACCAGAAGTAATTGTGCTTTATTCTTTTTAGGCGTGAGGGAAAATGTGAAGGTCGGAAGTCAAATCATAGATAGGAATGACTAGCTTGTAGTCTCCATGGTCAGATGGCCTTAGACTTTCTCATTCAGCGCGATGGCGTTTTCTCCTTGATTTTTTTCTTCAGAGCTGTAACGATATGTCCTGCTTTCCGCTGGAGCCGATATAAGGCCGGCACACCATCTGCAAACGTGTTCGCGATAGGTGATCTCTTCAGAGGTACAGCTTGCTGAGAAAGGCCAGTACCCTGAGCCACAGTGTATTTATCCGCCTGCCAAATTCGGGCAAACATTTCTCCTGCAGAGAGTGTTTGTGGAAGACCTCTCTTCCCACAATTAGGTATCCCTATCCGGTTGGATTAGTTAAATTCGCAGATTATTGAGCAAATGGACAGCATGAGTGGACTAATAAATGAGTTGTATCATGTTATTGCCTTGATATTGTTGACAAGAACAGCGACGTTAACAACAACTTGAGATATCCGCTACAAGAATGTGAATAAGTTAGGCCCCAGAGCCGAATAGATCTTCCAAAATCCGGCGAGTTGCCTCATCCTCTTCCATCATGCTCCTAGAAATTAAGAAAAAATCTATCGGAAAGAGAAATATATGAGTAGATTATGGAGAAGTAGATGAGACGCTTGTCTGCCACTTCCTGAAGCCAGGTTGCTTTGATAAGACGCAGTGTGCTCGTTTATTCTTTGGACCTTGGCCGATCTCTATCTTCTAAATTCAAATACCTTCTCATCTTTCGGAAAATAGAATACTCGCTATCATTGAGATCGATGTGGAGTTCCAGGCCCTTTATAGCGATTTATAGTGCATGTCGTGCACCTTCCTTTTCTAGATCCATGTTCGCTTCCCGCGAGGAAGCGTTGCTATCCTCGATTGGTCGCAAGGCTTTTTCTGCTGATGTATAATAGCGATCATTGAGTCGTGTTTCATTGATTGCAGCTTTGTTTGAGCTAGTGTATACAGCTTTCCAGATATTTGAAATCCTTTAAAAGCCTGTGCAAGGACGGAATGGGATAGTCAACGTCTTTCATTCGAGCGTCTGCAGCCTTCTGCTCGTTATTGCCGAAGGTGCCGATGCATCATAACCAAGCCCAGCTAGTCAGATATCTCTTCGTCTCACTAGTAAGGTAGGAAACCTGGTAATGACTCACAAGCTCGTGAAAGAAGGCGATGGATGGTATGATGACGGACGACCCCGAGATGGGGAGTTTATTTTACTATGTGGTCACTAGTTGCTATCTAAATATCCTATATCATGCCAGGGAGCTGCTATTTTGTGCGTTTTAAGTGTGTGGACTTTTCGGTTGACAAATGAATTCAAGCTAGTGCATATTCGATGCATGTCTTGGGGACTTTTGATCTAAGTTTCTTTGATCCTCCAGATCTAAACGCCAACACATACATAATAACCTAACCAAAGATTCGCACAGTCGGATCCAACTTGAGGGTTCCACTTGTTGAACTGTGTTGTCGTAATGCCGTACTTTTGCTCAATACTCCAGCAGCCATCACCATCAATTGCCAAGTGCCATGTCTTGCATGTATTGATGGTACCCGGCATCGGCTGTGCAGTCTTGATGGCGACGCAGTAGTATTGATCAAGAATGAGAGTGCATGCGCTGCCGAGAGACGGATTCCATTTTGTGAGAATATCCTGTGTCAAGTATGTGTACTTTTCGTTGACAATAGACCAGCAGCTGTCTCCAGCCTGGGCTTTGTAGTAGGTCTCACAGTTCGCTACGGTACCGCTTCCAGTTGGACCAGGGGCGCCTCCGGATGCCGTAGATGATGCTGATGTTGTGACCGTGGTGGTAGCTGAGGATGAAGAATCTGAGAACAGTTTGTCTTTAGTATCTACTCTTCGTGGGCAGGGCCTTTGCTTCATGAGCCGCTGCTCTTGTTGTACTTACCTGACACACCGACGCAGACATAGTTCTCTAACCACAATTTTGCACAAGACGATCCAGTAGCAGGGTTTAAATTGTAGAATTCTTCCTTGGTCATGCCGTATTTCTTCGCGACAGTCTCGCAGTTGTCGCCGTCGACAACATAATACCACTTGTTACCTGCATTTGGAAGTCCATGTTAATAAATTCTGATCGAGTTATTCTAAAGAGCAGGGAGTCAAATCTCACAGTTCGACGGGATGCCAGTTTGATGTGGCTCATGATTAGCAGCTGTGCTCGAGCTCGTGGATGTAGCAGAGGTAGTGGCAGGGGATGATGTTGAGGTAGACCCCTCGCCAACACAAACATAGTTTTCCAGCCACAAATTCGAGCAGGTTGAGCCAGTTGCTGGGTTCAATTTAAAGAATCCCTCTTTTGTCAAACCATACTTTTTCACAATGGTTTCACAGTTATCCCCATCGACCACGTAATACCATTCGTTGCCTTGATAAAAACCACAATATAAGCCAGGTCTGACACAATCTTTTGATGGGAATGGAGGCACTGCTTACAGTCAGAAGGTGTTCCTGTTTGATGCGGCTCATGATCCGAGCTGGAGGATGTTGCAGTAGCAGAAGGCGAGGCTGGGCTGGACCCGTCACTAACACAGACGTAGTATCCAGCCTGTAGGCCTTTACAGCCCTTAGAGATCGACCTGTTGCGAATATTAGATAGAGGAGATTTGATAAGGTCAATCGATTCATCTCACGGATTCCACGAGTAGAACTGTTGAAGAGTAAAGCCCATGAACTTGTCTTGAATCGTGTTACAGGTGTCATTTTCCAGGACCTCATAGTACTTCTTGCAATCTGAAGTAATTCCACTTTGTGTGGGCGCTGCAGTTCCCGAGTATGTCAGAGTTCCAGCTGGAGTTGGAGTTGTATTCGAAGTTGTGCTGCCAGAAATGACAGGATTCTCTGGTCCTGCTACACAGTAGCTCCAACCAAGGATCAGGATGCATGCTGATGGCACCGAAGGATTCTATATCAGTCAGTTGCCGTCCTATATCAGGAAATTCCCTCAGGAAGAAATGGACAAACCCAGGAGAGGAACTGTTGCTCAGTGATTCCGAAGTAAGACTCGATCGCCTCACAGGTGTCATCTTTGCTGATATCGTTTATCCAGTACTCGCAGCCCTCAATGACAAGATCGCCTGTTTTCCCCGTCGCGGAATCTGCGTTGGTCCATCTGCGCTGGACTTGAGCACTGGAAAGTAAAGCAAGGCTTTGAAAGAGGAAAAGATTCAATCGGACCATTATGCTTGCAAGAGATAGAGAGGCAACAGACTTCGGGGCTTTAGTTTCAAATAAGTGTAGCCACTTCCAATACTCTTCAAGTCCGGTAAGATCGAGTCCATAAACAGTAACAACACTAAATTAGTCTTGCCAAATCTACCCTTATCCAATGCGCGATTATGGGATATATCCACTGCCTGTTCGTATTACCTCTTTTAATTACACGCCAAACAGATCCACCGTTAGGGCCTTGGCGCTTGTATACTGTCGGGAGATAGTTCTCAATACTAGCTCTGTTTTTGCGCATACATACTAGTGTTTCTTTTCCAGGCCCCCACTTATGCATTCCGATCATTAGCTAGATCCGTAGGATTCCACTCAGCCTGATCAAATAAGCGAAATTTGCATTGTACCGCATTCATTCAACAAACTTACACAAAATCAAGAAATGATGATCTGAGACATCCCGAAGCCCCCGAGCAGTCTTAGTGGTGTTCTCCACTCACCTGCCGTAGCGAATGCTACCTTCATAATGTAGTTCACCCCACTTACTATTGTATCAAGCGGATCTTTCGGGCGTCCTAGACAAGTATCTCGCAAAGCGAAGCGAAATAAAAGTGAGTACGGTGGATATACCTCGGACACTTGGGAAATACCGAACGGTGAAATGAAACGAGCTTAGATCCCCCTGTAAATGAAAAGACGAAGCTAAGAGAAAGACCAAGGAACTTGTTGTACCTAGAAGTTGGAGTCCGGCAAACTTTGAGTATCGACAAATAGTTTATGGCATGCTGCAATATTACAGAAGAAATCGTTTTGCGGTCTGTAAGCAGTGCCTGTAGCTTTTGTTTTGTTTTCTTTTATTCCCTGCTGAACGGAACGTATTTCTGAAAAAAAAAAAAAACAAACACTATCAGTAGATAGTACTATGGCCTACCTCTAACTATATCCTACATACTAGTTACTGTAGTGGGGATTCCTGCTCTCAACATTGGTATCTCAGAGTCATGTGATTAGGGCCTTAGCAACAAGGCTGCTGTTTAGTTCAAGGAGGATAAATAGTTTCGTTCTAGATTATCAATTCAACATGGATGTTCCCCCTTCTGTTATGAAAAATGTTCTACTGAGGCTGCTGAGGTAGCGGTATCGGTATACTGCTCATGAAAGGTTCTGTTATTCGTTCTGTTGTTCGTTCTGTTGATTCTCTATAGTGTCACGCTTGCCTATCGTCTCCTTGCACTCTGCGAGTGTGGTGGTGTTGTCTCTTTGCGATCGACCCGTCTGCCAACGCAGACAGCCTACGAGCATTCCCATCTTACATTACATAGTATTAATTAGCAGTATTCAACGTTTCTAGGTTTTATAATCCACTGGTAGAGGTTTCACATTTCATTCAAGCTTTCACATCGATTCATTGGTTTCCGACTCAGACTCTGGGGCTTCGGTGTCATCAGGATAATCTTCTGATGGGATACAAGATTGAAAGAAATGATGGGGACGATCAGTACCATCTCTATCTTCCTTTTGCCAGTCCTCTCTGTCTCGATTGGAGAGCGTATCAAAGCTTGCACCATGACGCCTTAGTAAATCGGCCATTTCCTTGTAACCTTTCATTTCAGCAACATATAGGCTAACATGCCCATGCTCTGCAGCATTCAAGCCATTGCACAGAAGAAATTCAACCATGGCGTAATTCTCACGTAATGAAGCAAGCTTTATGGCTGATTTCTGGGATCGTATATCTCTTTTCAGTAGAATGGAAACAATATCGCGGCGATCATCTTCAACAGCGCGGTATAATGGCGAAGGGGTATACCGCTGTGGATCGGCACCACAATCGAGCAAGTTGTTCACTAACTCAGTGTGTCCATACTGGACTGCAATAAATAACGGTGGATTGTCAATTTTGACTCGACTACTATGCCGTGCTTTATCGGTAAACATCGGAAATGGGTTCGCAGTACGACTTCCACGATAGAAGTTAATTTCTGCACCAAACTTCAACAGAGTCTGAACAATCTCTGTATTTCCAGCTTGGATCGCCAATGCTAGAGCATGCTGAATGTTGATAATACTTTCAAAGCAGTGACCTTGCGAGGAAAGACGATGGGTATAGATATCTTCCCAGTACGGATCTGATCTTCTTCTTTCCTCTTCCCATTCTAATTCCTCTTCCCATTCGGAATCAATCTCCCCCTCGGTATTCAAATTCCACTTGCATAGATAGGAATACCGGGGATCCCCATGTCTAATTCCGGCCAACTGGGAAACCTGGGTCGGATCCCGCGGACGCGAATGGGGTTTAGTTCGGGCAACATTTAACAGCCCGACTAAAAGATTTTTGAGTTGTGGAAGAAGATTGTATTCGGCGGTAAAGGCGAGCGCTGATCCGTGATCGTACTGAGCATTCCAATAAGGTAGACACTTTCCCAGCTCTTGGTACAGATGACGATTGGTTCTAACAAATGCGTAGACATCGTTTTGGCGTGAAAGATAGGACGAAATGATCCACAGAATTTCAGTGGGCAGCTGAGAAAGATCCATCTCGATGTGTGATTAGAAACTGAAAAGACACTTAATTTCTGGGATGCATATATGTTGCACACATGTAGGAGGAAAGGTGCTCACTAATGAAAGAGCGAGGTATTTCTTGTCGCCCCTATGTCCACTCTTGACAATGTCCACAATGGCGAAAGAGTATCGCTAGACTAAAGGATGCCAAGTTATTGATCCGGTGCTAGCTTCGGACATCAGGTGGTTCCGGTATTTAAATGAGATTGTAACTAGTCCGTACGTGCTGCGTTCTCATCTCGTGCCTGGCGTGATGGAGTCGAATGTGGGGCCACGGTCGATTCCGTATTAGCTAGTATACTCCGTAGTTCAGAACATGCATCCTGGTCCAGACTTATCTTCTGCATGATCAGGGTGGAACATTTGCAATATCTACAAATCCTTGAATATGCATCCGAAAATTATCAAGATTTCGGCGATCGCCTATTATATACGGGATGAATTCGAAACTACTCCAACAGATCTCTCAAAGATAAACAATGGCAGCTTATTTCAATTTCCTTCGAATGGTGATTATCAAGAAAATATCTAAAAATGTTATCCGCATTTTATTTCCCAGATTCTATGAAAGATATTTGTTCAAGAAGCAAAGAATCTTTTTTAATTATTTTTGATAGCCAGAGATTCAAATTACCCTGGTCATTCAATCAAAAAAACTGACGCAATGTCTTTCGCCATCCTCGCCTCTCGGGCAGATGGGATCTGGCGAGTCGCCAGAGCATTTACCGGGATCTTGAGGATTAGCCCAGTTGCACTGGCCAAAATACACCCCAAGTGCAAAAACTGTTAAAGTATCTGCAAAGTTTTAGCATCCCTGTTGCAAAAGATGTGTTTTAATTCAAGAAGGAATGTCTCCTACCTGCATTTTTAATGGGGGCTCTCTCGCTTTTAACATCGAATACCCTGGCGAACTCTCGGGCAAGGAGTGCGCCATAAACTGCTTCCTGCCTCCCGTTCCAAACAATTGAGTAGTCTGATATTTGTCGTTAGTGTAAATCATGTATACAGCTTCACTGTTTGATTGAAAGTTTCGCACCAAATGTTTGCCAGTCATTGAGGACATTGTAAGAGTGGGAGGTTTCGTGAAATACTGTGCTGGCCGCAGCATACTTCTTCACGTATTGCAGGGGCTTCCCCCTCAAAGATTGAAAGGAGGAGCCTTGAATCTCAGCCAACGTCTTGCCGGCCCACATATCGAAGCTCTTTGGACAGTATACGGTCTCTTCCTTGTCATTTGATTTATGAAAAAATTGATAGCCGTTCACTTTGGAAGTCTCATGGCAGGTCACTTTGTGCTCAAAGAGAACCCGACGATCTGTAATTCTTGTATCATGATACAGCACTGGGTTCGGTATTAGTTGAATCGAATTTAGACCGCATTGAAGTGTTGGAACTTACTATAGCCCTGTACACCTTCCTCGTGCGTGTTGACAAGCCATTCATCGGCACAATTGATCACCATTTGAAATTTTGTATTAGTCGCGCTCAATGCTTTACTGATATCTTCGAACATGACTAAGTTCCATTAGTATGAGGGGCTGTATACCATTGTCCGCGTCCAAGGCATTAACTTACATAGCACCTGCTTCATTGTATTTATAGTCTTCCCTCTTGAAACTTTGCCTCTTGCTCTTCCAAGGGTTACCTGTCCAAAGAAAGCATTCCAAAGAAGGAAATTTCGGCTTCTTCTAGTGTACTGGGCCGCAGGCCAGGTGCTAGGCTCTTCTTTGTTTCTCATTATCTCCAAAAGCTCGGCCACAGCAGTATGAGCTCGAGATGCCTTTTGAGCAGCTTCAGAAACTTGTGCTTTTTTCTAGGGAAGATGAGAACATACCAGATCCGCAGCCTCACTCATGGATATATGGAGGTATGTGACCTGAGCATCCGAGCAAGTCGATCCAAAAACAACATTGGGCCTTTTGCTTGTATCTGCACGTGTATGTAGAGAGTTTAAGTCCTCCACGATCGAGCTTGTATTCGTCGAACTTCCAATCGTCTCGATAGCAACTGGAGAGCTCGCTGTATCCAAGATGGAGGAAGCTGCCGTAAGAGCACAAAAAACAGCCACCAGCAGCATTTGGACCAGCGAGCCAGCTTTTGAAGCTGAGCCTGCAAAAGTTTTCTCACGAAATTGCATGATGAAATGGGAATCTAAGAGAATAGAAGCTTTGGTTGTGTTTCACAGCGGGATCTCATCGGAATATATTTGAGCTCTGATTATGTCCAGTATCTACTAGCAAATACTATTACCTATTAGGTATTTACTATACCCCCCAAAGCCAACCAGAACTAATTCGTTTCATTATTCTAGGAGAATTCACAAAAAAAAAAAGAAAAAAGACTCTCAATCTTTCGGACGTAAATGGACCTAAGTGTTTCCTGTCTATGCGATGTAACGTGGGTTTCAGAGGAGCTTTTTTCGACTCTTCCAGGTGAATCAAAGTGGAGATTTCTACTGTTAGTACGTGCATATAAAAACCACTTCATCTCGTTTCAACTTTCTGGTACGGTTTCATTAAGCTAAATTCTCGTCTTTCGGAGAGTATCCGAGTCCGGCACACTCGGATGTACCTGCAAGGTCTCCGTAAATACCGCCAGCCGAGGGCCGGAAACGCGTAGATGCTTGGTAGAGGCGCCGGTCCCAGTCTATACTCTATAGTATGCATTAGCTAGTGCCATGCTAAGTTTTGTAGCCCCCAAACTTAATCCACTCCTTGTTTCAATCAAACCCTTAGACTAGTAAGTGAAATTTTGTGTCAACACCAGCAAAAATTACGATCTCTAACCGCCGGTTCCGTTGCCCGTGATACTAGACCGTATCATTGCGAAATCACGACGTTGAGGAAAGATACATTACGACTCAGTAGGGTGGGAACTAACCTCGTGTGTGCTGGTGCGGCGGAAAAGGCTAGATGAATATAAGTAACAGTCCCCGTTGAACCTAGACTTTGCTATTTCCATAGCCTTCGACATTCCTTATCGCAACACATCACGCTCTTTACATGGATCATTGAATCATTCATATTACGTTCTTTTTCTTTTCCTAATTTTTCGCCTCCCTTTCCGGTATCTGGATATCTCTAGTAGTCAAGTCCCATGAGAAGGGATTGCCTATTATGATACTAAAAACCATACCGGGGCTGATATTCAGCCTACTGTTTACCAACAACGTTATCCCTGTTTCAGCAGCAATGGGTAGCTGCTCATCTACCGACAAATGTGATAGTGGCTGTTGCTCAAAAGAGGGATATTGCGGATTCGGACCAGACTTTTGCGGAGACGATGTCTGTATTTCCAGCTGCGACGCTATCGCAGAATGTGGCGGTATGATTTTGACTCTATCGCTTCGTTAGCTTTTATGGGATTAATATTTGTTTAAACCAGAGTATGCAAAGGTTAACGGGACTACGTGTCCTTTGAACGTCTGCTGTTCTGAGTTTGGGTGGGTTGAATCTAAGAATGAAATATATTTTTTTGTTAATATGCTCATGAGTTCCATAGTTTCTGCGGAACGACTGAAGAATTTTGCAAATCTAACTGCCAAAGCGGCTGTGACCCTGTTGAGCAACCGTGAGTACAGAATTGCGGCCCTGAGGCTCGCACTTTCACAGATCAATTAACAGATTCTATACATTAGTTCGTGTGATGGAATCTCAAGTAAGGCAAATTATATTGGATATTACGAGGGTTGGAACACTCAGCGAGCATGCGACATTGTCGAGCCAGAAAATATCAATGTCCTTCCTTGGACCGTAAGTACAAAAGCTAAATGTGAGCATCTTAACATGGTTCTAAATCTCTTTTAATAGCATCTTTACTACAGCTTTGCCTATATTGACAAGTCTGATTTTACTATCACCACTATGAACGATGGTGACGAGGATGACTGGTCTAAATTTACCGCCCTGAAAAAAAAAGAAGAGTTCATTGAAAACATACCTGTCGATCGGAGGCTGGGATCTTGGTGGTGAGATCTGGTCCAATTTGTGCCGTTTCCCTGGGAGTCGGAAAGCTTTCATCAAATCGGCGGTTGAGACCATGAAGAAATACGATTTTGATGGGATCGACATTGATTGGGAGTACCCTGCGGCAGGAGATCGAGGTGAGTGCTAAGAGCTGACCACATCTTTCACTTGTCATTATGTGTAGTATTAACATGCTATTGATCGAACTCTAGGTGGCACTGCCAGAGACACAGCTAATCTCGTCACGCTATTGAAGGAGCTTCGCGAGGAAGTCAAGACTTCCTGGGGAGTCACAGTTACACTTCCGTCATCTTATTGTGGGTCAAAGCTTTATTTTTATATTTTGGAATTATACTGACCAGATACCAAGGGTATCTGAAAGGATTTGATCTCAAAGGCATGGCTGAACATCTTGATTTCTTCAACTTCATGGCTTATGATATTCATGGTACATGGGACGGTAAAACCAAGTGGACCAGTGCGGTGGTCAACCCTCATACGAATTTGACTGGTATGTTTGACTTTGTCATACACCCAAGCCGAAATTAGCTGGTATTAACGATCGAAAACAGAGGTATCCAATGGATTGGATCTTCTGTGGCGGAACAGCATAGATCCAAGCCAGGTTCTATTGGGATTGGGTTTCTATGGAAGATCTTTCACTTTGGACGACACTTCCTGTACGTCTCCGGGTTGTGCATTTGACAAAGATCATAACAGCACTGGGGGAGCCGCTGCAGGCCAATGTACTGGAACAAGTGGTATTCTTTCTGATTATGAAATAAATCGCATCATAAAAAGCGATGCCCCTGAAATCAAGTACGATGAAGCGGCTGCTGTCAACTGGATGACCTGGAACAACGACCAATGGTATGTGATAGCGAAAGGAATGAAGACAACGAGCATGCTGATTTCTTTCTTTCTTTCTAGGGTTTCCTTCGACAATGAACGCACGTTGAAACAAAAGGCCGACTTTGCAAATTCTAGGTGTCTTGGGGGTCTTTTCAGTTGGGCGCTTGATATGGGCGGTCCTGGTTCTTTGAAAAACCCTAACTCTATGGACCCCTCTGATACTAGCATGAATGGTGCTGATACAAAGGGTGGAAGTGATGGAACAGGAATTCTCAAAGTTGCTTCTGAGATATTTGACTCTGATGACCATGAGGTCACGGGTATTGCCCCGGTCAATGTTATCTTTCCCTGGATAACATTGCCCACACCAACCACCATCCCTGAAACTACGCTATCTACCTCCGTCGAAGTAGCATGGGAGACACCGAAGATGGTGACGAGTGGAACCATCACAACTGTCACAAGCACCATCACTCGTTACGTTCAAGACACAGTCATAACAGTCCCTCCACACACGGCTTATTCTCATGGCTTCTATAACTGGAACATTACCCAATCCAATGCTACGTTTCTCGTGGGCACGCTTTGGCCTAGTATCCCCATGCCTGTGGTCCATATCACTGATGACCCCAACCCTTTGTTTGAATCAGGCGTTTCTCACAAGCAAGTCACGAGAACTATCAATATTCCACCCTGGCCCTGGCACACCGACAATGAGAACCCCACCAGGATTACTTTCACTCAGGGCAGTCCGCCCGGTCCAACTTGTACAGCAGACTGTGGCGAGGTGTGTACCAAATTTTGCAACGGGCCTTGCCTCAACAACTGTGATGATCTTTCGTATAGCGATTTCATTGACCCTCTTGATGACCATCCCCCATCTGTGGCCGACTGTGTCGGTCCAGACTGCAAAAACGGGGAATGCAAAGACAAGCTGTGCATCGAGAAGGGCTGCAAAGGGAAAGGCTGTCAGGGAAGAATCTGTACAGATGATAAGGATTGCGAGCCAACTGGATGCAGAGGTACTGATTGTTACGAGGGTCATTGCGAAGGCGATGACTGTCAAGATCATGGATGTACTGGTGAAGACTGCGACGAAAGCTCTGGAAGATGCATTGGATTCAACTGTCTGGCTTGGGGATGTATTGGTCTTGACTGCCCTCCATCTGGCTCTGGAAAGTTCACCTGCACTGGCCCCAATTGCCGTGTTGTCAGCTGCGCTGGGCCTGACTGCGATAATGGCATCTGCAAAGGAGAGGACTGCGAGCCAGAGGATCGTGACTGCGAGGCTCAAGAGGCTGAGGTCTGTACAGACTGGATCAGCAGCACACTGGTTACGCCAGCTTCAACTCACTCTACAGAAACCGTTACTACTGCTTGTAAGACAATAACTGCTTGTGAAGCGACACCAACTACGACTACGAAGACAATCACCGACGATCAATTCGTGGAAGCCACTGTCAGTATAATTGAGTACGCCCAGACGCTGCCAGCAGATGTTTCATCTGCAATAGAAAGCGAATTGATGGCATATGCTTCTGATTATTGGTCAGCCGTTGGTTCCACAACTTCTACAAAGACTACGGCAACGACGACAACAAGTAGCGGTGGCTCTGAGCCATCGAAGGCCGGCTACCCTAATTCATTCTTGATCTTCAAATATCACGAGGAGAAGGATTATATTGACGCCAGTCGCAAAGATACATACTCTTTCTACGGTGCCTACTATGATTACCGCCAGGAAATGACCGAGGTTCAGGTGTGTGCTGGAGAGCGCAAGGTGGCTGGACCAGTTGATGCAGATGAACATGATAGTTATCCTTCATCTCTCAGTGGCTTTGACCTCGGCGAATACACTGGGTGCAAATATACGTCGCCGAATGGCCATCCGGGACACGTCACTTGCGAAAACACACTGACAGAATTCGATTGTCTTGGCTTTGTGAAAGAGAAAGGTAATCATGTCGTGGATTTTGGCTGTGGGACATCAATGGACAAAGCGGGTACGAAGACATGGAAATCCTACAACAAGGTGATAGAATGCTCTATCATCTGATAGACGGAAGTTTCGGAATGATTCAAATCCAAGTAGCTTCCGACGTGCTATAATGCTTCTGTTAAATACATCATTCGAAGAAGTTTAAGAGTTATGATTAATTATTTAGTCTACGCTGTATCAACTCAATCCAATGCAAAGACCTAACCGTTCCCCGTAGGTGATTATCATATTACTCCCTGTCTTTTAGTGGAGTTTCAGACGGCGAGTCAGAGGCTGATTCCGGCCATTGGTCACGTGATCCGGTCTTGACTCTTGCGTTCCTTTCCCAGGAACGGTTGGCTCTCGGTGGCCCATCTGTAGGCAGCGACCCCTCATGTCGCAGGGTCCGTAACAACTTGCCGTTGAGAGTGAATGACATTGAATCGAGTGGCAAGGAGCTATTTATTTTGATTAAAGCACACTGGGGCGGTTGTGCTTATATGGCAACATAATTTGGTAAATTCTAACGCAGCGAAGTTTAGAAAGACACAGGTTTATATAGAGCTTAAATCATACATCTTTTAAGCAGATAAATTCACTGAGACACAATGAGCGATCGTCCGGAATATATACATGCATCCCTTGTTTCTCTACCTATATTAATGAACCAAGATGACGACACAATATGAAAATCTGTGGTTCTACAGCACAAAATGAGAGTCGAAGACATTCAATCGGTACTATAGATGATAAAAAGAAGTTTGTGTGTAGATGGAGATAACCCCCGCAAAATTCGGTCAACGGCTCATAAGGAGATCGCAAGCTTTGATTGGACGGATAGTGGTATCCTTGACACAAGCCTGGTGAGACCTCCACTGCTAGCTCACTTAATGGTGTTGCAGACCAGCGGAGCACACGTAAGGACTATGTGAAGGCTTCCTGTCCAAATTAATCAGCATCTCACACAACCACCCAGGACATATGGTGGCAATGTGCAGGTGCCAAGGAGACGATTGTTTCAGGTGATAGTAGATCATCCAATGATGTATGCTTGACTTCAGCTCTCAAGGTCAAAGCGCGATCCTTGCATGGCAAAGTACAATTCTCACCCGGTGTCACCCTGTTCTCACCCTGTCTATTGCGCACTCACCCTAATCACCCGGGTCGCGCGACGCTAAAGCGGCGCTCACCCCATTCTCACCCGGGCGGCACCCACCGCACTACCTGCTGTGTTTTAGCCACACGCCGGCAGGTTAGTAGTATGGTGGGTGACCACATGCGAATCCCTGCTGTTGTATGTTTTTTTTTTTTTCAGTTTTTCAGTTTTCTTTTCCCTCATCAACCACCCTCATCGAACAGCCCTCTATACCGCAATCGACCTAGTGTTTCCGCCGGGCCCCGATCGGCCCCGTGCTCCGTTAGAGCTTTTCCACCTATAAGAATTACTTGATCCTAGCAATTCATGCTCCTGGGTATGTAACCGAGTACTATACCGAGTAGTGTATTATTTACATCTCCAAGTCTGTCTCTATTGCGGCTACGGAGCGCCACAAAGGACCAACCACCTGGGCAAAGTTCCGCATGAAAGTCATTTGCGAATGAGCCACCAGAGCTTGTAAACAACGGGAAAAAATTGTGAATGTTTATTCATGGATGTCTTGTTATCTTGCAAAATTCTTCCTCGGAGTCTTATAGAAAACTAAGCCCAAAAAGGAGGTGTAGGGGGCTTTGCTGGTTTTGAGGCCGAGTACAAGTGCGGACGAGATACTCATGAAATATGCCACTAGTAGTAGTATCTTAATGAACGTGAAAACTATCAAAACGGAAAGGTTGAATTCATTTAAAATTATCTACGGTTATGCTGTCTTCAAGTCTCTCGAGGCATGCTCGACTACCAACTGCGACGCGATCGCAAGATGCCGCACTTTTCTCCAGCTGTGCTTTAGCGTGCCCGTTCATCTGGAGCTTCACCATCTATCTTCAAATTTACATGTCCCAGGCGATTTCGGCTTCGGTCTTTGCTCCCGAGGTCGTCAATGCCAATGTTAAATTCCCTGTTTATCTCGGGATCTCTCGGGAATATGACATTGAATGGAATCATGATATCACTGTCGCAACTCATTACGTTCCCCGAGGACCTCTTCGTGATGAATATGCGATGAGATTTGGAATGTTCGGGTCGGGCCTCGCATCCTACTTTTTTGGGGTGGTCGCTATGTTGGCCCAGCCCAACCCAACCCAACCTGCCTTAGCTTGAGGATAGCCCTAACGATCACATCAGTATTTTCAGGGAAGATGGCTTTAAGGATTGCTGCGAGGGTGCCGGTGGTCGTTTCGGTGATGGTGAGTCAAGGTATGAGACGCTGACCAAGCACCTGCTATTTACCGTGTTCACAGTATTCTTTCCACAGTCTCTGGGTCAACCCATGGCAGCACATGGCCCTTGTCGACCGCATCCTTGAGGATGCTCACAAGATAACGGCTGGAGTCATGTCTCTCCAGAGACGAACATTTGGTTCATAGAAGTAACATAGAGCAAATATCCTCCGTTCCGAACCCAGTCGTATATATGAGCTTGCAAGTTGGAAACATTGTTCAAGCTATATAGCCAGGTTAGTCATTTTCATCGGTGTGATTGTTAGGCATCGCTTACAGTTCACAGGTAATCGGCTTTTCCTAGAGATCTTGGGATTCTCCAGATACGCAGGTCTGCGACGACAACAGGGAGCTTCTTTGCTCGGAGAAGGGCCACATTAACCGCTGATGGCGTGAGAGAAAGATAATCTCTGTCGTCAAATTTGGTACGTGGTTTTGTATACATGAAGATTACCACGTTTGACTCCTGACTCTGCGACCCGTCGTCGATCAAGCAACGGTCGTTCACTCCATCTTCAGCGAAACGCCCGATCGGGCGTTTGACACTGCATTGTAGGAGCAGAACAATATTCCATCCTCGGACAAGATATGAACTACCCTGGATCTGCAGGCGTGTAGTGCCTCAATGATAGCCATAACGGCATTAATCTGGGTGTCATTGTGTCAGGCCTACTCCACCTTCGGCGTCAAACACAGTTCGGCACTTCCGAATAAATGCCCGGGTCTTGAACCAGTGGGCGTGTCACATATCCCTCGCGCTTTAAGCATTGGTGTTTCCCGCGCTAGCGGTGATATTACCCTCCTACACGGCTGACGTAGGCCAATCCAAAATCTCAGGGTGGCACCGATCTTTGGTTATGATGAACTAGAATCGGGCCACGAACGAGCGACGGTGGAAATTGCCCCTTCGTTCTGACGCGAGGATACAACAGTCAGCGGTAACTGCTCGTATCTTCGATAATGACAGCTATGCGCAGGTTCAGATACCCTGTGAATGGTATCATTCTGTCGCCTTCGAGGCACTCGCCAGCGTTTTCGTAGCGCAACGAATTTGGCGTGAACAAGTCCTTGAGATTCTCGTCTTCAGAAACGTTGAGTGCGGTGACGACCACTTTGCATTGAATGATCATCCCGCGCAGGACTTTTTCGCAACAGTCAGTCAATGAGTGAGAACATCGTCTCCTTGTCCAAAACACTTCGTCGATCTAGGTGGAGCAGGTCGATCAGCTTCTTCGCGTCAGGCCGTTGGTCGTAAACCTTCGTGACCTTTTTTACCACCATTTCCTCTATCTGGCAGTCTGTGAGGGCCTCGCCAAAGGAAGAGCTGTCGTCAGTGGTACCACTCAATGATTGGCAACGAATACCCATTTGGTATCCGACAGTTCTGAGCGGCAGTACAACCTACACCAACCTGCGAGCTTTGAACAGCGTTTCAACTGTCAATCAGGCCACATGCAAGATTGAGGTCGGACAAAACCTTGCGCTGTGCTTGAATCCAGTGTCATAGAAGGTGAGCAAAAGCATGTCGTTGGCCTGGTTGGACCCGGTGCGGATTAGAAACTTCATCCCCAGGCTCACTAGGATGAAAAGCATGACCAACGTTGTCTGTGTTTGCCATTCCCCTACGCTTTCACCAGGTCTATGCCAGCAACGACCTTGAAAACTGAACTCTCAACGGCTCGAGGCTCAGAGTTATCCAGTTCGTATTTCCCAAGGATATATATATATAGTCAATTCGCTTCTTTTGGCGATCAGGATCGACGGCGGAAACATCCTTGACATTCAACTCAAAGTAGAACGGACTCATCGGGCTCTTCGACCCCTGCGCGAGGATTATTCCTTTGAGTGAAGCTGTTACCTTCTTGGTTTTGTCGTCCAAGGCAAGATCTAAGTGGGCCTGGGTCAAGATGGCAAAATCTGATTGACTTGAATTCATTGAAATTCCAGTTCCATGGACCGTGTTCCGATATTTCGGAAGAGTCGAGCTTGCAAGTTTCACTTCGAACTTGGCTTCGATGGCTTCAGGCGGGGTTGGCTTTGGACCCGCGCGAATCTGAACGTCGAGCTTCCAGTAAACTTAGCCATGTGTGGGTCGTTCAAGAATGACGTGGTGAGTCTTGCTCTCATGGAACACATTATCGTAGTTGTCCACTGAACGTTTTGTTCGACGATTGTGGCCTCGAATAATCGAGAACGGTGATCCTCCTCGCCCAGAAAGAAATCGAAATTGTGTTCCCAGATCCGGTACTGATTGTCGTCGAAGAACAGCCAAGACATCATGGGTCGACGTGGTGCTTTGCTCGGCTCCGGTAGAGGGTTCTGCTTGGCATACTGGAACAAACGCATCTTGCCATTGAGCTGGGGACTTTTACGTATATGCCCCATGAGGTTGGCCATATGACTCTTGATTTCCTCGAAACCATGACGGCAGTTGTTGGGAAACGTAGTTCAGATGTACACTTTTCTGGCAGCCCACTATGTGTCTTTGAGTTTGTTCCAGCGCGCTAGCTGTTCACCCTTCAGTTCCCATGGCAGACCATGAAACTGGGCTAGCGACGGGTTCAACTGGACCAGGCAGACTTCGTAGACCTTCTTTAGTTACGTTATTGCTGATTTCTGGTCTGCTTCAATGAAGGCGTCGTACTGACGGGGGTCGGCTTTGAGAATCAACTTCATGTCTGTCCGCGTCGCGGGGAAAACGACGTGCACCTGGCCAAATTGAATATCCCGGCATGGCTGCCGGGATTTGAATCGGACTCTCATTGACACAGGGGTGCATTCCTTTTTGTTCGTTAAAGCGAAGCGTGCAGAAACGGGTTCGTTGGGGCTGATTGTGAACATCCTTTGGGTGATCCGCTCTAAGAGGACGGCGGAGAAGATATGGGACGTTGGCAGAGCTCGCTATTGCTAATTCAGCGAAGAAACCCCATGTATAGTATTTGCCACCAATATTGGAAAGCAGGGCAACATGAGTCTGCGTGGTGCCTTTTCGGTTCTTCGGAATTTGGCATTTTCCCGATGTACGAAATCGAACGCGATTTGCCGTCGGGGCGGAGGGTTTGCGCACAAGCTCTTTCAAACTGGGCTTTGAGACCGCATCTTCCAGGATCGTGAAGTGGCTTTTGTTTCAATTGCGCTGGTTGAGCGCGGTTTAGTTCTCAGAGTGTGCCGACAAATACAGGGCCAGTAGACGGGCTCAACGAGATGGAGAGGAAGATGTAAACAAAGAGAAAGGGAAAGGAGAGAAAGAAGAAGAGAAAGTAAACAATCCATTTAGGCCACCAAGGCAGGTGCCAGTGCGATTGCTCTCTATAGTGCACCTTCCTTGTACACTCCCGGACGGTGTTGCCTTCGTACTCACGTAGGTACCAGTTAACTACCAGTAGAAGTATGGCAGGCGCAAGAGATCCAGTCTTTCTGCCTGGGTAACTCATGCCTAACGAGTTAGGGTCCTGGGTATACAACTGAGTAGGATCCTAAGTAGTAGATAATAATAGAATGATGTCTATTCACCGAGTGAGCCCAGTCAGATGACATATACAGATGGGGTAGGAGGACTTCCCTTTTGGGAAGCGGAGCACGTACCATGGTAAACTTCAAGGCAACTACTACTAGTACACTCTGGGGTTGGGATTCAAATCTCCTCACTCATTGATTTCCACTTTCCACCTGGGCACATAACACACCCCTCAGTCTACCTAGTACATTATGGCGTCGTCAGCGCAGCAACAGCCTGTTGTCGAGGGGAGTAACATACGAATTACATACAAGGTGCCTTCGACGTTCACATCGTCAACATTGCCCTCCATCCACGAAAATACCGTAATCCTCGCCGTTACCCACCCGTCCATGACCAGCGCAGACCCAGCCAAAGACGGGTCGTTTATTTCCGACTTTTACGCCTTTAACTATCTCCTAAAGGGTGAAGGTCAGGAACAGACGTGGCTCACAGCAACTGCCCCGGAGGAGGTGGTAGATAAATACGGGTCCTACTTATATGGCAACCCGCACGGAGACGGCAAAGTCTGCCTCGATCGTGAAATCCTGGACCAGAATCAACTCACCGATGTTACTGTGGTTCAGCCAAGTGATATGATCGAGCGGTTCCTCTCCGAGGCGAAGCGAGCATCAGAGTTGGCGAAAAGAACCGACGCGCCACTCCTTCTTCTGATCTTCTGTCACGGACTCCCGAATCATCATTTCCTCCTAGATGATGAGAATCGAGAGAATAATCTGAGTATGCGTACTTTGAAAGACGTCCTTGCGCCAGGTACCCGTACTACCCTGGTAACTACCGGTTGCTACTCCGGAGGGTGGGCAGTTACTCCAGATCTGAACATCACTGCTTCGACTGGTGCTGGTCCCACGGGTGATTTACTTCAAGGCCTTTCTCTTTGGGATATATCGCCGAAAATCGAGCGAAGCTGTGGTTCGATATTCGCGGGTTCAATTTTCCAAGAGCTATCCAGCGCTGCAAGTCCCCTGCTAGATGATCCCCGTCAGTCTGAGCAACCAGATTGCGAAGAGAGCCTCCAGCCACAGGAACCTACCGATGAACAAACCCTGGCCTACGATGCATTCCGCCAATCAGTGTTAGATGCCTGTCAAAACACGGCTACGCGGCTTAGCTCAAGTTCTTTCCAGCACTTCACCTTCAGTGCTCAGAATGATGACTGGGAGTATTCGTGGACTGGAAGGACTGGAATACCACTAGCTCACTTTGAAGAGCGGTGGAAAAGATTGAAAGCTTATCCTTATACAGGATCGGAGGAGGTGCGTTCACTACAAAATACCGATCCTCAAAACCCCGAGCTAACTATCAAAGAATAAAACCAAGCAGGCGGGAGAACAAGCGGAAGAGGCCGGAAACATCGTCGACACCATTACCGACCAAATGGCCCATGAGAGACTCAAAGAGATGGCTAGGATTTTCCACAATACTACTTGTCCATACGACTGGACCCTAAGTGACCATGTAAGCTTGAGTGGTCGTTTGTTCTGCTTCTATAAGCTGGGCTTGAACCTTGAACAAGCGGGCATGTTGGAGGCAACTATGCGTTTCCGGTGGGAAGCGGCACTTCTCGCAGACTACATTGTCGAGACTTTCAGGCTTCCAGTCCCATGGAATGAGATCTGCATCATGTGGCATGACAATGCTTGGGCGAATGCGATCGAGAAGAAGTTGTCGGCGTCTGAATACAGCCAGAGGTGGTTAACTATACTCGCGCCACTCAAAGATTTCTTCGATTTCTCAGGCTCGTGGGCTGGGAGCCTCGCCTGAAGCTACAGGGCCCGCGCTTTCACCGGCCATTTCGTTATGTGATAGCGGTTTTGATAGAGGCTGATACTCCGGAGGATGAGATAACAGCTATCAATAACGGTATCATAGAGGTCATGAGAAACGTCCGGGCCTTCCAGAATCAGCGCGTGTGCCATAACGAAGAGGTGCGGCATAGGGGACGTGAATGGCTAGAGTCTATTGGTCGACGGGCGCGATGAAGCCAGCAATTCTGCTTGGGTAATTTGTTTCTGGCGCTTTAAAGTGTTGAGTATGTAACTGGGTAGGATATCAAGTAGTAGCTAATAATATTAACTGGTTGAGAGATATCAGAAAGAGGAAATATGTGTAGAATGAAAGACTAGTAGATGAGGCTCAAAAATCTAGATATAGCAATGCCCAGGTGGTACTGACAAATCCTATGCGACTCCACAGGTATTAAAGGACACCTTTGTTTTGAAGTAAAAAAGCTAGGAAAAAGGATAGTAGTATTCACGGCACTCAAAGACGCCTTCAATCCGCTGCATTCAGGACTGTACTTCCCCAGCAATCTCATTATTTAGAATCAGCACCTGTTGATTTAATTTGATATGTCTGAGGGGGAGGTTTTTGCCGCTAGGGAGCGTAACAGAGAACTACTTCAATACATCCGGCCCTCCCTGAATAAGAGAGAACTTGAATGTAACAGAATTTGGGCCCTGGTAACTACTATATTGATTGAACTATTGAATGCGAGGGAAATGGGGAAAGTCAAGGAATACTGCACTGATCTGAATACTGTATTTTGGAATCACTTGGGGTCCCCCGGTGTGTACCCGCTAGCTGGCGCTCCAATCTCCTACCGACTCCCAATGAGCCCTATCTTTCACCAGATATCCCTCCTGGTCCTTCTAGGCATTTTACGCAGCGGGGCCGCGTTCACCTGCGTTTCAATCCCCTTCCACCCATCTTCCGTTGCTGGGCATGGGACGTCATTTCTAATTCAACGATTAGTAAACCAAACAGAGAGAACGGACTTTCCAATGAATCTTACTGTTATCGACGGAGACAGGGCGATATGGGTTGCCGAACCTCAGAGAGGACGGAAGGTAGAGTGAGACCCGGTGTCAGGAGATGTTTGTCGAAGACGAAGGCGAAGTAAAATCACGAACCTCCGAGAGGACAGAGCAGATGGTGGATCTGGGATGCGGAGACGTTCGTAGAAGCTGAAGGCGAAAATACGTCCAAACCTCAGAGGACGGAAAGGTGACAAGAGTCAAGGTGTGAGGATGCCGAACCTCAGAGAGGACAAAACAGATACTGGACCGGGGACATGGAGACGTTTGTTGAAGCCGGAGGCGAAAATAAGTCCGAAGCTCAGAGAGGACGGATAGGTGACGCGAGTCACGCTACGGGGGGTGCCGAACCTCAGAGAGGAACGGCGAAATTCGTTTCCGAACCTCAGCGAGGACGGATGTTGGAGGCGGGTGATAGCGATGCTCAAGGCCGATAGAACGGCCAGACCAATTCATGAATCCGGCTGAAGCATCGTTATCTTCCGCCTTGGGTCACTCATTTGGTCTTTCTAAGGCAGAAAAGAACGGCGAGAACGGAGCTCGGTGACGGCGGAGGAGATGACGCAGGTCAGGCATCGCGACGATGTTGAGGAGATGCGGAGGAGGGTAACGGAAGAGGCGATGGGCTTCCCAAGAATGAGGCAGAGCAGCGGAAAGTTAAGCTGAGTCTTGGTCAGGACGGTGGGCTATTCTGCGATGAGAGAGCGAGATCTGATGGCGTCGTAAGTGTTTGATGGTCGACTCTGAAAGACGTAGATGCAGATGAAGAGGGAGAGGAGGAGGAGGAAGAAGAGAATTCGAAGACGTACAACTCATTCCCAAGTAGCAGCCTGGGCACGTGCCGATCCGGAGTATTCACTACGTTCCTTCCTTTTGTACGGAGTATACAGTCGGACGTTCCTTCCTCGTCTGCGTCTGAATGCTGTTGCCTTGATGCCTTGATGCCTTAGTGCTTTGACGTCTTAAGGCAACAGCTTACATCTACAACAATCGATCACTATGCTATTATTTGGTTGTGTCAATTTGCGCTTAGTCTCATTCAATGTCAATACTAGTAGCCTCGGCCCCTATAAACGTTGATCAATGGCTCCCCCTTAGCCAGTCGGTCCAGGTTGAGCCTCAAGATATCAAGCGACCGGGGAAGATATTCTCTCCCAAGTCCACTCAAATGAGGACTGATTTGCACATTTGGAGTATCCCAGAGGGGGTGGTCTTCTGGGAGCGGTTCGGGGTCCGTAACATCCAGTGCCGCTCCACTGAGCTGGCCAGCATTCAATGCGTCAATCAAAGCGTCTTGATCAAGGACCTTTCCTCGGGAGATGTTAGTGATATAAGGCTTAGCAAATCGGCTAGTGCTGTTATCAGAAAGTAGACCGAATTCTTCGGCCCCAAGGAACTTGGTGGTCTGCGGTGTCAAAGGGAGTGAAATGACTAGATGGTCCAAGCCCAAGGAAAGGAAGGACCGGATCGATTCCTTGTCTGTACCGTGATGCCATGAAACTGGGACAGAGCCATCTGGATCCCCTGTTCCGGGAACAATATAGCCGGTATCCTTTTTAGACTCAGGGGTCTTGCGAGGCGATGCAGTGTATGCATAGACAGACATTCCCAGTGCTTGGGAAACACGACCAACTATATCTCGTTAGTCATGTAGATCATTTTCACCGTTTCGGAAAGTGAAATAAAACCACGAGCAGTACATACTCTGTCGCCCAATGCTGCCATAACCCAAGATTCCGACCTTCTTGCCAGCCTGGTCATGGTTGCCCTGCATATATTTCGTTTTTTCATCCCAGTGATGAGCCTTTTGAGCCTCATACACTTGGAAATGCTGTCGTCCTGCGAGAATCCAATTCATGATCGTCCACTCGGCTATCGGTGGACCGTGGATCCCGGAGCTGGTCGCAATTGGAATCCTGCCCTCTTTGAGAATAGGATGGCTCATGAGGTGATCAAGACCAGCAGAAAATGTATGAATAAGCTTCAGGCTGTATTCAATATTATTAGGCAATGCGATGTCAATAAGACATTGGGTTTTGAGTACTTATGCGAATCTTCAAGTTCTGGCAGATCCGTGAATGTCACTAAAATGGTCGCATTGCGATACAGCTCTGGAAAACATCAAATTTAGTATATTTCCATGAGCTGATTTCCCATCCAGCCACAACACATACCACGAGGCACCGGTTCTCCTGGTTTAGACTGGTAGAGGGTGACCTCCGAATCGGCGAACTTTTCTCGAATCACCCTCTCCACTTCCGGTGAGAAGACTTGATAGAAGATCACGAGCAGGTGCTCCCTGGAAACCTCGACTGATCCCATTTCGATATCACAGATGATTGGGCTGGCCTTCTTCAGTGGTTGGATATTCAATGCTTGCAGTTGCAGATGAAAGAAAACGGCCCGAGATTTGGGAAGTGGCTGGTTGTTAAACGATAGGGCGTAAGGCGCTCTTTTCCCCACATCGGTCGGAAGGACGAAGGCCGAGGCAGTTTGAGTGGTTACCGATGAGCAATGAACGATAAGCTGTTAGCTCACCATCGAGCAAAACAAAGTATTTTTGCATGGCGAATATGCGGAGGATTTGTAATATCCAATTTAGACGCATTCTAGTTATGCCACAAAGGCGCAGGATGACGACAGAATTTCATCCGATGAGTATATGTCGCAATGTATATTGTAGATAGCTCATTTTGGCTTGAAGCCAACCATCCGAGGATAGCTGAGAGTACGAAGTAGAACTTGAGATGAATACTTCAGTTTCATGCGATTCCTCGCACCTGCATCCATGCACATTGCACGTTGGCAACCCCACTTATATGCTTTTTCTCGCCGGCACTCTTGCGTCCACAACGCCCCCTTAAAAACAAATTATTCTCAAACATTAGTTTGTTCAGCTATTTTGGGTCATTTCGGCAGGAGCGCAATTGTGAAAGGAATACTCCGTATTGTAAGCAGGATCGTTCAGCGTTTTGATTACTCCACGCGGAAGAAAATTCTCGAACAGACCTAGCGGGGATAAAGGCACGAACAAGTCGATCGTCTTTTTCAGTCTGAAGAGCGCGCCGATCTCAAGTTGCTATTCTTTGTACGGAGTACGGAGTATAATTCAGATTAGATTCCACCGGGGATTTGGGAGCAGAATTCTAACAGTGTCGTGTACCTGGGCCTTTGGCGAGAAAGCTGGATTCCTAAAAATGCTCTGATAATCACATGCTCAAAGATAATAAGAACAACTCGAACTTGAACTGGGGATCGCGATTCACCATTTGTCTTCCGCAACATTCACGGCTTCCAAGAGGTCAGTCATGATTTTTTAAGGATGATGCACGACAGGATAAACTCAAGCCATATTCCATACCGAATGCAACCTGTTCAGCTCGCCACCAAACCCCCTGAAATGTGGATGAGGTTCTCGCACTATCCCACAACCAATCATGACCGCGAAAGGCATTGAAGCATGTCGCACACGAGCATACGAGTAATGAAAGACCGGGGCTGCTGTGACCCGGAAATCGAGTGCCGCTGTCTCCATCGCATTCTTCAGGGGAGGATCCACCTTCCACTGTCAACAAAGCCGCTTCCTGCAGCTACCGCTGTCTCGACATGATGCATCAACCTCACAAAGTTCGCTCGAGGTATTGGTGACTCCATGCTCCCCCCGCCGATAGCCTATCCGAGCGATCTAGATCGCTTGGACAGTCCGATGGCGCAGGCGCACTGATCCTTTTTTTCGGGAACACACGAGGGTAAATCGGCATTTCACGCCGTCGCGCTGGAGCCGTGTGCTTCTCAATTTGTGTGGAGCTGCCATCCCGTGCAAACCAACTCCACCCAGAAGCAGTTCACCCACTCAATCTTGAGGCATCTGCAGAGCACCAATCTCAATCATCCAACTGGACCAGGGTTTCCTCGCCTATCATGCAGGCCAGGCCCCGTAACCTTTTGAAGCGATGGGGCGGGGAGGATCTCCATGTGGCATCCCCCATTCGGAGGTTTTTTACACTCCAGCTAGAGCAAGTGCCATCGATCGACATCTCTCTGAGAGGTCCCTATCACGATCTTGGGCCGTGATTCCCCCAATCATCTAAACCCTTCCCCACCGTTCTTGACTGCTTCGCGAAGATGTCCCGTGCGACCCCCACTCAATTCGACGCCAACTCGACGCCACGACCACTTCGAGCTCCATTCAGGGTCATTACTGTTCGTCCTGTCCATTCGCAAACTTCAGCCCGCGCTCGCGGGACAGCCGTCGACACCCGCTCCCTAAAGCTACCGGTCCTGTCACGATTCAGATTGGATCATCAGCACCCACCGGTTGCTGAACCCTGCAGGTTTTGCCTGCCAGTCTTGCCATTTTTAGTAGGAACTATGATCATCATGACTCGAGATGTGCTGAAACTGCACTTAGCTCTGGTCTAGCCGTGCGCCCCAATCTACGTCAAGCTTACTGTCATCTGCACATGCACCGGTACTACGCAAGGGGGGGGTAAAAAGCAAAGAAAAAAACAAAATTCAAGGCAAAAAAAGACGGATGTCGCTACAAATGGAGAACTCGCCCCTCCTCTGGTGTAACGCGTTGTTCTTCTCTTCTTCCCCCTCCATTTCCTCGTCACCAGGTCCTTCCCACCATGGCTGCCCAGTCTAATCCCAGATCGAACAGCCTATTGCGGCGGGTGATCACGGCCGCTCTGGATCGTGAAGAGAATTCCTATCCTCCGATGGCAGCCCATCTTGCTGCCACACGTGGGGATGGAAATGGTACTCCTGACCTAGAGCGTGGACCATCCAAACGTGCAACTGGTCTCGCTGTGTCGCCAAACGACCCTGATAGTCTTATCCCACCCAACGATAAGCTACTGATCTTCCGTGCCTTGACCGGTATCGACAGTGTCCCGGCCCTCACTTCTGGTGGACATCTTCTTCGAAGCGCGCCAAATGTCGGTATTTATACCCGTGTCATCCGAAACGAAACCAAGGCTGCTCGTGCCTACAAAATCTTCAACCTCCTCATCAACACATGTCTGGGCATTCAAATTGTCGTCGCTGCTGCAATCACTGCTGTTGGCGCGGCCAGTGGACCTCATTCTGCCATCACTGCATTTGGCGCAATCAACACCATCATGGCGGGTATCCTCACCTACCTCCGTGGTTCTGGTCTTCCCGATCGTCTGAAGGGCTACCAAAACAAGTGGAAAAATATCCGAGAGTATATCGAACAACGTGAACGAGAATTCTGTTTGGTTGGCTGTACCCTCGACGTTCAAGAAGAGGTCTTTATCGTGGAAAGCATGTACCAGAGCATCAAGTCGGAGATGGAATCGAAAACGAGCAGCGGCGACAATAGGGGATCTCAACCAGATGACCCCCGAATTCGTCGCTCTCTTCTACCTACCTCGAATAATCTCAGCGGCCACCGAGCCTCCACGACTCCCGCCACACGCGCGGATGCGCATCGGGCTGACTCTGCCGATGATCATGAGCCTGTGAGCCCAATCAGTTCACCAGCTCCTGTTCATGAGAAGATTTGATCTTTCCTCTTTCTCCCTTGAATCAGTTTCGGACCCACCACACAACCCTCTCAAAAAGCCACCGACAGTGCTGAAGAAGTGCGGATTTCCTCAGAGCCAATTCAAAATTTGATGAGGGTGAGCAGAAGCTACACCATGGAGAATAATCTCAACGCAACATGTTGTCTCCGTGAATCATCAATCATACATTACCTTCCTACGCTTTGTCGTAGGTCGGTTTCGTTTAATGTCTTTACTTATACCATCGTCCGCATACATATTGACGGCGTTCATACCGGTTATGTCATGATACAGTACTAGTATTGTCTCAAGACCATTAATGTCACCTAATGTTTACCAATTCAAGTTCCTAAAAACTATTGCTCTCGCGCACAAATAGATTAAACTAGCAGCTGTAGGAAGTTCTAAATTCAGCATTGATCGCCAGATACCAATTTTCAATCTCCGTGGATCTCAACTAAACAAACCTAAAAGCAGCCCAAAAACAAAGCAATCTTAACCTCACTCACAATGAAAAAGCATTCTATTCAATCTTTTGTTTATCTACGTACAACCAACTTGAACCCAGACTGAAGTTGGTGAAGACCCACCCAGAACTGAACTCGGCAACTCGTAGGCGGCAATCATCCGCAACCAGAAAATTTTACAGCCCGCCAAACAAACGATAATAACCGAACAACGAATTTGACTTCGTTTAAAAACACTCGAAGGTTATACAAGAGAAATGGCCTTCGAAGTCCAAACTGCCTCGCCGGGCGATTCGGCCAGCCTGACAGAGACATTCTTCTCCACATTCTCCGACGACTTCAACAGAACCATGTTCCCCGCCAACCCGGAAGTGAGCGCGTTTCTACAGAACACCATTCTGGAGGTAAACACCGAGCACCAGCATGAGATTCTCCTCAAAGTAACCGATCCTTCCAATGCCGAGGTGGTTGCTGCTTTCGCGAAATGGATACTCCCAATCGTGTCTGCAGATTTAGCTGCAGGTGCAGATGCAAATGCCGATCAGGATCGACATGAGCACTCTGCAGCTACGAAGTGGCCTGCCAGTAGCGATGCGAAGCTCTGCGATATGTTTTTCGGAACGATGGAAAAGCATCATGAAGAAATTATGGATGGTCGGCCACACTATTGTAAGTTCCTTTGCTCTCTTTCCCTTCTGCTTGATAGCTAGTTTAGATCGCTGGCGATTATCAACCTTGGAAATTCTACTACGGATTTTCGCGATTCATTTAAAGTGACCCCACACCTTGAATTGAGCTGCAGAACTGACGTGTGATAGATCTTGAAATCCTGGGCGTGCATCCGTCTTACCAGGGCCGGGGTTTAGCGTCCAAATTATTGAAGTGGGGACTGGCGCGTGCAGATGAAGAGGGAGTTGAGGTTTATCTCTCTAGTTCGCCGGAGGGGAAACCTCTGTATGACAAGAATGGCTTTGAAGAGAGGAAGTATCCAGGCCGTTTCTCGCCCTGGCCTGGATACGAGCAGGTCGATATGATCCGTACTCCTCGGAAATAGAGTCATCGGGCTTTCTAAGGCACTGCTTTTGCGTTTAAAGGTACCCTGGAAGATTTTTGTAAATATCCATGGTTTTTTGTTGGTTAAAAGTTGAACTTCAGATGCTAGATTTATATTAGAGACCGGGAGCAATCCACGGGCGGTTTTGGATTTTGGGGTTGGAAATTTGAACTTGAAGCCAGTGTCGTGGTGTTATAGTCTTCCGCACTAGAGCCGGACTAAATCAAGGAAACTCTTCAAAACATGCAATGTCGAAAAAAAAGGGCCCGGAATCGCCGTGGAGCTGTGAAGATCACGAATTGCCCCACGAAGTGCTTACAAATGTGGCCGAGGGGGGTTGCTGGAATCGCGGGGCAGCAATCGAGTAGAATTGAACATGAACATATATTAATTGGCAGGAATTCGATTTACTTGAATTAGTTTGTTCACTTAAATTCTCGATTTCATCACAGACACAACCCTCTTCTTCGCAAAGAACTATCTATCAACCGCATGCTCGGACAATCTCTCAGCGCTCTGACGTCAACGCTCTCCCGTTTGCTCGCAACAACCTGAAGAGTCTCCAACACCATCTACCGACAGATCAGAAAATGACCAAAGTATTCCTGTGAGATTGAGTTTTCCCATAGAAAACTTCGGCAAAGCAAGATCTAACGTCGCAACAGCACCGGTGCAACGGGCTACATTGGCGGTGACGCCTTGGCTACGATCGTCGCACAGCACCCCGAGTTCACCTACTCCGTTCTCGTGCGCGATTCAGATAAGGCAGAGCAAGTCAAAGCTCAATACCCGAACGTCCAGATTGTTCTGGGTAACCTGAATGACTCATCCATACTTGAGCGAGAGAGTGCGGCGGCGGATATTGTCTTGCGTAAGTACGAATCCTACAAGGATAGATTATGACCACGAGTCCTTGTTCGCTGACAAGTGTGAGAATAGACACTGCCGACGCATCTGATCATGTAGGTGCAGCAAAGGCAATAGCAGCTGGCCTCGTCGCGGGTCACTCGAAAGAAAAGCCGGGGTACTGGCTACACACGGGCGGGACTGGAATCCTTACGTTCGATGATACCGACAAGAACCAGTACGGCAACAGGAGTGATAAGATTTACAATGACTGGGAAGGGGTAGATGAGCTGTTGAATCTCCCCGACCATGCCTTCCATCGCAATGTCGACCAGCTCGTCCTGGAAGCTGGTGCCAAGCACGCAGATGTGCTCAAACTTGCTCTGGTCTGCCCTCCAACGATCTACGGTACGTCACGATCTGATCAAGATATGCTACAAGCCCCTCGCTTATTTTGAAATCAGGCAAAGGAAGAGGACCCGTCTCAGGACGCGGACGACAAGTCTACGAGCTAGCGAAGGTGACGCTCCAATTGAAGAAGGGACCGATTATTGGGGCTGGGCAGTCCATCTGGAACAACGTGCACGTTCATGATCTGAGCGATGTATATGCATTGCTCGTGGATGCTGCAGTTGCAGGCCGGACTGATCCGGGGCTTTGGGGTGCCGATGCCTACTATCTCACAGAGAACGGGGAGCATATCTGGGGAGAGCTGGCGCAATCTACCGCAGAGGCTGCTGCAAAACTGGGGTACATCCCAGAGCGTAAGACTGAGGCATTTGACCTCGAGAGCGCGAAAAAATATGCAGGGTTCGAGTCAGTCAGCTGGGGCCTGAATTCTCGTGGCCGGGCTCAACGTGCACGCAAAATTCTGGGATGGCAACCATCGCGACCTAGTTTGTTGGCTGAATTACCGGAGATTGTTCGGAGTGAGTGGGAGCGGTTGCAGAAATAGGCAAGGGGTGATATAGCCAGAATGAGTGGGCAAGTCTTATTAATCCCAGCATTCGCACTATCAAGAGAAGATTGCCCTTGAATTGACTTTTCACTTACCTCTTGCTCAAATGCATCAATGAGAAATCTATAGAATCGGGTCGCGTCCTTGATCGCATTGGAACCTGCGGTGTGAGCTCGTTTATATTCTGCGAGTCTTATAGTCTTATACTCTCAGAGCAAGACTCTAGCCTGGCCCAGCAATCGCGGAGATGACAGGTGATATTTTCAATGCGACCGGCATTTGATTGCATCCAATGAAACATCAATCCAAAGCAAATATTGAACATTCTTGTCCCAGAGCAACGGTCTCCTGTCCGCTTGTTGTCCGCGGTCCACGTCCGCGGATCCTGAAAATAATCGACTCCACTCCGTGTCCGTAGCTCGTATTACAAAGGTAGTTAGCTCCGATGCGAGTGCTAAGCCTTCCCGGGTGATAAGTCAACAAAAAATTCCCCGAGAAACCCCGGACGAGTCCGCGGGGCTCAGCAGGACCTTAAAGCCGATCTCAAACACGAGCTCATTGAGTCATTCACCTCGTGCCAACGCAACTGATCGCACTCGGACTGCGTAGTAATGCGCCCCGGGTGGCCGCAGTTATCATGATCTCCACCGAAGATGTTGGGCCGACCCCGAGCTGAGTGGCGCACCGGTGAATCGGCCTGGAATTGGCCCGACTTGGCGATCTCTTCCAGAATGTGTCCACTTTAGCTACGAGCGCGGCGACAGTCTAGGTTTGGAATGGATCAGATAGCGTAATGAGCCTAATATTATGGGTTTTTACGATTACTGCGGGCTCGCGACGGCGCAACATTTCGCCCTGTTGAAAAGCTAGACACCTGGGCAACCTTGTGTCACGGACCCACATGGTCGTTGGATTTAAGCATTTATACTTGGTTATATGTTGCGCTGCCACGCGGTTTTCCAAATCCATGGAAGAAATAATCATAGAATTACACAGCAGGAAGGTTCAAATTTCAAATTTCAAATTTCGCCCTCGCTTTGTTTGTTTGTACTCATTGACGCTCCGTCCTACTTGATCATCTTCGGCCTTCTTCTACTTCACTCTCTCCAAACTATTCTTTTTAATATATTCAAAATGGCTTCAGAGCCACCCAGCTCTGCTGCTGAAAAGCCAGAATCACCTCCCCAGGCACTTTCTCTCAGTCGACATGCATCTGCCGAAAGCGATGCTACCCACACCGACCCAGATGAGAAGTTTGCCCTTGGACGAAAGGGTATACTGGTGGTGTTCACTCTCTGTGTGCTGACTCTCATGGCTGCGCTCGATGGAACCTCTATTTCAGTCGCACTACCGGTAATAACTAGCATCTTTGGGTCACCTCCAGTGAATTTTGAGCTAACGCATTGTAGATCATGGCCGAAGAACTCAACGGCACCGCCATCGAAGCCTTCTGGGCAGGAACTTCGTTCCTGCTCTGCTCCACAGGTACGACATGGCATAGGATATAGCCTCGTAACATCGAGCTAATATATTTGATAGTTTTCCAACCCAGTTTTGCGTCCTTCTCTAATATCTTCGGTCGCCGTCCTGCGGTGTTGGCGTCAATTTTATTCTTCTGTGTTGGCGCCATTGTTTCCGCCGTTGCAAACAATTTCACGCAGATGCTGGTCGGTCGAGCGATTCAAGGTATCGGTGGAGGTGGTATCATCGCTTTGACCGAAGTCATCATCACAGACCTTGTTCCCCTGCGATACCGGGGACAGTATTTTGGAATATTTAGTGCAATGTGGAGTATCGGATCCGTGACAGGTCCTATCCTTGGTGGTGGATTCGCTCAAAATGTCACTTGGGTGAGTACACTTCAGCTGACAGTTGAATAATTTCAAAATATCTAACAAAATTCTCCAGCGGTGGATCTTTTATATCAACTTCCCATTCATCGGAGTGGGAACCGTATTCGTCATTTTATTCTTAACTCTGAAGCTCGCCCCGAGCTCCCTTCTCGACAAGCTCCGTCGCATCGATTACACTGGCACCATCCTCTTCGTCGGTAGTCTCTCTTCATTCTTGATCCCACTCACATGGGGCGGTGTTTCCTACGACTGGGATTCTTGGCACGCACTCGTTCCGTTGCTGATCGGCGTCGCTGGATTGGCCACTTTCATATTCTACGAGTACCGCTATGCCGCCGAACCAATTATCCCTCCGGCCATTTTTGTCAACCGAACTGCCAGTGTCTCATTCCTGGGCAGCGTTCTTCAGGGCCTGATCATGTGGTGCACGCTGTACTATCTGCCACTTTACTATGAAGCCGTCAGAGAATACTCCCCTATCCTCTCCGGCGTGGCCCTTTTCCCACAAACATTCACGGTTGCCCCGTCCGCAATCGTCATCGGTATTTTGATCACAGTTACCGGTAAATACCGCTGGGCGGTATGGATGGGATGGGTTCTGTCCACCATTGGACTGGGTCTTATGTGCATCATCAAGAGAGATACCAGTGTAGTCGGGTGGGTTTTCCTCAACATTGTCCCTGGACTAGGCCTGGGTTCCTTGTTCCCTTCCCTCGGATACGCAGTCCAAGCATCAGCAGATCCCCGCAATCTTTCTATCGCAGTTGCCATGTTCAGCTTCTTCCGTGCCTTGGGACAGGCTATCGGCGTTGCAGTTGGAGGTGTGGTCTTCCAGAATCAGATGCACAAGAACCTGCTCAAGTATGATGCCTTGGCTCCCATGGCTAGCGCATATAGCAAAGATGCAGCGGGGCTTGTTCAGGTTATCAAGGCCATGCCAGATGGCATCAACAAGATCAACCTCAAAGATGCATACACCGATAGCTTGCGGATTGTGTGGATCGTCTGCTGCGCTATTTCTGCTGTGGCATTGGTATCCAGTTTGTTCACCGAGGAATACGATCTTGACCGTGCGCTTGAGACCGAGCAGGGACTGGACAAGAAGGCTCGCTTGGAGTCGGAGAAGGATTTGGAGCTGAACGCTGACAGGGGCGTCAACCAGGCTGCACCCATGGCATGGTAAATATGTGTGTGCTATGGGATCACAAGTTGAACTTGAATCATTTCGACGATTAACGACACTAGGATATTCTAGAAATAATAGTACATTTCTTTGGGTTTTACGGCGGAAATATTGACAGCCTCGGTCTCATCGAGAACAAATTCGCCTGTATAATAATAAT